AATTAGAACCGTCATGGGTTATTTTACTGGCACGCTAATGTGTACATGCGCGGGACCTCGATTTTAAAAAATAAAATTCGCCCATTATTCCAACGATAAGACACTGCCCTAGCCATTCTCTTCGTCCTGTACCACTGACGAGGGTGGTGGGGTGGCCGGGAATCCAGAGGTACTGTCGCGGCCAACCCCGGAAGCGAATCCATGACCTTCTGGTCAGAGCCACCGAGACTATCTAATATTTTCCTTATTGGTTTCTTCTGTTATGTGAACTGTCAAAGGTTATGGTTGTCTTGTGGTCAGTTTAATTTGTATGTTTATAAACACGAATATGGTCTCTTGTGGTTAGTTTTATTGTCTCCCGTCTTTCGAAGAAAGCAGGGGACTATTAAAATGGGTCTGTCCGTCCGTGTGTGTGTCCGTCACACATTTTGGAATACAATAATAACTGAGCTGGGGGATGTGGGTAGCCAAATGGTTAACGCCTGCGTGTTGGATCAGAAGGTTTGTCATTGAGTCAAATGGCGTGGTTTCGATTGCCCGATTGTAGGTGACAAGGAGTAGGGTCGCCTGTCCAATCTCGTGGGTTTTCTCCAGGTCCTTCAGTTTCCTACCACTGCTAAAGACCCCTACTACTAAAGGGTGGACGTTAAACTCTCTCTCTCTCTCTCTCTCTCTCTCTCTGTGACTAAATTCGAATACCTTGACTAAGTTCGATGATGAGCAATTTAATTGCTGAATCTCCACAACTTTGATTATTGGAGCTCGACAACTTTGATTTTAGGAACATATTTCTGCTCCAATAATAAGCACTGATAAGCAAATGTGCCTAGAGCTCGAAATCGATCAGAATTGGATTTTCGGCCAAACAATATTTTACTACGCGTTGGTCTCCAAATACATTACTAAAACTTTGTATTGACGCGACGTCACGCTCCGAAATACACAAATGGATTCTTGTACTTGCGCGACATCACACTTATTGCGTTAACGCAACGTCATACTCCTAACTACATGACTGAAATATTGTATTTTCGCAAATTCACACTTCAATACTAATTGTTTTATTGATAGATTTTAAATAAATTATCTACGATAATAAATACATCGTGCTCTCGGAAATAACTCAATTTAAAGTGTAAAGTTAATGCCAGTGAATGCCAAAGCATTACAAAGGCGATACTCCTCACACCTACATATATTGCATTATGTGTAATGACAATGCACTGATCAACAATGCCATCCGGGAATTTTTAGACAGAAAATTGTAATTAGTGTCACCATAAGTGATTTAGTGGTTTGGTTAACTTTGCAAGAAAAAAAAATAGTTCATGTTTTCTTTGGTGTTGTTTTTAACAAGCTAGAGTGACAGTTAGATATAGAAATGCGCCGACGACCTTTCAACATCAATGTCAGCAAGGTGATTATGAACTAAAAATAGCAATTCTTAACAGCGAGATTTATTGTCTATCATTCAGACAAATATTCTACGAATATTAGTCTGGATATGTTTTCAACATTTAAGAATAATAGGTCACTGGCTAGATTACCCGGTCTTTTACATTATCATGAACAATGTTTAAGGGGGGTAACTAGTCCTAACACAAGATGTCGACGCCCATGAAATTAATTTAAGAATTGCCATTTTAGAAAATCCATTTGCATTGCCAGTTCAATATCCAACAATCTTAATTTTTTTGTTGTAACATTTCTCTCATTATGGGAACCATATCTATGTTTTTTTAATTAATCCTAATTCGTCGTCACGATTCATGTCGGGAAAAAGCGCAGCTCTTGACCTTTACTCGAAATTTACTGGATATCAACCACATAAGAAAACTCCTGGTTACGCATAGGCAATGAAACTTGTTGTCAAATCTTAACAACAGACCCAGACCCCTCTGTACGTTGAAGACTAGGAGGTTCTGGGTGACCGAGACTACGGGATTTGCGACTAGATCTAAATAATGCGTGGGGTTCGTGCACACTATTTATGGGTCCTCGGGTGAAGAACAGTATAAAATCTTTGCAATTTCCGTTTAATACTTCTAGATTTGTAGAACCTTGTGAATTCTATTTCGACAATAGTTATTCGATCTTTATGAAATCGACATCAGTATCTTGTAAATGCTCACATTATCTAAAAAAAAAAGAATAAACATGTGACAACCCATGTCAACTACGCGGACGATTTAGCTGCTGTGGGCGCATTGTTCGTTGCCTGGCAACCAATCTTTTGTAAAATAATAAATAAAAAGTTATAAACAATGCCCTGGATCATCACAGTATGCCTACGTCTCGCAACATCAAACCTTAGATAGATTAAAACCCATTTGGACATGTATTCATTTTTATGCGCCCACATTTTCATGTGAACGTATTATGCCATTGCCCCTGTCCGTTCGTCCGGACGTCCGTCCACAATTTATTTGCGGACACTCTACAGGTCACAATTTTTATCCGATTTTGACGAAACTTAAAATATAGGTCTATCTCCCAAAGATCTCGGTTCCTGTCCATATTGGCATATATCGGACCATAACTTGGATTATGGCCCCTGATTGTACGAAAAATCACGTTTTTAGCTTGAGGTCACAATTTTGATTCGATTTTGATGAAACTTGACAGGCATGTTTATATCCCGAAGATCTTGGTTCCTTTCGATATTCGCGCATATCGGATCGTAACTTCCTGAATTATGGCCCCTGACTGTACGAAAAATCGCGTTTTTAGCTTGTGGTTCGCTCCTCCGATTTAATAAAAACATTCGAATATATCACCGTTACACCGTAATGTCGGACCAAAACTGTCGGACAAAATGGCCGCCCCTCGTACACAAATGGTGTAAACATCTGGTATATCAAGGTTATGGACCCTCTAGAGGTCACAATTTTGATCCAATTTTGATGAAACTTAAAATATATGTTTATAATCCAAGATCTTGGTTCCTTTCGATATTCGCGTATATCGGATCGTAACATCCTAAATTATGGCCCATGATTGTACGAAAAATCTCGTTTTTAGCTTGTGATCACTGTAGAGGTCACTATTATCCAATTTAAAAAAAAAATGTGTGGATATAGCACCGTGGATATAGCTTTCAGTGTCTGCCCCCCCCCCCCCTCCACATAAAAATATTTGGAACCTTCGGCCTTGGGTATTAATTTTAAACTACGGTCCTCTCCCAGGAAAATAGTAAATAGTTTATGGCCCCTTTCTTTTACAAAACGTTTTTAGTGACAATCTTGTAGCGATGTGACAAATCGCCCTTCAAAATTCGATGAATTCCCTCAAAAAACTTCGTCCGGAAGCGAATATCGATGACGTCACTGGTATATAACGTCGCACCTTTCTCCCTGTCGGGAAACCACGCGGGTTCGATACCCGTATTGAACGAGACAGTTCACCGGAATTTTCCAGCGTGATTCCCCCTTGTCAGTGGTACAGGACAAGAGGCCTTGGACAACGTATACTCGTTGGGATGGGACGCAAAAGAATCCTTGGCAGTGAGATTGCGTCATAGGACACAATATGGAGTATGCCCGTCTTCATTAGCCCAATCAGACGTTAAACCCCATTTCATATTATGTTTTAATGTAATTAACATAAGAAATGGAAAATATTGCCCTCGACGAAGACAAAAATCAACGAATAGAATGTATATAACAACATGGACACCTCGTCCCCTCTTGCACTACAACTACAACCACTACTACCATCGGCAACACCACGGCCGCCACCACACTCAAAGAAAATAAAATTAAATGAATATAATTAATCCCCATTTAATATACCACGTACAAAAAATTGTAGAGACCTGCACTGCCAGTATAAATCTCCGTTTTCAAACAAAACATCTTCTAAAATCTCCAACTATTAACTTACAACTTTGAAAACGTGCCTTTTCCTATGCTGGACCTTTTTTATGGAATAAATAAACAAGTCAATTATTGTCAGTGGGCTATATAAAACTCTAAACGAGAGAGAGAGAGAGAGAGAGAGAGAGAGAGAGATAAACGGAATTTTACGCCCACTCGACACAAACTATATAATTCGCTTGAACATAAGGTCTTTAGCTTTGGAGTTTTAGTATGATATACAGGGAAAGGCGCTCAACTTATATTGGTACCCAAAACCTTCAAAAGGAATTGGTGGTGGGTTGCCCCCCCCCCCCATATTCGCATATTTTGTCTAGACTGTACGTCCGTCGGTCTGTCTGCCCGTCACACATTTTGGGAGACAATGACAATGATATAGCACCGTTACACACTAAGATTTTGGCTCCTTTTGATGATCGCGCATATTTGAACGTAACTTCCTGGATTATGGCCCCTGATTGTTTGAAAATCTCATTTTTAGCTTGTGGATTCTCTAGAGGTCCCAATCTTTTTTCGATTTTAAAAACCATTTAAATATATCACTATTCCACCATAATGAAGTTTGAATTCAAATTTCGGGAAGTCGAAATGAAATTGCCCGAATAAATGGCAGCTCTTTGTGCGCAAATTGTGTAAAAGTATGTAATACGAAGGTTGTGGACCCTCTACAGGTCGCAATTTTTATCCGATTTTGATGAAACTTAAAACATATTTTATATCCCAAAGATCTCAGTCCCTTTTGATATATATTTGCGCTTTTCAGACCATAACTTTCTGGATTATGGCCCCTGATTGTACAAAAAATCACTTTTGTTTTTATCCTGTTCTCTATCCATCTCTAGCAAAATGTGGCCGTATCTTGCCTGACAGCCGCTGGTACCGGAAAGCTAACGTCTGGGCGCACCGTGTTAATACACTGTGCCGCTGACTGCGTTATAGACTAACCGCTTGCCTCAATTTAGTCCTTACCTCCCTACACCGCTTCCATAAAAACAAAAAATAAACACAAACAGTCCTAATTATAAACTTTTATAAGTATTCCCTCTTATAGGGATGTCTGAAATATATAAATATGAGTTACGACTACATAATTAACCATTCATTTTCATTTGTTGCATTTTTCAGATGAAGTTGGTAAAGAAATGTATATAGTGAATAGAGGACGTCTTCAAGTGGTAGCTGATAATGGAAAGACCATGCTAGCCACTCTAAAACCGGGCAGCTACTTCGGTGAAATTAGTATCCTGAATATGGGGACCGCAGGCAACAGACGAACTGCTTCCGTCAGATCTGTCGGCTACTCTGATCTCTTTTGTTTATCGAAAAAAGACTTATGGGATGTTTTAAAAGAATATCCCGCGGCCAGAGTTAAATTAGAAGCCATAGCAGTGAAGCGGTTGGAAAAATATAAAAAAGCTCCATTAGAAAAAAGTAAGTTGCAACATGCAATTTTCTGTCGCTTGCTCTGTTCTTACCTTATATGTTTTCGATTAAAATTTAGGATTTACGCTCACGGCACATTTTATTCCGTCATTCATTGACGTTTATACTGCATGGAAGTTGGGAGGCGGGTCGGGGGCTATTATAAAGCCGGGATTTTGTGATCAAGGGTTAAGTATTGATTAGATCCAATCTTGTTGGGTCATTAAAAAATTGTTTGTCTACTATATTTAAATTTTCTCGGGTTGTTGTTTCAGCTGTGGATAGACTATGTTAGAAATGTAATGAAAATAGTCAAATAATCGACTTTTGCTACCAAATCCATATGAACCTTACCAAATGACCTAGATGAGCTATATTCCGATCAGGGCGCATTTTCATATCTTACCTTTGATTCCATACATGTAATTATTTTGGGTATTGGACTGCTTTATCAGTTGGGGTATAATTTAAATCATACTTTAAATTCCATTCCCACATTAAATTTGTGCCGATTCAGGGCATAACTAATGGGTTAATTTAAAAGTGGAAATTTAATTTTAGAGTCTGGATCTAGGAAGTCGGATGTCGGAAGTTACCACTCGGCTTTCAGAAAATTGTCATATGATTTATTAGGTTCTTATGCGGTTAATATATCGCCGATAACAGTTCTCTGTATGAAACCCAGTATTAAAGAATAAATAGTAGTAGGTTGGTCTAGCCAAGGGCATGGTTAGAACTTCTGATTAAAAGAATCGGTGTGAATAACACAGACGATATGATATGACAAAGGTCGTTCTCACAATATCGTTCCATATCTATAGCCATTATTTTAATCACGATTGTCCCGCATTGAGTGATTATTAATGCGAAGATTTGTATTTAATTTTTGTGAGGTCTGTGAATAGTCGCGAGACAAATGGGTCAATTCCTAACTGGGTTCCAGACAAGTTGATTCATCATTGAAGATATTATAATCCTTTGCTTAAAACTCTGAAATTATCTCTTGAAGGCCTTTAAGATGTCCGTTGGTAGTGGGTCAGTTAATAGTTTCTGTACAATGGTGGCATCATTCAGATATATCCCGTTTCTCAAAACGATTATAAATGTGTTAAAGGAAAGATTTAATGATCAAATATTTTCAAAACTCACATGAAATAATTGTATAATCATAACTATTAAGAGACGGTTTCTGTTTTTGCTATCCTTATATTTTTTACATTACAAATCATACGGGTTAACCCCTGTAATTAAAATCGTCACATCTCGACGATTATCTACATGGATAAAACCGTGTAATGCGTTGGAGAGAATAATTTGTATTTAATGGTATCTGAATTAAAGTCATTAATTTGAACCGGAGGGGTATTTTCCTCTTAATTTTCCGTCCGGATGCTCAGATAAAATTCCCTCTGGCGATCGTCCCTATGGTACAGTGGGCTTTTATCGCGTTGGCGTGGAACACTCGTTACACTTTAGGTACAGATGAGAAAAGACGAAACCTTTCTGCACCTTAGTTCTTCACGAGAGTGACATTCAATGTTATATTCTGTAATTAAAGTGTCTTCAAGAACGGTACTTGTTTCACTGTGGGCTTTTATCGCGTTGGCGTGTAACACCGTTACACTTTAGGTATACACTGTAACAAAAATTTCCGTGAAAAAACGTAAAAAATTCCGGAAACAAAAATTACCAGGAAAATTTTACCCGTATTTGTTTTTCCTGTAATTTACAGAAATTCCTTCAATTAACATAAATTCCATTTTCAAATTCAGAAAAAAAAATCCTGGTAAATTTTCTTTCCTGAGCATGAAGATGATAAAAATTTCATTGAATTAACCATTGACTTTATACCCGTGCGTCAAATAGCTTTATCTAACGTCCGCTTCCACCGAAGTGATATCGCAGATAATCTTTAAACATAACCTCTTTTCGCTAATTTATGAATCTAGAGCAAGGTATCACAACCCGCCACTCGTCAGTGGTTGGAGGCTTTCAGTGGTAGACTCTGCTATAGAGACAACCTGACTTACACTGGCCAACGGGTTGTACTATTTGGATTTAAGCCTGCTTGATTACCAGATATTACAACCTTACCACACGAGGCATTAAAACATATTTTTACATATTTATGAAAATACTTACAATCTGATTTCCGTATGATGAATAACAATACACTTTATAGATCTTATAAATAATGGAAATTAGATATACATTTCAATTAATATACCAAACGTTACAAAATATGATTCTTCATATTATGGTTAATCCATTGAAATGAATACTATAACATGATCATTATTATAAATGATTATATATGTATATGATTACTTATCGTTGTACCGCTTATCCCATAAAATAACAGAATTAAGTCCATTACAGAACGGAATAAAACATTTTATCCCTAAATTTCACGGAACTTCCTTGTCATTCCACCGTTTATTCCGTAAAATAACAGGATTAAGTCCATTATAGAAGGGAATAAAACATTTTATCCCTAAATTTCACGGAAAGTTCCTGTTAAATACTGAATATTCCACAGAAATATATAAAACACGTAATTTGAAGAAATAATTCATGCTTTTAACACAATTTTACCAAAAAAATCCTTCGATTAACAGAAAAAAGGTGTTAAACTACGGAATTCGGCCACATCAAAAATGGATATTTTTTACAGTGTAGCTGAGAAAAGACGAAACCTTGCTGCACCTTAATTCTTCACCAAAGAGTCATTCAATGTCGTTCTATTCTGTAATGTTAATGTCTTCAACAACGGGTACTTATTTTTGGGGTTGATGTAGGGCACATCGACAGATGACACTATCCTAGAGCCATGGTACATGTAGTCCTTTCATTCGGTGGAATTACAATATATCAGAGAAGGCCCACAACGAGCATTCATTATACTATTTTAATTTGGTATTTTATTTACGAAAATCAAACATAAATCCAACTTTTAAAAAAACAAACATACTTGTAGATCAGTCATTCAGAAGCAAATTAACTAAACGGTTAAATAGAGCCGCTGGTTGCAATGTTTTAAAACTTTTCCTAAAATGAGGCTTCCTTGGAATTTTGATGGAGATTTTTTACTTGTTACTTGCGGTGAAATATAACTAGGCTTCCTACTCTTTGTCGCTAGGCGGGTAAGACGTTGGCTTGCTAAACTGGAGGTTGGGTGTTCGATCTTCGCATTGGACCGAGAAAATTCATCCAGATAATTCGGTGTGGTCCCCCCTTGTCAGTGGTACAGAAAAGAGGGCCTGGCAAGGGACAACGTATAGTCGTTAGGATGGGACGAAAACCGGAGGTCCCATGTACACATTGACGTGCACGTAAGAGATCCCTTGGCAGTTGGAATTGGATATAAGAGTAGGCCGTAGTGCCTCTGTCCGGGCGAAATTCCCCTCATAGCACACTGCTTCCTGCGAAAGGGGCAGTGAACTTTAATAAGGGGGGGGGGGGTCTCTTCCCCCGTGCTATGTGGGTCACGGGGCCCTCCCTAGTGACGGATCATTTGGTCACCGGCCAGTGGGAAGGGGGTCCCATTGCCAGTCCGGGCCCGATCGGTTCGTGAACCTGTTTGAGTGAGAAACGGGGGCACAACGGAAATATTGGACAATTAACAAGACCGCTACCTGTAAACCAGAAATAATATTTCGGGTTTCGGGTTATGGAAACATTTCTGATATCAACTACCTAATAATTTCAAAAAATAGGCCACTGTGTTTCACGATTTTTGGGAAATGGGTTTTTATTATTTTTTTCTAACAAATATGAAAAAATATTTTTTTGTCAGCAAATCGCCGGGCCCCTTCGGAGCCTGGGCCAAGGCATTTGCCTCTGTTGTCCTCGCCATGATCAGTCACTGCTCCTCCATCAGAAAATTTTGAAAATGGGACGGCCGCAAACGCGTTTTTCAGCCCAGTAAATCGTTCTCTAGCAAACTCTGAACAATGAACATAGTGACAAGACATAGATCCCACGACAGTGGGCCATTGGGCAAGTCAGTACAAAATATATGGCAGATAGATGTCAGAACATAACCAATGGGCTAATATGAGACTAGGTGCAAGGTGCCACGTCCCCAAATCAATAACCCACACGATGATCCCTGACTGCTCTCTATTACAAACAGTGGGTATTTTTAGAACTATGGTCTGCAATTTTCTTTTCGCGGGGGAGGAGTGGGGGCTGCTGTATGGCGTATGCCCGTCTTCATTAGCCCGGTCAGGAGCAGAAGAGTAGGACGTTAAACCCCATTTCATGTCATGTAATTTCCTACTCTTTATCACAATGGGACAATAACAGGTGTTTAAATCTATATTTTGTATATTTTTCAGTTGCCATGCCACGTAGTAAAAGTACTCCTGGTTTAGTTGAATCTGCTGGGAAAATACCAATACAGACGTCAATAGTTACCAGGCACAGTACTCTGCCCGCTAATATGTTGATCCAAAAAATGAGCGCAGACGACGGGTCGGCCATGCGACCTGAGAGTCACAGTGAGGACAATCTAATAGCTAGATGTACTGAAGGACAATCTGCTGATTCTAAACGCGTTGTTAGAAATCTTACCACTTCAATGACAATATCGAGTCTGACCTCCTACGCGGAGGAGGAAGCTTCGCCATTGCAATCGCCAGGCAGTGGTGATCAAACTAAAGTGTATAGCCCCCCATTATCCCCGCGTTCTGTTGTACCCCCTGTGAGTTGCACCACAACAGTGACTTCTACTAATGCACCACCCGCATTTCTTGAACCTTATCATCAGCATTCTCAATACACAATTCCGCCTCATTTTACACAAGCGTTCCCGTTCGTCAGTCCCCCACAGATGACATATCTATCTCCGTATTGTGCCTCGCCCAATTTCCCCGCAACACCAAGTGCAAATATGTTGTCGTCACCGAACATGTACGCTCAGGCAAATAGTATGAACGCCTCTCAGACAAGTCTGCTTCCTCCTTACCAGCCGCCCCATACCGTTCAACAACAGCAACAAACTCTACAGACACCGGGTAACACATTCCTTCATCCTGTATCTCCCATGCCTGGCTCACCAATGCCACCAAGCTTGAGTCCTATAGGTGGACAATCTCCAAATCATCCACAGTCTGAACAATTGCTTGGTGAAATTGGGCGTTTGCGCGAAAGGCTTGCACAGCTAGAGACAGAGAATACGTCACTGACCGTGAAACTCAACCAACAACAGTGGGATGTAGAAAACAGACTGGCTGAACTGGAAATGCACATTTGTCAGAGTGATAGTGTGGGGAGCACAGGTAGTGGAGGCGAGGACAAAATTGAAAAAATAGCTCCGATTAATCGGGAATCTATTATATGAGAACGGACTCGATAAAGTCGTAAATAATTGGCTTTGACAGTATCCAACAGTATCCAAAGGAATCGAGTAAGAAAGTTCTAACATAAACATGTTTCCGAAAGGAACCATTAGATGTTCTCACGTTACAAATTAATTGTTTGTTTCTCTAAGATAAGCCAAATGAAACAAATTCGGGTACATCATGTTCGAGCTTATTTTCAAAGATAGAATTGAATCGATAGTGAAATTTGAAGACGAGTGTCTTTGATGATAACAAATGACATTCCAAAAAAATCTAATAAAACCAGAAAGCGTTTCAGGATTGAACATTTACATTGAAAAAAAATAATAAGTTGTAATGCATTTTGCCTCATACAATGATGCATTAGGTTGATGTGAGAAAAAATAAATTCCGGGTCGATAAAAATTCAAGGATCACCATTTCCTGTGTATTAATCTTCATTCCAGAATTGAAAAAGTAATAGGAATACCATAAAATAGATTAAAATCTTATGTTTCACCTTTTGAAGAACTGTGACAAAGTATGATATAATTTTTGTAAACTCGAAACCGAGAAGTGAACTGTGGTGAATATTTATTGAAGGAACACGAATTCTTAATTTGTAAACCAATTCTGTAGAACCATACTATAGCTTTGACAAGAAAATTCAATTTGCGGTGATCGATCTTATATTAATATAAGATAAAGAAAAATGAACAAAGAAGAAGACAATTGATATTGAATGCATGTCAGTTTATATTTAATTTTGTGTCTTCAATTATTGCGTAATGATATTAACCGTTTCCGTTTTCGTGTGTACCTTAATCGTAGAAATGGGTATGTATTATGATTAGTGCAATTTGTTGCACTAGTTGATTGACTTATTGGAAATGAAATGAAGTTTAGCGTTCTACTGCTGGCTCGTTTGAAACATGTACATAAATTCGAAGACCTCACTTTGACAAAGGGTTGATCTACTAGGTAAAGTGGCTAGAATTGGAAGACTAAAGTATATAGCGAAAGGAAATAAACTTTGGTTATTAGTCTAGAAACTTTAAGTTCTCCGATTCAGTGCATTGTACTGTATATGACCTGTGAAAATTGGAATATTGTGTATTCTCTGTTTAATGATAAAATTAAGCAAGAATGTCTTTCCTCGCACATTTAACTTCAGTAGGTATCACATTTACACCTGTTAGCGATCCTATCGTGCGTTCTGACGTGAATCATTCACGGGAGACTGCCATATTTTATATTTATTATTCCGATGTCACAAAGGTCTTCAAAATATGGAATAAGTAAGTTGCATATTATTACGACCAATAAATTATCAACACATTTGTTTACCCTCAACACAATCGTCGCCTATTTTGGGGTTTTTTCAGGTCGTGGATACAATTACTCTACTCTTATGAACGAAGATTTAACCCAGCGAATGGGTTGAACACACCCGATTGCTTGATAAAATGTGTTTAAAATTCAATCAGTTAGAGAGTTAATTCGAGTGCAGTCTAAACAAGCACGTCAAACTGGTTCGGTAGCTAAAATGTGGTTACCAGTAATCGAAAGCTACTCGAGCTGGACAAGGCGTATTTCACGTCTGTCAGACCAAAAGTTGTAACAGTGATGTGATTATAAAATAGAAGAGACTGGAACAAAAGAGTATAAAATGACATATCAGGGATCATAGATTATAACTATGGGCTTACTAGGCCTAAATATTGATTGTTATTAGTACTATTGATATTGTTAAATTTTTATGTGGTAACCTTTGGATTTCTGTAAAATGGTTGTGATTTTAAAATTATAATCTATTACAGGGTCTTTAACCAATAGGACCTTCTTCCAGATGTTGCTGCGGTACTGTTAATATTTTTATGCCTCTAATATAATAGAATAATCTAATGTTGAAAGCATTCTGTATATAGATCAATATTATTTAAATAATTGAAATGTTTAGAGAATGCATTAGAAGAAAAATCTAAATAAATATATATATAATTGTTCGTATTGTTGCTGATTATTATAGATACGAAACAATGGTGTATTTAAGAATAGCCTATATTAATATAGGCGTCGGTTGTTTTCATATATTTTATACAATATCTTGTCGGAGGTGTATATTTACGTCAATTGTCGACTGACAGTTTCAGATGTAAATTTTATTATGTTTATTGTTAGTTTTTCATTTTTAATTAATTTAGATTATTTATATAGATATTTCTGCGACATTTTGTCAATCTAAAACGTATACAGGATTAAGCGGCCGCCATTTGGAAACTTACATTATTGTGTATGATGAAAAAATTCAATTCGGAGCAAAGCAAGGTGAGCCTAGGGCTTGTTTCATTTTCTTCCCTTTTTGAAAGTAATAATATTTTAATTAATAAATCTTTACCTTCTTTATGATTAATATATTATAATATTAATTGATATTTTATTCATGGATAATATATATTATGAAATAAATGATTATTTATGACATTTTTTTTTCTTATCAAGTGTTAGGTGTTATGTTTGAGTTTTGACAGTATTATACGAAAGCTTAAACTGTTTGTTTTTATTCTTACGACAAAACAAGGGCTGTAAAATTTATCGTATTAAACTGATGATAAATGAACACATCTTGATTGTTTTTAATCAAAGGGGTAGGAGTGTTAAATGGCCGAATGGTTAGCGCCTGCGCATTGTATCATAAGGTCTGTCATTGAGCAAACTGTTGTGGTTCCCACTTCCCGGTTGTACGTGACAAGAAATAGGATCGTCTCCAACCTCGCGGGTTTTCTCCGTCTCCTCCGGTTTCCTCCCACTGCTAAAGACTACTACGCACAAGCGAATTATTGAAATAAAATTGAACCATATGTTAGTCTCGAAATGACCTAGTTTGTGTCGAGTGGACGTTAAACCCCATTTCTCTCTCTCTCTCTCTCTCCTTAATCAAAGGAAAGTGATAACCGGAAGCTATCATTTGCACCAATTTCGAATGCAGTGGTGAAGGTGTTCATGGAATTTAGTCGTTCAAGATCATGCAACTGGTTACGTCGTCTTGTCGGTTTTACGGTGTAATTCGTTCCACGCAAGACAGGATATTCTGTTTCCTGAAAAGGTTCTGCTGTGCGAGCTTACACGAACACACAAAGTTACTTTCTTTTGTATATTTATGGAGAGAATGGTAAAGGAGTGATAGACAAACTAGGTTGTGTGCTATGAGGGAAATTTTGCCCGGACAGCGGCGCTACGGCCTAAACTGCCAAGGGATCTTTCAGGTGCACGCCAATGTGTACACGGGGCCTCGGGTTTTCGTCCGATCCGAACAACTATACGTTGTCCCTTGCCAGGCCCTCGGTCCTGCACCACTGACAAGGGGGAACCACGCCGGAAAATCTGGATGAACTGTCTCAACCAACGCAGGGATCGTCTTACTCACTGAGCGATCGTGGCCTCAAATTGTAAACAGTTCATCCATTATAAAAAATGATATTTACATAATGAAATGTATTAATCCGTCATGTTATCCCTGCGTTTAAAGTAGCTAAGTCTCCAACTCAATATCATCAAAAATCTTCAACATTGAAAAAACGAATTATTTGTCAATTCAAATCAACAGTGGTCTTGTGATCTTACAGGGAAAAGATGGGCTTCTGATATCCAAATAAATATTTTACCATTGGTACACGAATCGTGTACCATAATGAGTTTCAGCGCCATTGGAAATTACAGTAAAAACAGAAACGGTTGAATGTAAATCAGTTTATATACATTCACATTACATTATTATATGCGCTGCGACCCATTTGTGACAATTTCTAGGTCCCAAATGTTAGCGATTTAGCTCCTTTAATGAGGTTAACTACACTAATGTACACAAAGTGGCCAATATAGTTCACTGTTGATTTTCGGATGTATGGTGTATTGAAAACAATAATTATATATCTGGTTATGTCCTGTTTCATAAGTTGTCGGAAAAATAATTTTATAATCTAAACTATACGCTAATTCGGCCAATCACTTGGGATGAGTTACTTTCCCATGGAATATACGCTTATACCTTTTATAATTAATGTTCCTAAACGTGTATGGTTTAAGAAATATATTATGGATGTACTATGTAAGAGCAAAAAATCTGCCTATTGGAGGTTTTTATTTTGGACTCAAATTATATAAAAAAATATTATTTAGAAATTTGTTCACATGACAAGCATATAATCAACTCTCTAGAACATCGGGTGGCGGAGATCTAAACGGATTGAAATACGATCGCCATTTATTGATTTAATATAAAAATGGACTGAGTCTCGATTAACATGTAGCGTTGCTGCGATAATATACTATATATGATAGATCTTAGCAAAACTTCAAACAGTGATAACATCGCTCAGGATAAAGTAATCAATATATTAATTTTGAATTATCTATTTTAAAAACCTAGAACGACCAGGTAATTATCTAAATCTTACATAATGCATCTTTAAAGAATCTGCATTTTACCCAGCTTATCTATATGTATTTATAGGTTAGTGGATATCGACCAACCAGAATACAGTATGCTATTTTAATACGTTCAGATGGCAATCATGTTCAAATTTATATGTGGAACCGATATAATGAAGGTTCATTTCAAATGATATCAATATCAATACAGTTATAGGTATTTTAAATGATCGTAAAGATAAAAAGATGGGTTGTTTATTTTTATAAAGAAACCGTTTCGTTACAGGATTCGGTACAAAATTCGATTGGATCTGTAATTTTATCAAAATGGGTTGGGGTTTTTGTTTTTTTTGGTTAAACAAAATTAAGATATACCGCGTAAGAATTTCGACTAAATTCTGCTTCAGAACCACATGTAACGTGAAGACGGCTGAGACCAAAATGTAATTTCTGTATTCATCTTGATGGCCAACAACACTTTTTTGCAGTAGTACTTTTTATCTGTAAAGGAGTCAAGGATATGTTATGAAGAATATCAAAAGCTGACATTTTTATACATTCCTCGTAAGTTTCTATTAATTCTCAGTTACGCGACTTTTCTTTAATAGATTCCGGAAGTTCCAAGCAACCTGTCTAAATACCCTGTTGGTCGTGAACTATAAGGAGAGAGGAAAGTATCAATTTTAAATGTCTGCTCAAGATGATATCCCTATTTACGGTTGTATGGATGGATATCTGAAATATGTTGAATCAAATGGGTCCAATTCTTAAAACTTTTGAATCTGATGTATGACGTAAATGGAGATCTATAGCAGTAGCCATTAACAGATTTGAGAGATGCTTCGCAATGGAATGTAAAAGATTTAGAAAACTACAGAAAAAGGGACTTCCATTACGATTCACTTATCATGAAAAACTCTTTCTGGGCCTTTTAAATCTGTCTAGACTATTGCAGATAAAAAAGTCATTGGTCAACTTAAACCCCTATCGGATCGCCCACGAAGTAGACACGCTGCTCCTGGATGTCCAAAATCGCTGCGAGTTTATCTTTTCTATGGTTATTTGCGGTGTTTCTATGGTTCAATTACCAATATTTACGGCATTTGTACGAATTGTTACGAATAGCCAACAGAATCATTACCATTTGCTGTGTTGTCATTTCTATACAGTACACGCCATTATTATATACGAATATGCATCCACACCAACGTGTACACGTGGCCTCGATTTTTGGACACATCCAAGTCACACACACACCCCCCCGCACTGTGCCACTTGTAAGGAGAGAGAGAGAGAAATGGGGTTTAACCTCCACTCGACACAAACTAGGTCATTTCGGGACTAACATATGGTTTAATTTTATTTCAATAATTCGCTTGCGCGTAGGGGTCTTTAGCAGCTGGAGGACCCGGAGAAAACCCTCGAGGTTGGAGCCACTGGTAAGGGGATACACTGCAGGAATTTGAATTTTCGTAGCTGACACCGGGATTGAACTCTGGACTAGCTTACTGAGTCACCGTGGCCCCCTTCAGCACGTTATATAGTACACCAATATCCAAGGTTGTGCAAGTTCCTCTACAGTTTTCTCCAAAAATACCCAAAGTTGCCAATGGTTGGCAAACCGTATAGACTCGTAGCAAACAATAACACGGGACGGGTGTGGAATTTAATAAGGAAAACAAAATACATGGAAAATGATTCTAAGCGAATTATTTGTAGCAGAGCAAAATACCTAAAGTTCTAAAGTCTTTTGATCCAAACAATACTGATTGCAAGTACATTCAATGGATCGGTAATGTGAATAATATATAGAATTCTCCCCACCAAGATTTAATTAATAATTGTCGGTTTAATTAGTGCTGATAATTAGCGAAAGTTTAATGAGCAGAGCGGAAAGTAAACAGGATGCTAACTCTCGTGACCTGGCTTTATCCTTCCTCACTTGGAATTTCACCTTGACAGTAGGTATGTCCTTCAAGAAACAACGGCACTTCATGACATATCACTTAACATCTAAATGACACTTTAATGGACATTTCCCTCAAGTGACATATTATTATGATTGACTTAATCAGAAATTTAGGGTGTTCTCTTGTAAGAACTAATTGTAGGGTAGGGTTTTATTATAAGACAAATTTGACACATCAGGCAGCAAAGGGTTTATTCTATTTATTTGTCTAAATACGTACATTATGATTTTTCTAAAACAGAAAGAATTCCATATTATGACAACAGTGTGGTTTAAAGAATTCTGAAAATATTCCTCTTCATAAATATATCTATAGTTAAGGCGGGTGTCTCCTCGCAAGTCATATGTATATCCATACATTACAGCCGGGGGCTAATATACTTGATAGTGAGGATGTGTAACCGTACCGGTTACTTTACTCGATTCGAGTTGAGAGTCTCTAGCTTCTCTTGCGCGGGACTAGATATGGATCTCTCTCAAACCCTATAGACCGCCCGTTGTGAAAACGGTCTAAAACACAGGTTCTTCTGGTTAGATCGTTTGTCTATAAGGACTATTTTCTTTATATTTTTCGTTGGTTCGTTTCTGGCTCCACGGAACAATTTCACAAAGTCCAAGTTGGTTTTAATAATTTTATAATTCCTTCAGACATATACATTATACAAGGTTTTGGCACGGTTCACACTTCTGACAGAGTTCTATAATAATTTTGCACTTACCACACGTACGTTTACAGCAGTAAAGTTCACGCCCGATAAATTCTTGACTAAGAAGTATCGTACTAGTTAGATTACGTTAATAAACTAACCTTCCTACGAAGTAGAAACGTGTCAGTCAAAACTTTAGTTTACTCTGTGGCCGTATCTTGACCTGCTGTACGTATCCAATTGTAGACCAAAATCTAAGACAATAATTGAAAATTATTCAAGAGCTTATATACCTTATCGTCAATTTTGTGACGAACAACTCGCTTACAAACCTGGATGTCTTTTTAGGAGAATTATAGGTTGTTGGTCACCCAATATAATTATGTTAGATGACCAAGGTACACCGTTGTACCATTAAGCTAAAAGACTCTGTCAAATGTACGATCCCGTTAATCTATGAAATACATTTAAGTTTCCTACATGATAATTTATTTAATAATCTTGTTCCTTGTTAAGGCTGAACGCAAATTAATAATTATTGATGTATTGAATACCTAAGCAAAGTAGTTCAGAATGTATTATACGATAATATATACCTACATGCTGATTACACTATTTTGCCTTTACCGTTTTTTCTTAGGACATCGAATTTTGTCTAATGGTTTGGATTGTTCGTACTGAAATATTCATAGAGAAAACAGTGCAATAATAATACAATATTTGAAATGAAAAAAGGATTATATTATTATATCAATCAAAACATGAACAAGATTACAGATTTGATCTTTCTGGAAGTCGGTTTTTGTGTTCTTCGGTGTCTGGAGAGGTATTCATTGGTCATTTGGTATATTTAACCCGTAGCAGTATACACAATGCTTTAGATATATTACACAAATATAGCCTAACGGCTAGCATACTTTTATGAACTAAAACATTTCGATGAGTTAAATTCAAAACACAATGTAGGGAGATTAAAGTGAACTGAATTATGGTGCATTATTTATTATATCAGCCGCTGTATCTAACATACTATTGTCAAATTTGTCGCTAAATTGTTTTCTTGTTTCTAGAGCTATATTGATTTTCAATTTTTTTTCTTTTAGGTCGCTCACTGTAACTTTTGCGAAAAGAGCTAATCGACTGTCAATAACATTAATGATCAAATGCATATGGTTTAATATAATTCAAATTGGCGCAAGAATATGAAATTGTACTGATACACGATATATACTTTACTGATAAATTAACGGCCTGCATTTGTGTTGGCGTATCAGTAAGCATAGGACGAGTGTGCGTGTGCCGCCAATGACCAAATGACTGTGGTAATATCGATTAGATTTAGTAAGGCTTGCGGGCATTTTCACATGGTTAAATCAGTGAAGGTGTTATTATGCTTCCAATTTATAAAACAACCTGAAATAGAAGAGTTGTTTGGAAATGAAATGAAATGGGGTTTTACCTTCCTACTGTTCTGTAGTGTGCTATGAGATGACATACTCTTATATTGAATTCCAACTGCCAAAGGATATTTGGGATTCCCCTTCCGTTTGAACAGAGATGGGGAAGAGTAGTATTTTCATATTGCAGCTATGATAGGAACGGTCTGCAGACATTCCTAGGTGGACCCCTGCGTTTTTCGACATGTCGTTAGGCCTATTATGATATCGAGTGTATTCAATTAGCGCGAAGGGGGTAATTCTTTTACTTGACAGTGTGTGTGGTCGCCTGTCTAACCTCGTGAGCTGTCTACGGGTCCTCCGCCCACCCAACCCAAGACCACTTTATGGTAGTCCCGAAATGACCTAGTTTTTGTCGGGTGGGCGTAAAACCTAAAAGAAAAAGAGGAGTGTTTTCATGATTCTAAGTCACTGCGTGAATCCGTTTTCTTTATTTTAACAGCCAAAGTAACATAGTTCATTCACCGTCACGTTCTGTTATGTTTTTTCTTCTGGATTAGCCCACTGTATTACCCAAGAGTTCTATCGCTTAAAATACGTTATTGAATTAAACATTTCGTACAAATCCTGTAGTATGGCAGTGATATTCGCGCAAATAAGTGTTCCACTGCATAAAACTTAGTAAGACGGGTAGCAATTGTGGTAAAAAACACCAGATTTTAAAACAAACAAAAAACAGGTCATCTTGTTGGGCGCGATACGGGTCTAAAAGGCGATTTCTTAAATATCTTCTGGAACTCTTGTGGTAAAAGGCACTCTATACATTATAATGAGAATTCTGTTATTGTTTAATAACTGAAAAGGGACACCAACACCCTAATGCTGGTTAATTGTTTTAAATACGCCAGCCAATATTCGTCTTATCGGAACTGGTTGGAAACTATGATATTTTGACCGACGAATAGTCCGATACCTTCTATTCCTGATATCGGCACCCTGAATTCTTCTTAAAAGTTGTTTGTAACAGCATTCCATTGTAAGTACGCCCAACTAAAGAAAGATTGTAGGCCTATATCAAGATTCAAAATGGGATGGGACTAAAAAGCCCTATACACGGTATTACGCATTCAATCTCTTGGCTCTTCATAATGTAATCATTCTTTAAATGGTCAGAATTTGTTCCCAACACATTTTTTTTTTTTTACATTAGGTATAAACAAAACGAGAAAAGGCAAGTCCGTAGCTAGCCCAAAAATGTGGGGATGGGGGTCAAGGGCTTCTGGGGGCGCCGATGGGTCTTCTGGGGGTGCCGATGTACCTACACTTGATGGTCCCCCAGAAAATTGTGGAAAATAGGGTTTGAACCTGAGGTGAGGAACTATGAAAATGACGGAAAATTTCAATTTTGAGGATGAATTTGCAATATTGGTGTAGGCTATTATGATATTTTGATATGAACATTATAAATATTTTAAGGAATTAGGAATAGGCCTACGACTTAGTACCTATAATAATTTATGAGAAAAACGAAAAGTTCGGAATCTGAAGATTTTACGCGACTGGCGCGGGCTTGAATCAATCTCATCCCCATCATGAATTTGACCTGGAAAATTTCCTACAACAATCTCAAGTTGGCTATCTTCTTATGGTGCTACTGGTCGATTTCGTCGTGGATGGTCCGCCAATCTCGGCATTATGGGCGCCCCTCCAGGCTAAAACACTCGATGGGGATCTTTGACGACCGGTCAATAATTATAAACAACAAATATAAAATTAAAAATGTTATAGGACAACAAAATAAACATATACAGACACATAGTCCTAATTTGAATTAAACTACAGCAGATGTAAGAATTACTGTTAAAGGGAGGTAATAAGGGGAAGATAACCTTCTTTATCCAAGATGTCGGCGCCCAGGCCTGTTACACATGTCATTTTTGACATGGATGGATTAATACTTGGTAGGCTATAGTTTTAGGTATCGATATTCATTGCTCGGGTACGTGTGTGACAATTAAAGGGACAATAACACTCTTGCTGGCTTGACAGCTCCAGCAAATAAAAAATAGCCTTATTCTAAGTACTAGATGTGTTAGTGTCCTACCGTAAATTATCCATTAAATCCTATTTTACTTGTCCAAAGGGTTCAAAAATATTTTTAAATCCAAGTCACATTTGAAAAGCTTTACGTCAGGCTTTTCAAATCATTTAGTTGAATTTTTCCAATTTTTTATAGGGGTGTTAAGATGAAATTTGTATCATCAATTAATTGGTATATTGTAAAATATAGTACAATTTATTGACCAGAATAAAGATTGGGACATATTATTCAGTTGAGATACAACAAGAGTGGTATTGAGCCTTTAAGGCTTTTTTTTTTTTTTTTTTTTTTTTTTAGCCAATTGGCTTTCAAACCAGGGACATACTGAACGAAGGGCCTTGCCCCCATTGATTTGTAATTATTAGGTTTTAAAAGTGACTATAAATTCTGTACTGGTAGCATTTTCACGGTATTGTATGTGCTTCAGTTTGTTTTTAGCTATGATTGTGTGCCTTTAGTTCCATCTGGCAAAATTAATTTCTTTGCTAATGCATGTAGAATCTTAAAAATAAGTTAATTTTATACTGTTAAAACTTGTTAAACATACGCAGCTCAATCTAGTGAAAATAAAAAAAACACCTTATTCTAAGTACTAGATGTGTTAGTGTCCTACCGTAAATTATCCATTAGATCCTATTTTACTTGTCCAAAGGGTTCAAAAATATTTTTAAATCCAAGTCACATTTGAAAAGCTTTACGTCAGGCTTTTCAAATCATTTAGTTGAATTTTTCCAATTTTTTAAATTAGGTGTGTTAAGATGAAATTTGTATCATCAATTAATTGGAATATTGTAAAATATAGTACAATTTATTGACCAGAATAAAGATTGGGACATATTATTCAGTTACAACAAAAGTGGTATTATTTAAGGCTTTTTTTTTTTTTACCCAATTGGCTTTCAAACCAGGGACATACTGAACGAAGGGCCTTGCCCCCCATTGATTTGTAATTACGTATTAGGTTTTAAAAGTGACTATAAATTCTGTACTGGTAGCGTTTTCACGGTATTGTATGTGCTTCAGCTTGTTTTTAGCTATGATTGTGTGCCTTTAGTTCCATCTGGCAAACTTAATTTCTTTGCTAATGCATGTAGAATCTTAAAAATAAGTTAATTTTATACTTTTAAAACTTGTTAAACATACGCAGCTCAATCTAGTGAAACAACTTTCGTTTATCAGCAAATATTGTCAATAAAGTAAATCAAGCCTTGTTTTTATCAAAACTGATACGGACATCCGTATATATAATTACAGTGTATTAGTCCTGCGCAACTCGGATCAGGTTAGTACTTTGATTGGTTATTGCACACAAGACACGCCTTTGTATGGTAAAAATGTCAAATTTAAAATGTTGGGGAAAGCACACTATTATCGTTTCGGAGGGGATTTGTACCCATGTCAGGTAGGATTGCATGCTTAATTGTAGTTGGAAAAAATGTTATAAATAAGGATAGTCAATAGTTGTTTTGAAGGAAAAATTGTAAATTTTTCTTATTTGAAGCCCGATGTGATTAGCGTTGTTGGATCCATATAGCACCATCTCTTATCTCAAAACATGGAGGGTTGAGAGATGAGGTTTCTTATCTATATTGTATGCTGCCCTAAATAAGTAAGTGTACGGTAATTATGCAATTAATTCAATTATATAAAATTTTATTTTATCTGATCTTAAATTCAGAGTTTTATAAAGAATCTTATTTTGATCCTCATTTATTTTCTTCGGTTCTCTGTGATTTTTGAAGCTTCTGTCTTCAGCTTCATACAGTTTACAGATTTATAGAACTGTCCACCCAGAGATCATGGAAATAGAAATGGCAATCAATATATAGTAGGCTGTTATAGGCTTATAATTTATTTTCCAGACACAGAAAGGCTTTATACAATTGCTTCTCAGACAGTGTGTTCACAATATGGTAAAGATTTCACATGGGATATTAAAGTTAAACAAATGGGCAAGAAAGAAATTGAGTCAGTTATGATAATAATTGGTATGTACCATAATTATTACCACAAAAAACAAAAGTTAGTGATGTTTGGTTGTAATGAAATAAATCAGCTGCATAGCCAGTCTGAAAGTAGAGATGTCTCTATGGGGAAATATGGTTGGTATTTCTTTATCTCTACAACACTACCACCTGTCCTTATGGACAGCATAAACTTGGTTTTGAATAAGGCTGATGTAATGAGTACAATTTTAAGAACAGTGCTAAGACTTCAGTACAGTAGATTTGTCTTTCAATAGTACATTTTATAAGCTTAAAATTACTGTTATGGCATGACAGTTCATTTTTGCATATACAATTATATTTTTATACCATAGTGAGTAAGGCTTCAAATTGATAATTAGAATATGTATTTTTAATTTTCAAAATTATCTCAGCACCTCCAGATCACCATTTACTTCCATCATCTGACTAGATTTGATGGGTTGATGCAAAATGGGGTTGCCTCCCTTTAACAGAGTGCTATGAAAATTATACTACTATAATATAATATAATATAATCTATCTATATACTAATATTTGCGACTGTCGTCTGTCTGTTCAGGGTTGCCGGCTACACTAGGTCTGCCCCGAGTCTGAAATTTGGGGTATAGGGGTAGCTCGGACCGGGGAGTAACATAGGCCAGGTGGCGTTAGTCTACCACTTCCGGTTTCAGGGTTATGACCCCCGAGCGAAGACGGGCATTCTTCTAGTCTCATATATTAATAACAATAACATATATTACTAATAATACATGTACTATTTTTACTTCAGATGAGCTTCAACTTCCATTAACACCTGAAGAATACATAGAAAAATGGCGAGCAGAACAAATAAATCTTTTTCCAACAGCACCTTTCTTACCAGGTAAGCATCAATTAGAGCCCATTTTTTGTACTTGCATCTAAATTTTATAACAGAATGACAATTAATAACTTATAAGCCTGCACTTTGAAATGTACATATGTTTAATGTAGAAAATTTCAACTCTGATCAGATTGTGGTATTATAAATATATTAGAAGTTAAAATGATATCCATTCAAATAAACGAAAATCATTGAAAACACCTTTCTTTATCCTCTTGGCCACAGCAGAACTTAACATCATTTATTTGAGTCCCAAGCAACTAACTGAAACTCTGTTAAAAGATTTCAAAGAAATAGCACTGTTTTCTTAGTGCCAACGTTTTCCAAGAAATGCTAACTCCACTTGACCAATGGAGTTAAAAACAGGATTCTTGACTAGCAAAGATCACCTTATGCCAGTTTTACTTTCTTTAATACAAATCCGCACTGCAGTGAAAACTACAAGGTCTTTTAGTGATGGTGTACTGTTAATACAACCTCGGATCAGGCTTCTCATCCTATGATGGTGGGGGGTTGTCTTTGTGTCTTTTTGGAACAAATGACCTTATTTTATTCGGAAATCACCTTCTATTATAATATTCAAATTGCATTTGAAAACTCATTTATTCAAACATGCTTTTTACTGATTTTATACATTTTACTGTTAATGTGTAGTTAATGTTTTTTATCTTTGTATTTTGTCTTTTTTTTTTTACTGCATTTTGTTATTTTTTATAAATTGTATTTTTATTTTATTATTGTTAAGTACATCTGAAGACTTTGGTGAAAGATGTGCTATATAAATGCATTAAATGATAATAATAATATTCCAGTAAGGAATAGAATTTACAGGTTAATTCTGTGTTTGAATTACCTCTTGGCAAAGTTTATCAAAACATTCAAATATCGGGGAGTGTAAACCTTAAATATAGACTGTTCTGGCAATCATTTTCAAATGGCCTATCGAATATGATCTGAAAATTTGGGTCAATTTTACTAGGCTATTAGTTTCCATTTTGACATCTGCATTCCATTTATAATGGACGTTTTTTGACATTCAGTGAAAACATTAAAGTGTAAATAATTTTCTCCATTTCTTTCCTTATAGGTGCTGAGAAACTCATCAAGCATCTCCATGGCCACAACATTCCCATTGCCATAGCAACAGGTTCAAATTCATGGAGTTATAATTTAAAAACTTCCAATCATAAAGAAGTATTTGATTTATTTCATCATGTGGTTAAGAGTAGTGATGATCCAGATGTGAAAAATGGTAAACCGGCTCCAGATTGTTTTCATGTGTGTAGAAACAGATTTGATAGCATCCCTTCTCCCGAAAAGGTAACATATGAGAAATATATTTTATGTTTTTCTTTATCAAATTATCTGTTTCTAATGAAATTCTGCAATTAAGTTCATTTTATTCGCTTTGTGGAGAATTAGTTACAGGTGGCTTTCTGCTGGTAGACTTTGCACATTGGCTTCCTTCTTACAGGTTGGGTGGTCAAGTTGTCTTATGTAATTCAATTAAAATATTTTAATAAGTACAGGCATAAGAATTTCCTGATCCAGTGATCCATATAATCTTAGGTTGGGGTCTGTTCAGTATTGTTTCAATCTGTTAGATCAATGACCGTTTACAGTATTTGGCATATCATGCATCATTTTGGGAAAATAACCCATGGTAATTTATTCAACAGGTACTTGTGTTTGAAGATGCTAGTAATGGTGTTTTAGCAGCACATTCAGCAGGAATGCAGGTAGTTTGGGTGCCAGACCCCAGAGCAGATAGAACAGAAACATCTAAACTAGCTACACTAACAATAAATTCATTAGAGGAATTTAATCCACAAGACTTTGGTTTACCAACATACTGCAGTTGAAAATATACCACACATAAAAACTTTAGATTTATACCCTTACTATTAAATAATAATTTATTGTGATTATACATAAATTTGTTATTTTTACTCTTTGTTATATGAATTTGTTATGAATATATTGTGATTTTATATATGTAGAGGACAATATTTTAAAAAATAAACAGATTGATTGTTGTTGTTATTTCTATGAAAGTATCCAGTGAGTAACCCAGGGGGTTAACCTAGCTAAAAAGGGTACCAATTTTCTCCTATATGGTATCAATGCATTTATATCTGGTATCATCAGAATGTAAGTCTGCCGGGTTTCTGGTGGTGGGTGTGGTATTTCAAGTCTAAAATGCCATGCCCCCAACTAGTCTAGATTAGCTCAAAAGTGTACCACATGAAAATCGCACAGCAGTGTACCGTACATCTTCAGGTATTACAAAAACACTCTGACAGACATTTCTAGTGGTGGGGAACCCCTGACAGCTATGTAATTGCCAGACATTTGTAGTGGTGGAGTATCCCTGATAAGAGTTATCTTTTGCTTAGGTTACACAGAGTGATAAACAATTTCAATGCTAGATTTTTATACGCCCACATTTTCATATCTGACAAACAGGCGATACGGTATCCATCTGTGTCTCAACATTTGAATCATTTTGTGAAATAAATTCACCACGTGCTTCAAAAGGCACGACCAACTTCCGCAGTGACCTTGGAGTGGCCCCAGTCGACATAACCCTACGCCACTATACGGCATTGAGCTGGGAGACACTCCAAATGAAATTTAGTTGATACTGGATGAATGTCATTGTTTTAGGTCTCAGCTATAGGAGTATCATTAATCCCCAATCGGAAATCTAAATCGCTAATTGGAATTTCTCGTATATTGACACAGGGGATCACTTAATCACTAAAATATGTACAAAAATGGATTCAGCTACCTCGAAAACGTATATTTTGACGACAAACCTGATCATTATGTAAAATTCGAATTTTCCATCTTGAATAACCCCCAATATTAACTCAGCGGAAACACTTATCACAAAAATGTGTATGGAAATGGATTCGGTTACCCCGAAAATGTATATTTTGATACCAAACTCGATCATATGATAATTAGGTTTAAATCGGAATTTACAAGCCAAAACCGGTGGCCATTTTGGATTTTGGCCAATTTGACCCATTGTGGGATCAATTATTTCAATCATCAATTAACTGACTCTGGAACACCGTTTATGTTATTACTAAGTTTATATAATTTAATACATACAGGAAACTACAAAGTTATGATAGTACTTTTCGAGTTATTAAAATATCCACGGTCTGCGTTTAATATCCTTTCTAACTCAGACCAGAACGGCTTAAACGTGGCAAGAGCCACCTACTTCTTGATTGTTCTACATAAGGTTCGCGCTAGGATGATGTGTTCACCCTAGCCTCTAAGCCGGGGAGGCTACGGTGTTCCCCTCTCGGGCCTCTCTATGATATCTGGGGGTAAATCAAACAAGCTCTCTCGTATAGAGGAAGTATAATGCGTCATCTATTAGGGCGGGACAATTACCATTTTTGGGTAAATGTTTCGTATAGGTACCGTTTTACGTCAACACTATTCTAGTTAATTGTACTAATCCGTGCACGAGATGACTGGACTGTAGTAGGCTACACTACTTCCAGCAATGGATACTGATATAACTGTCGGCGAATTAGTCTAAGATAGTAGAGGAATAATGCAAGCTACTTCATTACCCTAGTTTTCGTCACACATCATATAGGTAACGAATTTCTATCAGAACACCTTTCTTAGTACTAAAATAAGACCTAGAGTATTATATAAATATATCACTGTTATCAAGGTTGTGGACCCTCTAGAGGTCACAATTTGATGAAAGTTAAAATGTATGTTTGTATCCCAAAGATCTTGGTTCCTGTCGATCTTCGCGCATATCGGACCGTAACTTCCGGATTATGGACCCCGGTTGTACGAAAAATCTCTTTATGTTTAAGCTTGAGGACACTCTAGAGGACACAATTTTTATCGGATTTTAAAAAACGTTACACGCTAATGACGATTGAGCTCGAATTTCGTGAAAATCGGACCGAAACTGCCTGACAAAATGGCCGCTCCTTGTACGCAAATAGTGTAAAAGTATGTAATACCAAGGTTGTGAATCCACTAGAGATCACAATTTTTGTCCGATTTTGATGAAACTTAAAGGAGCTAAGTCGCTAACATTTGGGACCTAGAAATTGACACAAGTGGGTCGGAACTCCTATAATACTGTAATATGAATGTATATAAACTGATATACATTCAATGGTTTCCGTTTTTATTCTAATTTCAAATCAGTTATGTTATGCGAAATAAGCCAGCAGTCTCAATCTAATGCAAATTTCTAGCGCCTGGTTATTCCAGTCTACATACGCCGTTTGGTTTGGTGCAATATGTCTAGCCTCGTTCCTCGAGTCTCTTGCTAGAACTGGGGCTGAAACGCATTATGGTACACGATTCGTGTACCAATGGTAAAATCTTTATTTTGTCTTAAATATCAGAAGCCCATCTTTTTCCGGTAAGATCACAGCATCAATGTTGATTTAAATTGACAAATAATTTGTGTTTTCAATGTTGAAGATTTTGGATGATATTGAGTTAGAGACTTAGCTACTTTAAAATGTATGTTTATATCCCGAAGATCTCGGTTCCTGTAGACATCACTGTTATCAAGGTTGTGGGCCCTCTAGAGGTCACAATTTGATGAACGTTAAAAGATATGTTTATATCCCAAAGATCTTGGTTCCTGTCGATCTTCGCGCATATCGGACCGTAACTTCCGGATTATGGCCCCCTGTTGTACGAAAAATCACCTATTGTTTTAGCTTGTGGACACTCTAGAGGACACAATTTTTACACGCTAATGACGATTGAGCTCGAATTTCGTGAAAATCGGACCGAAACTGACTGACAAAATGGCCGCTCCTTGTAAAAGTATGTAATACCAAGGTTGTGAATCCGCGAGAGGTTACAATTTTTGTCCGATTTTGATGAAACTTAAAATGTATGTTTATATCCCGAAGATCTCGGTTCCTGTAGACATTAGCGCATATCGAACCGTAACTTCCTGGATTATCTCTCCTTTTTTTTAACTTGTTCTCTGTCCATCTCTTGCAAAATGTGAGCATATCTTGCATGGCAACCGCTTGTTAGTTAAGTTATCCAATTATTAAATGCGAAAAGGATTCTCTTTTCCAGTGCTTTAGCTAAATAAATGGGTTGTTGAGGATCAGGTCAGCCACCCATGTTCAGGGTCGGCGGAAGCTATTCTTGATGGGGGGGGGGGGCTACCATCCTAGGTCTTTAGGCAAGACGGTGGAGTGCACATTTCGTGAAAATCGGGCCGAAACTGTCCGAAAAAATAACCGCTATCCTTAAAAGCATGTAATACCGGGGTTGTGGACCACCCAGAGGTTCGAATTTCCATGCAATCTAATATATCCCAATGGTCTGGGTTCCTTTCGTTATTTGCGCGTATTAGACCGAACTTTCTGGATTATGACCCCTGATTGTACGAAATACCACGTTTTTAGCCTGTGGACCCGCTAGAGGTCACCATTTTTATCTTATTTTCAAAAACGTTCAAATATATCATTGTTACATAATAATTATGGTTGAAACCGAAATTCGTGAAAATCCGACCAAAACTTTCGGTCAAATGGCCGCTCCCCTTACGAAAATAGTATAAAGGCATGTAATGCCCCCATTTTCAATAGAAGGTTTGATCTCGCTTTAACTACATACTTACATCTTATCACGGTCAAACTCGCAGTCGTTGCTTCAGGAAGATGGTAATGACCGGGTTGTGGACTATCTATAGAGGTCACGATTTTTATCCGATTTAGTTGAAACTTAAACCGAGTATCGCTAGTTCTTGATGAGTTCAATTTTGGCGCGCATGAATGAAGTTTGTGGCCCTTCCAGAGGCGACAATTTTTGTCCGATTCATGAGATAAAACTGTGTGTTAAGGATCAAAAGTTCTTGGGTGGGTTCGACTTTGGTAAAGCTATAGATCCTGCTTTTTACGCAAAATGTGGAATATGTATGAATTTTGTAGGCCCTCCAGAGTGGCTACAATTGTTGCTTACCACGTTTCAGTTGTATAGGAGCAGTATAGGCGAGCACACTACGTTTCAGTTGTATAGAAGCAGTAAGGCCATACTCCTCGCAGTGTTTCGTTTGATTATAGCTAAATCCACTTAACACTGCTGTATCAAAACGAATACAATGTACAATGTAAACAATACTTGTTGGAGACGAACAATACTTTCACCGTTTTTAATACCTTAAATCACTGTCCAATGTTTTAGGGAAGACCCCAGATTGAACGAAGGGCTGACATGTTGCTGTACTTGGGATATATTTGATTGAACGGGAAGAATAGACACGTCACTCCCTCAAAAGCTCAAGTATCCGAAGCCAATCCAGCAATGGCCAGAGAGGGATGTCTCGGGCCATTGCTTCAGGAATATGCAATAACGGACGTGGTACGGTTATCTCAGTCTCGGATTAAATATACCACATTTTATTGTACCGAAACTGCGTACCACGTTCTGTTTGTATAGAACCAGTGAGGCGAGCGTTGTATTGTTATCTCAGTCCCAGATTCTATTAAACCACTCTTTTTAAAGGGACTATCCCGATTTGAACAGAGTCTCAAAAATAAAAGTCTGATTACATATGAAATTTAAGCGCCAAAATATAGAGGAATGGCGTATTTACATTCTCTCAAAATTCCAGCTCAAAATATTGATTTCTTTGGACGTGAACGTCAAAATTGCTTATCCGGACACGTAACCCTTTTAAGATTTCGGGTCAATTTTTTCGTTGGGTGACCTGATAATCGACCTCCGTTCCTTTAGAGGTCTCTACAATGAATGACCCATGTGTTTTTCTTGATAACGAAAGGTAAATTTCACCTACACATTATTTTTATAAAATAAAAGTCTGGTTTTATCCATACACCGCATAATACAGCTTGGGACACCGGTCTCCATTTCCAGATAAAGTCTGACGGGTTTTGTTGTTTGAAAACGTATCACATATGTTGAATTAGTTGCTCGGCCCTAATTTAGAGGATTTTAAGGGATTTTAACACAAAATTAAGCAGTTTTATTCTCCAAAATATTATCGGGGTTGGCCCTTTAAACTATCAACTCATATATATACTCTCAGATCATCCACATATTTTATTATACCCCGTTTTTACCTGCCACGCTTTATTGTTTCATATCTACACAATATACCACATAGGGTCTTTTTAAATGGGGAAAAGTATGTGACCTATAAAAACATCAAAATGAATTAAATAATCAACATAATTTGCAAGATAAGCCAAAGTCGCGTAGCCTACCACGTTAGAAGTAGTAAGGCGAGCGTGGTACTGATATCTCAGCCTTTGGTTCTATTATACCACCTTTTTTTTACTTATCAACTCATTGTACTTTCGCATCATCCTCATATTTTACCATATTCGCACCATCCTCATATTTTAATTACCATACCACGCTTTTACTGCCACGTTTTGTTTCATATCTACCCGATAGTCCAATATACCACGCAGGGCCCTGTGAAGTAGGGTACAGTACAATAATTTTTACACAGTACATGTATTATTAACCGTATGATTATTAACCAAACAATCGGCTATCTGGGGGCTAATGTAATTTATTTTAACAAATATGGCCTATGAAAACTTCAAAATGGATTAAAAAATCAATACAATTTGCAAAATCTGCTTCAAATGTTGTAAAATCCCTATAATTAACAAGCCAACAGTGAAGCTGATGTCCCCCGCCGAAATCCCCAAATAAATAGATGACACATATTAATTAATCGCACATCTATTTTTTTTTTCAAAAGTATCGAGCAATCAAACTGATTATAAACTATACACTAAGTTTCATTACTCTCTGTCAGATAGAATCAAAGTTATCTTGTCCCAAAGCATCGACCAAGGAAATTGCTTATCTCTGCTTAGCTTTAGCTCGATATGTTAATCACTGAACTCAGTCAAGACGAACATCTACATCAAGTTTAACCATTCTACCTCAATTAGAAGCAGAGTTGTTCTGTTCCAAAGTCTTGACCAATCCAAATGCTTATTGCTCCTTAGCCTAAGCAGACAATTCTCATCACCGAACTTAGTCAAGGTATTGATGTAATGAAACTATACACCAAGTGTCCTCACTCTCGCTTAATTAGAACTCAAGTTATCGTGTCCCAAAGCATCAACCAATCAAATAGCTTATCTCTACTTACCATAAGCAGAAAATGCTCATCTTCGCACTCTACCAAGTTTGAACATTCTAGCTCAATTAGAAGGAGGGTTATTGTGTTGCAAAGTCTCGGCCAATCAAATTGCTTATCGCTCTGCTTACCCTGAGCAGACAATGCTCATTATCGAACTTAGGCAAGGTATTGATGTAATGGAACTACCAAGTTTCATCACTCTCACTTAATTAGAACTAAAGTTATCGTGTTCCAAAGCATCAATCAATCAAATTGCTTATCTCTGCTTACCCTAAGCAGAAAATGCTCATCTTCGAACTCCATCAAGGCATTGACCTAATAAACACCTACACCGCAAGTTTGAACATTCTAGGTCAATTAGAGGGAGAGTTATTGTGTCCCAAAAAGTGTGACGGACAGACAGACGGACGGACGGACAGACAGACAGACCCATTTTAATAGTGACAGTCCCCTGCTTTCTTCGAAAGGCGGGGGACAAAAAGCACGTCTTACCAAAGCCGTTTACCACGACGTCGATCGTTTCAGTTACACGAGCATACCACATTTAGAGCGGGCGTGGTGCGGTTATCCCAGACTCGGATTCTATTATAGCCTACCACGTTTTTTTTTGTAGTCCTACCGAAGTCGCGTACCACCTTCGCCGTTTGAATAGAACCAGTAAAGGCGGGCGTGGTACGATTATCTCAGCCCCGGATTCTACCACTTTTTTTAACTATCAACTCATAGTAGGCCTAGGCCTACCCATATCATCTACATATTTTATTATACCACGTTTTTACCTGCCACGTTTTATTTCCTATCTATCTATACCACGTATGTTCGTTTTAAATGGGGTATAGTGTATGGCCTATAAAAACATGAAAATTGATTAAATAGGCCCTAATTAACATAATTTGCAAAATAAGCCAAAGTCGCGCGTACCACGTTTCGTTTGTAGGCCTGTAGAAGCAATAAGGCGAGCGTGGTACTGTTTTTTGCTCTTTTCGTTGTGACCCATTTGTGTCCATTTCTAGATGCCAAAGAATAGGGAATTGGCTCCTTCAGACTTCAAAATCCTGTCACATTTGATTTAGCGGTAGGTCTATTCAGTAGCCCAATTGGTGCAAAAAATAGGACGTGAAACCCCATTTTATTCATTCATTCATTTTTGTATAGTAGGCTATCTATCACATTTTGAAAAGAAACAGTTTAGAACAGAAAAAGTTAATATTCAACATTGTTTTCGTTTCGTTTCTTATAAGCAATGTTAGCTAAAATTTTTATGACTCACGGTCACTCTCCGAACTGTACCATCAATCACGTGATAATAACAAAATGGCAGCCGAAATAAAGCCGTCGAATACTAATAAACAAGGAAACGTCAGAAAACCAGTGTTATTAAATAAACTTGAAGGATGTGGAGATACGGTAAATATGGCAATATTAATTCCAAGAGAGGATGGAGTCATAAGTGTTAGTGACGACAAGTAAGTACAATTTATATGGTTGATGTAAGTGTAATGGTCAACTTTAAGGACTTCAATTCAGTTTCTTTTGTCATTTTTGGTTCTTGATACTTGATGCGACTCGACAAGATTCAATTCTTAAATCAAGAAAGCGACGCCTTGTCTTTCTTTTCACAACTACAGTATATCTTTATGTTGTTGTTGTATAAACTTCTGATAAACACTGAGTATTTATTTATAAGTTGGAACATATTTAATACGTTTAAAGTCAAAGACAAAGTAAAGTATACACTCGCTATATTATATCTAGTGATCTACATTTTGCACCAAATACGAGTATTCCATTGGGGGTTGCCATGGCTTGACCACACGAAGATTCGATGCATCACAATTCCTGTCTCTGTGCATGCCATACCAACATCGGAAAACAAAAGTTAAATAATGATCAAAATTTCAAACAAAATAAATTCTCCTATTGTATGACCATTTACATGGCTTCCAATGACAACCAATCAGGGCCCTTATTCACGAAAACTTAAACTAAGATACAATCGAAATTTTAAGAAATACTGCAATTCGATTGGCTGACCAGTAAAATCAATTTGCATATATCTAATTTGAATTTTGGTCAGCCAATCGAATTGCAGTATTTCTTAAAATTTCGATTGTATCTTAGTTTAAGTTTTCGTGAATAAGGGCCCAGGTCTGTAAGTAAAGGTCATCAGAAGCATAAAAGATGATTGAAATGGTATTAAGATATTTGTGTTGAGGTTATGCTATTTAAATCATTGTATTTTACAGGACTATGAGAGTATGGTTAAAAAGAGATACCGGACAGTATTGGCCAAGTATTTGTCATTCAATGCCATGTAAGAAGAGCTTTTTTATAATATTTTCTAAACCTGGTACTGAAACATGCAGAGGCGTGCTGGGGCCTCCAATTTGAGGGTAGGCAGACCAAACTTATGACACTTTACCGGGGGGGATGGGGCAGCACAGGGACATTTTTGGTTCAGTGGAACGTGCTTGCTTCTGACATACCATACATCGACACTTGGGATAAGATCTGAACATGAACATATTTAACAATGATCAATAGTTTCAACAATGCATAACCCGAGGAACAAATTGTTTCTTTTTTAATTAGCACCATATGGTTGTGACATTAAGATAGGTACTGTCTCGCACTGTAAATAACCAAACTGCCACACATGTTGAAATGGTAATGTTGCATTACAGACAACATATTAATTTGCTTAAGTTATATAGAAGTTCAAATTTGTATTTTGGGTTATGTATATATTGTAGATACTATTTTGATAATGAATAGGTAAAGTTGCTTTTATGCACAATGCATGGTGTATGCTTGCCTTCATTAGCCCGGTTCGTGCAGAGAAGTAGGATGTTAAACCCTATTTACTATAAGTTTAAGTTCTTTGTTTTGATTATTGAGAAGACTAGTAATATCTGATAATTACTCATAGAGTTATTGCCCTGATTATATGATAGAATCCTGTCATCATGCCAATAATATTATACAATAAAGATTTTGAGCTTTTTATTTGAGTGTATGTATAGCATTACAGTCATAGTAGTTTGCTCAGTGACTTACACTTAGCAGATTTGCACTTATGTTTATCTTAGATATTTTTTGTTTTGACAGCTGAAGCTGCTTCTATTGATTTCAATGGAGAAACCAGGAGATTGTTTGTTGGATTAGACAATGGAACCATATCAGTAAGTTATGATATGTTAACTGAAATAAAGAATTTAAACTAAGCAGTCGATTAAAGGCCGTTTCTTGGTCCTAATGCTTGATTATATTCTTTCTGTAATCTTATATATGTAAATGATCACTTTTGATACATGTGTATTGATCATACATAATATATGTTTATATCATTTAAGTTTTTGGTAGTTGATTTATATAAGTCATTGTGGCTTATTTCAGTATCCTGTGAATAAAATATTGTTTAAATAAAAGCTATGTTAACAACTGCCCGATTTGATACAAAATGCTAATGATGAAATACAACCACAACATATTGCTTAATAAAGGGCTCACACTGGCTTTCAATTTGTTTCCATCAAAATGGATAATAATTTTTATCAGGGGCGTAAATTTACACCCCCCCCCCCCAGCGAAAAAAATAGTTGGTCGCAAAAAATAAATGCAGTCGGTCGCAAAATAGGTGCAGTCGATCTCAAAATAAGTGCTCACTGAATTAATACAAACAATGCCAAAATAGAAGGAAAAATCAAAAATTTTATGTATTTGCGTGAATCTGTGCACCTAAATTGCATACGTCATGCTACTCACCCAAAACCTTAGTATAAAATAACCTTGTCAACTTATCATGTTTGCAAAAATGTCTTTTACCCTTATTCTGTTGTGAGTTGGTCTAAGTAAAAAAAATTCCCCCAGCGAGAAAATTGTTGGTCGCAAAATAAGTGCAGTCAGTCGCAAGATAAGTGCAGTCGATCTCAAAATAAGTGCTCACTGAATTAATATAAACAATGCCAAAATAGATGGAAAAATCCCAGATTTTATGTATTTGCGTGAATCTGTGCACCTAAATTGCATACGTTACGCTACTCACCCAAAACTTTAGTATAAAATAATCTTATCAACTTATCATGTTTGAAAAAATGTTTTTTTACCCTTATTCTGTTGTGAGTTGGTCTAAGTAAAAAAAATTCCCCCAGGGAGAAAAATAGTCGGTCTCAAAATAAGTGCAGTTACTGCAGTCTGTCTCAAAACTATGCACCAGTGACTGACGAAATGAATTAATGAGGTAAACAAATAATGCCAGAATAGAAGGGAAAAACCTCAAATACTTAATATACGTGCACCTAAATTTCTTACGTCACATAGTCGGTCTCAAAATAAATGGTCACTGCAGACAGGTTTCAGACTAAATGAATTAATGAGGTAAACAATGCCAAAATAGAAGGGAAAAATTTTGTGTGAATGTGTGCACCTAAATTGCAATGGTATAGTATAAAATAACTTAGTCACCTTTTCATGTTTGAAAAAAAAAATTCCCTGTTATGAGTATGTTGGTCTAAGAAATTGAGAGAGCTTGTTACGAAGATTTTGATAACTTAAATTATATTATTGGTTGTTATATGAATAACATTAGTCGAACAGTTGGTAAGAAGTTATCGGAAGCATAGTTTGTTTCAGAAATACGTAAAAAATCTTTAAATTATGAAATATTGTTATGGTGATCTATTGAACTTAAGAATTTTTACTTATTGCATATTTAATCCCAGTAGAAATTAAAACGTATTTTACTCATGTTGTAAGTATTTTCTGACCATTAGAATTCTGCAAAACCTTTCCCAAGATCCCAAAGTCCAGTAAATGGCTTTTTAGAGAAGAAACAAAGTACATGTAAGCGCTCCCGTGAGACAAAGTCCCCTCAGACCCAGTCCCAAAATTAAAAGCTCAGTTACATAATCTAAAAATTTTTCGCGCCTACACCTCTCAATTATATTGTGTCATTATTCTTCAACTCCTCTGTCTTTATCTCATCACTATCATATTCACAGTTAAGGTTCACATAAATTTAATTACAAAATCAATAATAATCATTATATTATATGACATATACTTTATGGCAACTTGAATAAAACTGCTTTCCGACGAGATAACGATCGGCAAACAACTATAGGCAATACGATCTATGTTCTACCGGGACGCACAGTGTTATAGCCAGTACTTTGTTGACATTCATTGTGGGGTGTGATTGTGGATGGCACCCTAGATTTGGAACCGCCCACCCCTCCCCCTATTCCCAGCTTCCAGATCAGCTACTGGCCCATAGAAAACTATCATTTGAGGTGTTCGGTATGGTGGCTGTTAGCGGCCATTCAAATGAATCTAAATCGTCGCCTTGTGAAGAAGGCGACAAGTCGACAAAATTGACCTGACAAGTCGACGAAATGAAAGCGACGATCGTCGGGTTATTTTGTCGTGTCGGCGGGTTGATTTTGTCGACTTGTCGCCTTCAACTTATTCACAAGGCGACAAGTCGCCGCACGATCAATTTAAGCTGCCTTTGTTTAAATAGGCCACGTATCAAATGAAGATGACTCAAGAAATTAGCGCATTTACCGGTAATTTGGATAACCCCGTAATACTTGATATCCCAAACTTAAATACAGAAACACAAATGGTGCCAGTCATTTGTCGATATATTCATTATTAGCTATATATAATAATAATAACCATTTCTATACATAAAGAACAACTACAGTGAATATGGAATTTTCCGATGACTATGCATAACATGTACAATAGATCACACTCATTTCTCTGTCAATCAACGCTTGGTATCTTATTATCATGTACCGTTCGATGTACTACGGGTGTAGTAAATGAGGTTAAACTTCGCCGTGAAAATCGCACGGGATCATTCGTGGAGTTCCTGGTGCCGTTTGGTGAGTGATTAAACTGTCAATGCTGTTGTTGTTGTTGTTGTTTATTACAAATTTAACGTCCAATACATAATGCATGATATTATGGACAGGTTGATTTGATTAAGTTATTTACTTAAATAAAAAATAGAAGTTAGGTAAAAACACTAAATAATAAAAAGTTCTTGTATATCTAAACGTCACTTTAAAACAGATTTAAAATAATTAAAAGCTCTTGTATATCTAAAAATCACTGTAAAACACGGTTTTTACATATTAAAAGTGTTCGTCCAATAAGTTCCATATTGTAAAAAATTAATTAAGAGTTCAGAACTTCAAAGTTTAAAAGTTGTAGGCACTCTAAATTGGATCTTAAATTAAAATGAATTACAAAGCAAATTATTCCGTAGTCAATTGTTTTATTTAATTAGGGGGATTAAGGAATCCTTCAGGCGTTAAAGAATACACACGCCGGCTGTACATAGGTAATTAAGGAATAAACATTCCGAATATGCATTCGGTCACTGTGACGTCACTGGCGTCTCAGGGGATTAAGAGTGTTTTCGATAATTGGCAAAGCCGTTTTTACGGAAGGTCTATTTTTACGACTTTGAATGAAAATAACTGAATTAAATTCAACCAGATTGGCGTGAACTTGCCGTAAAGTGGATATAGTAACCATTGGCTACACGTATCTCAAATCTTCCGGGACCATCTTATCTGCACTTTAACTGCAATCAGTGCAATCACTAACAACCACCTCTCTTTTATTAACAATTTATCCATATTATTATTTTGGCTTTATTTTGCAGGAATTTATTTTAGCAGATGATTTCAACAAATTATCACATGTTCGAGATTATCTAGGTAAATTTTTATTCCTTTAACTGCCATTATAATCTTTGATTACCGAGAAATGTTTATACATTTTTCACAGAACAGTAAAAGGCCAGGAACTGAAAGACATACGCGACAAGCAAGAAATATCTGACTCTTCCCCTGGCCACTTTGAAGCCTCCATCAGTTAATGGCAGTTAAAAGATGTTGTTTGGGGCGGGGGTCATCTTATAGCTTATCCCACCCCTTTCTAGAAACTGTGTTGATATCAATACTATTTGACAATATCACATGGCATCCAATGCGTTGAAAATAGATGGAAACGTCTTTGTTTTGGACATAAGTTTCAACAAGTAAATTAAAGAATGATCTGGAATGCATCTATTGAAAGCCAGACAAAGGCAGGATATGCTTACTTTTTCTTGAATAATTTCATCTGTGTAATAAAGCCTGGTTTCATTATCTGTATGTATTCTAGTTCACAGTTTACACTTGTCTTTTTGTTAGTTACCTCAAAAGAAAGGAAAACTAAAATTTAACCAATGTTTCCTCTATGTATAAACCTATCTTTCAAGCTACATATGCATATATGTATGAGTTTTGGATTGATATGAGTTTCTCACTTTTCATTTTTATGAATTAATTTTAAACCCTTACTTTAATTCCAAATTGTCTCATATCAAAATATTTAGATATTAATAATTTGTCTTTCAGCACATCAAAATCGTGTGAATAGTTTAAAATTCTCATTAGCCTGTGAATGGGTGCTGAGTTGTAGTAAAGATAAATATTTTCAGTGGCATTGTTCTGAAACGGGTAGACGACTTGGTGGCTATCAGGCATCTGCTTGGTGCTTATGTTTAGAGTATCCTTTTATAAGATTTGTCCAAAGAGGCAAACTCATCAAATTTGAACAACATTTCATGTGATCATTTTATGTTCCTCCTCTAATCTAAATGTTTGTATAACATTTAAGGTCTAAAGAAAGACCTGCAAAAGGCAGATTTAGCTCTTGTATAATGTATGGTTAAATTACATATGAAAATATACCTTATCTATGAACTAGATTTGATGAACAATCTAAATATGCATTTGTTGGAGATTATTCAGGTCAAATATCGGTATTAAAAATCAAAGACACAACATTTGAACTAGTTATTACTTTAAAGGGACATTCAGGTCAGTATTTTATTGTGGAAGTATTCTCAAAAGCATTATCAGAACGTTATGAGATTTTTATTTAATAGTAATAATCAAGGTATACAGAAGAAAGAAAATTATGTTTTTTTTGATGGTATTTAGTTGTCTGGGGATAGTCCCAATTGAAGATCTAAAAAGGTCTTTGTTACTTGGCAGAATATTGTATTTCATAATTATCTATTTTATAGTATAACACTAAATTACATTATACAGGTCACAATTCTATGGAATACAAGCTATCATTATCATAGCTTGATAATGACTAGAGAAGCCTAGTCGAAATGTCGCTCAGTAAAAAGCAGTAATTGTATTCCATAGAATTGTGACCTGTATACTCTAGTTTAATTACTAAATGCCATTGAAACAGACTAAATTACATGTATAGTCTGTATCTGTTTAACCCTTTCATGCATAAAACAATGTCCTGTCTACTCCACCTATAGAATAGAAAAATGCATTATATTATTGGATACTTTGCATACATTTTTGATTTAGACACTTCCTGTTTCAAATTTAAAGGCTGTTTCAAATTTAGAGGGGTGTTATTTTGAGGTATTCATGTCCTGAGACCATTAAGCAGGGCTTATGTCGACTTTGCAACAGAGAGAAACTGCTTTTAACTAGTTGCATTTTTATACGCCCACATTTTCATGTGGACGTATTATGCCGTTGCCCCTGTCCGTCCGGACGTCCATCCGTCCGTCCGTCCGTCTGTCCGTCCACAATTGTTTGTGGACTCTCTACAGGTCACAATTCTTATCCGATTTTGACGAAACTTGAAATATAGGTTTATCCCCAAAAGATCTCGGCTGCTTTCGATATTGGCATGTATCGGATCGAAACTTCATGGATTATGGCCCCTGATTGTACAAAAAATCATGTTTTTAGCTTGTGGACCCTATAAGAGGTCACAATTTTTATCCGATTTTTTTGAAACTTAAAATGTAAGTTTATAACCCAAAGATCTCGGTTGCTTTCGATATTCGCGCATATCGGACCGTAACTTCCTGAATTATGGACCCTGATTGTACGAAAAATCGCGTTTTTAGCTTGTGGACCCTATAGAGGTCATAATTTTTATCCGATTTAAAAAATTGTATTATTATATCACCGTTACACCCTAAGGAAGGTTGAGTTCGAATTTCGTGAAAATCGGCCAAAAATTGACAGACAAAATGGCCGCCGTTCGTTCTCAAATAGCATAAAAATATGGTATATCAAGGTTGTGGACCCTATAGAGGTCCCAATTTTATCCGATTTTTTTGAAACTTGAAATGTAAGTTTATAACCCAAAGATCTCGGTTCCTTTCGATCTTCGTGCATATCGGGCCGTAACTTCCTGAATTATGGCCCCTGATTGTACGAAAAAATCACATTTTTTACCTTGTGGACCCTATAGAGGTCATAATTTTTATCCGATTTAAAAAAACGTATTTTTATATCACCGTTACACCCTAAGGAAGGTTGAGTTCGAATTTCGTGAAAATCGGCCCAAAATTGACAGACAAAATGGCCGCCGTTCGTTCTCAAATAGCATAAAAATATGGTATATCAAGGTTGTGGACCCTATAGAGGTCACAATTTTTATCCGATTTTGTTGAAACTTGAAATGTAAGTTTATAACACAAAGATTTCAGTTCCTTTCTATATTCGCGCATATTGAATTGTAATTTCCTGAATTATGGCCCTTGATAGTAGGAAAAATCACTTTCTTGTTAGCTTGTTCTCTATCCATCTCTCGAAAATGTGAGCGTATCCTGCCTGGCAGCCGCTGGTTTTTTCTCGGTGCTATCAGTAATTGAATTCAGAGCGCTCATGTCGACTCAAAACTGACAATGGTTACACTTAAAAGGACAATATTGGTGTCAGTCATTATCACATATGTGATATAACTGGTTACATACGTTCCAAATATAAATATTAATACAGAGATCATTGCTACGATAGATGCATTGTGAAGCTTTCAAGAAAGGCAAAAGGAAAACACAAGTTATCCTTCTATATAACTGACTGAAGTGACGAGTGAAAACAGATACACAGGCGAATTTCTGCTCACTAATAATTCATTCGAAGACCAAAAATTGTTATGTGAGGCTGTGAGAGGATATCTGATAATTCAAAAAAGTAATTTAATGCCACTGGATAAGGAAAAACGTGAAAAGTAGAAATAGCCCGTAGATTCCCTTGTTTTTATTCATTCTATACTTTATAAAAACATAGTAATGCACAGACTTTTTCTATTTTTCTCGAATTGACATTTACGCATATCTACAACCTCATTTTGATTTTTTCCGTGAGTGACGTCAGAGACGACAGACGTTGTGAATTTCCCTTTAGAAGGCTATTGCAACTGAGCACTGCATTCCATCATTTTGACTAACTTGAAGCATAAACATGGTCAATTGCGTTGCTTCAGGGATGTACTAAGAGTACGCTCATTTTTCAATTGTTGCACAAAGAAAGTAGGCTAGGGCATATAAAACTGTATTACCCTAAGGCTAGGGTAAACTTATTGGAATTAATAGTTTTTCTCTGATATATTTTCGCTGATGAAGTGTGAACATCAATAAATAAAGCGAAAAGTTATCGAGAATTGAAGGACTGTGATAAGGCAAGGTCCTTTGACCTAATCCGAACACAGCCTGCAGCGATTGTTTTTCTTCACTAGAAATGGTATAATATTCCGAACCATCATCGTCACCGTTGTTGCTCGCATTTCTAATTGGCTCATACTGATAGGGAAGAACATTAGGGCGAAATCTATGGATATAACACTTTTAAAATACCAGTATTGTTAATATGTATTCTGCCTTCTGTCAATTTCACAAAAACATGACTATCACATTTAAGCTATACACAAAATAACCCACTTTGATATTTTTCTACAGGTAGTGTCCGATGTTTATCTTGGGATGCAGATCGTAGTTTATTATGTTCAGGTAGTTTTGATCAATCTGTGATAGTATGGGATATTGGTGGTAAACAAGGCACAGCCTTTGAATTACAAGGACACCAGTAAGTCGGTTATATTTTATTGAATGAGTTTTTGATGTATGATTCAATGAATTACTTCACAATCTATTTCTTGCTTGTAAAACTTCATTTTCAGTTTACTTAAATTCGTATTTTGTTCCGGTTTAATTTCGGTTAGTCTACAGTGTAGACTCTACACTGCATGAAGATCTGCTACTTTTTATTTGAAGTCTAGATTCAGCTTGATATCATAATTCCTTGTAACTATTTGTCAGGTTAACTGTGAACACAAACCTCTTTAAAATTTTGTAAGACCTTAATTAATGTACAATCGAAAAAAAAATATGGTCTAAACTTCAATAAAGTAGGATTGCTAAAACCCAAGGCCTAGTTTTACCTCAAAAACTGACTATGCACTGAAAATTTCTACTGATTTCAGTTGATGTGTTGACAATAAACAGAATAATGCAATATTGTACATGTATACTATAATTTTGTACCTCTATTTAATTTTGTCAGTGATAAGGTTCAGGGTTTAGTGTATGCTCAATCCGCTAAACAGCTTTTATCTGGCTCTGATGATTGTGTGTTGGGTGTATGGAATATGGATACAAAAAGAATAGAGGTATGCAAATTGTGGAAAATCATTAAAATAACCCAATTTCGACCAACATCATTGGTATTAAATTTATAGATTTTATAAATAACATAAAAGAATTTCAGAATATTATGTTCTAAATAAAACACGCAAAATATATTTTACTGGTTTTGAAATTTTTTATTGGTTCTAGTTTTTCTCGCTATCCAACTAATTCACTAAGCAATGAACAAATTGGTAAAGAAATGTGATGTTAACCAAATTGTGACATCATGATTTCACACAAAAGTTGTTGTTTTTACTCATCTTATCTGGTATGTTTACCTATTTCGTGATTAACTCTGTTTTGCTCTGGTCTGTTTTTAAGAGATCAATGTATCTGGTAATGCTTCTCTCTTAAATTAATTGGTATTTATTTCAGACGCCTGAATGGACAGAAAGCAACATTTGTATGAAATGTGAGGCTCCATTTTTCTGGAATGTTAGAAAAATGTGGGAAGAGAAAATAATGGGCAATAGACAAGTGAGTGTCTGTCTATTGTCAACAATTACTTGTGGGCACCTCTAGGGGCTAAAGCGATAATCCGATTTATAGGCAGTCTTTAGGTTTTTGAAATAAAAAATTAGATTATGGCCCTATGATCACATAAAAAAATCTTATGGATGCTCAAAAGTATAAAAACTGACAAAACATTACTCATTATTTTGACTTCCCCCTGGTCGTGAGCCCTGAAAATATCCTTAAATGGAGAGAGAAAGTGTCCAATTTTAGTTTGAATACACCACGACAGTTGTCAACAAGTTTGTTTTGTGGGTTTTTTACAAAGTTCTCCTACTTCATCTTTATATTATGACAGATTTATACAGCAAAATAAAAGACAAGGGTATCTATTTATGAATTATAAATTAGACTGATTTCCCTTAATTGCCTAACTATGTACAACCACAACAGGTTAATACCATCAAAACTCTTGAATAACATCTATATCAGAAACAAGCAGTAGATAGCAACCACTTTCCGGGTCGAATAACAAGGGTGGAAATGTTGCTATCTGACTTACACATCAATATTATAGCCAAGTACTTACGATGTGCATGTGTAATTCCAAGTCTGTGCTTATTGGAGTTTCCCCCTAATTACTTTACAGAAAACAGGGTAAAACATTAATAGTTGCCATGGAGGTATGTAAGGAGAAAATGATGACCTGGGTTTTATACATCCTCCAAATTTTTATTATTTGACAAAAAAATCCCTAGTAATAAGTTAACGATTTTGTACCACTAATCATTGAATATATTTCAAGCTGTTTTGTATATTTCAGCATCATTGTCGTAAATGTGGTAAAGCTGTATGTGCTAAATGTAGCAGTAAACAGTCTACGTTACCTGCAATGGGGTATGAATATGATGTCCGGGTGTGTGATGATTGTTTTGTAACAATAAAAGATGAAGAGTAAGTTACGTTCTTTTTAATCAATTTTATACACCCTGCTCACAAATTTTGTCTTGGATTTTGAATTGATTGATGAAAAGAAGTAAGGTCTAGCATTGATTCTGTTGGTTGTTATTTTGCAGTGTTACCTTTGCCAAATCGATGCATACGTTTTGTATATGACTACGCCTTCAGTCTACTAGCCAATAAAATAAAACCAAGTACGAACAATCCAAACCATTGCTCAGTCCCATTTGTACATAAAAACATGGTTTGAAAATTGTATGGTATAATCCAAAAGTATTTGATTGCCACTGCCACGTAGTGTCAGGTTTACAACCATTTACTTTCCAATGCAGTGTTGATTAAATTTAGCCGATGGTTTATATTTATGTGCTCTGTTGATAATTTCTGTCAAATATTTGGTTTGAGTGTGAGTCTAAAATAAACTAATGCTATGCCACAAAACACCTAATTTACCTAAGCTGTTTAAAAACTGACATCATGTTCATTTAATGTTTAATATTTAGATTCTGATGCCTAGATTTTCAGAAAATATAACAAGGTGTTCTGGGGCTGAATTCTTTAATAAATGTATAAACATGATTCTGTTCTCGTATGAACCTCTGTTTGCATGACACATCAAGGTATTATTTTGGAATGTTTATTGGCATATCGTTTCCATTATAATTTCTTAAGAAATATATGTAACATTATCGATTATACCCATTAACCATAAACAGATTTCGGCAATGGAAGTAAAAAATTAACCAAAAAGGAAAACAAAGTCAAAATATAATATTTATTAGGGGATAAATTAAAGATGTATCTAAAGACATATGGTTCAGTCAAAACAAGTCAAAATATTATATTTATTCAAATACAAAAATTGTTTTTTGGATATAATCTGAAAAAATATAGTAATAAAACACATAAATAAAAACATGGCTAGAAATAAATGTTCAAAATATCCTATAGCACTACACGATTTCTCATAGACTTTACACTCAGTACACTTTACTCTTCTGTGTTTTTTTTTATTATCTCCCAGTAGACCATTATGCTTCCTTTAAAAAATTTTAAATTTATATACAGACATAGTAAATAAAAATAGAAAATACACAGAAGGTACCATAAAATCCATAAAACCAGCACTATTCAATTTCTCATAGACTTTACAATACTTTACATTCAATACACCCTGTACTCAAAACACTCTGTACACTATTATTATTATTATTATTATTGTTCGATTTATATAGCGCTTCATTACATATGAGTGTTTCTAAGCGCATACACTTTACTCTTCTGTGTTTTCTTTATTCTCTCCCAGTAGACCATTATGCTTCCTTTAAAAAATTTTAAATTTATATACAGACATAGTAAATAAAAATAGAAAATACACAGAAGGTACCATAAAATCCATAAAACCAGAAAAGCTACACTGATAAAAATGCCAAATGCTTTACATGTAGATGTCATTCTATATGGAGTCGTTCTTATCTCCCAATGTATCTATTATATCTCAGTCTTGAGCATACTACTTTCCGGATCATCAGTAATTCTTTAGTGTTGTTATCTTTTTCACATAGACTGGGGTTATAACTCAGAATCTGAAATAATAAACAGAAATGAACAGGTTGTAACGTCTCGTTGCTACAATGCTTCAATGCTGAAAGCAGCAAATGATATTCTACTTCGTACTCAAAACCGTCTATGATTACTTACCACCTGCTCTACCGTCCTATAAGTTTGCTTGTCCTTAATGTCTTTGAGGTCGTACTCAAATACTGCCTTCCGAACTGTTTTCTGGAAATAATAAAAGCATTGAGGACAATGCTATCCTACAATTAAATGTTCACAGATTCACTCAAAATAACTCATTATTATACCTGGCAAGAATTTGTTCAGCAATAACAATAATGTGACAATTTATACTCACGTTAAAATAGTTCTTTGCATCCTTCTCTGTTTTGGTGTGTTGGTTTGAACTTCCAGTAATCATAAGTTCTTCACAGGTATATCTTGTGATGACTATATCAGAAGATGGGTAGCTTCTTACTTTAGGTGTTGTCAATGGTGCACTTGACTGCATTGTAGTCTTCAATGGAACTGTGGTAGCTTCAGACCGGGACATCTATGAAAAGAAATAATCACAAGATAATTCCCAATATTCAGTCTTCCATGATAAAAAAACTCCTGTCAATTGGTGTATTTAAATGCCATTATTTAAAGTGTGGATTGACTCAAGATCTACCCAATATTACCTAAAACATGGTCATGATTAAAACTAGATAATTCACTTTGGTTAAAACTGCCATAATTTGGTCGTAACGGCCAAAACATTGGTCGTCTACCAACCATATATGCGTGCACGCTGTTTCGTAACCTGGCTGTTTCGTACTTAGTTCATTCGTACCTCACTTCGTACCTCAAATTGATTTGTACCTTTTCCGATGTTGTTGAAATCAGTTGAAAGAAATTGAATATGGTGAACGAGAATTAGAATATGCACGAGATTTGTAACTCAAATTGATTAGTTTCTTTTCCTAAATCCAACGGCTGCGCTAACTTTATAAAAATGGCTGCCAAAGAGAATTAGAATACACATGTGATTTGTACCTCAAATTGATTCGCATCTTTTCCTATATGTTGTTGAAATGAATTGAAAGAAATTAAAATAAATCTATATGTTGTTGAAAGAAATTGAAATAATAAACGATTACCTGCCTTTTTTTTAATCTGATCTTGATTATCGAACCCATTCTGCTCAGTGAGTTGTGATTGTTAAAGCAGTTTAAAAACCGATTGAAAAAGTATTTAATCTGGTGTTGATTATTGAACCCGATCTGCTGAGTGAGTTGTGATTTGTGATTATTGACGATGATTGATTGGTGGTTGTTAAAGCGGTTAAAACGATTGAATATACTAAGAATTCCAAAATCAATTTAACTCATTGTAAGGTGAAACTGCATGCTTTCTGATATGGTTGGGTTATTTGAGCCTAAAAATAGAAGTCTCCAAAAGGTGCCTAGCTGTGAAGATTGGCGTACGCGTTTTTTGATCTGTTATATCATGGACCGTATATACGGTTATATCACGGGGTAATTCTGTTATTGAAACCCAACTGCATGTAAATGGCTTTCGATCGTAACCGATGTAAATTTAGTAAAATGCTGAAGCAATTTTAGTTTAAACATATCCTTTGTGTGTGAATTACTACTATTGGGCAGGCTGTGTAATATCACAGACCTAATATAAATAAATGAATACCTGACTGAGGCTATTATTTCATCAAATAAATATGCCCGTTGTTATAAATCGCTGTTATCGTTTTATGCTATGTTAATAAATAAAATAGTTTATAAAGTATGTTAATGTATGTTAAGTATGTTATGTTTATGCTATGTTAATAAATAAAATAGTTTATAAAGTAAATTGACGTCAGTGTTCTATAATTGTATGTTCTATAGCCGAGTCCGAAACGTCACCTACCCGGGTCCGAAACGTCACCTACCCAGGTCCGAAACGTCACCTACCCGGGTCCGAAACGTCACCTACCAGGGTCCGAAACGTCGAGGGCATATTTGTTGGAGTCACAAATGACGTAAGTCCGAAATGACGCGGGACCGAAATGACATGTAATCATTATATCGTCGTAGCTAATTCTCGTTCGGCAGCCATTTTTATAAAAAAAATTGTTCTTTTTAATATTTTAACAGGCTGTGGTATATGATTTAAATGTTTCATATTCATGTAATTATCAATGCATAAAATTCGCTTTATGTTATTAAATCATTGTAGCTAGTGCAGCCGTAGGATTTGATCAAATCGTTTAATATGTTTCATCTTAATTTCAATTTCTTTCAAACAAATCTCGTGCATATTCTAATTATGGCTCGGCAGCCACCTTTATTAATTTAACGTAGCCGTTGGATTTGATCAAATCGTTTCACCTTTATTTCAATTTCTTTTAACTAATTTCAACAACATAGGAAAAGGTGCGAATCAATTTGAGGTACGAAGTGAAGTACGAAACGGCTCATGTGAGGTACGAAGGAACTAAGTACGAAACAGCCACGAATAAGCTAACAACCACATAATATATAGAAATCTTTGATAATTTTGATTTGATTCTACAAAAAATTGTACGATAATCTAGTTTATCTATTTATAACTTTTAGCGTGAAAGTAAATTAATAAATACTATAATTTCTACAAACTATTTTATGGCAATGGATTTTGTTTTTGGTAGTGGGTTAATATCTTTTTAGTAGATATAATTGAAGTACAGTATTGTCAATTTTTCACAAAAACGGAGTAGTATTCGGTATAAATACTCCTGGCGAATCGATACTAAATTTTGAATTTTCACATTGGTAAATAAAGATTATATTATCTCAATCTTATAAATAAATGTCTTACATTAGATGGCAATTCACTAGCACTGCTCTGCTGATCTGGTATCCAAAAAAGCACAGGTTAAAAGTTCACACTGATAAAAAGTATTATAAGCACAAGTTAAATGTTCATAAATAAACAGTATTATAAGTATTCCACTATCGCAGGTTTCAACTGAAGATAATTCGTTCGTTCGTTCGTTCGTTCGTGCTTGGTGTTTAACGTCTGCTTCCACATAAGTGATATCGCAGACAAGACATAGGAAGCTGATTCCTGTTTTTTAGAATATGATTTTGCAATCTTTCCATTTGGCCTTAGACCATGGATTTGGTTTAATGGGAAGTTCTTCCCTTTATTTAATATAAAACATATCGTTTGGTAGATGATCTCGTCTGCTTCTGGATTGGTAGATGTCATCGTTTTAGTGTTTAGGTGCCAGGCCCGTCTTATCGTGGCCTCCCCTTACTCCACTATCCCACTCTCTGGGTTTGGTATCAGTTTTATTTGCGGAATAGTGTTTAGGTGCCGAGTTCGTCTGACCGTAACTCCCCCTTACTCCACTATCCTGCTAGTTTGGTAGATGTCATCTTTGTGGGGTTTGTGTTTAGGTGCCAGGCCCGTCTTATCGTGACCTCCCCTTACTCCACTATCCCACTCTGTAGGTTTGGTGTATGTTTTTGGTGGAATAGTGTTTAGATGCCGAGTCCGTCTGATCGTGACTCCCCCTTACTCCACTATCCTGCCAGTTTGGTATAAATCCCCTATGTAGTTTAGTGTTTAGATGCCGGGCCCGTCTAACCGCGACCCCCTCTTACTTCACTATTCTACTTAGTCCAACTGTGTCCATTAGGGCGTGGATTTGTTCGAAGATTTGCAGTTTCAGATCTGGTCTCGGGAAGAGTAGGTTCTTAGTGTTGAATGGTATGTTGTTGGTCTCCATTGTTCTCACTAGTTCCCTTCTCTCCTCCTCGTATACCTCGCAGTCTACCAGGACATGGTTGGTGGTACATTCTTCTCCGCACTCACAGATGATGACTTGGTGTTTGTAGTCTCGCAGCCGCTCTTTCACCCTTAGCTTCGATATAAGTCTACAAATATCTCTTCTAGGGTGATTGAGTGTTGTCTTTGTGTAGATCTTGTCATCCAGCCGGAATCTGTATGTGTCAAGTTCAACGAGATTTAATTCCCAGATTGAATTGACCTGTCTTTTGACCATACTGTAGATTTCCGTGGTGCTGTACTCTATGGTGCGGAGTGGTGGTGTGTCCTTGAGACCTTCATTAGCGAGTCGATCTGCTTCCTCGTTTCCTCTAATGTTGACATGTGATGGAATCCACACGAGTTCTACTTTGCTTCCCTTCTCTATAACCCTATGGTACAGCTGCCTGATTTCCAAAATGACTTCTGGTCTTGAGTCCGAGTTGTCATTTTGGATTGAAATCAGACTGCTCAGAGAGTCGCTTGGAATGACGAACTTACTAGTCTTTTGATGGGAAATCCGTGATATAGCGTCACGAATGGCCACAAGCTCTGCAGTGTACACCGAACAGTTATTGGGCAGTTTCCTGCTTATTCCTGGTGCCCCTTTCAGGATTGCGTGAGCCATCCGTGTACACATGGTCCCAGTCATCAGACGGCCAGTTGTCTTCCAGGTGTTCTAGAGAGAAAGCACGTGCAGCAGTGGGGTTGTTTTTCTTGTCAGTTTTCTGAAGATAATTCCAATGAACTCATGTTTTATACAGGTATGAGTGGATGTAACCCAGACAGGTGACTCTCGGTGGTCATTAATAAGACAATAGCATTTGGTCAATCAATGAATTAGTTTAACTTGTAAATAATGGGCCTTTAATACTCATTTGTATATTCTAAAACATGGTTTTGGCAGGAACCTATAGCAGGTGACTATAAGAAAACAAAAGCATTTGGCCAATCAAAGAGATAATGTAAATTGTAATAACAGACATTTATTACTTAACTGTATACATGTATTCCAAAACATTTGGTCAATTAATGTAAATTGTCATAACTGACATTTATAACTCAAGTGTATATTCACTTCCTGCAAATTTGTATACAGCAATCCAGTGTATACACAGAGTCTTTCATTAATGTGGAGATCTAGAGGAGATTACTGAATGATATTATAGTGATTAAAATGGCATAAATGGTTTAAACAATATAATATCCCTTTGGCAGCTGTACCAGAGGGTTTTAGAGAAGGGAAGCAAAGTAGAACTCGTGTAGATTCCATCAATGTCACCATTAGAGGAAACGAGGAGGCAGATCGACTCGCCAATGAAGGTCTCAAGGACACAGCACCACTCCGCACCATAGACTACAGCACCACGGAAATCTACAGTATGGTCAAAAGACAGGTCAATTCAATCTGGGAATTCAATCTTGTTGAACTTGACACATACAGATTCCGGCTGGATGACAAGATCTACACAAAGACAACACTCAATCACCCTAGAAGAGATATTTGTAGACTTATATCGAAGCTAAGGGTGAAAGAACGGCTGCGAGACTACAAACACCAAGTCATCATCTGTGAGTGCGGAGAAGAATGTACCACCAACCATGTCCTGGTAGACTGCGAGGTATACGAGGAGGAGAGAAGGGAACTAGTGAGAACAATGGAGACCAACAACATACCATTCAACACTAAGAACCTACTCTTCCCGAGACCAGATCTGAAACTGCAAATCTTCGAACAAATCCACGCCCTAATGGACACAGTTGGACTAAGTAGAATAGTGAAGTAAGAGGGGGTCACGGTTAGACGGGCCCGGCATCTAAACACTAAACTACATAGGGGATTTATACCAAACTGGCAGGATAGTGGAGTAAGGAGGAGTCACGATCAGACGAACTCGGCATTTAAACACTATTCCACCAAAAACAGACACCAAACCTACAGAGTGGGATAGTGGAGTAAGGGGAGGTCACGATAAGACGGGCCTGGCACCTAAACACAAACCCCACAAAGATGACATCTACCAAACTAGCAGGATAGTGGAGTAAGGGGGAGTTACGGTCAGACGAACTCAGCACCTAAACACTATTCCGCAAATAAAACTGATACCAAACCCAGAGAGTGGGATAGTGGAGTAAGGGGAGGTCACGATAAGACGGGCCTGGCACCTAAACACTAAAACGATGACATCTACCAATCCAGAAGCAGACGAGATCATCTACCAAACGATATGTTTTATATTAAATAAAGGGAAGAACTTCCCACTAAACCAAATCCATGGCCTAAGGCCAAATGGAAAGATTGCAAAATCATATTCTAAAAAACAGGAATCAGCTTCGGCTCTCCTATGTCTTGTCTGCGATATCACTTATGTGGAAGCAGACGTTAAACACCAAGAACGAACGAACGAATATCCCTTTTTCTGGTCTGGATGTTTAGGGAAATTGTAATTAAAAGATGAATATCACAACAGAGAAACTTTGATTAATAAAATGATAACTCATTCTTGGTTTAACTAATCACTTTGAGGATATAGAATTTGACCATAACACAGGCCATTTGGAATGACCTAGTGGTCTAGAGTGTCACGCTTCGACCTCTAGCTGGCCGGTCACCTCTGGCTTGCGGTTGTGGTTTCGATATCTGGTGTGATCGTATGTGGCTTGGAGATAGGGGCGCCTTCTCAACCTCGTGGGTTTACTCCGGGTACTCCTGTTTCCTCCCACAGCAAAGACCCCTGCGCGTGCGCTAAGATCTTTAAAATGAAAATAAGGACAACTTGTCTGCGATATCACCTTCGGTGGAAGCGGATGTTAAACACTAAGAACAACAACATTACTTTACGATTACAGGTAGTAGATCAAGACAGGTTTGTTAGACATCGCCAGAAACTTTAATTGATTAATGTGCTTTCCAGTAAGATTTATGAATTCTGAAATCCACCTAGAAATATACTCAACATATTAAATGGATATTATATTTTGCAACAAATATTGGTTCAAAAGAGAATGGATGCGTATTTAATATCTACACATTTAGTAGAGAAACCTGGGCCCTGTTTCACGAAATCTTATTTAAAGCTAAAATCCAAATTTTAGTTGATACGTCAATTTTGATTGGCTAAGCACTAAAATCAATCTAATATTATCCAATCAAATTACTAAAATTTGGATTTTATCTTAGTTAAAATTTCGTGAAACAGACCCCAGACCCGTAACACAGAATCTAAACATTGTCACATTTTCAGTAATTAGGCAATATAATCGAAATACTAAACCCAAAATGTACATGATGTCAGGTAATTAAATCATTGGTTAAATTTAATCACATCACAGCGAATTATAAGGTTCACCTACCAATTAAATATGATAGATAATTAATCATGCATTGATTAATCAATATCGCTGGGTTGATTCTTTATGATTTTTATCTACCGGTATTTCCAAATCATGGTTTGAAAATAAAATCTTCTGTGACTTTAAAATTGAAGCAGTCAAGAACTTCAACACCCCCAGTTCATGAGTATGTATATTGTCATACAGGACCTTTATTAGTTGGTTCAGCTTTCTTGTCTGCGATATCACGTATGTGGAAGCAGACGTTAAACACCAAGAACTAACTAATTAACTTGTGGAAGTGGACCTAAAATATAACTAACTCACACAACACTCCTGTAAATAGCTTGTGTTTTTGATGAATTTATTTGTTCATTGTTTCATAGACTATGATCTGTTTGCTTGCTTATTGTCAGATCAACAACTCTGACAGCCAGTGATATATCTTCTAATATATAGAAATTTTGTAACTGTCAGTTATTTGATTATATTTCAGTAAAGCTCCACTAGCAACATTCCATGATGTAAGACATAGTGTAGTTCACATGAACTTGGATGAAACACGCAAACTGCTCATAACTGTTGGTAAAGATAGAGTAATGAAGGTAGGTAATGGAATGAGGTATGACATCTTGTCAACCCAATACTTTGGCCATTTTGAGACTAACCCATGGTAATTTACATTTCTATGGATATATGTACAAAAGGATAATTTTGCCTGGTAGGCGGCTTTACACTACTCTGCATTGAATTCCACTGACAAGACTCTTTTAAATGCACACCAATGTGTACACAAGTGAATCTCATTTTTTAAAACCAATCCAAATGACTATATAGGCTTTACATATGACAAAATTCCTGGTAGGCTTTACATGTGAAAAAATGCCTGTAAAAAATACCTGGTAGTTTTCCATTGAAGAAGGGGGGTTGGATGGCTGAATGGTTAGCATGTGCGTGCTGTATGATAAAGTCTGTATTGAGTCTTCTGGCATGGTTTCGAATCCCCGGTTGTAAGTGACAAGGAGTAGAGTCGCCTTGCCAACCTCGTGGTTTTCTCCGGGTCCTCCGGTTTCCTCCCACTGCTAAAGACCCCTACGCGCAAGCAAATTATTGAAATAAAATTGAACCATGTGTTAGTCCCAAAATGACCTAGTTTGTGCTGAGTGGACGTTAAACCCCATTTCTCTCTCTCTCTCTCTCTCCATTGAAGAAATACCTGGTCAAGGCTTTACATTGTGAAAAAATACCTGATGGGCTTTACATGTAAAAAAATACCTGGCAGGTTTTACAGGTGAAAAAATAACTGGTGAATCTTAGTTTATTGTAAATATGATATATTTCATAATTCGATTTGTTTTCCTGATGCAAAACAAAAAACAATACTTAAATAAAATGCAAACCAAAACATATGAATTAATATATATTTTTTTTATTTTCAGTTGTGGGATGTTAGCAGTATATTATACTGATTGTTACAGAAGATTATTTATTTATTTTAAAATAGGCATTATCCCACATATATCATACATGATATTGTGTGTGATATTATGGTACATCAGTCACTTCAAAAGTATTGATAGTCGGATGATATATTATCTACGCTAAATCTAAAATACAAAGTCAAAGAACAAAAAGTACTTAATTTTGTCAAGTTTGTTTTTCCTTGTTTTTCTTTTGAATCATAGAATTAAATTTTACACTCGGTTAAATTTGAATTATAAATAAAGTAACACAACCAATCACAAGCATAATTGGTTTGCTATTAATTAAAAAAATAATTACCATAGATAGAGACTGTCACATAGGCTCTGAATAATCATCATTGAATTCCAAAGATGTGCTACTTGAAGTGTTGCATATATTATAACATGTGTAAGTTTTCATATATGCTTTAATAAACCGTCATTTAAGGGACATATTTCAAAACAATAGGTGACTAATTTTGGTATTACAGGTATCAATTTTATTTTGCTTCTGTAATTGTGTCCCTTTAAGACTAACTGATGTCTCAGTCATTAGATATGGGAGTTGCAATTTTGGGTTTAGTTACAAAAAATTATTTATAATCACGAAATGACAAAAATACTCATTCAAGCAAATATCCAATAACTGCCTGATTCATATGCATGATTCTTAAACCTTCCATCTGGGACATGAATTATGTTAAGAATACATAGAATATTTTACATAATATTGCTTCTATGCAACTTGTTGAAAATAAGATTTTCATATTTATTAATAACATTATCAGATTTTTAGATTATGAGCATGATAAACCAAACTTGTCTAGTCTTGATCATTCTAGCACAAATAGGCTTCGAGATATCATCCCCTGTTGACTTATCTTGTGTCTTGGTGGTAAATCATGTCTCATAGTTGTACAAGGTTATTTGATATCAATAGTGTAATGTGTTACTCTAGTTGCTGCAAACAATTTGATTGAATCAATTAAGATATTTTAACAACAGGAATAGGTCCACCCCAACCTATCTAGTAGTAACCATAATTACAGTATGTCAATATATCTGACTTGAAATCATGTGATAGCAGAGGTAACTCCATTTGATTTGTAAGTTTCAATAATGATATTCAAGACTATGAAACTGAATGAACAAGACTGGTAATTTGATATTCAAGACTACAAAAATGAATGAACAAGACAGTTAACTTGTTGTAGGCCTATTGTGGATTTTCTGTTCAATGTCTAAGATTGCTGTATATGTTATGATTTGTTGAAGTTGACCTTGAAGCAGAGACATTTTGTGCTGGATTGATTAAAACCAAAAAACTTATAACCCATACATTAATTATGATAAGAACCCATTGAATATATTACTACTCATATTGATATTTATTGAATGATCGCTCAATTAATTGAAAATAAGATTTTCATATTCATACATTTCATGAAATTATTTGATAATTTATCTACATGTATAACAACAATAATTGCTATAAGTTTCAACGAATAATAACTCTTGGTGGTTTTTTTTGTAATTTGTATGTGACATGACATAAAAGAAGATACAATATCATGAAAGATACCTTCTGTGTGATATGATGATATATTTGGACCAAAAACTAATTTATCTATCAAAAATTTGCTTCAAATCCCCCTCAAATCATAAGAAAACTACCCCATGCGGTGAGAATCTATTTTTATTAGCCTTGCTTATCAGTGACTTTATTGAATGAGAAGGCTTTTCAGCTCGTATTTGTCATTAGTCACTGTCAATTTACCATAAATATTGAACCTAAGTAAATTCTTGGATTAACCAATGTCAACTTCCCTTTCCATTGTTAAATCGCAGAGTCTACTGGACGTTTCATTCTGTCACTCAAACAGACAAGCTGCCTTTTAGGGATACTCTCACCTTTTTTGTCTTGTGTGTGCCCCATGGGTGTTTTGCAGGGAATCCAGTATTCTTCTAGTAAGAATGCCTGTCTCTACTTTTATTGGAAATAACTACTTGATAAATACTTTTGTGGGGAATGTATCTTAAATGTGTATATTTTTTTTCCAAATAATTATATGAAAATTAAATTGCTAATGATAAAAGAAAAACCTACCAATTACATAAACTCTTCAACGATATAAAGCACTATAATATAGAAACATTTTCGCTTTCTGTTTCACATTTAATAATTGTATATTAAAGCCCCTCTATCACAATTGTCGAAAATTTGATCTATATTATTACCATTTATTACATTCGTTTAAATGTAAAATGGGGTACAATATAAAAAAAACCCCAACATATGATTTTGACCAGATCAGGAGAGATTTATCACATTACTAGAATTTGGAAATGCATTTTGATCTGGTTGAATGAAATAGAATTGTATTGTACTGTTACCTATGCAAGTTGTAGATTAGATTCTAGGTTTATATGTGACATGCAGTAGAGTAGTTTGCCTGAATTGTGGGGTTTCTTCAGGTGCTCTAGTTCCTTTCAACGCCTACAAGCCCCAGCATGCAAGGAAATGATTGAAATAAAAATATACCATATATTTGGGCCGAAATGGTTAAGAGTCGAGTAGACTTGAAGTCATTCACCACTTTCAGATTTTCAAATACATGAAAAATTGAAGGCAGTTACCTCTCTCCCCAATAAATTTTTTCTGTCCTACCTTAATTAAAACAAAGTCTTAATGATTATACACCAAAAAATTGCTGTTCTCAGGTGATCTGATTGGCAGATTAGATACCATGGTGAATAGTTATGGTCTAAAGTATTTATAAACTACATATATAAAACTAGTCACACGGTAAAAAAACCTGCTATTCCCATTATTATGTACAAATATTGTCATATTATGAATATTAGAAACATTTCTTTCATGTTATACTTTCAACTTAATTAAGTAAAACTTTACAAAGTTAATATTCACCCGATGTTCATTTGATTGATATATGTGTGCCTTTTAAATTGATTTTTAAATACAGATATAAAACTAATAACATTTGTGTGTAAATTATTGTGATTTTAGAAACTTGCTTTTGCTTCATGTTTTGCTATAGTGGCAATTAATTGTAATATATTTTCCCACAAGATATTTGATTCAGATTTTTATATTAAGAGTTATTACCATTCTCAATAAAGAAAGAGAAGTAATTAATCGTGAATAATATCATATTTGAAATAACCTTAAAATCATATAATGATTAAAAATCCAAGTACTAACCAAGTTACAAGTGTTCATTACACACCTTGAAATGAGCTCAAAATATTTGTCTGACTCCTAAATTGACACATTTGTCATAAATTTTACATATAATCTACTTTGAACATGCTGGATTTAACAGTAAAGTCAAATTAATTACAAATTAGTATTTTACCAACAGATGAAAGCACCCAAAACGTCTTTAATGTAAGGTGAGAAATATTGAAAACATATTCTGATTTATATCTTCAATTATATGCTTTGTTAAATAATTGTTTGTAAAATTTTTTTTGCATGCTAAATCGTTTTGACATTTATGATTTGTACAGTTATTAGAATCATTAGTTATAACATAGGTGGCTACCTGTACATATTCAGAAGGTTGCTAGATAGGTTTACACTTTTTGTATTGTATCCAGTGCTCTATTTTCGTATCCCTATGTGTTAAAAATAAAAGTAACTAAATAAAACAAATAACATTTATTTGTCAAATATTAGGGAAAATGTCCCTTCCTTATGGTTTAGGGGACAAAGTATTTTTAATTCCTTGTCCCAAAAGGTCCTGGATTTGTACATGTAAAAATTATATAAATTAATATGTCTGATACATCTAGTTGTAGGACCTCTTCCAGAAATGTTTCTGTCACAAATCATAGAGATCCTGTTTCTTTAATTAATACAGAATGTTTTTATAGTTGTTGTATTTAACACAAGATGCAAGTAACTGTAACAATCATTTCTTCCAGGTAAAAGTTTTATTAAATGTTGTCATTAGTTTTTATAACTTAAACACATCATTCATGCCATTAAAATATTCATAACTTATAAAATGTTATTTGAGTTAATTTGAAACCAGATCTATAAAGAGGTTTAATGAACGCATTTATTATTTTGAAGCAATCTTTGAAGACAACTGAACTCTTGACAGCTCACTATGGACATTAAGCTGTTTCTAACAGTTATTTATTTCAACATGTAGATCAAAATGTGTAAATAAAATGAAGTGAAAAATAGGAGTGTAACTGTACCCGGTAATTAGAACCTTAGAGGTCAACTTACAGGACAAAAAATGTTCTCAAATTATTTTTTGCTTAGAGAAAGGGGCATGGAATGTTTTTGTTTGATACCAAATTAAAGTTTAGATAATTATCTTATACAAATATTTATTTATTAGAAAGCTTTTATTGAAATAATACCAAAGTAGGAAGATGGATGACTAATATTTCTGGCATTTTACATGAAGATGGACATGTGCTCAAATTTTTGTGCTGAATTTCATTCTTTTCAAGATAATGTCATATTTTAAGCACTTGCAAATGTTTTCAATTCTGTCATGGAAATACTATAGTATATAGTTATTCGTCTGCACCAATATATTATTGAAAGACTGTAAAGTATTGTCTTGTAAATACTATGTACAAAATATATACCGCCTACAATTTATTTAAAACAGAAAAAAAAATTCTGTCCCCTTTTGTTATTTGTTAGACTATATAAATATATTATTATGTATAAATCCTACTAATATTATTGCGGTAACACCAATGTAAAACATTACTTATATTTTTCTTTTGTTTATTAAGACTGTATCAAATAAACTGTTGAAAATTAATATACAGTTGTTGTTATCCATAGATATGGGGTTGGGGTCATATTGTATGCTCATATTTGTTTTTACTTCATACTACATTAACTTCTGACATATTTCCTTTGAAGTCAGCATTCAGAAATGAAATGCATCAACTAGATTAATGAAGATGGGTCACCATTCAGATCATGAGATGAAATGGTGTGTAAGGTTTCAGCACCAACCCGGTTAATGAAGATGGGTCACCATTCAGATCATGAGATGAAATGGTGTGTAACGTTTTAGCACCATCCGGGTTAATGAAGATGGGTCACCATTCAGATCATGAGATGAAATGGTGTGTAACGTTTCAGCACCATCCAGGTTAATGAAGATGGGTCAGCAGTCAGATCATAAAATTGTGTGAATTTCTTGACTAATCAATTTGTCTGTGTTGGTATATGTGGTGAATTGTGGGAAAGGATATATGGGAAAGATTCTGATATAAATATTATCCTTTTGTGGATGAGTATAGAAGTGATATCAGAAAATAAACAGAACAAAACTGTAATCTAATTTCCATAATACTGATTCTTGGGATGCCTAGTTTTTTGCTCCAACTTACACATCTTTAATAGGTATTGGTTTCACTATTTAAAAGACACTGTGAATTTAATTTATTTCAATGTCTTCCTTTTCATATTGAAGAACACATAAACAAATAAATTAAACAATTTGTTCTTTTAATCATTCTTTATATATACATACAATTATAATAAATTATACAGGTATAATAGAATCCACTGTAAAACAATAATATATATAGTATAGAGGTATTTTGTTCTTGAAATGTAGAAAACAAAGCACACATTTTTAAAACAGTTGACTGGCCACAGTTCCCCAGTTATAATGATGAGCAGAACAATCTTAGCAAGATTTATGTTACAAAACACTGTCTGATATACTATACTGTAATAATATACCAATCATAATGATAACAGGGTTGATTTTATACTTGAGGTAAAGATTTAATCATTTCATCTAATTTCTTTACTAATTCCTCATTTTCTTGACTAGATGATTTTGTCCAGGCCAGAGGTAAATGCTTGGATACAACTTGGCGATCTGTAAACAATATCAAATAATATGTGATAGAATGAATGTAGATAATAAATTTACATGGAATTAAAAATATATTTCTAAATTGTATTTGATATATCTATGGAATTATGCATTTAGAATCACAAAATTGTGTCTTAATCAAAATGTTTAAACTCTTTATATATTTTGAGATTATAACAACAATCAAAAATTGTAATATCATGGAATTTTGTAATCGACATTTAGGTACCAAATCTTTAATGACGGCAAAGTACCGGTACCAAAACCTCTTTACAGACATAAAATCCTGATCTATTTTTTGCATTCATAACTTCTTTTCTTAGCAATTACAAATCAAACATTACAAAAATTATAGGTTTTTCCATTACATTTATTTCATGTTTGAAAATATAAGCCTAAAAGAATAATCACATTGCTATGCTTCATACATAACAGCGTCCAAACCTTCAATTTGAATTTCCATTTAAACTTTAAATAACATGCATGTCAACTTAACACTCAAATTTCTTCATAAGACTTATAGTTGAATGTATACTATACTCTTCAAAAAAATTAGGGGATATTCAGAAACAATACAAAACTGCGGAAATGCACTGCTGTTTTTATTTGAGGTAACCAGTGTATGTTAATAACAGGCCAATTGCCTACACATGAACATGAACAGTGAAAATGGACGTTTTTGATTTTTGTCTTAATAATGAGTAATTGCTCCACCAATCCTCAGACATTCAGCAATTCGACGTGACATGCTCCTAATCAACCGTCCAATCACGATTTGGGCCAATCTGACCAACTCCTCTTGCAGTGCTACGGTCAATTCTTGCAGTGTTCTCGGTTTAAGTTGACGTCAACAAACACGTCTCTCGATCAAATTAAACGTAACACACTAAAGCAAAGATACGCTAAACAGTAAATCTTATGCAAAAACCGATAGGAATGCTAACATGGAAAGATAAACCAGCATGCGGTAGTTTTCATCAACCCTTCCTTGAAGTGTCAAATTTGACAATGAACCCCTCCCATGTGTATGGCGCTATGTGCAGCTCAGTGGTTCTGTTGGGGCAATAAGTTCTTCATCTGTGAACATACTCTCAAAGCATGTCAAGTGTCCATGACCATTTATCATATCACAACCTGCATAGGTATTTGCATTTCAATATCCCCTACTTTTTTTGAAGAGTACATATACAATCATAGCCACTTCGTCATGACAAACACATGGAAAGTTAGTAGTAGACAATCAGAGTGATTTCTTAAATTAATGACGTCATAATTAAGCAATTTGGTACCCAATATGTTAAGATTTGTTGGTGTTTTTACAGAGTGATCATTTTTTTATACTAACCTTGATAAAATTCTCCATTAGGTTTTTGTTTTATATTAGGTATTACAGCTAACCATACAGCTGTATCAGCACCCTGTTCAGCACTACGTAATCTATCTTTCATCTTCTCATAAAAACTAGGCATACCTGACCTTACAGCTGTAAATATAATATATATAATCTATTAGAGGTACCTATACGACATGTTTTATTTATATCTTTAACTACATGACATCTGATTGTTTTTCATTTTCATTAAATTATGTCGTTAATTTATGTAATTTAATGATGCAGTTTTATAAAGTGCCAGTAAATAAACATGTGTTGTTTAATGCATATTCCTACTACTCATATATTTGCTAATCAACAAAATATGATTATGAACATTAGCCTGCATTCAAAGATAAAGGCAATTAAATGTACACCCCCATGAGCTAAATTGTCCGAGCTGTGATGTATATACAAATGACAATATACAACCACACTCTAAAATGTACAAATTCATGTATGTTGCAGTATGGTATTTACAATTGTTTTAGGTTTATGTTCTATTAGTTTTACCTGGAGTATCAGCCCAACCAGGATGCATACAGGAGAAGTGAATACTAGGGTATTTAGTTGCATATATTTCTGTCATCACAACCTGTTGACGTTTATTTTGTGCATAAACCATTGTTCCATCAAAAGAACTAAGTTTTTCAGATTGTAGATCGTCAATATTTAACTTCTGTGTTAACATTCCTCCTGATGTAACAATTATCTACAATTGAAGAAAAAAAAATGTTGTAAAATGTGTGTCAAGGGAGGTAACTGTGTACAACAACCCTTAAGTCATATTATCTCCCCTTAGACCACAGTCTGTACAATATTTGAAACCATCAAGCTTATATCACTATATGCAGACATAAATACACATCATTATTGTACGATTAGCCTTTAGATAAAGCTATTTGTTTGTTTCAATTTCTATGGTCAATTTCTCAACAAAATTTCTTACTGAACTGCCCACAGGAGGCTACATCATGTAAGAATTGTCGGGTCCTAAATCATAAAGGGCAATAACCTCTCCCATGTTTCGCATGCATAATATCCAAATGTAAATTCAAATAAGCTGGAAACTACTGGAGTGTATTAAGGAATGCTGATTGTAATTTCAAGACACATAGGCTGTAATCACTTTACCGTCACTGGCACTTTATTCAAATACGGAGTCAGTCTTGCTTCTCGGGGTTAACCAACAACAAAAGAATATACAACAACGATAGAATATATTTTGTTTCTTAACATTTAAATTCTATATTGTTTTCACTGTTTTGCTCTGTAATAACTTTATGCAGAGCACAGAAATTGTAACTCCAAATTGGTATATTTATATGCATTTTATTACTTACCACTCTTGGGTCATCATATTTCGATAAAACTGATGTCAATCCCGTTGTTAAAATATGTGTACCTGAAAAAATACACAAAAAAAATAATTAGATTGTTATAAAATTTACATCTAGAGTACCATTTGAATTTCATGTGGAATATTTCTTGAACTGACAATCAGTTCATGATCAAATTTGAAAATACATAATAAAATAAAACCAAATCAAGGCATTTACATACATGGCTTACCAAAAATCTTGCTACACTATTTAACAGGGTGACCGTTTATTCTCACGTAGCTTTAGATCTTCATAACTCAGTGTCATGCTGACTTCAACAAGTAAATAGATGGAAAGCTTTCTAAATTCTCCAATTTCTTTTGCAAATTTCACTACTTTAATTGCTTTTTTGTACAAATAATTTTGTCAGGTAAGTGTTTTAGGTTTTCTTTTAATATTTTTTAATAATCATGTTGTGATTAGGTATGAAATCAGGTGTTGAATACAGCTCAATACCTAGCATGTATGCATCCATGATCCATTGGAACTTTTTATTTTTTTGCATTTTTCTACAGTTTAAATACCAACATAGGTCAGTCTCAGGTAAAAATTTAACAAAATAGCCCAAACTACATCTTAAAACAATTGAAGTTGATAATTATTGTTACCTAATGTATTTGTCGCAAAATTCTTTTCATACCCTTCTTCAGTAACTTCTCTAGTATTCACCATACATCCTGCATTATTTATCTGTAAACAAAAATGTTACATTCTGTCAATTGAATGTTTCTATAGTGATCAAATAATTTGAAGATATATTAATATGTATTAATGACACAATTTACCTTGTTCAAGACATTCACTTTTTGTTGATTTTTCTGCCATCAAGAAGATGTATCAATCAATGCATTATGACAAGAATTTGACAAGAATATAAGATCAATTATTTTGCAGATTATATGAGGTGTATATTGATCACTGACAATCTTTTCTGTTACCAAAATCAATGTTGAAATTAATGTCTAAATGACTGTAATACTCACTAAAACATTTAACTTTTCTCCACTAGTTTCAAATTCTTTTGTAAATTTTAAAACATCATTTGGTTTGGACATATCTAGTTGGTGAAGTTTGATGTTCTGGAAAAGAAGTATCGAACATATATATATATATACATTTAAAAATGGTACAAAAAGTAAAGTACAGTTTGTATACAAATACAAAATTGTGTCTCAATATATTCAAGAACCATAACTGTATACAAATACATCAAATATAAACTCTTAATGCATAAGAAAGCTTTTAAAAAATGGCATTCTTTTTGTACTTCTTTTCACAAGAAAAATTGCCACAGACTTATTTGTTGTCATTTCTCTAAAAAAAGAAATATATACTATCTACAGAAAAGAATCAATAAAATATAAGGTATTACCCAATTAAATGATTGTTATCTGCATAACTACTCGTAAAAAATACTAAATATTATGTAAAGATGTAATACCCATAATATATATTGAATAAGTATGCAAACCAGTGGTCAAGGAAAGCCTGGAATTAGCGATATAACTTTTTTAAAATTAAATATCAATGTACCTGATTGCCTGTGATCTCTTTTATTTCATTCAAGGCATCCTCTCCTCTTTTTGGATCTCTACATACCATGTGAACAACTCCTCCTTTAAAAAATAAAGCAGTCCTTCATGTTTATAAAATTGTGCGGGAGTCATAAAGAGCTCCTGATACCTTGAATATATGCAGTTTAAAAGTAAACAAAAACTGAAAGTAGTTTATTAATCTCAATATTTAGGAGAGCGATTTAGCTAATTTGCAGGAGTCTTTAATGACTCCTTCGAAGGAAAGCTGATGTGCGTCGAGAGGAGCAGGAGCGAAAGCTCCCCTTAAACGTGAAGGACTGATAAAGCCAATATACAAATGTCCATCTGGCTTGAGAACCTAAGATAGAGCAATGAGTGCACAATATCTAATTTAGATTTAGTTATGTTTGTGTCAAGATATATGAGCCATCAGTCTATTTAAATATTTTTTGCTGTGTAACTTTCATTGCTGTTTGACCCTTTTCAGTAACAAATGAAAACTGTCTCACCTTAATGAATAATGATCAGTACTGTTTTACAATAGATTATGTTTGTCAATTGGATCTTTTTTCTATTTTTCTAGTGTAAACTTTAAGCCATTCTTAATAAAAAAAAATCTAACTGCAGAACATGTACCTCTCTTGGCTATCTCAATTGCAGCTGATTTTCCAATACCACTATTAGCTCCAGTTATCATGAAACTTCTCCCAGTGACATCAACTTCCAAATCTTTTTCACAAAAATTTTTACTTGCGGATAGGTAGCCATTTCTTTAAGCAAACAAACTCAACATATATTTAAATGTTGTAACAAATAAACTTAGGATTATTCCTAATTAATTCACTTTATCTTCTCAATCTCTTTCCAGTTATAAGGCCTTAGGAAAACAATTTTGACCAGGGAAAAAGAATTGAGATGATGACCTTATTAAATAGATATATATACCAGCAAAAATGTCATACATGAAAGTAACACAGTTTTTGCAGATTCTTTTGATGTAGCCTATGCTTTCTAACATCTAGGAGTGAATTAATTTTTTGCTGTGAAATTCACTAATTTGCTGAGCTCTACCCGGTATTTTGAAAATAATCAATAAGTTTTGAACTGTATACATGTAGTTACTCTTTTGAAGTAATATTTTAATCATAATTAAAATATATAATAATAATAAAAATCGTTTTCTATAGCGCTGAACATTCAGTTAGTCAGTCTAATTAACTCATTTAGACACTTTTATTTTGACTTAAAAGAAAGAAGTGGAGCTCATAGTTTAAACAGGCACGCTTTGAACAAGAAGATAAAAATGTAATTAATTTCTTCATGAAATGTCAAAAAAATCTTAAGTCAAGTACTACAGCGTGATATTATTGATGGACAGTTATCTTTAATTGCAATTTCTCTTTTTCTGCGAACTTTTGAAATTTAAGATCACTGTACCGCAACAATTTATTTCTAAAATAAATAAATACATAACTTTAGTTAAGCATTCTTCACACTCCTAGTTCATAAAGACGGGTAATCCTCCCAGTCCCACCACATTTATTTATTTGTCAAGAAACTTACTTTGTGTATTCTTTCAAGCCCTTCATAAACCATATAGTATTTCTGAAGAAAGACATCTTCATTCACAACCTACGCACCTTTCAATTCTGCAGTCTTTGCTGGTAATTAATTCTTATTTCATTAGGCCTATCGTCTAATGTTATATAACGAAAGTGTGAAAGTTCATTAACCAGGGCGACAGGCCAAATTTTAATAACGATTATTACCTGTAATAAGTACTATTCAACAAAATATTACTAACAGAATTGTTAAAAATTGTATAATATTTAGGAAATATATAAAACTGTAGGATGTCAATTATGGAATTACAAGATTTATACAAAAAAACAACAATATTAACGACAAATTAACAAGCGGAACTGATGACTATGTGCAAAACGTCACCGGAAGTGCTACAGTCTTACTACACAGTACTCGGTGACGTAAACGCACGGAAGTAAACAGGTGGCAGGGCAGAGGGTGTTCTGATAATTATTGATTAATTCTGTTACAGAAGAAAATACCTGTTTTACTATCTTAAACAGCATTATTGATCCATATTTGTGATCAAAATGGTTAGTTATAGATTTACAAATATATATTTTATACATATAGTCTGTGGAAACTGTAAGAAATGAAGTGATTCAGTATAAAGTTACTGTAACTGTAGGTAGTAAACTCGTTTACGTTGTCGTAAATAAGTGTTAGTTTAAAGAGCTAAATCGCTAACATTTGGGACCTAGAAATTGACAAAAGTGGGTCGCAACGCATATAATACTGTAATATGAATGTATATAAACTGAATTACATTCAATGGTTTCCGTTTTACTCCAATTTCTAATCAGTTATGTTCGGCGAAATAAGCCAGCAGTCTCAAGCGAGTGCAAATTTCTAGCGTCTGGTTATTCCTGTCTACATGCGCCGTTTGATTTGGTGCAATGTGTCTAGGCGCGTCCCTCGAGTCTCTTGATACAACTGGGGCTGAAGCTCATTATGGTACACGATTCTTGTACCAATGGTAAAATGTTTATTTTGTCTGAAATATTGGATATCAAAAGCCCATCTTTTTTCGGTAAGATCACAACATGAATGTTGATTTAATTTGACAAATAAATCGTGTTTTCAATGTTGAAGATTTTGGATGATATTGAGTTAGAGACTTAGCTACTTTAAGTGACAAGGACGATTTATCATTTTCCCGACCCAAGACTCCGTATTTGACACACCAAATCAGATAATTTTAACACGATACTACGAAATGCTACAAAATAGACCTAATACCTCATGTTAAAATCTGACAGAATACTTTAATTATTTCTACATCTCTGTGGTGCAGGACGGAGGGCCTGAGAAGGACAGCTGTCTAGTCGTTTGGATGGGACAAAAAACAGAGGTCCTGTGTACGCATTGGTGTGCACATAAAAAAGATCCCTTGGCAGTTGGGATTCGATATAAGAGTAGGTCATTGTTGGAGTATGAATATCTTCTAAGCCCAGCCGGAGCAGTAAGATGTTAAACTCCATTTCGTTTTCCATATCACTGACTTGAAATTTTTTAGGGCAAACTGGAATGTCTTGGTAATAGCACTAGTTGGCTATCAATACTACATGTACTAATGCTGAAAGGGTCGTCAGCTAGTATAATACTAGAGACAAGTACCTGGGGTACCCTTCTGGCTTCTGTATACATAAGATTCCCTGATTGGCTGCAAAAACGACTGTTGATTACATGACCTGATCACACATTAATCATGTTTAAATGACTGTCTTTATGCTAAAGTTTCCTCTGGTCTGGTTTAAACGACTGTCATTATGCTACAGTTTCCTGCGACTGTGGAAATATTTCCCACGAATTCCGAAGTGCTACCGATGTAGCAATACATGTATATTGTAAGACAATGTCAAATATGACCTGCAGGATTTTACAAACTTTATTAAGTCGAGTACCATTACAGGGTTTTGCAACCGATTGGGTACTCTTAACTGTATGCAGAAGGGTCCCTTGGGTTCTTGTCTGTAGTATTTATAGCCCTTCAGCAACACTATTCCATTACTACAAAAAAAGCTGATTGAATTGTTATTTCAAGTCAGAATTGTAAGGTACCATGGGTTTATTTGGGGAGTCATTTTCTCTCAAGGAAAACATACAATGTACTTGTACAGGTATATGTACTCCAATATTTTTAAAATTACCCCTCTTAAAATTGAGGATTTTTACATGACTTGGTAGGTTTCCACTTTATAACATATTTTATGGATTAATTACAATGCAGAAACTTATAATTTTCTTTTTTCAATATATGTATATTTCTAGATGCAGTTTATGCTTTTGTTTAGTCGTCAAGGAAAGCTGCGACTACAGAAATGGTTTGTGGCACATACTGATAAAGTCAAGAAGAAGATAACAAGAGAATTAGTCACATTAGTTTTAGGACGAAAACCTAAAATGTGTAGCTTTTTAGAATGGAAGGATTTAAAAGTAGTATACAAAAGGTGTGTATTTTGTTCATGTATTTCTTAGTGAAATTTTATTAGATGGGCTAAGCTTTTTCTGTAACAGAAATCTTCTTTCAAGCATAATTTTGGTTGTCTGTTGAAAGGCAAAAGTATATTTTTAATGATCAGGAAAGATAAAATTATATAGGCCTACTTGTAAACTCAAATTGCCCACAATAGCTTATATTAAGTATCTTATTAATTAAAGGTGGTCATTCAGTGTGTTGAACAATACTATCTAAATTTATAACAAAATGTGCATTGTTTGAAATGTATCTTTAAGTATACTGGACTCGATATCTGTATACAGAGAGTATTTCAATGCAGGTGTCACACGCAATACCAACACAGCAAATTGTATTTCCTGATACAACCAAACAAACACATGGAAAGACAGTGTTGCCAACCATCATATATAATGTTGGTTGAAAAAATAATCCCTTGTCCTTATTTGTAGATATGCTAGTTTATATTTTTGCTGTGCTATAGAACCAGAAGATAATGAATTACTTACTTTAGAAATTATTCACCGATATGTTGAATTGTTGGATAAGTATTTTGGAAGTGTAAGTATTTAATTTTGTCTATCTAATAAACTTCCCAATAGATAAACTATTGTCTTCGTGTTCAGTAATACAATTTCTCTTACAAATTGATCTTTAAATGTTATGGTTTAGAAAAGGTGTGAATAATAATAGAAAGAAATATTGTATATAAAATTAAATATTAAAAAATAGTTATACATTAACTGTATCTTATGAATTAAATAAAAGGTAGTGTTGCCAATAAGTATATTGGTAAAAATGTTGACAGTAGTTTCTACTTATTTCATGCCACCATCTTTATTGTTACTGAACGCCTGAATGATAATCTATTTCTATCTATATATGTACATCAAGCTCAAGATGGTATGAAACCTATACTTATTTTTATTATGATTAAAAAAGGAAAAATAAGTATTGGCCTCTTGGCAAATTTAGGTTTTAATCTAGAGACTTTATTGCATGTCATATAATTATTTGTTCTTTGTAGTTATAATATATCTCTTTATTACAGGTATGTGAACTAGATATTATATTTAATTTTGAGAAAGCCTATTTTATGTTAGATGAGTTTTTACTAGGAGGTGAAGTTCAAGAGACGAGCAAGAAAAATGTACTCAAAGCTATCGCAGCGCAAGATCTCCTACAAGAGGTAAGATGTCAATTTCATTGCCAAAATATTTATGATTATTTTAGAATGCTGTTTGTGTTTAATACAACTATACCAATATATTCTTAATCAATATAATCTATCATTCATAAAATTTTTATTGTCATGTTATAGAACTAATCAGAGAATAATGGTGCTTTAATAAAGGTATACATACGGTTGTAATAAAAAGGAATAAAGTATAACAAGCGTGACACATACATGGTCTAAATATTTCAAAAGAAATACATTAAACAGCCTTGTTACAGCTGTTCAAAACTGCCCCCTTGTAGTTTTACTGTTTTGACAGATCCTATTGCACGGTCGGCTTGAAAATATTGAATGGGTCAATTGAATAAAGTTCTTATTGTCTTGGTTAAATAATGTAGGCAACTTTCATGCCACCTTCCTTCTTTATTCCTTTATGGTAAAATCAATCAATAATATGTGTGCCATGTGTGATATAATGATTTGAAATACCCATATGATTTAACCAGATGTGTGTTTAATACCCACTTTAATACTAAACACTCCCATATCAATATTCATTAATTAACAGTATTCTTGGAGCATGCCAAAATTATAATGCTGCTCTCATTTAAACAAAATTAAATGAAAGTTCTTTAATCAAATTGGTAGTTCAGGAATAAAACTAATTGAATGTCTATCTATAATAAAGAGGAAACATGAAAGTCATAGCATGTAAAGCATGCCGTTTTTTTTTTAAAACAGTAGTTTTAATAACCTTTTTTTAAATTTTTTTAGAAATTTTTTTTTACATTAGAAGCATGCCTAATATTCATAATGATTTAGAGTTTATCATTAAAGTAATTTTTAAAAAAAATATTTAACATATTGATTTATATTAGTAAACGAGAAATCACATGGTTGATTGCACACCTCCAGTTTACCGGTTGTTTTAAATCAATAAGCCACTTCACTTGAAAAGTAGTTGAATCATTAGAAATTGTAATAAATTACAATAAAAGTTGTAAGACAACCAGTCTTTTACATGTGTTGCACACTTTATGGAATATTTCAAATTTTCATTTTAATTTCTTGATGCAACTCCTTTGTACTACTTTCTATTTTGCTTTTAATTTCCTAAAGGACGATGCAATAGAAACTGCTCTTAAAGAATATGGCTTAGTATAATCTCTTCAACCATTAATGTATCTTATAAAAGGTATTCAGCTAGTTATGTTGATAATTGTCATGTTTTCTGGGACTTAAATCAGTTTTTGTTTGATCCTGTATAAAGCAATAGCTACTTTGTGCATACACTGTTTCATTTGCCATTTCAATTTTTCTTTATTTGTCATGACTCGAATATAATGTGATGCGAATGGCAAGGAAAAGGTTGTGAAATTTGTCTGAATCTGTCTCACTACATGTACTTCTTAAAAATATGTTCCTTCAAGTTTAATTAAATCATCTGTTTGACCAACTATAGTTAATATTTAATTATCTGAAAGTATTATCTTTCTAATGGTTACGGATTTTTTTTTTCTTTTCTGAATTTGTATTGATGCCATTCCTCAATAAATCAACTACTGTTTGTCCGTAAGTGCATGCTTTTCTATATTTAGAGGGATGTGTCACTCAGTCATAATGGTAGCAGCGTTGAGATTTGTATTGTATTGAAATTTCTCAAATTGTACAATGATTTATTTACCATATCATTCTCGACATGCTTTTCCAAGTCAAACTCAAATTACATAAGAACAAATTAAAAACTAGAACATTTTGAAAAATTAAAAAGCTGGATATTTTATTCCACCTAAACTGATTTTATATCTCAATTGTCGGTACTTGTAGCCCATTTTTTTTTTACCTGAAGAAAGGCATTGATATGGACTAATTATCTTTCCACTCTCTTTCATATATTGTTTCATACTTATCAGGCAATTGTCTTTACTCTTGTTAGATAAGATTCACGAATAATAAATAAAATAGGACAGAGTTATTGTAATGAGAAACTGCCTGTATAACTATACTCTTAAAAAAAAAAGGAGGGGATATTCAGAAACAATACAAAACTGCAGAAATGCACTGCTGTTTTTATTAGAGCTAACCAGTATATGTTAATAACAGGCCAATTGCCTACACATGAACATAAACAGTTCATATGGGTGGCTTATCTGACGGCCCCATTTCACTCGCAAAGAGATACACAGTCAAAAGTGAAAATGGACGTTTTTGATTTTTGTCTTAATGAGTAATTGCTCCACCAATCCTCAGACATTCAGCAATTCGTCGTGGCATACTCCTAATCAACCGTCCAATTACGATTTGGGGCAATCTGACCCACTCCTCTTGCAGTGCCATGGCCAATACTTGCAGTGTTGTCGGTGACGTCGACGAACACGTCTCCCGATCAAATTAAACGTAACACACTAAAGCAAAGATACGCTAAACAGTAAATGTTATGCAAGAACCGATAGGAAAGCAAACATGGATAGATAAACCTGCGCGCGGCAATTTTCATCAACCCTTCCTTGAAGTGTCAAATTTGACAATGAACCCCTCCCACGTGTATGGCGCTATTGCGTGTCGCATGTGCAGCTCAGTGGTTCTGTTGGGGCGATAAGTTCTTCATCTGGGAACATACTCTCAAAGGATTTCAAATGTCCATGGCTATTTATCATATCGCAACCTGCTTGCATTTAAATATCCCCTACTTTTTTTTGAAGAGTATATAATGCCATGATAGAATATAAAAGAAGTAATGGAAGGTGCAGTGTATTGAGCATGTAGCTCTGTTTTGTGTGGAATTATTACAAGAATCATTTGATGTTACCCAATGTTTTCTTCACCAGATTGTTATAATCAGTTCTCTTCAACATTGTTTTTGTTATCACTTTTAAAATCTTTTACATTTCGTTGTTTGACTTTTGTAGATTGCTCCTTATTGTACTTTCTAGTTTGTCTTTGTTGTTTCTTTAATTGAAATCTTGATTCCAAATTAAGTTTTCATCACTAATCATTATTTAAAATCTTTTTTATTCTTAAAGAAAATCTTTAGATTTATTTTGTCAAATATTATTTCTAGCAGAAAGCCAATATTTCTGGAAAGTTTCGATTTTCGGGTTTTCCAACCTAATACATGTATGACAAGTTTGTAATAATAGGGATTTTTTTTTTCTAAACAATATTTATTCACAGAAACTGGATTGGAGAACAGGCAGAAGCCTATAAACCCCCTCTCCATGTAATAGGGATGACTTTAATATGACTGCAGGAATTAAATAAATGTATCTAGTAGCATGATGTGATACATAATCTTACATGTAAATACATAACATAATGTTTTGTATTCTTTTCTTGAAACTTTAACAACTTTCTAATATCATGCTCATAAGAACACACACACAAATATAGATCAGAATACATTCAGGTGTTACTGAAACATAAGAAAATTATAACTTCTAATGGATTTTAAGAACGGTTATTGGTACATCACTGTAGAGTATATTGCAGTTTAATAATCACTGTTTTAAAATGGTGTGTTCTTCAATTAAAGGCAATATTTTAGTTCTCAACATCTAGAATTCTATGCGCAAAAAGATTTTTGTCACAGAATTTTATATCATTGCAGTAATAAATCTCTAATATGCCTAAATAAAAATTTTATAGAGAGTCCAAAGAAAAGACAATACTCATCCATCAATATAAATGTATGAACATTGTTACATACTAGTAATTAAAAAAATTATGTATTTGAATCCATCAAGCATAACAGAAGTTATGGCATATTTGTTTAAATTGATTTATTGATTTATAATAACTTTAGCTGACTAGCAAGTCTTGGTATTAAAACAATACATACTAGTTACATACTAGTAATTAAAAAAATTATGTATTTGAATCCATCAAGCATAACAGAAGTTATGGCATATTTGTTTAAATTGATTTATTGATTTATAATAACTTTAGCTGACTAGCAAGTCTTGATATTAAAACAATACATACATATTTGACTATTAGTATAAGGATGTTTATTTGGCATATTGGGCTTTAATAAGAAGTTTCATTTTCAGATTAGATTGCAATCTATGCTGCAAATATTGAGTTTTGGTGTTTGGCCTTAGTATAGAAAACACCAAGTTATTGCTTTTGTTATTGACTATTTTCATGTTATTTATGTGTTTTTTTTATCTTATTTTCCTACTACAGGAGGAGACCCCCCAAGGCTTCTTTGATGATCACGGTTTAGGTTAATGGCAGGTAGATTCACCCATTCGTTGGATGTTTAGACAAAAGAAAATACATGTATTATTATAAGTAGTCTCTGAAATACATTTTTCTTTTTATAAATCTGGAATATATCAAGATGATTCTGATGGGAGAAATTAAACAATTTGGTTGTGTAAAGTTTACACTGTAATCATGTTTTTTTAGGTGTAAATGTACATATTACAATGAATACAATGATGTGAACTACAAATTCGAAAATTGCTTCTCAGTGATATATTAGACAAAAATATTTTCTGTTGTATTTTAACCAATTTTGCAATTTCATAAATAATTGACTCACTCAAGTTTTGTTTAAATGGTGTCTGACTATCTGATCTCCATATCATTTTATTATCAACAAAAAATAGACATACAGAAAAAGCTGGGATGCATCATAATAAAATAAGATCCCCGGATTTGAAATACATTGTATTCAGCATGATGCTATGTGAGTCAGTGACTCACTGCTATTTGACAGATTTTGAAAAAAAATGATTCTACATAATTTTGTTCATAACATAAAAATTATTTATTACATGTACTTTTTTTTCCCCCATCACAATCATACTGATACTATGGTGCGTAAATATGTGAGATTTGTGAAATATATTGTCTTTAATAATAACTGTATGCTTATTAATTGGACTGAGTATTACTGGTATCAGCCATGACTTCCATCTGAGTATTAATACTAATCTACAATATCTCTATATTTAGTATATAATAAATATTATTTTACATATACATAATGTACTTCATAGGAACTCAGTCTTGTACGTTATCAAATTTGTGCATGAATTACTAAATTAACACTTATAACACTTGAGTGAACATAGATTTACGAGTCTCTCAGTGAACATAAATTTACAAGTAATGGTACTGATCTAGAAAATACATTTTTTCAGTAAATTCTATTGTGGATTGTTTCCCTTGATCCAGTTCAGATCATATTGATTACAAAAAAAAAATCTCTTCAACAATTAGTTTTTCCTATTGTCAATTTTCCATTTACTGTACTTGTATTAGAAGAAAATTTGTGGATCTAGCGTGCTGCAAATGGACATTTATGATCATTATAACAGTGTTGTATGGGACTGAGCACCTTTTGTGGTTCTGTTAAAATTGTAATGTGTTTAAGTCATTGGTGCAATTTATGCTATATCAAAATGTGAACGGATGTTTCATCATAGTTAGGAAGAATTCAATATCTAAATTTGAATTAGTATATTTTGATAAAAAATTGAATAACGTGATGGCATTGTTTTAAAATGTTTATTTTCTTTATTATTAAGCTCAAGACATTCCTGTTAGTGTTCATGACAGTTTATTAGATTTGTTTATTTTAATGGTTTATATATTATTTTACTTTACTTTACATATAGAATTATGCCAATCTAACATTTTGATGGATATTAGTAATGATGCCAGTCTTAATTTAAACACTTTTCTACAGTACAATATTATTTCAGTATGAAAGATTGTCCAGTTACCTAAATTTATCTCATATTAAGCATATCTCATTGTGAAACTATAATTTGTAATGAAATCTGATAACTTGCAATTAGGGTGTTCATTTTTTACGAATGCTTTTTTTTTTTTAAGCAAATTTGATTTATATGTATGTTAGTGATTTGCAATTGATTTGCTCTAAGTTTTCTTGTTGTCTATATGTATATCTTTACCACTAAATCTGTATTTATCAGTTTAATACCAAACGTTAAGTTCGGTGTCTAAATTATTTTGTCTGTGTACATCAAAGTAAGTTGGAAGTCTAAATTTGGAAAAAAAAATAGAAAATTAATTAAAGTTATAACTAATACATGTAACGTTATAAGAGTGCTTCCACTACTTCCAGAAAAAAAGGTTTTGCCAGGAAACAGCTGTTCACAACAGCTTAATTGTGAATTGTACATTTCTTTCAAGACACAATATATCATATGGAGAGTTATTAACTTATTGATATCCATGACTTTATAATGTAATCTGACTGTTCTTTGTTTGTAATTCCTGTTCATCATACAGTGCATAATATTCAATAAATATTGTCTTTATTAAAAAAAAAATCCATTGCAGTTATTATTAATTCTAAAATCAATTCTGCGAGTGCATACATATATGCCTACATATAAATATATACAGAAATAAGTTTTGGTATATTGTTCTTTCGTAGTACATCTGTAAACCCTAAATAAGAATTTCATTTAGTTCATTTTTCAATGGTAAGATGTTAATACATTCAATTTTCGCTTGCATGCTTTATAAAAAAATTTCACCATGTTCCCTGCACCTTTACAAGTTAGTTTATTTTTTGCTTTGGTAAATGGCTTTATTGACAATGATTTATAGTGATCAACATTTTTCTGACATTTTTTTCTATAATGCATACATGGTTAAAGAATTCCAAATAAAATCATAGTGGAATCATTGTAAGCATAGTAAACTTAAAAGATTAATGTAAGCGAACATTAGTTTAAAACTGAACAACAGTTTTGATTTATTCAAATTATTGAACTGTTTTACATGTCATTCAAACTATTTCAAAATGTTGATGATTGTAAACTGGCTGTCATTGTGGAAGAAGTGGATTTGAACAAGGTTTGACTCAGAAGATCAGAGAAAAAAAGATTTGGAATTAAAGAACAGGTTTTGAATATTCATAAATCTACATTATATTTCTCTTTTAAATATGATTTTCAATTATATTAAAATATAAATTGAAAATTTCTTCTTTTTCATAATGATGCTAATAAGAGAGGATGTTTATTTCTTCTTCTTTTTTTTCTATTTTAACTGTAGTATTATTTATTTTTAGTTTACGATATCAAAGAAACCTTGGGATATCTCCACACCTGCCTGCTTGTAGTTTATTTAAAGCGTCTATTTAGTTTTTGTGTATATATTTTGACTAATTCTGATAAAATACTAATATTGCAGCTAGTAACATGGGGTGAAAATAAAGAATTACAACGGAATATAATCTTGCTTCTTTGGCTTAAATTTTTAGCAGCTAAGGGGCACTGTTGAGACGTGCAGATGGGTCCCATGTACATGGGTCCCATGTCCATCTTCGTTAGCCCGATGGTGCAGAAAAGTACGACTTTAAACCCGATCTTATTTCAGTTGTTTTTGTAGCAGCTTCCTGTGGGGTTTTATGTGCAATAAAGCACCAGATATAGGAACTGAGTTCTTTCCATAAAGTGCATCGCAATACCTGTACATTTTATAAATCCTATGCCTTTAGGATGTTATAAGGAACTTATCTCAAAACAAAAGATTTTGGATACCATCTGGTGTAACTGTGTGCTCTCTCTTTCACTGCTCATCTGTGCTATGATGTATGTGCTACGATTTAGTCAAAATATTGTTTACTAAATGTGGGGCTGTTTATGTTGTTAATCATGTTATTGTTGTTGCTTTTTTTTAATACTAGTTTACTTATTTCATATTCACTACTTTTATATGTTCTTACTGTTGATTAAGCTTTTCTCAATATATAGATTATTATCACATTACTGACTTTCAGACCATTATAATATCCATTATAAGCTATAAAGGTTATTTTTCGTACAATCAGGGGCCATAATCCAGGAAGTTATGGTCCAATTTGCACAAATGTCGAAAGAAACCAAGACCTTTGGATTTTAATCATGCATGATCGAAAAGAACCAAGATCATTGTGATATAAACATAAATTTAAAGTTTCATCAAAATCGGATCAAAATTGTGGCCTCTAGAGTATCCACAACCTTGGTATTACATACTTTTACACTATTTCCATACAAGGAGTGGCCATTTTGTACGGCAGTTTTGGTCAGAATTTTACGAAAAATTAAACCTTTATTTATATGCAACGGTTATATATTTAAACGTTTTTTAAAATCGAATACAAATTGTGAATTCTAGCGGGTCCGAAAGCTAAAATGCGATTTTTCGAACTATCAGGGGACGTAATCCAGGAAGTTATGTTCAGATATACGCGATTATCGAAAGGAACCAGGATCTTTGTTATATACGCATAAAGTTTCATCAAAATCAGATCAAAATTGTGATCTCTAGAGGGTCCTCAATTAAAAACGTTATTTCTCGAACAATCAGGAAATTATGGTGCGATACATGCCAATATCGAAAGAAACAGAGATTTTTGGGAGATAGACCTATATTTCAAGTTTCGTCACAATCGGATAAAAATTGTGACCTGTATAGTGTTCACAAACAAATTGTGGATGGACGTCCGGACGGCGTAATACATCCACATGAAAATGTAGGGGTATAAAAAGAATGTACATATTTTAAAACTCTTGTTTAGGCAATTTATATCATCAAACAGAGAAGGGAGGGGAGGGGGAGAGAGTGAGTAATCCAATAAAAATAATAAAGATCCTTAGAAAAAATAAAAATTCACTGTTTTGGGAGGAATTTGGACATATGTTTTTATGGAGTATATATACATAATAAATATATAGTTTAAAAGATACATTAAGTTTATTAAAAGTTTAATAACTTTATCAAATTTTAATAAAGGAATAGAGGCTGGAGATATTTAATAAAACCTACAAATTAAATGCATTCCTTGAAAGTTTTTTTTTTTTGCTTATTTGGAATATGGATGTAAACGGTCTGACCCTTCTTTCAATAATTGAACCCTTCAGTCATACTAGAAATAAAATATATAGGTATGTTCTGATATGTTCTGTTGTGTTATTTTTGTTTATATGTTTTTCTTGTGTATGATATTCGTCACCACTCCACCACACTTCTTTTTTATTAAATTATATTTCTATACTATATTTATAAAATAACTTTTAATATAATTAATCATCATTTATGCATCCTAATTTTAAATAAAATTTTATTTTTGTGCATCTATTATAATGAAGAGGAGATATGTATGTATTTCAAATACTTAGAATTCATTTATTATTAAATATGTCCTGTATCTTAGAATCAACTGTGTTGCATATTGTTTAAATTTATAATTTTTATTCTTCAGGAAAATGATGAGCCAAAATCTATCCTGGAAGAAATGGGTTTCACAGTGTCGAGTTAATGTTATTGATATTGTGATAATCTTTCGTTCACCAGTCAGTGCCTAGAGACACAACAAAGACTGAAATGACTAAAGAACCAAATCATTTTAAAACCATTATATTCCAATTCCATTTTATTCAAATATATTTGAAATTTTTATTGATAGCAATCATAGAAACCGTGATTATGTTTCAGAAATTGAAAAAGTATATTTCATAGTCGCTAGTCATTACTAATAATAAAAAATTATTTATATTTCATTAGAATTATTCTGATTAAACTTACATTATCTTTGTACATACACGCTTTGACCATTTAATATCAGCAGTCTTGAACAAAAAATTTAATTTAAAAATCTGTATGATTTGTTTTCTGCTCCAACACCAAATAAATAATACCTGCATTTATTGTTTGATTATTTAAACATACATTATGCAAGAGCTAAATCTGCATTGCAGCCAATTGCAGGTCTTTCTTTAGGCCTGAAATGTTATATAATCAACTCTCGATGCCATCTTATGTGTCGGACTTTCACTGGATTTAAATCTGATCTGCTGCTCCCCACACATTGATGATTAAAAAAAAAAATGGATAATCCGGACTATGTTTTTTATTGTACCGACTTCATGATGATTGAGACTAGGCCCAAAATACAATCGCTAATATCTTGGTTCAGAGTGGAACAATTTTTTAACTATTATAGCGAGAAGGAGTACTGCCAGCTCTTTATCTATTCTTCCAGGATAATGTATCTTTAATAAATTAGAATGCAGAAATTTAAAATTGCTAAAATACAACTTTTACTAATGTAAAAGCCCAACATTGAAACTTTTTTCATTTGCAACAGTACATGTATTTGAAGACAAGGTCACAATAATATAACTTAAATCATCAATATGTCAATTATAAGGCAACACAAATAAAATAACTTGTTTCTCGGGCACCGCCCGCACGCAAAATTGGTTGCGCGTGCAGTCTATTTATTAGTCTTGATGAAAAAAAATAAATATGTAACGCCCGCCCGCACATCGACAAGCAAGTCGTAAAAAAAAATATCCCGCGTGTACCTACATCCGCCATACATGTATATCTATTCAAATGTATTAAAACTGATTCAGATGAACATGCTGTCTTTTTTATCCGAACAATGGCGAAGTTTGGCAGATTTGCCTTTTTTATTGATATCGAAAGAACCTCCATTTTGTATCACGTGATATTAATTACCTCCCCTGATAAACTAGAATTTGATTCGTGTTAAAAGTCATTGGCGACAATATTTCAATCATTCGATCGTAATCGGCTCATTATTGCCGGCTTCAGTCGGTCCTTGTTTGGAAAATCCTATTGATAAAATAATGAACCGTAGAACAGGTTAATTAATTATAGCTAAGAATACGATACGATGACGATAGTCGTCATAATGTGATAATGCATACCTTAGAATCTGGGTCATTATTAGCACATTTACGGTAGTTTCGATAATCCGGAAAATAATAATTGGATTACCGATTTGATGGTTTTACTGACCAGTTGTTAGTTAGATTTAAATAGTCATTCAATATAAACACCGGATAGAACACCGAATATCCTGAGAAACACACCGAATATCCCAAGAAACAGTATTTCCGGCAATCTCCAATACCGATGACACGGTGTGACATGCATTTGTTGGAATTCGGTAAATAATTATAAACAAACCGGCGATACTAGATTTAGTTTTAAATACTGTTTACCATGATTATTATTTTTGATACACCTGGTGAAAGAGGCTTAGTTTTTAAAAATATTGTTGTCTTTATGGAGGGCTATTACATAGTCGTATGGAATTTTATTTTAAACCAATTTCAATTATGTGAATTAAATATGGAAAATTATTTTCCTTTCAGTCAGTGTTCAGTCTCAGTGTTTTAGTAGACTTGATTTTGGGTTTATGTTTTAAGTATGTACAATAAAGTTGAATATAACGGAAAGCAAAAACGTAAACAAGTAATGACTTTCTCATTTAAAAAAAAAAAAAAGAAAGACCGCCCTCCCGCCCCAACAATTTTCAGCAATAGCCAAATTTTATTTTGCACCATCAATGAGTAAAAAAAAAAAAAGAAACCGCCCTCCCTCCCTACAGTTTCAGCTGTCAGTTGCCCGAGAAACAAGACATTTATTTTGTGTGGCCTAAAAGGGAGACAAATAAATAGGTTGATTAATAGTTCTATAAAATGTTAAAACACTCTTGTCAGGATTTGTTGTGCTTAAATAAATGTATGTGGCCTTTTTGAGTATCTTTATTTTAAATCAGTGTTGTCTTGATTTTCTTACATATAAAATATATATCTCATTCTTTCCAGAAGTCAAAAAGCGAATAATTAAATTATGAATAAAAATATTATAATTGTTATATAAATGTATCTATATGAATATTAAAATGTTATCTACTTTGTATTTGTTGTTTTTTTGTATTGGTACATTTGCATTTTTCAAGTACAAGATTTTTCTTAAAGAGTAATTCTTACTGTTTAAATCCCTTGAAAATTTGGGGTAATGCATCTGAAATAGTGGTCAAATATGTTGCATAAATACGAATAGGGCTTTTTTTTGCACTGATATTGAGGAATCGGATATTGAGCACCGAAGTCGCGAACTGGTTCCTTTTATTCGGCTAGTCCTAAAGAGGAACTAATTAAAAATTCAGTGGCAGAGAATGCTTTTTCACAAAGTCACTAAAATTGAATCAGCCAGCCCAAAGAAGGAACCTTATGGAAATTTGGCGTCACACTACTGAAACGTCATCCTTCAAAATGTGGGTGTATGATCATTGTGGAATTTATCTTTGACAGACAATAGAACAATCCAAAAGAGAAGTAAAATAAACCATTGACAAAACCAATGTGTCCAATACAAAAGTCTAGTTTGAATTTCCATATATCTTTTCAACATGCAGCATGTTTAAGTTTTTATTCACATAGTCTTAAATAAAGTCTTTTTATAGTTTAGTTACAAAGTCAGTAAGAGTAGACACTTGTAGGATACTGGAATGCCTCAAAATTCAATTTCATGACCGCTATGTTGACTAGGAATATCCCATGGATTCAAAGACATGCTCACAATACTACTTACATAAAACACTCACAAGGCATAAACCCCATTTCTTTCAAAAGCAGACCAAGTTCTACACTTCAGAAAATATGATAAATAATGTTCATATACAAAGAAGGCAAAGCTATTTTGAGTAACAAATCATTTTATTAAAGCTGATGTAACGAAAGTAACACTGATCTCCTATCTACAATTCATCAGGATCTGAAGATTGAGATTTTTCGGAACGATTTTTTTTCGTTTTATGTTTATTTTTCTTGTGTTTTCTATGTTTTTTGTTAATATTGTCCTTGTCTAATGCAGCCTCCACAAAAGCATTGTCAACTATTTCTCTATTATTTGATTCACATCCATTTTTATTAGAACCCCTACAATCCTTAATTGACTCATTCAAACCAGGTGATTGATGCTCACCGTTACCACTATTTTTGATTATATTGTCTAATTTGGTTGGGCTGTCATCTAATTCTTTAGTATGTTTATGGTGAGAAATTGATCTAAAGTTTAATCGAGAATTTGATCTTGATTTTGAACGCTTCCTCTTCTTGCTCTTTTTAGACTTTTTATTACGTACTGATCTTCTGCTCTCTGAATCAGAACTAGAATAAGATCTATCTCTGTAATACTGCCTTGATTGGGAATTTGATCTGGATCTACCTTGAGAATATCGTGACCTTGATCTTGACCTCTTCCTGTTGCTATATCGTGACCTTGACTTCGATCTATGTCGAGAATATCTTTGTCTAGAATGTGATCTTGATCTGGACCTCTCACTTCTTGATCTGTGTTTTAATCTTGACCTGGACCGTGATCTCGACCTTGACCTGTATCGCCTCGAAGGAGGATTTCTGTTTCGATAGTCTGGCCGTCTGTCACGTCTGTAAGACTGTTCTCCATTGTAATTATCAAAGTCCGCATCTCTAAATTCATTTCTTGGATTGTGAAAAACATGAAGGAAGTTACAAATGTTTCCCTTTGGACATGATTTTTGTGAGAACAACCCTGAAAATAAGAGACAAATTTTCATTAACTGTGTGTTGATATTGAGAATTAGGAACGAAAGACAGTTTTTCTTGGCAATTTGTGATTGTAGTGTGCAACCAACCATCTTGGAAGTTTCGCTTGAACTTTAAAGAAGGAATAAGAGTTCATCGTTGGTTTGAAGCTGATTGAAAAAATCTAATTCTCAATCTGCTGTAATTTATTTTGGGTATTAAAATTAAATAGTATGTCACTGCTATTAATGAGGATGTTTTAAATGCTACTTTACAAGCCATAACTCATTTGTTTCAAAGAGTTTAATGAACAGTTGTGCAAAGGAGAAAAGAGCTTGGTAATTATAAGTCTATGGTTATTACAAATGATATTGTTCAAAATCAATAACATTTATTTTCTTATTAGAAAATGCCTCTTTAAGACTTACCACAAATAGCAGATTTCCACAGAGCGATGTTACGATATTCACAATTCAACTGTTTTCCAGCATACCATCTTCCATTAAACTTCATTACAGCCTGCTGAGCTTCTTCAATACTTAAATATAGAAATATGTAATACTAGTAAAATCAAAGAACAACCATAGCCATTATAATAAGCTTACATGTTAATGGTGAGGTATCTTTGCTATATGTGATACAGAAAAATTCTAAATTAGATAAGATTCATTGTAAACAATTTTCAAGATTCAAATATTTCTTTCAAGAACTCTTTCGGAAATTAAATGGGGTGAGGTGTGTTCATAAACATATGAATTGTTATCAGACAGATGATGGACATATTGAACAGTATACAAATATAGAATAATGATTACCTTTTAAATGTAATGTAAACATTTCCACGTAGATGAGGAGTACAATTAGAACAAACTTTAAACTGGGTAACTGTTCCTATAGACTTAAACTCTGGTAATACATCTTCATAAAACTCAAGAAAACTGTTATATAACTCTTTATCTTCATATTCTAAACTTAAATCTAAATAAAAACATAAAGGTATGGATACACTGAATACAAATGTTTAATCATATTGGTATCCATGACAGTATTATTATGGGAGTGCTTGATGGGAAATATAGACTGAATTGCAATCAAGTGATGTAAAGTGAAGTTCTATGGTGATAGAACTATGGTGATTGGTGGGGGTATTTTCTGATTCAATGGTTTAACTGGTTAGTTGACCATCTGTTCAACTCAACTTAAAGTAGCTAAGTCTCTAACTCAATATCATGCAAAGTCTTCGACACGAATTATTTGTCAATTTAAATCAACATTGATGTTGTGATCTTACTGGGAAAAGATGGGCTTCTGATATCCAATAATTAAAACAAAATAAACATTTTACCATTGGTTCCCGAATTGTGTACCATAGTGCATGTCAGCGCCATTTGTAACAAGGGACTCGTAGAATGAGGCTGGATATATTCTACAAGTCATGTCAAATGGTGACGTCATATTCTTATCTGGAGAGCATGTTATCGGTATGGAGTGGAATAACCAGACGCTAGAGACGGCTAGAAAATTTATCAAGTGAATTAATATATACCTGTATCATATTCATCTATAAGAGTCTGATCTAGTCTAAAATGTGAGAACATTCCAGGTATAAGAACAGTCTTACTTTCTTCAGGATAATCATGAGATCTTGAACAACTGGAAAATATAAATATCAAAGATAATTGTATGAGGAATAAACATTATCCTTCACAGTAAATTATGAAATAATTGTCATAATTTGAGTCTGGGCATAATAAAAAGGTAACAATGATTATTAGACAATATTAGACATGTAACTCTACAAAATGCAGAAAAAAAGACAAACACATGGAGTTGCAGAAAATTCCATCTCTTGTAGCAAATATCTATGCCAGTGAGTAGGCATGCAGCATACATGCAGATGTCCAACAGACATGACATTGACAGTGGTGACAACTTTCCATTTGTTAGTCTACCAGAGCAGATTATTTCTAATTGTTTAGCATTTAATCTCTGCAGCTTTCAAGTGGTTGGCCATGGACGTTAGTGAATGAAACTGCCGTTCACTCTAATATTAAATCTATTGTTTTTGTTTTTAGAACATTGAATTTATTGTTACACTTGTCGTGTCTGGTTAACATTGACCTTTAATAACATGTCCAAAATTTTATATTCATGCTCTTTGATCAAGGTTCTTTTCCTGGAATCTACAGCATATTTTTCTCACAAGCTGGATAAAGGTAATTTTTATTGAACAAGTTCACCAACTCTTGACATTATTTTGAAAAATCACTTTGGTTTAATAAATATGCTAAGTGCATCATTGACTATATCAAAATTTTACCTGTCTCCATATTTACAGGCACCAGTTTTCTTGAAGAATGGACATTCATTGACTGGACGTTCTGAACTATATATTACTGGTGCTATAGGGTTATGCCAGGCATCCTAAAGTACATAAACAAATGATTATAGAAATTCAGTTCAAACATATATTCTATGAATCCCATGTATGTTTTGACACAATGCAATGCAAACAATGATAATCAATAATTAAAAACTAACGAAATTTAGGAGAAGAATCGATTACATAATAAGTACAGCCCAAGTAGCAAATTATGTTTTTTTCAGATTATCTGCTATGCTGGAGCATGCACACTTTACACAAATTAAATATACAGATTATTCAGATGGTTCATCAACCATATGAAAATGCACCCATTACTTCTGCTGTTACTACCATTGTTTTGCCTACACCCAATATACAAATATTACAATAATAGTTGATATTTGTTATGTTAACTCTTGGTTGAGACCAGTTCTAACATTTAGTATCCCAACTTTCTGATGTTTGATTTTTAGCTTCACAGTCTTTTTTTAAAAAAAAAATGTCATACAGCATCAAAAGCACTGAAAGCAGACAATTCTATTTACCTTGTTTTCATGAACTGTAGCTTCCTTCAATAGAGCATCCTACAAAAAAACATACAGTAGCCCCTTCCAATCAATATCTAATAATATACTGACTTAAATAGTTAAGATTCAGATATAATAATACATAGAAAATATTTAAAGTAGACAAATTTATTTCAACTGTAAGGAAAAGAATCAACTTCATAATCATAGTCATTATAATCTACATTATGTAAAAAGATACATTTTGGAGGAAATATCTTTCCCAATAAAACTGCTTGTAATACACAAAGTTGAAATATCTTTTCCATTGAAACTGCCAGCAAGAGTACATGTTCAGCTGTCAAGGAATTTTTTATTTAGTGTAATTCATAGATGCTGCTAAAGCAGCTTTATATAACTATCATCTATTGATCACTGCAAACAAGAATCTAGAAAAGGTTTCTTTTGCATTGAGGACACTAGTTACTACATTAAATGTACATGTACATGTTTCATTCTATTCGGGATATGATAGAATTATACTACATTGTATTTAAATTGTGGAGACAAAACACAAAAAGATTGAGATATTAAAAATATAAATTGATTTCTTTTTTAAAATTTAGGATATTTTTCAATCAAGCACCCCAGTTCACCTGTCTGTCCTTTTCAGTTTCTCTTTTCTCTCTTTCTTCTGCTTCTTTCTTCTTCAATTCTTCCCATTCTTCTTTAATCTTTTTCTGAAATTATTATTGTTTATAATCCCAAATTATTATAATAGTTAAAAAATAGATAACGTAAAGCGAATTTGCTGTTAAATTAGTCGAATTGATCCACTCTGAACCGAGAATTTAGCGATTGAATTTTCGGCCTAGCCTCGATCATCATAACTAAAGTCGGTACGATAAAATACATAGTCTTGATTATCCATTTCTGGATTTAATCAAGAATGAGCGTAGAGCAGCAGATGGGATCCTAATCCAGTAAATATCGCAGGCTAGCGATGACATTGAGAGTTGATTATGATTATGATCTGGATAAGTTAATTAATGTCTAATTAATAATTTAGATAACTTTTCAGGCCTAAAAAAATTCTGCAATAGGCAGATTTAGCTCTTGCATAATATATGTTTAAATTTTATTATTTATTAAATGGACATTATGGGAGATTAGATAAAGAGTTGACACTTCTCCTTCTCGCTATAATAGTTAAAAAATAGATAACGTAAATAGAATATGTTGAAAATTTCAGTCCAATTGCTCCACTCTGAACCGAGATATTAGCTTTTGAATTTTAGGCTAGCTTTGATCATTATTACTAAAGTCGGTATAATAAGAAACAAAGTCTTGATTATCCATTTTTACGTTTATACATACATTGTACATTAAAGCAAGAGATAAATCTGCCTATTGCAGTTCTTTCTTTAGGCCTGAAATTTTATATAAACTATTAATTAGCCATTTATTAACAAAACAAGACCATGAAAAGACCATAATCAACTCTCAATGGCATCGGATACTCAAGATTTCAACTAGATTAGAACGGTTAGCCATTTAAAAATTTTATTAAAAATGGGAAAGCAAGGCTAAGTCTCAAATATACCACCAGTGCCCTGGATACCACAACGCACACATTTTGTCAAAACTACAAACTACAAATGAAATTTTCATTTTACATTATCTATTTTTGAGCTAGCAAGAATGGTCAGCTCTTTATCTAAATCTTACATAATGTATCTTTAAGTCTGTCAATGTATCAATTTTAAAATACTGTTTATTACGTATTCTGCTCTAAATGACGATTCTTCACCCCAATACCTTAGAGACCTTCTCAACACCTTTGAGTGTAATTATTTGATATAAAAACTAATTTGCCAATGATCTTAGATCAAATAAGTTATGGTATATATAGACCTACCTGCTGTTCCTCTAAATATTCTTTTTCTTTCCTCTCTTTTTCTTTATTGGCCAAAAATACTATCTGTGCTAATCTTTCTCTCTCTAAAAATAACTGATGTTGTTTCTCTCTTTCTTTTTCTTCTCTTTCACGTTTTTCAGAATCTGATGAACTCTCAGATTTATCATCATTTTCTTGCCCTAAAATATAAAATGGAAGATAGTAATCAAGTTGTTTTGAAATACCATCTTTCATCTGAGTATATGATGATAATAAATCTGAATGAAACCCAAATAAAAATAAATCCAAAAATATTACCTGCTCTTAATAATGCTTCAGCAACCCTTTTCTGTTTTCTTTTCAGTTTCTTCCATTGTTTGTGACTAAAACCGAAAAATATGAATTATAATCACAAATGAAATGGGGTTTAACATTCTATTTTATTTTTCTGAACCAACCAGGCTAATGAAGAAAGTGTGCTATTCAGTGTGTAATGAGTGAAATTGTGCCATGACAGCAGCACTATTGCCTACTCTTATTTTGAATTCCAACTTTCAACTGTTCTTCTACGTTCATGCCAACCTGTAATTGGCACTTTTTAGGACAACAATGGGAATGAATCTGGACCCATAACGATACATGTAGGTTAATCATGAGAATTACATTGGACCTGAAAATCTACATCTTGGTGATGGATAGGCCGATCTGTCTCCACTATTACATACTATCTAATTTGAATACCATCAGTTGAAAAATAAATTGATAAATATTTTCTTAAGTATTGGGTAAAGCATGAAATTTGTTTTAAAAAACTTGTTTTAAAAATTTCAAAAACTGAAACTTAAACATGCATTATGCAAGAGCAAAATCTGCTTATTACAAGTCTTTCTTAAGGGCTGAAATGTTATCTAAATTATCAATTAGACATTACAAGTAAATTTTTCAAAAGAGAACCTAGCTGTTTATTACTTGAAACTTTAAATATTTAATTGTAGGTGTACAATGGATTTTAATTAGTTTCTGAAGTCAAGGGAGGGGGTTTTAAACACATTGCAATAGATCAGTTTTTAAACAACAACAATTAAATAGTTTGTTCATACAGGACGAAAACTTTTTTTTTTTTTTTTCAATTATGGCTCAGAGATTAGCTAGTTTAGTTTTAGATCTAAAGGGCAAACGAAAGTAATCATTTGTTTATGAACAGAAGAGATGAATCAATGATCAACAAAAACATAAAAATATACACACGGATCGTGAATTCGTCATATGATTCGAAATGAATATGATGACTGAAAGCTTCCAAAGGCGTACCGTAATGTTAAGAAGCAAAATACCTTAAATTCATTTCTTTTTTACAGTTTACAGACATGTTATCCGGGTGTTTAGGTGTTTAACTACTGAATTTTGATAAACTTATTTTTCTACTGCCGTCACATGTTGATCACGTCCAAATTTGTGCACAACGAACAACAACGAAAGATTACCAGACAACTCGCTGCAAGTAATGCGTCCTGCTTTGACTATGAACAAGTTCAATTTATGATTATTAAAATACAATTATGAATTTTGAAGTACACATACGTACCAAAGTAAGTATGTTGATACTGTTATCGAAGGTAAGAGAGATATTTCCTTCCATTTTATTTTATAATCTCATATTTTATTTAATGTCGTAAATAGACCCGAATGATTCATGTTTCATGCGTGAATGAGTCTCTTATAATTATAGTTAGTAATAACGAATAACGAATTCTTCATGAAACATGGAAACTTCTATAATACGTCTGTAATAATAACAGTGGAAATAAATTCCCTTCAATTTCACCCTTAATGAAAATTAAGTTTGAGTGTGCGTTCCACCATGATCGGTGTCTAACATGCAATTGGACGTTATCTGGTATATTTGTGAGTTATTCGTGTAAATCGGCTACACGTCATACCACAAAACCGATGACGTTTTTTACAAAATAACTCATATCAAAACAAAGCTTCAGCTGATGAAAGCAACGAATGACTAACTTGTTTCAATGTTTGTTTGTAGATCGAACAAACCTTGAAAATAAATGAAGGAATGGGAAGATAATTAATAATTGTTGAAGTTAATACATTGAGGTAATAATTAGGTAGATTATACCCTCGCCTTTAATTGGAATAAAGAATAAATACCGTATAATTCAAATTAGTGCCATTGTTGACTGAAAATTTGGCCTTTTGTCACTCACTCACTGTCTGCTGATCTTCCTTCTTGATCGTTCTTTGATTGTTGGGTTATTTTAGAACAGCTTCAAAGATCATAGAAAATATAGTATGGACGTTTATGCAACAATTAATACCGTCAGATTCATTAATTGCATTGTCGAAGATTGGTGCTCAATCGGTCATCAACAAAATACATAAAGTAAATACACTAAATATAAAATAATTACATACCCTAAAGATGCAGGAGTAACCCTCCCTGTCCAGCAACTTAACGTTTCCCCTCTCGGTACCACCTTCGAAAATGATGTAACGGGGGCCCTCAGCTGCCGGTACATCAAAGACGGGAGCATCGTCGTGGATCGAATCTTCCAGTATTGGTTCGGGTAAAACGTAGGATCTTTCCAGAGGGACAGCCTCGGAACTGGTCTCCATAAGAGGCAATTCTTCTTGTTCACGTCCAACACTAGTATCCATAGTGCTTCTTCATCGAAAGTAGCGGTAATTTCATGAACAGCAATAGGAATAGCCTAAATAATAACGTAAAATACGGTATGGTAAGAATATTGAAGTTGACTAAATCAAATACGGTGGTAAGAATATTAAATACGGTAAGAATATGAAAGATGTTTCTTTGCTTATAGAAATTGATGTTTCGATTCTGTTGATTTTTTAAAAGTTACTTACGGCATTTATACAAGGAGTACATGTCCATTTAATCTCTTCTAACCCTTTCACCGCTCTTCTATATGCTGCCTGGGATATATCTAAAGAGAACAAATTTATTTAAAATTTAGTGAATGGGTTAAATATTTTATGAATATAAGTTCGAGTAAGTATAGCTAGCAAAACTCGTGTAATTATTTCAATACTTATGATCTATTTCAATACTAATGAAAGCAAGCAAAATCTGTGAAATTATAAATACATACCTGTACATTTTCTATGCTGCCATAGATTACACTCTTCACACTGAAGACCTTCTTGTCTCGGACGCATGGTGGAACGGCAAGCGATACAAGGATCCATTGGAATTAGGCTATAGTTAACTTGATATGTATCTGAGATATCGATATCAAATGGTGAAAGTTTCAAATTTTATTCGAAATATATACAAATTCCAAGCTTGCATCAGAATTGGTTTGAAGTGTAAAATACAAAATAACAAAGCCGGGATTTACAATCTCAAGCTTAAGATTAAATAATTTAAACAACAACTCAATAATAAAAAAAACCAATTTTAATACATCAAACACCAATCATTAATTAATAATTATCGTATAGGCTTCTATCCACACTGATGAGTACTAATTAGCACCTTTATACACCGACCAATCAAAATAACAAAGCCGGGATTTACAATCTCAAGCTTAAGATTAAATAATTTAAACAACAACTCAATAAAAAAAAAACAATTTTAATACATCAAACACCAATCATCAAAATCATCTATAATAATTATCGTATAGGCTTCTATCCACACTGATGAGTACTAATTAGCACCTTTATATACCGACCAATCAACCCTATAATATACTGGTCATGAATACGCCGATTTTACCGGTAATGAATACGCCTGGTAATGAATACGCCTGATACCAATACTTACATAGACTACTGTAGTTCAGCTCTGAACGTAGGTCTCATTACAATCGCCCTGTACGTTCAGGAACCGACCTATTGAATCCTTGTCAAAAAAGAATCGGCCCCCAGTCAATTTTACTGGGCAACTTTCTATTGCTAAACGGCCATGCGTCAGTCTCTGTGAACACCTGAACAATGTAATGGAACATTTTTAGTGAGAAAATAAGACCTTGCTTACTCAATATTATTCAGTGAAATGTACGTGATACATGAGACTTAATGACGGTCAGTTGGTCTTTGCGTTAAAAACGGTTGTCTCAAAGTCTGTTGTGGAATTTGGAAAACGCAATAGATCTATTATCGGCACTTGTTGCAATTTGATTTCTTCTTCATTTTTGGAGTATTTTGAACGGATTTAAAGTGAATTGTGATCAAAAATGAAAATATCGCGATATTTTTTTTAGAATTATCGCAATATAGAATATATCATGACAAAGCGATATTTGAGATTCAGACGATAATTTTATCGCCTGACCTAATTATCGCGATATATCACCATCCCTAGGGTATCGCGGCAACCTTACAACAATGGTGAATGGGAATAGAAGGAGTTTGTTATTTTTGATTTGCATAAATATTGTAGACTATGGTCATGTAAATCTGCACAAGATAACCCCCCTGTTGTAATTGGTAATTGTGATATATTTTCATCTTATTCTGCTCGTAATATTGGCGCTATCTTTGATAGTTTTATGCTTATGGGAGCTCAAGTAAATAATATTTGTAAATTGTGCTATTTTAATATTAGAAATATAGATAAAATACGTAAATGTGTAACTGTAGAGGCCACTAAGTCACTTGTTAATTCTCTGGTCACTTCTCGATTAGATAACTTTAATTCACTTTTAGTTGGTTTACCTTTAAAGCTTATAGATAAATTACAAAAAGTACAGAATACTGCGGCACATCCAATCATTCCAGATCAACACATTCATATTTAGGTGTGAACACCAGGCTTATCTAGCTATAAAAATTATTTTGATGCAGAATGTATAAAAAAAACTATTTAAATTTACCAATCAGCCAAGACTTTCCACAGTAAATTCCACAATCACAATTCACTCAATATATTTAATGTAATTTCACCAAGTTACATATTATTTGTCCTTCAGGCAAAATATTACACCTTTATACTATTCAGCTTAAATCATTGGAAAATACATTATAACACTACAGTGCATTTGATATTGTGTTTGAACAATTTTTTTTTTTTGAATACATGGGTATACACAATACTAATATAATGGTTTTGAAAACAAGCCAAAGCTTATATAAATTCATCTCCATGCACTTATTGGCCACCCACCCAATATCCGAAGGAACCAAACTAAGATAGGTAACAATCACAAGAAAAGACATTTTAGCAAGCAATTACTAACTCAGTTGATTGTAAAAATTGTTTCCCAGAGTGTGATTCAAGAGTAGATACATCTTCCTAACCTCATGGGTTTTCTCTGGCCAATGTCTGGTTTAAAAATTCTTCACTGCTTCTAAAAACTGCTGTAAACAATCGAATGATTGAAATATAAGTTAGTCTCAAAATGACTCAGTTGTATTGGGTGGACATTAAACACAATTTCTCTGTTAATAATAAATAAATTATTTTTCAGAATTCTGTTGTGTATTAATTTTCCTGCCATTTGATTGTGATGCAACACCAGCCCCAAGTAACAGATGGAAAATTACCTATATTTGTTTTCCCAACATCTTTAACATTTTTCTCTGATGACCAATCATCCCATAAACAAGTTCTAACTCTGTATAATCCATATGATTTCCCACTCAAGTTTAAAGGTAAGTTAAAGGTTTCTGTTTGTTTATGTGTGGTGTACATTTACTTACTATTACTAATAAAGCAAAAAAATACAAATTTAAGGAAGCAAAAACATTAAAAGCATGTACTTGTAGTTTAGAGCCCAAAACTAACCACAGTTTATTTGAGGGATTTTTAATTCCTTTCAAACTGAAGTATTGTAAAAGTTGAATCTATAAAGGGTTTCAGTCCAAAAATAGTTCAGCTCCGGTCTGTATTTAACTATTTAACTATAATGAATTGAACAGGATTTGGTGAAAACAAGCCAGCTCACCTATTATCTTCACTTAAACATACATTATGCAAGAGCTAAATCTGCCTATTGCAGGTCTTTCTTTGGGCCTGAAATCTTATCTAAATTATTAATTAGACATTAATTAACTTATCCAGACCATAATCAACTCTCAATGTCATCGCTAGCCTGCGATATTTACTGGATTGGAATCTGATTTGCTGTTCAACGCCCATTGATGATTAAATCAAAAAATGGATAGTATCAACTTTAGTAATGAGGATGGATGCTAGGCTCAAAATTCAATCGCTAAATTTTTGGTTCGTACCTGATCAATTTGACTGAAATTTTCAGCAAATTCCCTTTACATCATCAAGTTTTTAAATATTATGGTGAGAACTGCAAGTTCTTTATCTAATCTCCCATAATGTATCTTTAATCTCCCATAATGTATCTCTCTATAATAATTAGAAAATAGATAAAGTAAATCGAAGATGTTGAAAATTTTAAATCTCGCCTTGATCATCATTACTAAAGTCGGTACGATAAAAAAATTAGTCTTAATTATCCATTTCTGGATTTTATCATCAATGAGCGTTGACCAGCAGATTGGATTCCAATCCAGTGAAAATCTGACACATAAGATGACATTGAGAGTTGATTATGGTTTGGATAAGTTAATTAATTAATTTATATAACATTTTTGGCCAAAAGAAAGACCTGCAATGCAGATTTAGCTCTTGCATAATGTATGTTGTCTTTTTCTGATCCTCTTTTTAATCTAACTGAATACAAACTTTTTCCATTGAATACAAGCCATCTACTGTTAATACTTTTGATATTTGAACACTATTAGAATATATATCTGTTTGTATTTTTAGTTCTGAGTACGACACCAAGAAAATATACTGTTGTTGATTCAGAAGGAACGATCAGACCAAGATGCTGTGTGGACGTGTAAGATCCCTAATTTACAATCATAAATGTATATCAGTATTGTTTGAATCTTTTTTCTCATGGTAAAATGGTGGAACTTTTGGGCTTACTCATGCAGTAATAATAGTTACACTTATAGTTACCCATTCCTTATATGATTCAAATCAGTCTTTGATGTCAAATAGCAATATAGAGCCATCGTAGAGATATTTTTAAGATCAGAGGGACCAGTAATTGATTACAGTGGAATGAACAGTTAGAGACAATGCAGGAGTCTTCCCAATGGAATAAAAAACAAAAGGATTTTGAAGACTCGAATCAGAACTTAGATTTAAATAGTTGGGTCTGATCATTTCAGATCGCAGTCAGTTTAGATTTTGATTTGGGTCTGAATCAAACGCTTCTATAATGTCAAATTCAAATGATGTGATTTAACCCAAGTCAATCTTTTTTTCTTTTGTTTGAGCTTGGAATTATGTAATTAAATTGTAATAACATTTCTTTACATAAAATGATACACATTTTTGATTTTCAATATTTGTGGATTATCCTAAAATTTTGATGATGTTTGTTATTTTTACAGAGTTATTCGCCACGTTGACATCTGTATAAATAACGAAGGAGTCAAGGACAAATTTAGAATACAGGTGTCAGAATATGGACAACGCAAAATTCTGGGTAGGTATCCTTGTATAAGGAGTCGTTACCAATGAACTATTATGCTATTGAATGTCTAAGTATACTTAAGAGTAATTGTATTTAAAGACGCTGACAAGTCTGTCAAAAGGACATATGAAGATAGGTTGTTTGGTAATGAAACATGTACCCACAGCAACTAAGATATCCAACCAGTTGGTACATAAAAAGCAAAATCATTATGTTGTATAATATTATTGGAGCATTAACAAGATTCTGTGATATAATCAAGTATTTCGTCAAAAGGGAGCATAGTGCATGCATACCTTTTGTGAAGCATGACACCTGTCAGTGTAATTATGCATGAGATGAGCTGGTTGCGCCGTTTTCTTTTGTAAGGCACTTATATAGATGAGCATAAAATGAAGTTTTATGACAAGTTTTTGTTTTCATTATTGAGTCTATGACAAGGTTGCTGTGTTTTATGAAGAAGATCCAATATATATTAATGTTTGTATCATGTCAGATTTGTGTAGACTTTCACATCATTTATTTTTTACAGGGAAAAAGGACGTCATGTCCGTACTTTTTCCAAAAAGAGAAACAAGTCCACCAAAAGAAGAGAATTTTCACTCGCTTTCAACAAGTATAGCTGGCAATCCTGAACTTCCGCAGACACCTATAACTACACGACAAACAACAGGTATTTAATCACAGAACTCTTTGTTCTCGTTCATAGAGATAAAAAAACAAAACATGGCACAGGTCTAATCTCTCAAAATGTCTAGTTAATAGTAAGATCTCACAGTAACGAAGACGTACACATATTCGTAACTATAATCTATGCACTTATGCACTTCTCCATACTGTGAAGATAGGTAATACCATAGTCTTTTTATATTAATCTTTTCATAAAATTATTTCACCTCTTCCAGTTTACAGCCGACATAGTTTCCCCTTGTCAGTGGTGCAGGACGGAGGGCCTGACAAGAAAAGCAGCTCTGTCAAGTCATTCAGAGGGGGAAAAAATCAAGATCCCATGTATACATTGGCATGCACGTAAAAGATCCCTTGCCAGTTGGAATTTGATATAAGAGTAGGCCGTAGTGCCGCTGCCCGGGCAAAATTTCCCTCATAGCACACTGTATGGCGTAGACCTGTCTTCATTAGCCCAGTAGGAGGAGCAATAACAGTAGGACGTTAAACCCCATTTCACCATCATCATCATCCAGTTTACTGAGTAAATCCCTACAAAATGGTGCATATATACCAGAATCTGTCCACCAATCACAAATATGGGTTACTGATTGCGTTTAGTATACTGATACCAGTTAGAAAAAAATGAACAGATTCTGAAAGCATTATAGTCAGTTGTACTCATTCTCAGATAATTCATTACAGGAGTTTCATATTCATTCGTCAAGTTTTATGAATTAGTCACCATAAGACGTATTTTATGAAATATTTTTTTCTTGTTTTAGGTCGATCTGTGACAGGTCCTAGTTATATCATAATATTTACTGCCGTAATGTGTATTGCTGCATTAGCCATGCCTACACATGGTGAAAAGGACACAAAGTGGCCTGAATATTTACATCTCTCTCTGTCACAGAAACTGATTGCTGCTTATATATTAGGTAAATAAGACTTACATCAGTTGTGGTGTAGGAAGAGGAAGATTCTTATTTTTAATTTTAAAAATCATGTTTTTGTTGCAAGTAACAAAATATTTGTGGCCATGTTGTCTGGGCCATTCTTGAATTTTGACTCTAATAGGAATATCAGTCCAGAAATGGTTCAATTCCGTTCAGTATTTACAAAGCTATGATGAATTCAAAATTCCATTGATGGATGCTGCTCATTATGTAACAAGCTTGCCGTGAACCAAATTGATGGGCCTGTTTTTAATCCAATTGAATCCAATCCGGGAGATTATCTAGCGTTAATATTTTGATTTAAGAAATTCAACATTCATGCAAATCATTCATCATTTCTTTTTTGGGTCAATTCTGACCAAAGTATAGTGTGTTTTATAGTAAATTTGTGTGAAGTGCAGTAGTATGGAGATAGTGTTTTTAATAATTTCATCTTTCTGTTTTTTATCAAATTTTATTGCAATCTCTGTTGCTTCTTTAGTTAAAAATAGTGATAAGTTATGCACTACACAGGGTATGTTTCCCGTCTTTCTACACTAGATCCCACTTCACTCCAGAGGAGTTTACTCAGATAAATTTGTTGGGCACACCATTTATATGCCCATATTTTATATGGATGTATATGGTTGTTACCCCCATGTCCTTCAGTTCATAATTCTTGTAAACAATACTTGCTGGGATTATTCAGTTAGTCATAAGGGGGAATCCTATGGTCACAAGGGGGAATCCTATCAAGATATATTGAATTAAAAATAAACACAACAGTTCTATGGATAACAATGTGTTCAATTAATAAATGCCATTCAAACAGTATATATAGAGTTATAGTCCCTGTCACAGAATACCTTTTAAACACTCAAGAGGTAAAGTGATTTGAGATTTTCCATTGCTAATCTTATCGTCAACCTTAGATTCTTATTAATATTCACTCCTGTGTTATTTTTCAGGCTTGGTAACCATGGTGATATTAAAGGTATGACAGTCATCACCAGTTAGGTTTACATGTAGTTTATTAGTATTGTGAGATTAGTGTTTATAATTTAAACTGTATTATAATAATTATTGGTTTTCTTTGTCAATCTTTATTATTATTATGTATTTTGTTTCATAAATTTCTTTTTTATCCATATTTATAACGCCCTCCTGATAAATGTCATATTATATAATTTGCATCCGCTCTGTACATTTAAAATTGTATATTGACATAATTTTTAACAATGAATTGATTTATGAATAATTTTGTGAATGGAAACTAATTTAAGTGTGCAATAAATGCTGAATAAATATTGTGACATAAAAAATCGTCTTTTTTCATGAAAAGAGTTTAATGTGAGTACCAGCATTACCAAGATTAAAATTGACAAGTTTACCCATAATATTGTTTGAAAGGTTAACATCTGTCTATCTCTTGTTCTCCTGCCGAGATAATGCATATCCTTTACTATCATTCAGTCCTTCAACAATGTCAGACCTGACTCTTGCACATCTCTGAGATGTAACGGGGTGGGGGTGATTTTAAATTTAAATCTAAAACTGAAGCTATAAATATGAACCAGTTGTGACATCACCCTTGTGGTGGTGCGCCTCTTTAGATCTGCATACCAGCATAATTCGAATCAACAAAAGTTTGATCAAGTTTTATTCCTATTTTACAATAAGAAAGGATGAGGATGACTATTGAAGGAACAAAAAAATACACTGTTAGAGAATAAAAATGAAAATATTATGAATATATTGAATAATCTCTACAGTACTAGGCATGTAAATGGTACAAAATATAATTTAGTGATAAAACCATTTTGAGTTATGAATAACATTTTCATTATGAATTATTCATCAAATAATATAAAAAAATATTTATATCAGAAATTTTCAATTTCCTTCAAGAAAATTGTTGAAAATGGCTATGGACTATGAGCTTAATACTACAAGTTCTTGTAAAGTAAATAACTAGTAACTAGAAAGGTATTCATAAAATATATCAAACTTAACAACTACATTTTGGCACACAATCAAACAACATCTAAATCATAATATGAACATCGAATATAGTATACAATATCTATATTGTACTGGAAACCTAAATAACAATACCCTCAATAAATTTTTGTGATAGCATCGATTTGTTTTTACCCTTAATTATTTTTAAAGTTTCTACATTATTATGTTATGACTCTTTAATTAATTCTATAGCACTTAGAACATTATGTCTAGGAGTAAACTTTATATCCCTATTTTTACCACGCGTGGAAATAACGATTTTAGTTGCAACACTGATGAACAAGTATCGGACATTTTGAACTTTCTGCTGGACATGTATTAAATGTATCAAAAAAATCACAGAAAAATGACAAAACTACAGGACAATATGACAGACACCAAAGTGATTATGCCTGACAAAGCCAGAATTTGTGCCAGATAATGGCCGTGACATGTGCCTTTTTTTTTTTTAGGTTTGCCAAAAAATGAATGACCTACATCCTATATGACTGAGTTATCCATCTAACAAGAGTCATTACACAAAAGGGTAAAATTTCCCTTTACATATTAATGATAAGATGATAGGGGGGATGCCCGTTTCCCATTCAAAGTGTTTAAGAAAATCACTGATAAAATTAGGCTACCTCTTAAAGAGTATACCTCTTTCATTGCCAGAAATTTTTTACTATTCACAATCTCAAGAACATTTGATGACTTTCCTATTGTTTAAAAGATATTCTTTTCTTCTTCCAAACATGGGTAGTAAAATGTCAAACATGTTAGTTCCATATAAACTACCTCAAATTTTAATGAAACCATCCGTTAAATGAATTTATCTGCAGTTTAGTTTTTTTCAACTAAATTTCACTATAAAATTTATTGAATAAGTATTTAAGGCACCTGATAAGAGAAAATTAACTACCACTGTCAAATAATTCTTAATATTAATTTAAAACATAAAATATAATATAAAAAAAGACTAAACATAATTTTTATGAACACATTTGACAAAATGAAGGCAAAAATAGATGTTTGTTGGGGCATACATGCAATTGTGTTTAAGCCTTAGCAATAGCTACACAGGCATAATCTATATAACAAATACATAGGCTTACTTCTCGAAAACTAAGTCAACTAAAGTTTTAAAGACACAAAAAAAAAATCATTTCGAGGAGGAAAATAATTAAATATATTTGTGGGGAAAATAAAGATAATTAATAACTATCAATATAATAATAATAAATTTAACAAACAAACAAAACCTCTATCAAACACTAGTAAATAGTCAGCATACAGATATTTCTAATCTATATTGTTAGTTTCAGTATAGCCTAATTCAGAAAATATTCTTCTGCATTCCATTTACAGATCACCATAACATTTGGAACACAGATAATTCAAATCATTCAATGAACAGTTTTATACTGTAGGGACATTACAATTCCCACCCCTCAGGTGTGATTCTCACTGACATCAATCGATTGATATTCTGATGGCAAGACTACAAGGCACATCTTATTCCAACTGCAGTAAGCCTCATATCATTATAAGTGTTCCCATACAATTCTTTGTGATATACATTCAAAAATGTGGCTTGATGTTGTCCTGCAAAAGCACGCAAATGGCTAGCTGACTTTCTGAACGAAAGCATTAAATTTCACTGGATCGAAAGACAATTTTATTGATGTAATGAATACCATAGTCCGAATTATCAAAATTTCAGGAAAAATAAGGCTTTGTACACCTAGCTTCTCGGAATGAAGCAAGCAAATAAAAATAAGATATTAAATAAGGTAATGGCCAGCAAATTTACAATCTAATTATATTTTAAAAAAAACACACACAAAAAAAACAAGTAAACAACAAAGTGTACTACAAAATTTACATGTAATGGGCTATGAAAGATAGCAATATTAGACAAAGAAATTTATTTTACAATTGTGTCTAAAATCAAGTAAAAAATTCTTTTTTAACTACTTTAAGTAAGAATTAAACTTGATTGTTCAATTAAGAATGAATATTTACAATATATATTGGAGCAGTATTATTCTACTTTTAAATTATAATTCTACAAGTTCTCAAAATGAATCTGCTAGGTTAAATGGGACAGATATGTACGGAAAGTAGTTTCATTCTGCTCTATTTGATTGTTGTTCTAACTGCATGTCCCAATTACGGAAGGCACACTCAAAAGAAGTATATTAATACATTATAACTCTGGTCTACAAATTCTGTTGTACAGAGAAAATAGCACTATTATGCCATAATAAATTACTTGAAGAATAAGACAAATACAGGCATATAAATGTAATCATAAAATTTTTAAAATTACACCAAAATAACGTGAATTAGTAATTTTAGTAATATTAATGTCATACAATTTCAATAATGTTATTTACAAAAACTAAAAAGAGGTGATTATGCACTTTTGTAATACGGGCCAAATTGAAATTATTGTTAAATAAATGAAAAGCTATTTGTATTATAATTACCCTGGTCTGCAGTTGTCTTTAAAATGTAAAATAAAATTGTTCAATTTGTGAGAATATCTATTAATTTGTATATATTTCATTCTTCTTAAAGGGACAACAAACCAGAATTAAAATCAAATATCAAGTTTAAGGTCATACGTAATCAAAAGTACTCTTACAAAAAATTATTTAATGCATTCAATCAAACTTTACCTAAGTTATCGTTATTTGAATTTTAACTTAAATTCTATTATTTCAATATAGCATCTTGAATTTGGGCATTTGCGCCTTTTATGAGTTTTGATTTGACATGAGTTGTCTTAAACAATTAATTGGATATGCTCAAATTATATCTTTCAATCCATTGCTGAGATCTCAATATTTTACCCATTATAACCTCTATTTTATCAGTCCAGCGGATGCTTGTACAAACCACTCTGTTTTAAATGCGTCAGAGCATGGATTTATGGTATTATATTAATGGTTACCTTTATTTACTTATTGAAAGTGATAATTCTTATTCAACAATTGGTATTCTTGAAAAATATACTTGATTTATTTCAACGTCAAGAGATTACGATATCTAGATCTTTAAATCTCTAAACCATCTAAATCCTTACCATTTTTAATAATGATATTATTAAATTCTTTTTAGGCCTATCACATTCCCCCTTTTTATAGAAAGTTTATTATTACTAAATTATAGAGTACATGTAAGAAATAGATGTCTTACATCCATGAACATCTTTGGTCAGCTTATTTTAAAGCAATTTTATGAGTGATATTGTGTATATTATTAGTAAATGTGTATTATATATTATGCACATGGGCCCCGCCCTGCCTAATTAATTAAGAATAATTGATTCCAGACCAATGTATGTGTATAAGTAATACTGTATAATAAAAACACCTAAAACCTATCAATTAGTTCCTGATTCAAATTTTTAACCATTCAATTTAACAAATACAAAAATAATCTAAATTTAAGAAGTAAAAGATGAGGCTAGTATTGTCAATTTATTTGATCGATCTAGATTTTGAGAAGCAATTTGTTCTACATTTACTTCGTTGTAATTCGTTATAAATCATAAAAATTGTTTTGATCTTTAATGTTTACTTTGATCTAATGCTAATATTATTATAAATCATTAAAATTGTTTTGATCTTTAATGTTGACTTTGATCTAATGCTAATATTATTATAAATCATTAAAATTGTTTTGATCTTTAATGTTGACTTTGATCTAATGCTAATATTATTATGCATGTGTATTATAAAATTATTATGACATTTATCAGAATCCAAAATGAACATTCCTGCCTTCACAGGTGGAGATAAATGTATGCATTGAGTTCCCGGAAGACAGTATCAACCAATTAAATCACAATGAATAACTATATCTTATATCTAAATGTTTGAAATTTTATACAATGTGATATAAATACCTATATTTCTAAATTGCACTATGGTTGTCAGTGGTTTTGAGATATGAATGACTATCAATGTAAATACATCAGAACTATGAAGCTATATGATCAGTTGAATTACTTTGTTAAACTTTTATGGGATAATGATTCAATGGGTCATTTCAAGTTTTGGGGGAATTAGTGTTAAGAAATACAGAAACAAACAAAAGCCAAAATATATCTTGATGACATAGACTTCAAAAATCTTGATTATGCAAGTCTGGCTTTATACACAACATAAACTCGATGTTGCTCAACCCACAACTTAATATGACCCATTTTATATGGTACCTTTATAAGGTTATCACCTTTAGTGAAAATATTAACTGCTGTGTAAAATTATGTCTATAATATATTATGATGAGAACATTAACAACAATGGTATAGTATTGATAGAAAACAAATTCTAATAAATAAAAGAACTATTTAAAAGTCTGGCTTTAAAAGGGACTTAAATTGTTTTATAACCGTGATGAAGAATTACTATCTTCACCTATAGGAGCATCACTGAAAAATAAAAAAATATGTATCATCAATTGGGAGAGATTTAAAATGGCTGCATGTATTATCTTCATTATGACTTGGTGTTAAATCCCTGTGTTCTTGAAGAGATTTGTTCACACATATCAATCCTGGCTGCAATTGGATACCGGTAGGGTAGTGCATGATAAAACCAATGAGGCTCAAAATATCCAAAACTGTGACTATTGTTGTATGCTGTAGATTCTATTTCCCATAGAGTATGATAGAGCCAGATTAAAGACATAACATTACCATGGTGATTCTCAATCAGTGTGATGCGGCCGCAACATCTTCCTAAGTGTGCCGCGAAATTTTGAACGGCACACTAAGAAAATGTGAAAAACCATGTGATCCCAATTGAGTATTCACTGGTGTCTACTGATAAGTTCATAGTTGTGTTTTTCTTTATTTATATATAGTTTGAGTCATTCTATGTCTCTATGACTATTCTCTGTCTATGGTTGTGTTTTTATTTTGCTAATTCAATAATTTTTCATATATATTTATCCAGGTGTGCCACTATTTTTTCATGGGTTCTAGGGTGTGCCGTCGACAAAAAAAGGTTGAGAACCACTGCATTACCATAACAATTACGGTCAATCAAACCGGCTAATAATAGAATGTGCCAGTCTGTATTTAGACATCTGATCTGTCACACAAACCTTGTATCGGTATTTGGAAAGTAAGCAACCAATTTGTTTATTTACAGCAAAAAAGTGTCAATTAAACAACTAACTAATAAAAGATTTGTTTCGTTATTCATGAAAAATCTATCTCATTACAAATTTACCGGACATTTAAACTAGGTCATTAATTAATAATAACATACTTACATTGAACCTATGACAGTTTGTCTTTGGACTAGTTTCAAGTAGCGTTTATGTTCCTGTTCTAAACTTATTACACATTTCTGGATTTCAGTGACTGTTTCAAAACAGATTTTTGTATCATCAATGACTAACATCGGATGCGGTTCTGTATCACCAGAATATACCTCCTGACAACCACAGGCATCTGGAAATCAACAAACAGTACACATAAAACTACCAAACAGGGTACCATATACTATATACATATCAAAATAAAGAAATACAGGCTGTATATAATTGTTATGAAAAAGAATAATATACATTAATATCATAAAAACAATATGGTTTAGTGTTAAAGAGACACCACAGGAGTGTGGACCAAAAGGCAGTGAGACCAGGACTGCCCCATTTAATGTATAAGAGTAAAAGAACCTATGGTATCTACCCAGGAGTGCCACATTTAATGTATAAGTGTAAAAGAAACTATGGTATCTAATTACCAGAGAGAGAGAGAGAGAGAGAAATAGGGTTTAACTCCATTCGACACAGACCAGGTAATTTAGGGACTAACATGGTTTCATTTTATTTCAATAATTCGCTTGCGCGTAAGGGTCTTTAGCAGTGGGAGGAAACCGGAGGACCCAGAGAAAACCCAGGAATGCTCCCTTTTAATGCAAAAACACATGTAGTTCAAAAGGTTCCTGGGCAAATAAAACCACCATTAATTAGAAAGACAATTAAAATGTTTTGAGTGAAAAATTAGTGATAATGACCAACTAGCTGAGCAAGATTCAACATCATCAGGTATATATATATGTACACATATATGTAAAAGGTAATGAAACATAATGCCCTAAGCAGCAAAGTTATCTGATTAGTCCATAAAGGTTGCCACAATTTTGTTCTTTTGCTGATACGGTAACCCTAAAAATTGATCAAAAGCAACAACTCATGACATACGGCAATCATTAGACAATTATTAACTGATACACAAAATATGTACCAGTATTACCAATATAAATACGATGCATAAATTTCAATAGAGAATAACTTTAGTCTCTGGAGCTCCATAATAATGATCAAGGGCCATAAAAAAAAATCTATATATTGTAAATTGTTGAAAATCAATAGCCTTATTCTTCTTCCGGTCATAAACACTGTTTACAAATTTTAAGTTAATCAGACAGGCCTCACACTGGCTCTCAATTTTTTTTCCGCCAAAATGGTTAATAATTTTTATATAAAAAAAATGTTCATACTTTTTTTTTGCCAACTGGAATATTTTATCTGCCACAATGGTGATAAAAAAGACGACATGTAGGCCTATTATAATACAATTACCAATACATACAATATACAATAAATATGTCTTTACATAACACATTAGCAGTTTTGAGATGATTCATTAAGATGAAATTTTGTTTTTGGTGACTTTAGTCTTTTCACACACCGTATTGCACAATATATTTTCAGTATTTACACCTCAAAGATCTTCAATATTTACACGTCAAATCTCATCCAATTTCTTTAAATTTATGTTTTGCCTATTGTCATTTTTAGGTACCGTAATGGTATCAAAATCGAGAACCCCGGTGGCTAAATGGGTAAGATGTTGGCTCGCTAGCCTGGAGGTCGGATGTTTGATCCCTGCATTGGCTGAAAAAGTCCATCAAGATTTTACGACGTGGTTTCCCCTTGTCAGTAGTACAGGATGGAGGGCCTGACAAGGACAGCTGTCTAGTCATTCGGATGAGATAAAAAAACCGAGGTCCCCTGTAAACATTGCCGTGCATGTAAAAGATCCCTTGGCAGTTATATGAGTAGGCTGTGTAGTGCCGCTGCCAGGCAAAATTCCCCTCAAATCTGTAAAGAGATCTGTCAGCCACATAAATTTCATCCAAATACTATGATAGACTTTACCAACTATTTGAAAACTGTCGACTACATTTTCTTTATCTATTTTTAAGTCAAGGGCAGTAAATCTGTGGATGATTTAATAGAAATCATCAGAATGAGATAACAATATGTAGACTACTCTAATACATTCACACAAGCTAGTTTTAGTTTATTCAAGAGCAAGAATTGTGTGTGGATTAAAAGTGTGTAAAGGAAATTAATAAAGTTAGTAGGTCTATATTAAATTAATAAAAGTGTGTAAGCCTATGTTAAATTAATAAAGGTCAGTAGGATAGATTAAATTAATACAAGTCAGTAAGCCTATAATATTAGATTAATAAATCTAAAAGTGTGTATATATGATATTAATAAAAGAAATGGTGTATGTACATTAGTAGATCTTACCAGTAGCATTCCTCATGCAATCTAGGAGAAAAGATATTAACAAATATTAATTTTAATCATGCATGTTTAATGCAATTATTAAAGTTATAACAGTATTGTACATATAGAGCTCAATATCCACACCATATTTGTCAAAAATTGACAGATTCCTTCAAAACTCCTACCACACATTCTACAAAGGGTACCACTACCATAGATTTTAAAGGCCAGCAACAAGTATGAATAAAACAGTGAAAATCAGCCCACAAATTTGCTTAGTAGTATTCAAATCTTATTTAAATCAAAATAATGGATCAAAAAGTTCAAATTTAAAATGAATTCAATTCTATTACAGTAAACAAATTGTTATAAATTCTCCAGATATGCAAGTATTCCCAGGCCATATTAGTAACCAGAATTGGTGTTTGTAGTTACAAGTGAGGTGTTATTTTTTTCTAAGTGCAACAGGAGGCCCCATGTATCTGTTAACATTAAAATTTAGCTTAGCAAGAACCTTAAAAACTCAAATAAATGTAGTCATGAGCCAATCAATCATATTGTATTGTTAATTATCCCGTTACTTGTTGAAATAAAAGAAATAAAGTTTTAATGCACGACAATATTCACCAGTACATACAAGACAAACCAGTTCTTTTATATAACATACAAGAGATATGATCATCAGAAAAAACATTTCCTGTATTTATCAACTGCCCCAAAATGTGAAATTTGTTGGAAACAAATTCAGCAGCTCTGAAGTTGTGGAGAATGTAAACAGATTTCACCTTAATAAACAGACAGATGTTAAGGTGCCCCACACAGTAAGAAATGATCTCTAATAAAAGTAGAACTGAAACCAATGAATGTTCAACCTCTAAAGTGATTATATAACCCTTCAGATGGATGACAGATAGGACGTAGAAGCAGTAGAAGTGATGGGTCACTATTGGCTAGACACCGAGATATGTCTTAGGTTTATTCAATCCCAATCACCTACATGTACTTTAGTTAATAGCAAAATTTAGCTTAAGATTACATGAACAATACCCTCTCAAAAATCAATAGATTGTTTAATTTACATATTTATTTTACTAACCTTGATAAGCATCAAGTTTATCCATGTTTGTAAGAAACAAGGAATGTATTTTTTCTACCTCTCTATCTGAGTCGATATTAACTTTCATCTCTGTGACAGGTAAACCACCAGATACGGGTGTACATCCTACGGCCATCATATCTACAGACTTACAGCTTAAAAAAAACGTATAATAAAAAAACTATACTGGAGAATTCAGAGATTTTCTAGAAATAAAACTGATTAATTATGTGTGGAAACATTGATTGGGTATCAAGGTGGAATGATCTTGTGCCTGGATAAGCTTGCCTATAATCGCGTTCATCTGCCCACCAATGGAGGTGAGCACTCTAAAAGTGTTATGTAACCTCTTACACTGTCTTGCTGATCACTTCCAAATGACTCAATATTTGGAGCTGAAATTTTCACACAAGGTAAATAGGCTTTCTTCTCATTTTTTAATCTTCTAGCATGCTTAAACAAAGTTTGTTTCAGGAGACCTGCTAAATACCCGACACCAAAAGCATAAATTAAGTTGGAAATTTTTTAGATTTCTTGGTTGAATGTTGTATATCCTGACTTTCAGTCACATTCAGGGTGATATATTATTCTGGAGAATTCCTCTTATGATGACATTATGCTTGATAGACACTGACATTTAAATTTTGTTCAATGTGTAACTTCATTTTATATATGCAGTTCACTATACTCTTATGGAGGTTAAAACTAACAACTAGAATACTTACCATAACCAATGACCATTAACCATAGCAGCAGGATGATACGTTCTTAATCTGTTTTTATTAGTATTACAAACTTTATTTAATATATCTAACCTAAAATAATACAAATAATTTATGTCAATCATCTGAAAATCAATATATATAAATATACTGATGTGTGCATAGAAATTATGTATACAATCTTTACAGCATTATGTATACAATCTCTACAGCCAATATTTATCCTGGTATTCATTACTAGTCTAAAAATATGGATAATGGCATATTTATTTGGTATTACTGCAAATATTGTCTAGAATAATTATACTAATCAAGTATTGTTTAGAATTATACTAATCAAGTATTGTTTTGAATTATACTAATCAAGTATTGTTTTGAATTATACTAATCAAGTATTGTTTAGAATTATACTAATCAAGTATTGTTTAGAATTATACTAATCAAATATTATTAAGAATTATACTAATCAAATATTGTTTAGAATTATACTAATCAAGTATGGTTTAGAATTATACTAATCAAATATTGTTTAGAATTATACTAATCAAGTATTAAGAAACAGGATAAAGAATTCAGAAGTTCTGCATGTATATTTAGAAATATTATGTACTCATATTATGCAACAACAACCATACTTATCTTCTATATTTTTTTGTATGGTACCTTCTTTTGTGATATTAATGAAACATTAGAAACCAGCCAGATATTTTTTAAGTGAAATAAAATAAAATGGGGTTTAACGTCCTACTAATATTTTTGAAGGTGGGGTAAAAATATCTTATAACCTGTCAAAATTTTCTCGTCAAGATACTAAACAGACATTTTCAGTTAAAAATGGAATAAAACCTGACTAACCATTCTTTTTCTTCAACACAATTATTGGCTTGAACATATAAGGCTCTCTGTGGTTGTACAACTTGAAACATCTACAAAAACAGTTTTAAAACATTTAAATTACTACCAGCATTTTAAATAATAATATAGGAGCATTGGAAAAAACCAGAAACATCATATGGGTAACCATGATTAAATGGCGGTTACTCTTGTAAATGTAGATATTGATCTCTAACATTATTTCTCAAAATGAATATAACAACGAGATAGTTTTGAAGATTGAATACATACATAGTTCATTTTAAAAGATTCTTCTTGGAGACTTTCAACTGCCAGTATATCTTCAATAGGTATAACACATAGTGGTTTCTCATCTATAAAATATAATATTAACAATTTCAATAAATTAAACAGGAATTCAAATTAATGAAGTTTTAAAAAAAAAGCTGATTATAGTCATTTCATTTATTTGAATTGAATTCCAAGAAATATTTCTTAGATATGTCTGTCTTTAGTAGTTGATTTCAATCACAGTCAATTAATTCCTGAAAGTCCTTAACAGGAAATATGGAACTTCTAATGAAAAGGAAAAATAAAACCATGATCAAAATCAATTAAATAACATGGGTATGTTTGTTGGTCCTAATACAGATTATGCAGTTTACATATCTGTGGCAATGTGTAAAATCTGCATTTCTAGATCATTTGGAGAGAGAGAGAGAGAGAGAGAAATGGGGTTTTACCGTCCACTCGACACAAACTAGGTCATTTCGGGACTAACACATGGTTCAATTTTATTTTAATAATTCACATGCACGTAGGGGTCTTTAGCAGTGGGAGGAAACCGGAGGACCCGGAGAAAAAACCCACAAGGTTGGACAGGCGACTCTACTCCTTGTCATGTATAACCGGGGAATCGAAACCCCGCCAGTTGACTCAATGACAGACCGTATGATACAGCACAGCACGCACATGCTAACCATTCGGCCATCCAACCCCGCTAGATCATTTGGTGTAAACATTTCATCCTTTCAGTAATTCAAGTATTTTCTTCAGGGTATTAAAACATAAATCTAGACTCCAGATTATCAAAGAGATTACATCAAAGAAATCCAGCTTCAAGTCAGAATTTTTAAATTACACTTAAGATATCAATGTTTACTTACTTTTCGATTTTGAGTAGGATAAATGTTGGTTACTTAGACAGAAATATCGTTTCTTAAAATTCTTTAAACCAAATTTCTTTCTACCCTGAGCTCTTTTGATGAGAGTTCTAAAAATAAATTAATGTCAACAATAAGATACCAATGAAACTTACACAACTGTAAAATAAATTATATGTGTTGTATTCAAAATGAAGTATACTTTTCTCTATAAAAATATTTATTTTTACAGATTAAGCCATAAAAATACATAATGACAATTGGCAACCTAAAATATCTTTACTATTTAAAAACTATTGCCAATAAGAATAATATACTGTTGTGTTTATTTACAAGCTCTATTTATCTTTACAGATTAAGCAACAAAAATATATAACAGCAACCTAAAATATCTTTATCATTTATAAGCTATTGCCAAGGACCCAATAATACACTATCATGCTGATATGTTATTGTATAGAATGATAGATAAATAATACTTTCTTATAATAATGCATTATTTAAATGTAAAATAATAACTTACCCTTCCTTGAGTATAATTGGAGCTTCAATATTTCGTAAATGAGCACCACAACTTGATGATATGATTTCTAAAAACTGGAAATAATAAAAACAAGTTTTACCAAAAAAATAATAAAAATAAAAAACTTTATCAACATGCATAGAATCGGATGATTACACTTGACTTACCATATATGATCGGATGATTACATTTGAATTTACAATTTTAACACAATAAACATATCAGATCGGGTGATTACATTTGACTTTACTATTTTAACATAATAAATGCATCATATCAGATGATTACATTTTACATACCATTTTAACATAATAAACGTATCAGATCACATGATTACATTTGACTTACCGTCTTAACTTTATCAACATGTATCGGATCAGATAATGATTCAAATAAAGGCACCATATACTCTTCTTTTAAACCAAATGAGATCTATAAACAGCAAAGAATCAAATTGTTAAATGAAGCAAGCAATATTCCATAGCAACATTAAGAGAAATAAACAAACTGGTTTCCATGTATACACTTATTTCATATACAACAAATTACATTCCTACTAGTACTCACATTTTTGGCACAAACAATATTGACTAAACCTTGAATAGATTTGGAGATTAGAGTTAAAGTTCGATTGACAGTAACATCCTGCAAGTAAACAAACAGAAATATTAATTAAATTTCATTTGAACGGTGGATTGGGTGGCTTCATGGTTAACACATGCGCGTTGTATCATAAGGTCTGTCATTGAGTCAAGTGGCATGGTTTTTGATTCCCCACTTGTTAAACAATATTCTATTAAATCACAGACTGGAAAGACCTAACCTTCCGATTTGCTTTAACATTTCACATCATTTTTTAAGTGATGGGTGTGGTGCTCTAGGAAGCATATGCTTTCACTATCTAGACCACTTTATACCACTTTTAAATTGCAGGCAGATTTCTGTTGTACTATTGTCTATTATTTTTCTATTAGAAACTTCAATAAAACGGTAAAATTTCTTATAATCAAGCAAAATGATAAGAATGTGGTAGTCATTTCCATATCTCTGCTCAAATGAATAGAATAAAAAAGAAAAAAAAAAAGAATACATCATCCAAATTACCTGTGTATCAGGTCGAAGTTCAAACAACTTTGGACCCAGAATAGCCGGAGCAAAAAATCTCAAAAATATAAAACTACTAACAACTAGGTAACGTATTGTTTGCATTCCTGAAAATTACAAAAAACTAATTCTAAAATCACACTAACAGTCTTACTCATTTATGAATCATTATCTCAATTAGAGAGAAGATATGAAAATACACTAATAGTCTTACTCAGTCAAGAATCATTATCTCAATTAGAGAGAAGATATGAAAATTATATAATTTGTCCCAATTTCTATCGCATACAATCATTAGCAAATAAAATAAGTTTGAACTGTCAATATAAATATTGATAAAAAGTTAAAAATTTTATTGGTCATAGAAATGGCAAGAGGAACACTCCCGTCAAAAGTCAAAACCTAGTAACTCACTTTTTTATCAAAATTGAGTTAGGACCAAAATTGTAGTTACTAGGGTTTGTGTTTCCAATCTTTTGATTTTGTAAGCAGTTACACCCATGACACAACCTAGCAACTTCCTTCATTTGCCTAGTATGCCACAGAAAAACCTAGCAGGGATGTAGCTACACCGGGGGGGGGCCAGACGCTTGCCGCCCAGCACAATGAAAAAATCGAAGAAAGCCACCCAGTCGTATTTAAACCCCTTCGTCGTTCTCTGTACACAAGCTCGGTGCTCGAAATTTACCACGTCAAACAGCAAAGCCATGGTAAAAGCCAACGCAAACCATGTCTGCCAAGGCATAATTTATTTTTGTGTGCCGTAGTAGACCCTATCATCCCAAATTAGTTTAAAGAAAGAAGTATTTGTATTTTGTTTATTCATATTTAGAAGTCTAGGTCAATTCATTTCACAATTCTACGGTCTTTAAATTTGTATATTTGCCGGAAATAGGTCACCCAGACCAATTTATGGCACTCCAATGTTAAAGGTTTGGATGTCGTAAATGGTGTCGTAATTCGTGAGACACGAGTCAAATAAAACAACGTATTTTAATTATCAATATCTACCTGTTGTCATAATTCGTTGTACTCAAATAAAACACAAAAAACGTTTTAAGAATCGTTTTAATTTTTAATCTCAAAGTAATAAAGTAATATTTGAAAAAAAAACCACAAAAAAACTGAGAAACAGAGTGGGGTGGGGCACTTTTATGCTCGGTCGGTTGGTGTCAAAAAGTTTTTAGATCCCTGGCAGAGTCTCTGTATCATTGATGAAAATTAAGTGAATTTGGTAAAAATTTGAATATATAAATGGAAATTTAATTTGCACTGAAGCAAATACAAAAGGCAGCAGATGCTCTAAAAATACACCAAGAAGGGTTGAATTTTCATAAAAGACCCCCCCCCTCCAAACAAATTTTCCTCGCTCCACACGGCAGCTATTTTTTCCACCACTCAGCAAATCCTGGCTACATCCCTGATCTAGTAACTCAATAGTCAAATCAATGCATAAGCTGGGGTTTAATATTCATTCATTACAGTTTCCTTTGTTTTCTCAAAATAAGAAAAAACGTGAGTTACTGGGTATTGCTTTTTGACGGGAGAACAATTTGTCTACATAAATCAAAGGCAATTTGAAACTAAATAAATTTTGCATATTATTTACAAATTTGGAGTGAGGGAGAGTGCAATGGGGTTGTATGTCGACTCCACATTAAACTTGCCCCCAAACAAGGTAACTTAAAGAAATCTTGTTTTATGATCATCTTAATTACATAAAAGAATATTCTATGGATTCAGATAACTTACCAGAATAATGAGAAAGTGCTGATTCTTTTATAGCATGAAAAACTTCTCTCATTGTTGTTGGACAAACTAAACCAGATCCTGTAATACTATCGATTATCTTTAAAACATAACTCTTTAAATTCTCCTATAAAATACAAATTATTTATCTTTAAAACATATTTGAATCTCCAAGTATTTAAATATGTGATATAGATTCATAAATTTATAAATATAATCATTTAATCTCTACAATAAAATAATACAAATAAATTATCTGTGAAAAATATATGTTCCTTCAAATAATAAAGTTAGTTTGTATTATAAAATAAAACCAAGTACGAACAATCCAAACCATTAGACAAAATTCTAAGTCCTAAAATATGCTGTTTTGGGGAACTTGAATACATTTTCCAATCAATGGTTATGTTAAGTAGGATATCAACTATCAAGGGAAATATATCTTTAAAAACATAGCTCATAGTTCCCAGGCAAATTATCATAAATTATCATAAAGTGATACATATAATTTACTTACCATATTATCACTGAGATTCTCACCATCTTTTAATCTTGACGGATCTATTTCACACGGTTTTTGTTCTGAACAAATCTTAAATGAGAAATTATTGAAAAATAAAAACTGAAGTTGGTTTTACTTGTCTATTAAGCTGGTTTGTCATCAAAACTATTTGCTGCAAAAAAAAGCTATTGAGGATCTGACATATAGGATTTTCATCTCTGTGAAGTCTGCGTTGAAAACTAGGGTTCAAGATTTTCTGTATAAATCATAACTTATGAATTTAAATACATGTACAATAAATATGTCCGACCAGAAAATATTTGATACAATCTTTTTTTGTTTTCCGGATGTTTCTGTCAAGTTCGGAATAATGACCTGATTATCGTACCTGGCCCTTTAACCCAAAATTCAAATTTCAACTAATCATATGGAACGAATACTGGTCTAGTTTATGCAAACAGATATGGAAGCTATAGAACGCCTATATGGCAAACTTGCCATTATTAACAAGATGTCCTGTACGTCCGTCAGACCGGAGTCAAGATAGATGGTCAGAGAAATGTAGTTTGGTGTACTTACATCATCTATATTAGTCTTAATGGTGCTGTGGAGATAAGGTAACCCAATAAATTTCATTAATTCATCAATAATCTTTGTGACCAGTGAATTACCTCGGAATAAAGTGTTGGGATCACTGAAATATACACAAGGTTAAATCTACTAAATGACAATACAAGATTAAATTTCATATATATTTATAGTTTTCATGATAGTTTGGATTTGTTTATAATACCAGACCTCGAGGAAAGAGGTATATATATCATTAATAACACTGTATGGATACACAAGATGAAATAGGGTTTAACAGCCCTACTTTTCTGCACTAACCTGGTAAATGAAGACAGATATACAGCATGCAGTCTATTAACAGGCTTCTACCATGTGCACACTGGTCATTTTTCAGTAGCAAAATGAAAATATAAACTTTATTACTGCCATGCATGTATCTATATACTTACACTGTCTTAGAGACTTCCCAATAAGCTAGAGCTTTGACTAGAAGGACTAATTTACCATGATGGTAGGTTAATTTAAGTAAAGGTTGTGCTGCCTCTGCGCGATTATCTACAATTTCACCAAGTAAATAAGCTGCACTCGCTGTTGTGGGCTATAAAATGAAATAACAAAGATATTAATCAATTAAACAATTTACAAACCAGATTCTACAATGGAACTGCTATCAATTTCCAAATACTTCACTCTTTTGGATTTATATTCCCAAATCCATTTCTGGATAAACAATGTAATCATAAACGCCTTGAAATGTTCATAATTATAATCCTAACATACTTAAGTCACATGGATACATTTTTATTAGAAATGGACAAGTAAAATAAAATCAAAGACCCACTTTGAATAATATGTCCAAAATTAATCAAATAAGTTCTAATTTATCACATATATATGAATGTGTGCTGTAGTCATGGTAGTACCCATTCAATCACAAGTCTTATAATATTTCCAATGTCAATCATTTCCAAACAGCTGAAATTTTCCAGACTATCTTGGGCCTATTTCTCTACGGTTTAGCATTTGCTTTGCTGACTATGTGAAAATTGGGACTGTCCCTAGAAAATCTATGTGATGTAAAAATAATTTACATAAGATATATTGTCTTTTGCAAGCAGTACAGTTTGCTGTATGTCTGAACACATATTATGATATCTTAAAGTTCGTTTGAATTATAAGGTCAACCTTTTAAGGCATACAACCTTCGGATATAAATTATGACTTGTTTTTGCCACAGGTCCCAAAGTATGAAATTTATTAATACAACTTACTGTAACATCACATGATCGTAATATTAAACATCTGAGATCGTTGTAATAGTGTGAGAGAAACACATAATCTGCTGTATAGGATATCTTTAATCTGAGAGAACCAAGATCTAGACGGGACTGTTTTGAATTTTCTCTGGCTTGTAAACAGTACCTAAAAATATTTGAAATTGGAATTTTTTATTATATTTAGTAAATTTCACTCTCTATTTATACACTATAATATAATACAGTATAAGCTTATTCAATTTCTTGTTATAGAGTATATAATAGTATTCTATAATATTCTATCCCATTTACCAAGCTATATTCTATGTCTTGCAATATAGTGGGGCGGTTAAGCAAAAAATCGTGCACTTTGGGTTAAAAGCATGAAACTTGGCACATAGATGGCATCAACCCTACTGATTATTTTGGGATGTGGATCCACCTCAGCAGCTCCCCCTGGTGGTCCTTACGGCCATCTTTTCCAAAATGGCGCCTATTCATTGATATACATATAACTAGGGGTGTCACAATAAGACATTTTTTTACAAATCATTTCAGGCCAGCAATTTACAGATGCAAAATTGCTAACTGAACACGATTTTTGAAAAAAAGATTTATCTATGAGGTCATTTTCGTTTGGGGTTTGCCTGATTTCAAAAATGGCCGCCAAAATTTGAAGAAAAATGAATTTCCAGATAGGATGGGTGATTATCACGCAATGTATGCCTTGTAATATATCAAATATAAGGTTTTTGTTGTAATTGAACTGAAAAATAATCTCTAAAACTAGTTTCCCCAAATCCAAGATGGCGGAAATTCATAATGGCGGCCACAATATACCCAAAATGGCGGATTGATCAGATTAAAGTCATTTCACAGTTTGATTTGGTTTGTAATATATATTTTAAAGGGATTACATTGTCACTGAACTTAAAATTAATCTAAATAAAAAAATAGTTTCCAAAATCAAAGATGGCGGAAATTCAAAATGGCAGCCTGAATTTGAATCATCAAAGTCCGGCAACTTTTGACGGTAAAACGGTGCAAAGACAAAGGAGATGAAATTAAAAATGCCTCAGTTGGCCCCGTTGTATGGTTATGGGATGGGGGTGGAAGGTCGGAATAACCAGATATTTTCTCCAAAGAATGTGTCCATTCTTAACATTATCATTAGCATCATTTGTTTTAATGCATAAAACAATTAAACTACATTTATTGTGTCTTAAGGTTAAATTCTTTGAAATTCTAATTAGCTGACTGGTAAGTTCTGCACATGGTTAATTGACTGACGGGTAGATTCCTGAGTACAGTCAATTTCAGTTGCCCTCGAAAAACTATTACACTTTGCTATTATAAACCAATCCAATAGAAAGATTGATGATTGCCCCTTTTTTCTGAAACAATCATCTACAATTATCAAATTCACTGACTCCGAAAACTTAATAGAGGACATATTACAAGGCATATCAAACAGAAAATTCACGATTATCCTAAAATTTGATCATTATTGGCAAATTCTGGCCGCCATTTTGAATTTCCGCCACCTTAGATTTTGGAAACTCTTTTTTTTTTTTAGTTTGATTTTAAGTTCAATGACTTTGAAAACTCTTTATATTATATATTACAAACCATATCAAAGAGTGAAATGACTTTTATCTGACAAATCGGCCATTTTAGATAAATGTTGGTTGCCATTTTTAATTCCGCCATCTTGGATTTTGGAAACTATTTTTTTATTTAGATTAATTTTCAGTTCAGTGACAATGTAAACCCTTTAAATTATATATTACAAACCAAATCAAACAGTGAAATGACTTTAATCTGATCAATCCGCCTTTTTGGATATATTGTGGCCGCCTTTTTGGATTTCCGCCATCTTGGATTTGGGGAAACTAGTTTTAGAGATTATTTTTCAGTTCAATTACAACAAAAACCTTATATTTGATATATTACAAGGCATACATTGCATGATAATCACCCATCCTATCAGGAAATTCATTTTTCTTCAAATTTTGGCGGCCATTTTTGAAATCAGGCAAACCCCAAACGAAAATGACCTCATAGATAAATCTTTTTTTCAAAAATCGTGTTCAGCTAGCAATTTCGCATCTGGAAATTGCTGGCCTGAAATGATTTGTAAAAAAATGTCTTATTGTGACACCCCTAGTTATATGTATATCAATGAATAGGCGGCCATTTTGGAAAAGATGGCTGTAACGACCACCAGGGGGAGCTGCTGAGGTGGATCCACATCCCAAAATAATCAGTAGGGTTGATGCCATCTATGTGCCAAGTTTCATGCTTTTAACCCAAAATGCACGATTCTACCAAAAATTCTTCCTTAACCCGCCCCACTAATAGCTGTGTATAACATAATACCCTATTTTTTATGCTTTATTCAATTTCTTGTTTTAGAGTATAATATCCTATATACCAAGATATGTTATAGAGTATACTCTATATTTATCAATCTAAATTCTATTTCTTGCAACAGAGTACAATATAATACCCTATTTACTATGCTTTATTCAATTTCTTGCTATAGAGTATAATATCCTATACACCTAGCTATACTCGATCCGTTTCTTGTTATAGTATAATATAATAGAGTATAAGCTTTATTCAATTTCTTGTTATAGATAATAACATCCTATCTCACTTACCAAGCTTTATGAATTGATTGGATATCTAAATCTCTTAATGGTATTTTGACTTCCCCTAAAAAGGCACCAGGAAACATGTTACCTAAAACTTCTCTCGACACTTTAGAATCATCATGCCACACTGAAATACTACAATAAAATATAATTTGTTAATAACTGAGAGTGCCAAAAACTGAAAGGAAATGAAATGAAATGAAATGGGGTTTAAGGTCCTACTGTTCTGCTCTGAGCTGGGCTAATGAAGACGGGCATACGCTATACAGTGTGCAATGAGGGAAATTTTGCCCAGACAGCGGCACTACGGCTTACTCTTGTATCGAATTCCAACTGTCATGGGATTTTTTACGTGCATGCCAATGTGTACACGGGACCTCGGTTTTTCGTACCATCCGTACCACTAGACAGCTGTCCTTGTCAGACCCTCTGTCCTGCATCACTGACAAGGGGGAACTACGCCGAACAATCTGGATGAACTTTCTCGGCCAATGTAGGGATCGAACACCCAACCTCCAGGCTAGCAAGCCAGCGTCTTAGCCACTTAGTCACCATGATCCCCAAAACTGACAGAATATATATAAACTTTACTCTGCTGGTGTACGAGACCTAACAAAATGTTCATCAATGGCCCTAAAGCATTCATCTGATACAATTGTTCTAAATGAAGTGAATTAGTCAATAACCAGGCCCCATGTTCACAAAACATACATTACATTTAAGTTACTCAAAATTGTTCAACTTATTTTAACTAAAATATCGCCTTTTATAAAACTTCTGTTGTTTTAATGTATCAAATACATCAATAAGAAATTATGTCACGTGCAAAGTTTTGTGTTTCTGGATTAAAGATATTTCTCATAAACAGTGATTGAAAATTGTGTAAATTCTTAACTTAAGTCTGAGAATGCTTTGTGAACTCGGGGCCAGGAGATCCAGGGTTTGATCCTAATGTTGGCCAAGGAAGTTCCTCAGGATTTCCTGCCCGGGTTTCCTGTCTAGTTGTTCAGATGGGACAAAAAAAACTGAGGTCCTGTTAAAATTGGCACTACAATAAAGATCCCTTGACATTTGAAAAATCAAAATAAAAGTAGCCTGCAGTGACACTGTCCATGAAAAATTTCACTCATAGGTGTATGCCTATCTTCATTAGCCCAGTTGGAGAGGAAAAGTAAAAGACTTTATTTTATGATCAGTAGTGGAATACCGCATTTTATCAGTGAAATAAAAGTGTTATTCCACTGGCTAGCAGTAGTCCATGTTGTCTTTACCTAAAATGATTGTAAAATCATAAAATAAATAGAACATTTGTCGTTTTGTCGTGAATAACATATTTTATTTCATCTCTAAGCAAGAAAACGTTTATATTTTCACTCATGCATAAGTTTTCTAGCTTCTCGATGAAATAAAATATGTTATTCACTCTAAAACGACAAATATCCTCTATATAATTACAACATTTCATTTTCATTTGCACACTATATTGACACAGAGTTAAAATATGTAAACAGTATATACAAACCTTAGTTCACCATTAAAAGCATCATCAAATGTGTATAAGTTCCTGTCATGGTTTTGACCTTTATTTTCTAACTGAAAGTTAAATACATCCTTATTATGTATCATAATTTTATCACTCAGTTAATCATACATACAAACATCTACATTATTATACACAATTTATACTAATCATGGACTAAAATTATATTATACACTACAAAGCAGATCCAGATACAAAGGGGGTCGTGTTGTGGCTCAGTGGAGAAGGTGCTGGCTTACTAACCAGGAGTACTCAGGTTCGATCTCAGTGTTAGTTTTCCCATGCCGGTAGTGCCTGTCTAGTTGTTTGGATGGGAAGACAGTTGGAATTCAAAATGATTGAAGTCTCTACTTAGCCTAAGCATAAAATGTTCATCATCAAACTTGTCATGGTATTGATGTAATGAAACTATACACCAAGTTGCTACTACTACTACCTGGTGCTTTAACGTCTGCTTCCACAGAAGTGATATCGCAGACAAGACATAGGAGTGCCAAAGCTTCTTACTGTTTTTAGAATATGATTTTGCAATCTTTCCATTTGCAGCCTTAGGCCATGGAGTGGATTTAGTGGGAAGTTCTTCCGTTTATTTAATTAAAAAAAACGTATTGTTTGGTTGTTGATCTGTAGAGACAGCATATATGCAGATGTGTCTCGTCTCTGGATTGGTCGATGTCATCTTTGTGGGTTTAGTGTTTAGGTGCCAGGCCCGTCTTATCGTGGCCTCCCCTTACTCCACTATCTGACTCTGACACCAAGTTGCATCATTGTCACCCAATTGGAATCAAAATTGTTGTGTCTGAAAGTCTCGACCAATCAAATTGCTTTCCACACATTTCTTAACCTGATTAGAAATTGTTCATGATCAAACTTCGTTAAGGTATTGATGTAATGAAACCATACACTCCCACTCAATTAGACTCAAGGTTATCATGCCTCAAAGCATCAACAAAACAAATTACTTTCAAAGCATTGACCTATAACAACGTCATAACTTACATCGAAGAAAAAGGTTTCATCAAAATTGGGACAAATTGTCTTTTTCTTGACATTTGTCCTTTTGACATCTTTGTGCTTTGATTTGGTATGTGTTACCATGACAACAGCATACGGATTACAGCTTCCATTAATAACTGTTAAATCACTACATTCCAATATCCTGAAAATAAAATATATATAATCATATTGGTAAATCTTTCAAAAAACAGCTTAAATTCCTATTAGTATTAGTAGTTCTCCATAGAAATTATATAAAATGAAATGAAATGGGGTTGAACGTCCTACTGTTTTGCTCCTAAACTCGGCTAATGAAGACAGGCATATGCCATACAGTTTGCTATGAGGGAAATTTTGCCCGAGCAGCGGTGCTACGGCCTACTCTTATATCGAATTACAACTGCCAAGGGATCTTTTACGTGCACGCCAATATGTACACGGGACCTCAGTTTTCCGTCCAATCCGAACGACTAGACAGCTGTCCTTGTCAGGCCCTCCGTCCTGCATCAGTGACAAGGGGAAACCACGCCGGAAAATCTGGATGAACTTTCTCGGCCAATGCAGGGATCGAACACCCGACCTCCAGGCTAGCGAGCCAGCGTCTTACCTACTTAGCCACGTGATCCCCCAGAAATTATATTAAAGATGCATTATGTAAGAGTTAAATCTGTCTACTGCAGGTCTTTTTTCTGCCTTCAAATGTTATATCAATCATTATTTAAACATTTATTAACATGGCAAGCTCATAATCAACTCTCTGGGCCTTTGGATGGCTCCAATTTTATGAAGATTAGAACACTGCAGCCATTTAAAATAAACAACCCATGCTACATTTTGTCAAAACTTCAAACACTCGTAACATTCCACTGAACATAGTAATTTGACTGAAATTTTTGATATATTCATTTTTCATTATCTAATTTTCAACCACTATTTCTCATTTTCATACTTACAGTGATACAAATTTTATGGAGTGGATGGGCTCCATTTATAGTATCTAGGAACTTCTTACCTGACTGCCATTCGATGGGAAGAAAAAGATTCTGGTTCAGTATTGAGGATTTCATCAAAACGTATTTCAAGATGAACTTTACCCTGATGACAGATAGAAAATCAAATCTGTAAGTTTATGCAACAAAAATGTACAAATGCTATTGATAGACATCATCATTAACTTATAGTAACATTAAAACATAATGAAATGATATATAGTGACACTAAGATTAAATTATTATCTTGAACAGAGATGATAATGTGATTGAGGATCAGTTCGTTCTACCCTACCTGTACTTGTGCATCAACATCTATAGGAGTTAAAGGAAACCAATGTTCTTTATTATGATATCTATACAGTTCATCTTTCTTTAATGTTACTTTACCAATAATCTACAAATAAAGAGACAAAGTTATTTACTTAAAGAAGCATTATGTAAGATTTAAATAAAGGGCAGGCCATTCTTGCTATAATAGTTCTAAAATAGATAATGCAAAATGAATATATTGAAAATTTCATTCCAGTTACTTTATTCTGCGCGAAGTTATCACCATTTGAAGTTTTTGCAAGATGTAGTATAGATTGTTTATTATCGTAACAACGGTACTTGGTATTTGTGACTTAGCCTCGCATCAACATTTTTAAAATAAATCATTAATGGCGACTGTGTTTTATAATCTGTTTAACTCTCCGCCAAACGATGATCTAGAGAGTTGATTAAAGAGAGAGAGAAATGGGGGTATTTCGGGACTAACACATGACTGAATTTTATTTCAATAATTCTATTGGGCATAGGGGTCTTTAGCAGTGAGAGAAAACCTGAGGACCCGGAGAACACCAACGACGTTGGACAGGCAACCTTACTCCCTGTCACGTACCAGCAGGGAATCGAAACCAGGCCACTCGACTCCACGACAAACCTTATGAACCAACACGCATATATTAACCATTCGGCCACCCAACCCCTCTGAGTAGATTATAATAGTTTATATAACTTATGAAGCCAAACTAAAGACCTGCAATAGGCAGATTTAACATATGGTTCAATTTTATTTCAATAATTTGTTTGCGCATATGGAGGAAACCGTGCGACTATTTTGGCGATAATTTTGAAAAAAAGATGGCAGATATTGTCGGATCGACTATATACTAAGATTTTTGTTTTCAGATTAAACGACACAATAACAAACATATGGCGTGGTTGCTATGTGATTTTGTTTTAAAACATACCGAAATCTTTAACTTGCTTTTTCTCAAAACTTGCTTTTTTGACTTGGACAACTTCAAATGGATATAGCTCAATTAGCAATTTGATAGAATACATATCTATATTTTAATTCGTTTTTTTATACTTTTAATGGCCTCTATTACATGAAGATCTGACCGATTTTAGTGAGAGGTCACGTCAGGGGTTATACGAGCGGCTTTTTACTATGACGTAAGTCATTTGATAAACCAATCAGCTTTGATGTTTCTAGTGGGATACCCACAGTTCTGTGCACTGCATGCCAAGAACTCGCAGCAACAGACCATTTCATTGGCTAATCCCTCACATCATCCAGAACACTAGATATATAACAACTCTTCCAGATCCTAGTGTAGTATTTCCAAGTAAAAGGAAATTTTGAACTATAAAAAACGAAACAAAATAGGATCTGTATTTTAATCAGATTGCTCAATCAATTTTTGCCTGATTCAAACCAACCATACATCATTTTGAAGGTATTGAGGTGGAGAATGTGATAATAACGATAACTCAATTTTCAAAATTTCCTCATTATGAATATGACTCAATTTGCAAGCACAGGTCACATTGAACTTAGTTTATGTCTAGACTAAAGTTTCATTACTTCTCTCCAATTAGAAGTAGAGTTATTATCTTCTAAACTACCAGCAAATCAATCAAATAGTTTATCTGTGCTTTGACTAAGCAGAAAATGCTCATCGTCAAACTCAGTCAAGACTTTAATAATGAACATTTACACCAAGTTTGATCATTCTACCTCAATTAGACGCAGAGTTATTGTGTTCCAAAAGATTTGGCGGACAGCCAGCTAAGCAGAAAATACTCTTCATCAAACTGAGTTACAATATTCACCTGACGAACTAACGAACAACTGCACCATTTTACCTCAATAAAAGGAAGTTATTGTGTTCGTCAAGGTTGTCTCATGAACAGAAATCAGCCATTTCATGCTCTATTTACAATTATCGTCAAAAATCTAGACACAAAATCATACAATTTTAAAATAATAAAGTTTCACCTTGTCCGTTTTTGAGCCATTATCATGTACCATAAAAGATAAAAACCTAAATTTCTTTGGTATTTCTCCCTGAAATTCTTCTCCATAAAAAGGGCTAGAAAGAAAACATAAACATAAAAGGATATTCACAGTTCAATATAATAATTAATGTGTGATAGGTTAAAGAACATGGAAGGAAAGATACAGAAATATGCAATTAAATTAAAAATACTAAATCTTTTCATCATCAACAATCATGAAAATATTTTTGGCCTACTCACTTTAAAGATTTTTCTACAACTGATGTTTTATAAATGGTCTCTGAGTCAATCTTGATACTACAGAATGTACTTCTACCACTATTAGACACTGTATGAGATGGCAAATTCTTCGCTTCACCTGTCAAAATAATATTTACCCTATATTAAAATAATAAGCCAGTTGTCATACCACAAAAATCTTATTCAATGGAAAGTGGTTAGCTTGATATTACATGGGCCTCGGACTTATTCAAATACCTATTTGAACATTTGCTCTAATCTATAACTTTGTATGTTACAGGGGCTGCGGAAAAAAAAGCAAAAAGAAAAAAGCTTGTTTCCAAGTCACAGGTCTATGAAAGGGTATCGCTGCCAATATTGAATGCTCTGCTAAAAGTAAAATGTCTTGTCGATTGATTATATGTAAAAAGTACAGTCTTAATACCGGTAATGATAAAGTCAAAATACCTTGAAGGCCAAAGTTAAATGTAAAACGTCAAAAGAAATGTGTCAAATGACAAATAATGTCTTATTGGAAAATGCTGTTTTTTGATGTGACAACATTTTTCTCATTACATTTTACATTTGCACTCTGTCGCATCTCACGTGTCCTTCATGCTTTCTGCATAGCATTCTTATGCACAGTGGCGACAGCGCTATCTTTGATATAATGCAAATCTAGGATATCACGTTACTTATTAACATACACGAAAACGACCCCCGAGATCAACCAGGCAGACTATACGCCAGCACACTATAAAGATATTCACAACACAACAAGAGGAAATCAACCTGGCACACTATAAGAAATTTACTTAAGAAACGATCAAATTTGGAAGGTACTATGATTACAAGAATGTGGGTGGGACGTGGGGTATGCAATATCAAAATACGGGTCTTAATACGAAATTCCAGATATCATGTAGTTACATTTTTCTTTGTAAATGTGTAAATAAATCTTTCTGGCGCATTCATATTTTCATAACTTGAGAAAAGAACATCTGGATGGTACTCACCTCTATTAAGTGACTGTGTGTGTGTGAGGGGGGGGGAGGATTCAATGTTAAAATACAGGTCTTCATACGAAATTTCAAATATCATGTTAAATATAAGTGAAAAGCTTGTGCATTGCTTTTCCAAATATGTAAATAATTTTCTGGCACATTCATATTTGCATACCTTGAAAAACGTAGAGGGTGGTAAGAAACTCTATTTTAAAGTAGCTAAGTCTCTAACTCAATATCATCCAAAATCTTCAACATTGAAAACACGATTTATTTGTCAAATTAAATCAACATTCATGTTGTGATCTTACCGGAAAAAGATGGGCGTTTGATATCCAATATTTAAGACAAAATAAACATTTTACCATTGGTACACGAATCGTGTACGATAATGCGCTTCAGCCCCAGTTGTATCAAGAGACTCGAGGGACGAGGCTAAACACACCGCACCAAATCAAACGGCGTATGTAGACTGGAATAACCAGACGCTAGAAATTTGCACTCGCTTAAGACTGCTGGCTTATTTTGCCGAAAATAACTGATTTGAAATTGGAGTAAAAACGGAAACCATTGAATGTAAATCAGTTTACATACATTCATATTACTGTATTATATGCGTTGCGACCCACTTTTGTCAATTTCTAGGTCCCAAATGTTAGCGATTTAGCTCCTTTAAATGACATGGGGGGATGGGGGTGTATAATTTAAAGTAAACATACAGGTCTTAATACATAATTCCATATATCATGTTATGTATCACTGAAAGGCATGTTTATGGCTCTTTTCAAATATGCAAATAATGTTCTGACACATTCATATCTTCATAACTTGAAAATAAAGAGAGAGAGAGAATGAGAGAGAGAGGCAGAGAGAGAGAGGGGGGCACGATGGCAAGTATGGGTCTTAATACAAAATTCCAGTTATCCTGTTATACATCACTGGAAAATATGTTTCTGTGGTTCTTTGAATCTATCAGTTATTTTCTGGCACATTCATGATTACGTACTTTATTACTTAGAAGAGAATGAAAACCTTGTTGTTTTGTCTAAAGAAATGTGTCACTATGCATATCAATCACTAGATTTCGTTGCAATCACGGTCGTCCAGCAAATTTCTTATACTTTGCGAGTTTGATTTGAACAGTTTTTACAATAATTAAAGATAGGTTGCCAGGGAACAAAACATACACACACAGCAGCTAAATTGCCCAGGCGCCAACAAGAGTTGTTTCATATTATTTCTTTTGTCGGTAATGAAACATTTATAATACCGGTACACTAAAATCTCATTAAGAGGTATAACTCATTAAGTAATTATCAGAAAATCATTATAATTTGTTTGGCTTCTAGTTCTGCCCCATCATCGGCCCATATTAATTATAATTATATGCTAACGTTTATTATCCATATACATAATACAAAACATTTCATAATCATTCATGGATTTAGTTGTTCAAGTTATCAAAAATCATTGAAAATCAATATACTTATATTAGTTTACTATAGTAATGAAATCTACTGTTTAAGGGCATTGCTGAAATATCTCGCTCTCTTGGTGGTTTAAACTCTTGATTCTACAATTGGCACCTCAGCCTTAGCAATGAAAAGTCTGGATAATCCTAACAACATTGATCACTCGGCTGGTTTTATTATTACGTTTGATAACTTGATGATCGTATTTAATTCATTCATAAAACATGTGTAACAGGGAAGAGATATCAAATTGACTGTTATTTCAGAATTTATTTCGGTTGCATAAAATGACATACGATCTATGTCATCCCACACAGTCTCATGTTAACTTGAAATGCGATACAGCTAGAGTCTTGACAATCGTGTCTTTATTAATGAACTGCCATGGAATAGCTGTAAAAAAGGAACCGTTATGTGAAGCAAAAATAGTCCTTTGCGCTCCGAGTCACTATATAAACATGTTCAGAAATATTCCATAAACTCTTTTCTGGAAACTGAAAATGGTTTTAAAGTTGTTCTTACCTATTTTTACTTTCAAACTCTCTTCTATTCTGACATCTCCAAGTTCTGCCATATTTGACCCACATCCTAGACGACTTCTACCGGATGTGACTTCACATGGCGCGGCTCGCAAGGCGATCTTAACTTCACGTGGGGAATGATTCTGAGATAATATTTATAAACTGACGAAGTGGAAACTTGACCAAAACTTGCCCCAGATTAATTAACAAAGACAGTTGGTCAACAAATAACTTAGATTGTTTTTTGACCCAAATATTTCCGATTCAGTACAGGCTAATTTGATTTGAAAAAAAAACGGCCGAAATTAAGTCAGGATCAACATAGCCCTATCTAGCTGACATTTACATCAAATTTAAACATGCTTTTCGGAACTAACTAAACATAACATAACATAGGCCTATTAATACCTCAATTTTTTTTTTTTTTTTTTTTTTGAAAAAATGGCACAGAAATGTAGGCCTACATAGAACGAGGGGCCTATAGCTTGCAAGAAAACAAAATATAAATGAAAAGATATGGTCAAATCATTTCAAATTCTAGATAAAAAACAAATTGTTGAATTTTATTATGCTTTGTAAGGCCACGTGTAATAATGCACATTATAATGTTTGATGAAGGAAGGCCATATTTATAATAGGGTCAGATACTATAATATATGCGATAGCTAATAAATTGATATAATATTTCCGCCCATGGAACTTTAAATAACTAGCTAAATGGTTCGATTCTAACTAGAGTGTGATTAAAGTGAATATAACATTTAGAATAAAATAGATACACCAAAAGAAAATGTAATTGTCATTGTATCGTATGCGTTATGTTCCTTAAGTTCATTATGTCCGTATTCCTTTGTATATACCCTTGATTTTCTACCTTTTTTTTCTTTTTTTTTTGAAAAAATGTATTGCAGAGTAATCTACCTAAACGCGTTTCAGTTTTGCAGGTATAACGATTGGACGATCAGAATATCACAGAAAAATTACAAATGTTTAAATTATCTACTTTTCCCAGTGTTTTAGGTGGATTTTCAGCATGGTTTCTTCTTATCAGTGGCAGCCTGACACGAAACATCGTTCAGTCGTTCGAATGGGGTGAAAAAACCATGACGGTTGGAATTCGACGAAGGGTATAGGCGGAAACGCCGCAGTCCAGACAAAAGTTCTCCATTGGACACTGCATGGTGTATGTCCGTCTGCATAATAAGCCGGCTGATTCAGAAAAGTAGGACGTCATCCCCTATTTTCAAGTAGGTAACCAGTAGTGGTAGGTGATATACAATGAATGGGGGTTATACAGACACGTGAAGTGTGCTCTAAAAATGCAAACACCCGAGTATGAAAGACACCTTGCTTATTGAAATAAATAGAAAATTTGAACGGTGCCTGGTATAAAAGACATCTCGATATAAACATTTTACCCCGTTGCCCGGAAATGTCTATACGTAAATGTTATCACAAAATAACAGGGTAGCATGTAATATATCTGCTGACTTTAAAATGTCACATTCCCTTTAAGTGATAACAAAAGCAACAAAGGCTTTATTGTGCTCTTCAGAAAGAATACGGGGTATTTTTATGGCAGAGCGAACCGGAAACCCATTGAAACATCATCTATGAAAATATTCATCTAAGTTTAAATATAATGTGTTTCCGGCTCATCATTAATATGGTTAATAGAATGACAAGTTCAAGAGTGCGTCGTACATATTGGATGAATGAAATTTATTTTTACATTTATTTACATGATATCACTGACTTGAAGGCCTAAAAATAATGTGTGATATAAATTCAGGAATGGACTTTAGAACGTGACATCTCTTGTATGCATATTGTTCCCACTTAAGTCTTTTCTTGTGTTTTGTTTTCAACTACGATTGTCCAATGAACACGAGTTAATATTATTGTTTACTTATAAATCCAGATGAAAACCCGATACGGCCATTTTATAGGGGCGTGGTGATCGCTGATGTTGCACTAGGACGAAGATCTCGCGGAGGAGAGGGGGGGGGGGGGTAGCTCACAAAACCCATAGTTATATATCGTTAAAGGCTAACCGGATGGTATCTCTCCGGCGTAGAGAAATTTTGGTGTGGGGTGGGGGAACATTCCATAATCGAATTGTCTATTTTAAATGGTTGATGGTTGACAATGACACTGCTTGATCATTTTGATTACAAAGTATTCTGAACATTAAATTCTTGTCAAAAATTCCAAACATAATTTATATTTTCTAAAGTGTTGTTATTCCAGGGGAGAATTTCCGTTCCTCTTCCTCTACAGAATTCTAACTGTAAAATTCTGGCTTTAAGACCGGAATGAAGTTTAGCGGTCTATTTAACAATCTATATGCATACATAGGCCTATATTATTCATATACACGCGATTGCAAGTGTTATTGTTTTGTTATGGTAGGTATTAGACACAATGAACAACACTATAGGATTGACTCGCACGTATGTATAACAATAAGCATACTATAAGAGAGAGAGAGACAGAGAGAGAGAGAGAGTTTAACGTCCACTTGACACAAACTAGGTCATTTCGGTACTAACACATGGTTAAATTTTATTTCAATAAATCTCTTGCGCGTAGGGACCCGGAGAAAACCCACGAGGTCTGACAGGTGACCCTACTCCTCGTCACGTACAACCGGGGAATCGAAACCACGCCAGTTGACACAATGACAGGCCTTATCATACATTCGGCCATTGCGAAGTTACCATAGGTTAGACATGGCAACGCCCTTAAGTAAGGTTTAGGGCTTTTATATACGTTTAAAGGCAACGTTCAGGCGGTTCGTGAACGCATTTATTTGGTATCATTTCGCAATTATTATTCTTGTTAGTGGTGTATTATGGAGAACAGGCCAAGAAAAGGCGTCTAGTTGTTCGGGTGGTTCAAACCCTTGGAATGCAATTGCTGTCCGGGCAAAATTGCGTATTAGCCCGGTTGCTGCATGAATATAAGACTAAAAGAACACATAAAATGACCATACCAAAATTATATGTACTTGAAGTGTGTACACATACAGCAATTTAATTCAAATCCATTCATAATTAACTGAGACATCTTAACTCAAAGTCGCAAATATAGACATCCCCCAAAAACAACTATAGCGAAAATGTGGCATATTAAAATTTGCTCTAAAGCGTAATATCTAATTACAGGGTTATATTACAAAACTAAAATGGTCCAGTAAGTTTTATATGATTATTAGTAACCTCATTTGTTTATTATTTACAACTTTACAAATGCATATTACACTTTATTATAACTGTTTATTAAAATGAGTTTACAATTATTGATTGGGTAATTACGTTTGTAGATCACCAAAGAAGCCACCACAGCTGTAGTGTGTTCTGTTAACTTCGCCACCAGACTGAATTATCTTCTGCCAAATTCGTTTTATGCCGTTTAATTGCAGAGGTTGTTGTACGCTTAAACCCCTCGATGTTCCCAAAACTGTCTAACCATTTAATCAAGAAATATAACTATCGCACCCTAAGTCAAGATGGCAGACAATAAGCCGTCGGGTTGCCAGTTAGTGATTACTGTCACCTTTGCCCAGTGTTTTTTTTTTTCCGGGAATCCGGTATTTTCTAGTAAAAATGGGCGCATCTGCTTTCCATTTATACCAAATTTGCCATACATTTTTTGGAAATGACTACCCCATGAATACTTTCGTTAAAATGTATCTAGTATAATTGAAGAGTGATATGAATAAAAAAAATGGCCATGTACTGCTGTGTATGGGCAAAAAGGCGCAGTAGGTCCCTTTTGTTTGCACGAATTCCGTAACTCAATGACACAAACATAAATTTTAAAGCCACAAGCTCGTAATCTATAACAATTCAAGGCGCTGGTAACAATTATTCTGCCTTTATACAGTGATTGTCTATTTGTAGCTTACGTAATGATTTGTTCAGTCTGCGGTCAATAATTCCGTAAGAGATGGTCTAAAACCAATAAATGTGAGGTATATGCCGTGGATGATTATATATTTATCTTCATTTCAAAGTTATTGTATAACAACTCAAAATTATCCAGGACAGTGTGTTTTCTATAGGGCACGTGGTAATTACGTGTGAGCTACTGAAATGGTTTTTCTAGGGTCGATTCAGCTATTTCGTTTATTTAAGTAGCCAAAACGGAATATTTCATTAATAAATAATTATCATAAGCCTTACCAATATTTCATTTTTAAGTCCAATATATATTTTTTTGTGTACCCAATGCTGACAAAGTGGTACAGACACGTGAATTCACAATACCTCCATGAATAAAAATCATGAAATATGAATTTACTTTGAAAAGTTTTCGTGCGTTATCAAAAATGACCGGCAGTGAAAATTTTGAAGTGGAAGCCCTGGTTCAGTGGGTATGTTAATTGAACTGTCAATACATTTAATGTATATCGTATGTGTAGTCCCTGTGACGTCACTTGTCAATCAACCGGATTAAGATTGCAATCAAAAAGTTGAAAAGTGTAGTCCCTGTGACGTCACTTGCCAATCAACCGGATTAAGGTTGTAATTGAAAAGTGTTTTAGAGCGCCTGACACATAAACGGTAATATATCGAATAGTTTTACTCAGATCGGTGTGAAATTGTTGCAAAGTGTATAAACACTAGGTTTAAGTACATACAATTTTGTTTGCTCATTTTATTTCATTTAATAATTCATTGTTACCTATTAAATGACAAACTGAAATTTAAAGGGTTTGTTTTTATTCTTGGAATAACATTGTTTGAACAACTATAAGATAAACTCACTCCTATTTTATATCAAACGATACACTATTTCAAATAACAATAGGCATAGGCCTACGCATTTATATTTTAACACAGAGATAGAACGAGTTGTTTCGCTATCCTTAGATGGGATTATACACACGGCGATAGAATAAAAAAGAAAGGCTTTAGAAATGTCAGCCGGTCGTAAGAAATATATTTGATTTAAGTGTTTTTACCCAACTTTAAATTAGCCAAAATCAGGGCAAAATTAATTAAGGCATCTGTAATTGGTTTAAAATTTTCTGCCAAAAGACGTTATCCTGAATCAAAATATAATTATGACCCATGGCCTATATACACACCTACGCTATTTCTTATGAAAACAGCATGCTATATGTATTTGGGATATGTACTATAATTAGGTTGATGAACAGATTAATTGAGATGCATAACGTACACCAATGATTGATGTCTAAACATTACCGTATCTGATAAACTCTCTGATATTGCTGTATTCGCCAATAAGAGTCCAATTTATTAATCAAATCTATCAAAATCGCATACCCCTGACAACGTAATTTACTCACTATCTATTAAAGGTATGGTACAAAGTCCGAGTCGTTACTTTAATCACACAAATATTCGAATTCAAATATTTTTTAGTATTCGTTGTCGTTATTCCGTGTTAATTAGAATTGATATCTATAAACTATGAACTACTATTAATTGAATAGAACCAACTTATATCCATAACAAATACATATATTAAGAAAATATATTAATTTGCAATGACCCCCACCACCCAAATAAAGAAGAAAACGATAAAAAAAATTGACTACATCCAGTTGAACCGAATATTCAAATATTAAACAATGGCGCAGAATATGTGAATATAAAAGTTAACCTTCGGTGTTACCACTACTAATTACTAACTTATAATAATTTTTTTCTATAGCTTTATATGTGCAAGTTTCCAGCGTGGATTCACCCTTATCAGTGCTGCAAGGTCAACATCTAGTTGTTCGGATGGGACGGAAATCCGAGGTCCTGTGTTTAAATGGACTCTATAGAAAGCAGGAAATGCCATTGAACCTTCTCAGCCAACACCAGGAGAGAACCCGAGATCTCCAGGTTAGCCCATGATGTATTACTCACTTAGCCACTCCCGCTAAGCTAGAGAGCTTGTATAATAAACCAACAAAGCTTTAGTTTGGCGTTGCATTTCATATTTATTAACTAAAATATTTAAAACATATTATTATTAGGTAAACTTTGGTCTACTGAAAATCTACGCAACCATTTTATTTCACAAAAATGTCCAGGCTTATGATGGTTTTCTTAAAACGGTGAGCACAAGCTTGTGTGTCACTATACAACTTCCCATCCATTTAGGAATTCAAACATTTGTCAATAAACAAAAATATAAGTGTAGATTAAACTAAATGCCCCAAGTTAGTAAATACCTTTGTACATATTTGTATATCGACATAATACAACAAAAGTATGTTTCATAATAATAACAGCAGCATAATAACAACTAATATAAAGGACCTTGGTATATACATATTATCACAATAATATCGGTATAAATTAACAAGATAAAATTGTCTAATTTCTGGCACAACTTATTACACTATGATGGTAAAATGGTTCAACAATGCTAGTAACACAATTATTATACACTAAAGTCCCAATATGGCACCAGAAACCTTTATGTTTTGTTTATCTGCAGCTCAGATGATCTTAAATATAATTCCAATGGTGGTCAACTTTAAGAACAACGTTCAATTCTGATTACTAACTACTAGATTAACGGAGAACTATCATTTATCATAAACAATTGTCTCCATGGGAATCACCATTTCTATGGAAGTCACAGAAAGACAGGCATATCTCGGACTCAGCTCTCACAGTGTCTTTTACCATCTAAGTAGAGCATGGATTCTGAAATGAACACAACTGAAAATAACAATACTAAACTAACACGCATACACTGTTAGAAATTTTTGTAAAATTACAGTAGTACAAGTAGTTTTTGTACCTTAATTATCGGTATGTTCACCACAATGTAGTAGTTTTACCAAGTCTGGCGTATTTTAACGGAGTTTCGTGTACGTTTATAGAGTTTCGTGTCTTTTTTTACAATAGACGGTGATGAAATCAAAGACACATTCAAAATCAGTAAAAATACATTCTTACATATGTAATATTTCCAAACTGAACTCAAAATAAACAAGCTTGCATGTAATTTTACAGATCTTACGTTTATTCACATTATTTTGTAAATTTACTTTTAGGTTAGAAATATAAATAAAATTACAGCAGTTCTCACTATAATAGTTAAAAACTAGATAATGTAATGGGAATATGCTGAAAATTTCTGTTAAATTGATCCCCTCGGAACCGAGATATTAGAGACTGAATGTTAGGCCTAGCCTCGATCAACATTACTTATTAAGTCAGTACGATAAAAAAAAACATAGTCTTGATTATCTATTTTTGAATTTAATCATTAATGAGCGTTGAGCCCCAGATCGGACTCAAATCCAGTGAAAATCCAACACATAAGATGGCATCCATGAGTTGATTATGATCTTTTCATGTTAATAAATGTCTAATTCATAGTTTATAGAACATATCAGGCCTAAAGAAAGACCTGCAATAGGCAGATTTAGCTCTTGCATAATGTATGTTTAACTTATTGGTAGTTATCGTATTCGGTAAATTTATTGTCTCTTAGCATGCAATTTTACAGATTTTACGTTTACTCACATCATTTTGTAAACTTTCAGGTTAGAAATATAAGTAAATTTACAGCAATTAAATTTTTACCAAAAATGTTCTAAATGTTTACCAAAATGATGTATATTTACCAAGTTTCATTCTTTTTTACAATAAACTTTGATGAAACCAAAGGCACATTAAACCCCGGTAAAAATACATGCGTAATATTTCAATATTGAAATGAAAATAGCAAAGCCAGTAGGTAATTTTACAGATTTACGTTTATTCACATTATTTTGTAAATTTACTTATTGGTAAATTTACTGTCTCTTATGTTAATTTACTGTCTCTTATTTTATTTTAGTATTCCATAGCAACGAACCATTCCTAATAATTATTTTCTTATAGTATTCATTCTAATTTATTAACCATAATATGGACAATCACATTTTGTGAAATTTGGTATATTGCATGTTATATATATTTAATTTTCTTTATTTATACGATCTAAAACGTGTATTATTATTTATCGTGCGTTGATCAGATTGTAAGTATGTTCATTAACGTATAAAAAAAATGTTTTGCTTTCTTGTCATAGATAGTATTATCTCGTAACCAAGGTCAATTGAAGACGGTTAATTAAACCGATTGGTCAGTGTTAGCTTGACTGTCTCTAGAGCAGAATTACCATGCCTGCACTAGACAGTACCACAAGCTTACATCTAAAATCCTGGAACGGAAGTTAAAATCATTGTGGTTTTTTTAACATTTGTCTGTAATTTTTCATTTACTGATTTTAGGTAAATTTACATTGGGAAGTCTAAAAACAAACTTACTGTAACCGTTCATTTACTGTGTTGCGGTGAATTTACAGTCCAAAGTTAAAAAACAAACTCATGTTATTTTCCATTTACTGTTTTAAGGTAAATTTACTTACAAAGTCAAATTACAGAAACTCTGTAATATTACAGCTGAATGTTTATTTACAGTAAATTTACTGGCAACTTTTGCTGCCAGTAATTTTCATGTAAATTTACCAGATTTTTTCTAACAGTGTAATACTCCCAACAAAAACAAAAATCTAAATAAAATAAAACCCAAATCGTCGTGAAAATGTTTATAATTAACCAGAAAAGAACCAGGTACGACCTCTTTGATGTGTTGATTTTTGGGTGAATAGGTGTCCGGATGTTCTAACGCGCGCTCTATAGATCATACGATCTGTCATTGAATCAAGTAGTGTGGTTTCAATTCCAGGCTTATACGTGAAAGAGAGTTTGGGTCGCGTGTTCAACCTCGGGGTTTTTCTCCGGGTCACCCGATTCCTGCCACTTTAGGCGAATTATTGAAATAAAATTGAACCATTATGTTAGTCGCGAAATCACCTAGTTTGGGTCGAGAGGATGTTAAACCCTCTCTCTCCCAATCCACACATTATATTAACATATAAATCCAGGATCTATAGATTATTATGCGTTTGTTGTTGATTGCTTGTAATGTTTGTGTAGTTTGGGGGCCACGATGGCTCAGTGAGTAAGTCGTTGGCTCGCTTACCTGGAGGTCCCGTGTTCGATCCCTGCGTTGGCCGAGAAAGTTCATCGGCATTTTCTGGCGTTATGATAGAACGAAAAATCGAGGTCCCATGTATACATTGGCGTTAACGTAAAAGTTTCCATGGCAGTTTGAAAGCCCTTAGCGTCGCTGTCCGGGAAAATTTCCCTCATATGCACACTGTATGGCATATACCCGTCTTCATTAGCCCAGTCGGAGCAAAACAGCAGGACGTTAAACCACATTTCATTTCATTTCTGTGTAGTTTGTGTGTCTTGTCCGCGGGTTTGTTCCATGGGTTTTGTTTGTGCGTGGCTCGGTCCTCCTGCACTTACTATTAGGATGAGATTAATTATAACCCGGTTGAATTTATTATTCTTCATGTTTATATAATTTACGTCTGCTTTTCTTCTGATGATTGAGGGAATCGTAACGTGCAAGAAAACGTAAAACACCACAGCTTAAAGTCTTTCTTTTAATCAGATTTTATATTTTCCAGAATGATTTCCTATAGTCTTGTTTTATCCCTTATACAAATTCACACACATAACTACTTCCCACAAAAACAAAAACCTAAAACAAATAAAACCTAAATCATCTGTGTATGATAAGCCAACCTCACGTTTTATCATTTACCTAAATCAAAATGATACAACCCCTTTAAATGTTTAAATACATTCTTGTAATAATATAGCTGACCTGCATATGTTCTGGGTTTAACTTGAGGCATATTTTCCAAACCGCAGTCAAAGGTAAAATGAAAATTGTTGGTTGTCTCAGGATTTCCCACTGTCTGGTTGACAACTTCGGCGAGAACTTTGACCTGTATCAGTGACCCTTCTGTATATACAATCTAAATAAACACAATATAATACTAATTTATTTGGGAGTAATATTCCATCGATGTTGGGGTGGGGTGTCAGAACCTGTCCACGAAATGTTTCTAACCATAATGATAACCCCCACAGGTTCCTGTGCTTAGCCGACCGGAGTGGAACAAATCCTTAATCCCATGACGAAACATCGATGGTAGAGATCACTCGGCGAAGACAAATTGTGGTTAAATGATAGTAATTGATCCTTCAAATTGTGGTTAAACGATACTATCTGATATACAAATTGTGGTTAAATGATAGAACTGATCGATCAAATTGTGGTTTAATGATACTATTTGATCCTGCAAGTTGTGGTCAAGTGTATGTACTACGCCCGTATTTGATCCTACAAATTGTCGTTAACGTTGATCCTACAAATTGTGGTTAAATGATACCATTTGATCCTACACTTTGTGGTTAAATGATAATATTTGATCCTACACTTTGTGGTTAATGATAATATTTGATCCTACACTTTGTGGTTAAATGATAATATTTGATCCTACACTTTGTGGTTAATGATAATATTTGATCCTACAGGCGATAAGCTTCTACCAATCCCCTTTGCAAAAAAATCGTATATTGGTAAAACAAAAATTCGATTTGAAGTAATTTGATTTAAACAGCGGTATTCAGATTTGTTTTCTTTGTGATGATTATGTCTAACCTTTCGTATTTACCAATACTAACCTGGGATGATAGAAACAGAAGTGAACCAATTTCCACTGGTTTCTTGAAGCATATATCATGAACCACTTTAATTTTAGGGTACACTTTGCTGAAAATATATCAAGATGGATAGGAATATTGGCGGGTGGCCCGGTTGTTTCTTTACATAGTGATGTCTGTGAGGATTGTGAAGTGTATATCAGTCTTGTTTTAGCTTGGAAAGAAGAATAAAGCTGTAATATGCCGTATCATAATTTCACATAATCTATTCTAAGAGTGAAAAATCGTAACTGGTATTGTACTATCTTGAATAATATTGGGAACCCTTCAATTAAAATATTGGACCACATTTTGATATCAGTCTTTGTAATGGTCAATTCCTCTTAAAGACATGATCATACTGTTCGGCATTCACATGTTAGTATCGTATATTCAGTTCAATAAGCTATAATAAACAACAATTTAAATAATTACTAACCAATAAAGTGCAGCATTAGCTACAGCTAGTTCCAACGCTTTCCTCATTAAATAACCACCAAATATCTTATTATATAAGTTTCTTTGCTGAAATAAAAGAAAACTACATACCAATCTGATTAAAATACAGATCTATATTTCGTTTCGTTTTTTTATACTTTCGATGGCCTACACTACAAATGTAGTAAAGACAAGTAAAACGAAATTTTGAACTATAAAAACGAAACGAAATAGGATCTGTGTTTTAACCAGATTGGTAGATAACAAGCACATAGTTTAAATAGCGAATGTACACGAAGGAATTGTTTTTTAATCATATACTTTAGTGAGTTATGAAGTCCAATTTCCAATATCTCCAAAATAATAAAACAAAAACATTTTCTAAGGTCATAAAGTGGAGCGGGTTGCTGTCCACAACCTAAGCACCAACAGAGACTGGGGATTCATATAGCTGTACTTAGCGTGCGTTTTGAAGTGAAATGAAATGGGGTTTAAAGTACTACTTTTCTGTTTCACTAGGCTAATGAAGATGTGCATATGATGAAATTTTGTCCGGACAGGGGCGCTATGGCCTATACACTAGGGTCATTTCCATGCGTTTTGAAGGACGATTCAAAGATTATACTGTTAAAATTAAACCGCAAACCTTTAGGGGTAAATAGCCACATATTCATTGATCTGGACCAGCAGTAACTATCTTGAGTAACATTATAGAATAGTCGTTGATTATTTTAGACAGTTTTCATAAATATTCTGCTTTTCTTCGCTCGACAAAAAGTTACAATTGACTTAAAATTTATGAGTTTTGTTTGTTTAGATGTACAATCCAGCACTGATATATTTATTACCTGTGGATGACAGACAATCACGTTCTTTAATCCGGCATCTTCCATCCATACACTATTCTCTGGTTTTATACGTATTTTAAAAGTTGAAGAGCTAAAATCAGATAATACACATTATTTTGGCCTAACATTGTATTAAAGATATGTGGCTATAGCTACTATGAAACACGTGTCAACCAAGTCAATCATGACGTACATAAATAAAAAGATGTGTTTTCTTTTCAAGAAGCCTGGCATTTAGAGTAATTATAAGATTTAGTCAAGTACCGATAAACTGTTTCGATATCTGGATCAATCGTGAAAGATTTCTATAAATGAACTATAAAAACCTATTAGATGGTTTGGTATAGTATAATATATGGGACAATAACTCCGCGAAAAAATAACTTCACACCTCCAAATTTGATAACGAATTGGCACCGCCTGACCTGCCTGTGGACATAATATACTGACATCAAAATGGGTGTCGAATTAACAAATGAAATGAAATGAAATGGGGTTTAACGTCCTACTGTTCTGCTCCTAACCTGGGCTAATGAAGACGGGCATACGCCATACAGTGTGCTATATATGAGGGAAATTTTGCCCGGGTAGCGGCGGCTACGGCCTACTCTTATATCGAATTCCAACTGCCAAGGGATCTTTTACGTGCTCGCCAATGTGTACACGGGACCTCGGTTTTTCGTCCCATCCGAACGACTAGACAGCTTTCCTTGTCAGCCCCTCCGTCCTGCATCACTGACAAGGGAGAACCACGCCGGAAAATCTGGATGAACTTTATCGGCCAATGCAGGGATCGAACAGCCGACCTCCAGGCTAGCGAGCCAGCGTCTTACCCAACAAAAGAAAACATAAGTTGTCAAGCAAAGAAAAGACACATACTCTCATTAGCCTCCCAGTTATGGACTTCAGAACGATCGGATCATAATTGAAGGTGTTAACAAGACTTCGTGACAACCAGGATTAACTCACATATTTTTTTTATCATTTATATTTTGTAAAGTAAACCCACCTTTGATCTATGGTCTCTAAAAATAGGTTGTGTATTATAAGACGTTCTGATTCATCAGGTGGTGTCTTCAATAAAGATTTATTGGCCATATTCTGACGAATTGCTTTATTGGCTATTAAAATATATAGAGGTTTGCAGTATGTAGTTACTAATACGTTATTAATATCTATATATAACTTACAAAAGAAAGAAGGAAATCTCTCGATTAAGGCTTGGGCTAAAGAAAGTGTCAGACTCATTAACAAATTTCAAAAATCATTACAGTACATTTCATCGTTTAACCAATATATAATACTACTCCGAGCACTGCGTAACGGTACATGCTAATTTGCATATCGATGCTTAAAATCTAATTTTCCTGTAAGAATTGTAATTTTTCGGTTATCACAAATAATCGATCACTACCGGGAAGGGTATTTCCGGAATTAAAATGTCATTAACGTCATCAAACTTTCCATTCACGCAATCAAAGTAATTAAATTGTCATTCATGAAGATAGCAGGATACGCATTTCCCTCATCTCTTAAAAGTATACCATTAAGGCTATAATGACAAGTCAGAATATTTATTATGTGCATATAATATAATTCTAATTAATGTTATCAATTATTTTCCAAACCTTCTCCTTTCATAAATATTTGTTCTTCCTCTGGTCCGTTTGGTTTCAAGGGGTTGACGGCGGCGGGTCTGAAACGGACACAAAACGTTTGCTGATATTTTTAAAGAAGGCATTAAGAACTACATGTAAGAAGCCTATCGTAAATATTGTTTTTCGGGCCTTAAACATGGAGTTATCTCACTATCGATAAACAAATTACATTAAAATTTCTTACCCTCCTGTTACTGGATTTCTGGCGACCATTAGAAATCTTGCGTTTATCATTTTCTGCCATTGACCGTTTACAACCTGAAATGAAACCTGTATTATCTTCAAGAAGCTTTTACCCTGATTATGGGGGTCGGGAGGTCGATGTGTTTAAAGAGCGAGCTTATGGATCATAAGGTCTAGACCTGACATGAGTCAAGTGGCATGGTTTCGATCCTAAGCTTGTAGGGGACGAGGAAATGGGCTCGTCGACCTACCTCTTGGTTTTCTATGCTGAAATAATATAACCATATGTTAGTCTCAAAATGACATAGCTTGTGTCGAGTAGACGTTATATCTCTTGCAGTTCGTCTATTTATAGAAACTCTCTCTCTCTCTCTTTGGTAATGGTTACAATTTAATTTTACTTTAGAATGTGCTATAATTAACACTGACCTGGTGTACTTCCATTGTAACTTCCATAGATGTTGTACCAACCCATGTCACATTACCAGTTAGTTTAATGTCTGATGCTGCTGATATAATATCTTTTCCAAGCACTTTTTGGGAAGAGAAATACATAATCTGTATATTACATTCATCACAATGAAGTAGGGTTTAACGTCCTACTTTTTTGCACCATCCTGGATAGGTCATACAGTGTGCTATGGGGGAAGTTTTGCCCGGGGCATCAATTGAATTCCAAATGTCAGGGGTTATTTTACGCGCTCGCCAACGAATACATCGGGACGTGGGTTTTCGTCCCAACTTCCCGCCTTGCACCACAGAGAAGGGGAAACACATAGGAACTTTTTCGGCCAACACAGAGAGCGAACCCGAGACCTCCAGGTTAGCGAGTCTACGCATTATTCATTGAGCCACCGCGACTAATTTATCGCAATGAGTCGATTGATAATCCTCACTATAATTTCTCTTATACAAGGCAAAAATAACCAATTGTGTTTATGTTACAATCCATTTAACAGTAGAACGCTAATGATTGAATCGGGTCCTTATGCAGCGCTTAGTTGACTGCCAGGGCAACATACATTTTAAATCACAGATCAGATAAATCTATAATATTCAAGTTTATTCGCTTAGCTGTGACAGACGTCAAGCTCTTTACCCCCCCCCCCCACTCACACCCCCCAAAGATGGTGTTCGCGCCATATGTCTTTTATGTCGCTATAAAAGGTATTACAACTCACTCTTGACAATTCGTCTGTATATTCGAGTATTTTTGCTTTATGCTCCATTGTCTATGATCAGCCAGAATGTTAATTCCTAACAAAATTATTTAAACTAGAAAGTGACATGCTTCAACAGTATATTACTTACCTATTCTATCAACTAAAGCTGTTACTGTAGATAAGGGTGACTTGGGACTATCACCTCTTCTGTTATGGGTGTAACAAATCAATTCTATAAAGAAATAATAAATCTTTAATTAAGAAAATTAGACAGATATACTATGGATGATTCATGTTAGTCCCGAAACTCCATTAAACTCCATTGGTTTTTGCCCGATCTCATTTCAAAGGAAATGAAATACATTCCCTTCGGACAACTACAGAAATGTTTCCTCTTATCTTTACATATTAGTTCAATGTTCTGGTAAATTAACCTCTAGTTGACTTTCAGAAGTGCTTAATCACTTATTTCTTGAACTAATTAAATTAACCGTAAATATAGAAACAAAAGTATAATAAACCTAAATTTCAGATTCAACATGTATAGGTCATAGGTCCTATTTTACAAATAGGCCTACATGTACATCCACCCTTACAATCACAATATTTACTTATTAAATTTACATGTCAGCAACTTCGATATTTCTAATTTACTTATTAAATTCATGGAATGATTTACATGTCAGCAACTTCGATATTTCTAATGACTTCGAAACTCTAATGACCTTTTAAATTTAATGACTTCCCAATACTTTTAATAACTTTGATACTTTTAAATAAACTTTTAATAACTTCGATGCGAACTTTTAATGACTTCGATACTTTTAATGACTTCGCGATACTTTTAATAACTTCGATACTTTTAATGACTTCGTGATACTTTTAATGAACTTTTAATAACTTTTAATGACTTCGATGCTTTTAATGAATTGTCATGACTTCGAAGCTTTCATTGCCTATTATTGTGCTTTCAAAGAAATTATCTATTATAGTTTTACTTACCAGCAAATGTGTCCAGATCTTCTAGAATTCTACCGTAACGAATCCCTTTATAGAAATTCACATAATGGATTCTTAATTCAGGATTGGAACCAAGCGGTATAACAACTTCTCTATAGCTGTCTTTAAGACTACGTACTGGTAGGCCATCTTGTTTCTTAGGTATATTTTCAAATATAGAGTGACCAGTCTCTGAACTTTCTTCATCCCTGATTTAAAACATGTAAAAAAAAACAACACCAAAACTATATACCCGTAACAATATACAAGGGAGGGGGGCTCAATTTTATTGTTTTTGCAGGTATTACCGAAAAATCTAAATAAATAGCATTCCAACAGTTGAACTTACGGCAACATGCTTTCTATGTGTTTGCCAACCATTTCCATAAGTGTATCTCGAGCTACAAAAAATAAAAATAGTAAACTAATATCGGTAGGCTATTTCCTGGGATTCAAAACCAAATTTTGGATGAAACGTTTTAAGATTTAAGGCGTGTTTATAAGAATTTCAGTGAAAGTCCGTAGCAAAATTCTTTTCTGAGATAAAGACCAGTGCTTGGATTCTCTTCGATTAGGGTCACAAATACATGTAACTGGATGTTCTAATTACGTTCAAACAGTTTCATTCTTAGATAGGCCAGTGCTTGGATTTTAGATCATTTTGGTGAGTATTTTGAATATATTTTACAAAATCAATTACATTTTATTTTCTTGTTGATAGTGATAATGCCTTTAAACATTGAAATCTTTATTTTTACCTTCTTGTATAGTGAGTTGAGGATGTCCAGCTGTTGATGGTTCGCTTTGAGTAATCGATGAAGCTGGAGATGATTCTGCTGATGTGGTTGGTACTGATAATGAAAGTCTTGATACCGGATTTGTTACAGATATTTCTGACAATGATACTTTTGGTAACGGAACCTGTGCTGACATTTCTGTTGATAGTTTTGATGGTAAACCCGTTGTAGATTTTTCAGATAATGGTTGTGATGGTGGAACTGGTGCTGACATTTCCGATGAAGAGAAACACCGGAAAAACTGTTTGATAGACCCTGGTCTTCTTAGGCAATTCATTTTGAGCCCACTTGAGCTGTAGTGATCAAATGCAAAATGTCATTAAAAGAATTTCTAAAGATTAAGAAATAGAACCTTTTGCATTTCAAAATTTCCACAAATTAAGATACATTTGGAAACATGATACCCAGAACAGTTCTAATTGGCGTACACAGCTTAGACAGAAATGTGCATATTAATTGGGAAATTTTAAAAATGCAAAAAAAGTGTATTTGACTAATTACCCGAGATACACCCTTTTGACACTTTACCGACGAAATGTCCATTTTCCGGTCTAATTTACTTGACACGCTTTCCTCGTCAGGCCCACTATTGTCATGTGAGCTACAGAATCGGTGTCGGGTTTTGAATCGGCCCTCAGTTTGGCTCAATACCGTTTTCTTTATGGCTACAATCAAGTCGATCGTTAGAATAGCATTTTGATTCAGGCGCATGTTGCTCAGGCTCAATTTATGGTGTCCGAGCCCCAGGGCCCGAAATAGTCGGAAATGGCATTTACATTGCGTTCCATTTTCATTTTTATAAGTAAAATAGAAGATACACATAATATACAATTATATAGTATTCTTTAGTTCCAGAGAGTCTTAAATATAGGTAAAAAAATATATAAATGTAAATGAATAAGAAATCCAAATCAAAGCTGTCTTATAGCAGCGCAGTTCTTGAAGAAAATGGGAAAAAGGGACATTGATGTCACCTAACCCCATGCAGAAGGAACCAAACGGTTTGATGTTGTACACGGTTAAATTGGCTTTTTTAAAATTGTGATGATAGGCATATAATGAACAACGTGGTACTCAACATGGAAAAGGGGACATAAATACAGTTATATTATTGCTAAATATATATATATAAATTGATGTTTATGTAAATCGTGTTTTATGTAATTGGCAACATATTTGTGTTTCTCCTATTACTATACTCCTATACCTATAATGCATGTGGGCCATAATGCATTATTATTATTATATTCAATCAATTTTGCTGTACGTTTGTATGAAAACGAAACACTATTAATAGAAGTTATTTATAGGTTGTATATAGTCTACCAACCTGATCCTGAAGCAATATCTTGCTCCATCACGAACGAAAGCGTTCCCATTTCCATTATGGAACACTTTGGCAGTCCACAATGTAAGTACGCGTCGACACGCCCCTGAATTTTATCCAAAAAAGCTCAAGGAGGCAGAATGAAAATCAAATTAAACGTTTTAAGCATACGATTCTCCACTAATGTGCGGTTATCTACAGGCCGTGACGACATAAATGACCTAGATTAGTAGCCTACTTCTAAAATAGAAAGCGACAGTAATACAAACAAACAGATAAACTACTTACATGTTGAAAATTTGTGTCTATGTATACGGTATGAAAGATATCTTTTGTAGCAATAATCTACCAAGTAGTCATTGCTCAAATCCACTTTACCAAATATAAGACATCAAATTCACAATATTGATATATATATATATATATATATAATTTTTTTTTGGTGGACTTTGATATTTGCACAATTCAATGCAGTGTTTACATGAACTTGAATATAAAGGGTGCCTCGTCGGACTTTGAACGTATTTTTTTCTGTGCGTATGTTGGTATCTCTACACGGCCACATTTAAAGTAGCTATTTAAGTCTCTAACTCAGTATCATCCAAAGTCTTCGACCTTGAAAATACAAATTATTTGTTAATTTTAATCAATATTGATGTTGTGATCTTTTCATGAAAAAAGGTAGGAATCTGATATCCAATATTTAACATCAAATAAACATTTAACATTCGTGTACCATAATGCGTTTCAGCGTCATTTGTAACAAGGGACTCGAAAAACGAGACTACACATATTCCACAAGTCATGTCAAACAGTGACGCCATTCTTATCTGGAGAGCTTGCGCAATAAATACTATCGGTGTAGGCTGGAATAACCAGACGCTGGAGACTGCCATTCAATTGAGTTAGCCTATAACTCTTTGTTCTCCGGAAACCTTGTTACGTCGATTCAGTTTTTTTACAGATCTATTTTACACTTTTGGTTTGAAGAGATGATGGATGGATGTACCCTATCGATATTGAGTGTCTCATTTGACAAGTTTCAGCAACTTAAAATTTTCTGTTACTGAGAGAAATATATTATTTGTTCAGAAAATATTAGGAACACGTATAGAGATTAAATTACTTGAAGGATGCTAAATCCTAATTAAATTTAGTCAATGTGGAAGTCTGCCTTTCTGCTTTTTGGGCGTATTGTAACACTTTTGTGACTATTTTTTAATATTATGCCTATATATGATATTCGGAAAGTAGGTTGACGTGACGTTCTTTTATATTTAGAATGTTACATATCAGTAATTTAAAGCGTGTAGTCTATCCTTAAAGATCATGCATAAAGACATTGAAAGAATGTTAATTTTCTTATCCGTTAAGTTAATATTATTGGAACGGAACAATGACCACTGTCACTGGGTGTAGGCTATCATACACTTAAAATTGAATCGCATATTATGCAATAAAAAGGGATCCATTTTTTCATTTAGAAACTTGCATCCCGATTAATAGAGTAGTTTTTATATGCCCACATGGAAATGTTGTTTTATATTGCCGTCTCCCCCGTCCGTCCGTCCGCCTGTCGGTATTTCCGTCCGTCCTTCCGTCCGTCGTCCACAATTTCTTGTGAACACTCTAGCCAGACTACATTTATCATCTGATTGTTTTGAAATTGATATATGTTTTTTGCATTAGTGAGATGAAGAATCCTATTTAATTTCAATAACTTCCGTTAATTTCTTCTGGAGTTATGGCCCTTGTTTCACTTTGTTGAATCTTGTGAACGCTCTAACAACAGTTATCATCCGATCTGTTTGAAATTGATATGCATTATTTAAATTAGTGAAATGAAGAACGTCAGCAATTTCCTTTAATTACGCCGTGAGTTATGGCCTTTGTTTCACTTTGTTGTAGGCCTATCTTGTGAATGCTCTAACGACAAAAGTTATTATCCGATCTGTATGAAATTTATATGCATCATTTAAATTAGTAAAACAAAGAAGCCTGTTGAATTTCCGTTAATTACATCTAGAGTTATGGCCCTTGTTTCACTTTGTTGAATCTTGTGGAAACTCTAATGACAACAGTTATCATCCGATCTGTTTGAAATTGATATGCATCATTTAAATTAGTGCAACGAAGAAACCTATTGAATTTCAGCAATTACGCCGTGAATCATGGTCCTTGTTTCACTTTGTTGTACCTTGTGAATGCTCTGACGACAAAAGTTATTATCCGATCTGTATGAAATTTATATGTATCGTTTAAATTAGTAAAACGAACAAGCCTATTGAGTTTCCGCAAATTTCCGTTAATTACATCTAGAGTTATGACTCTTGTTTAACTTTGTTGAATCTTGTGAACGCTTGAACGACAAAAGTTATCACCTAATCTGTATGAAATTCATATGCATCATTTAAATTAGTGAAATGAAGAAGTCTATTGAATGTCAGCAATTTCCGTCAATTACTTCTAGAGTTGTGGCCCTTGTTTTACTTTGTTGATGAACCTTGTGAACGTTCGAACGACAAAAGTTATCATCCGATCTGTATGAAATTTATATGCATTATTTGAATTAGTAAAATGAAAAATCCTGTCGAATTTCAACAATTTCTGTAGATTACTTCCAGAGTTGCGCCCTTGTTTTAGTTTTTAGAACCTTGTGAACCCTCAAACGATGAAAATTATGTCATCTGTATGAAATTGTCTATTAAATTCCCTTTACCCACAAAAGAATAAATATGCGACAACCCTTGTCGACTGCCGGACGATTTAGCTGCTGTGGGCGTATGTTTTGTTGCCTGGCAACCTATCTTTAAGGGGATAAAATTGTGTGCATGTGCTTTCATTTAAAGGTGTAGAGTTTCGGAAATAAAACTTCGTTTGCGCACCTAATTTCAAAGCCAAAATAGAGAGAACTGATGTATTTACCTTATTATTAAACCTTAGATTTTTTTATACAATCTGACTATAAAGGAGAAATAAAATGAAATTGGTTTTAACCTGCCCCGACTGGGCTAAGAAGGCGGGCATATGGCTTACGACTTACGACTTACAATGTGTTGTGAGAGAAATTATGACCGGGCAATGGCACAGCTGTCGTCTCTCATCTCGAATTCCAACTGTCAAGATATCTCTCACATGCACGCCAATATGTACACGGGATCTCGTTTTTTTGACCCACCCAAACGACTATACGTTCCCTTGCCAGTCCCTCCATCTTGCATCACTGAGAAGAAGGGACACGGTGGAAAAATACCGATGAACTTTCTCGGCCAACATCGGGTACGAAACAGTACCTCCAGCTAGCGAACCAACGTATTATTCACTGAGCCACCACGGCTCCCGTAATAGTTCGCTAGTTAACAAAAACAATGCATAAAAGGTTCTCTACACCGCTTGGTTAATTCGGTGGTAATCGGCTGTAAAAAAAAACCAATTCACACACATACTGTACGTATATACGGGTGATGCAGACAACTGTTACAAATCATGGTCTGAACTACCATGGTTATGGCACATTAATATTTGTAGGTTTATGAACAGCTTGAGATTCTGTTGGATTGGATCTCCATTTTGAATTAATGGGATATTGTTATATGAAAATTCTGTAATTTGCAATCACAGAGCATAATCTGGCTATTTTCACAAAAAAATCCAGTAGAACTATCTCTTGTAGCAATACCTGCACATTTTGTGAAAGTAAAACTTCTGAATCTCCTTTGTTACAATTTATCCCCCCCCCCCCCGGATCAACGGGCACGTATTCAGAATAAAATAACAAGCTTACAGTGAGTCTGATACAGGCACTTGCACATTTATCTTTTTGTAAAGCAATCAGCAATCAAATTGCTTATTTCTACTTAGCCTAATCTACACTATTAATTAAAAACAGGGTTTTTGTGTTCCAAACAGTGTGACAGACGGAGAGAAAAAGAGGCAGAAAGACCCATTTCAATAGTCCCCTGCTTTTTTCGGAAGGATGGAGGAAAAAAATAATTCTTGCTAGAATATATCACGGTTTGCACCAAACTGAGTTCCGTATTTCTACACTAAACAAACTCTCACAAATCACAACATACATTCTGAATGATAAAAACTTTACTGAAGACAATATTTTATTACTCAAAAGTAAAAAATAAAACAAAAAATAACTGCTGTTACGATAGTATCGTCTCAGTAACAATTTAAAATTACTTCAAAAATTACCTTGTCTGTTCAGTATACTTTCATCTTTGTCTGAAACATGATTAGTCTAATATAGGCTGTTTTGATGTAAATGTAAATATCAGACCTACCAAATCAAATCATGTCAGGTAAATGAACAGATATATTTAACGACTAATTTCATAATAAATCATATAATTATACTAAGCAAAACTGGGGTAATCACAAGGGCTCTCTAATCATTGATATATATTATTTGTGCTTGATTCTACCACATATCAGATATAAGCAGATATGGAAGTGCAGACATGGCACAATTTAAAAACTTGTACCATTGACCATCCTGCAAACTGCACAGCACTGATCTTAAGAGGCTGTTTTTTGTCGGCTGTAGCTGCTTGATGTTACCTCAAGCCGATTGGTATAGCTGCTGCAGGAACAGGATGCTTTACGGCTGTACTAATTCTACTTCTCAAGGGGGGGGGGGGCGGAGGCAGCAATTTTTATCTTAAATTATTTACCACAATTTTTTATCTGAAAATATATTTAACATGCATTATGCAAGAGCTAAATCTGCCTATTGCAGGTCTTTCTTTAGGCCTGAAATGTTTTCTAAAGTATTAATTAGACATTAATTAACTGATCCAGGCCTTAATCAACTCTCGATGGCATCAGATTTCTCCGATATTAAATAGCAAGATCGGCTAGTTCTTTATCTAAATCTAACATAATGTATCTTTAATAAAATAAGATAAAATATGATATGTTTCAATGTTTAGATATAAACAGACTGAGGGTTAATTTCTCAGTTATTTAGGACAGACAAATATAACTACAATGAGTTCCTTGTGGTTTACATCAAGAAATATGAAAAATAAATAATTAAATAATGACAACAGAAATACATTTATAAATAACAAAGTTGTGTATATATCATTTTATATCAATTCTTGTCTTTATATACAGATTTTATCAAAATATTTTAAAAAAGTTAGCAAGCCCAGAAATTTCATCAGAATCTAAGAATCTGATCCTTGCAAACTGAAACATTAATATGTGAGAAACTTTAAAAAATGCAACAAAATGTCCCGTCACTGGTATATGATGTCAATATTAAGTAAAAAAAAATCTATAGTTATTTGAATAAAATAAATTAATCTTTGAGCTCAGTTCACCATAAAAACATTATTGAATTAGTGCATTATTGCAGATCGCTGTCAGAAGTATCCTTGTGGTTTCTTGCGATAGATAATTGGTGAATTTTTAAGCATAAAATGGCACTTTAAACCAGAAAAGGTTTGTCTGTATGTAGACATACTTAGACATATATACACAAATGATTTCAAATGTATAACAAATAACACAGCATTAATAACAGTTATGTCTGTCTACACAAACTTTAAATCCTGGTTCCCTGAAAAAACTTGAGAAAAGTGATGTTTTTTACATTAATATTTAGAGCTCAATTTCGAAACTGCCTGAAACCGACCAGTATATGGTCCTTGAATAGTTCACAGTATTCCTGTGACTCGGTTTGAATGAGGAGCTAAAGAGAGAGAGCAGTAGTTTCAGGCAGTCCAAGTGCTTATAGGTGTAAATATATAAGTGAAAGATCCAGTGTATCTATCATTAAACAAGTGGTTGCTATGCAAGATACACCCACATATTGCAAGAGATGGACAAAGAACAAGCTAAGAAAGCGATTTTCGTACAATTAGGGGCCATAATCTAGGATATTATGATCCAACATGTGTTAATATCTAAAGAAACAAGATCTTTGTGATATAAACATATAATTTAAGTTTATTTAGAATCAGATAAAAATTGTGACTTGTACAGTGTCTGCAAACAAAATGTGGACGGACGGATGGACAGGGGTGACGACAAAATATGTCCACATGAAAATTGCGTATAAACATATATATTATCTATGATATTTTCATTGATAATTAGTGATATACAATAGTACAACAAAGATATTACCATAACCAAATAAGTATATAAATCTCTCTTGTATAGCTTTGTGCATTTTAAGGCCATACAAAAGAAATATTCTGGTTCTAAGATAATCCTTACAAAAAATTGGATGCAAGAGGGAGGTTTTTATTTCGTCAAAGACACATCATTTATCTCATCATGTTGTTTATAGGAATGCATGATTATCCAGTATCATTTATGATTGTCAGTAACATTTATGGGGGTTGTGTACTTGATATATGAGTCTATAACACATTTCTGGATTCATTCAATTTTTTTTTATAGAGCTACTTCCTGTAACCGGGGTTAAAACGTTTACGTGCAGTAATTAAGGAGATTAGTTTTTTTCTTAAAATAAAAACAGGTCATGTGGCACTTTTTAACTTAGGTGGGATTATCAGGGAACCAGAATATTTTTTTCATATGGCTCAATACAGAATTTTTTTTTTTTTTTTTTTTTACAGTATGACTACATTCTTTATATCACATATTTTATACATGATTAACCTATCATCGCCACTCACCAGTGATCGGCCAAACAGGTCTACAGACATGGCAACTCTATCTTTTATCAAATTTAAAGAAACTGATAAGTAAGCTATACAGCTGTCTAAATCTACTCATCTTAACTATCATTAAGTACGAAATGAAAATTGATAGCCAAGATTTATATAATATTGTAAAGATTGCTTTATATCTGTATTTTGAACCGATTTAACAACTAAAAAAATAGCACTATCTATATACACCACTATCTGCCCTTGCTCTCTTTGGCAGGTTCAAGAATAACTAATTAACTCTCGAAATGTCTTTTACCATCCAAATACATCATAGATTCTGAAGAGAAAAATAGAGAATGAAAAAAACATGATTTCAATAGAAAGTGTAATATTTCAATATGTAGCCTAGGCATTTCATTAGTAAAATCATTTCTAAAGAAACGCTCGCTCCCATAAAACATTCGGTTAATTTGTACCAGGAAGAGGAAAGTCTGTCTTCAAACCCATAAGAAGAAAATAAACCTATATCAGGACGTTTTTTTTTTTAAATGGAAAGTTATCTCTTCTTTTCTGCACATCTCGTTTAGGACATGGAAGATCTACAGAATGGGGGATGGCCATCTTACAATTTTTGAAAAGTAAAATGAACTCAGCTAATGGTATTGGTTTTTGTTCCTTTCCATCACAATGTTACATCTGTCAACGTTTACCTTATTGAATAGATTGATCTTTATGTTTTGTAGTATCAAGTATTACATCTCGTGTGTTTTGTAGTATTATGTATTACATACCCGTGTGTTTTGAAGTATCAAGTATTACATACCTGTGTATTTTGTAGTATCAAGTATTTCATACCTGTGTATTTTGTAGTATCAAGTATTACATACCTGTGTTTTTTGTAGTATCAAGTATTACATACCTGTGTGTTTTGTTATATCAAGTATTACATACCTGCATAAGTTTTTGGCATGACCTGCGTTAGATCATCTAGCTGGGAATCAAAGGTAAAATGGAAGTCATTGGAGGTTTCATGTTTACCAACAGTAGGGTCAACAACTTCAGCATGAACTTTCACCTGCATTTGTGATCCTTTTGTGTAGACAACCTGAAATATCAATCATAAATGATGAATCATCTCCTTCATTACCGGATGCCAGTAAAAAGAATGAGTCAACTGTTAATCACAGGCTTATTGGCTAAAACCCGAACAATTTCCTTGTAAATCCTAGAAATGAGTTCTAGCAAATGGTATCCCCTGTTGCATTGTAATGAATAACAATACAAATGCAGAATACTGAATACACTCTTGGATTTCATCAACCAAATAGTTGGAAATGTATCAAAACATAAATGGAGGTACGTATGTACTTTTCATTGGCAGCTCTGATGAGACAATGTTTTCACCTTTTTCATCAATGCTAAGATGCAAATACTTATTTGCTCACTTTAAAGGATGTACTCCAAATTCAAGATATGGCCAGGAATATTTGAAAATTTTCTTGGGGAGGGAGCTCCCTGCCCTCTATTAAAAAGTAAAGAGATAATTACTCATTTTAGTTTACCAGCAGTTACATCAGATTATTAAAAAATAACTTCAATCATTTACTCATACCTGTGAGGATAGAAATAACACAGTTCCTATTTCAACTGTTTTCCTGAATGCAATATCATCAATAACCTTTGTAATAGGACGTGTTTTACTGAAATTTATGACAAAATAATAACATTTAAAAATGAAAGGTAAACATATTATTCAGCTATATCTGTTTTCTACAGTGTAAAACCAAGCTTGCATAGGTAAAATAATATATTTTAGTTAGTGAAACATCAAATAAAATATAATTTAAGATCATCGATATATATAATTTTAAAATTTAACAAATGCTGATATATTATGTTAGTCAGGTCTCTTAATATGCCCCTTATCAGCAAAGTTCAAATTGTGAACAGAAAGATTACTCTGCAAATGAACTGGATCACCAGAATTTAAAACATTCTATCATAACAATTCATAAATGTCAACAGTACTATTAGTCTGCAATGTGCACTCCTTAGATTTTGGAATTCACTAGGGTTCTTCTCTGTGACTCAATGAACAATATTTTTCAAGAACTCAGATATATGTAGAGTTTTCACAATAAATTGTGGACAACCAAAGGATGCAGGTGACAACAATACTCCCGTCAAAAGTCAAAACCTAGTAACTCACTTTTTTAAATCAAAATTGAGTTAGGACCAAATTTGTAGTGACTAGGGTATGTGCTTCCTGTTGTTGTACTAGATATTCCAATCTTTTGATTTTGTAAGCAGTTACACCCATGACACAACCTAGCAACTTCCTTCGTTTGCCTAGTATGCCACAGAAAAACCTAGTAACTCAATAGTCAAATCAATGGATAAGCTGGGGTTTAACAAACATTCGTTTTCCTTTGTTTTCTCAAAATAAGAAAAACATGAGTTACTAGGTGTTGCCTTTTGACAGGAGAATATACATTTACATTAAATATGGCATATAAAAAAAACACGGGACATAAAATAACTCTTCATATTTATTCCAGATATATATTGTATTAACACCAACCTGTATAGAGCCGCATTTGCCCATCCCAATTCAAAGGCCTTTCTCATTAGATAGCCACCAAAAATTTTATTATACAGGTTCCTTTGCTGAAAATTAAGGAGAAAAATATAAGAACCACATCTTCTCAGGTGAAAATAAAATTCTTGTTTAAAATAATTATCAATAAATCATCAAGTTTTATTTAAAGTGATCAGTAACGAAATGCTCTCTGATTTATGGTAATTACCAGTTGTGAAGTGGAAAATATTGATCAAAACAGATTTGGCCATAAAAAAAAAATTAAAACATTCTCGTCAAATAAGATACTTTGTCACTTGTGATGGTATAAATCAAAATATACAAAATCTTCACATTCTTCACATATATTCATTTAAAATATCTTATAAACTGGATTTCAATGTGGTCTCCCATTTGTACATTTAATAAATGTTTACCTCAGGATGACAAATTGAAAGATTTTTTAATATGGTGTTCTCCATCCATTCAGTATTCTCTGGTTTTACTCGAACTTTTAATGTGGATGTTCTGAAATTCATGAAGAACGAAAATAAAATTAATATCTTTAATAATCTAATTCAGTGTTAATATTGACCCATCACTTTGAGTTTAGTTCTAAATCCATTTAATTTAAACAAACATAGAAAGCTTACATAGATGGGAGCTCATCAGGCGTACTAGTAGCACAGTCGTCCAAATCAGCATATTCCGCTGAGCAAGTTATAAAAATTCCATAGAAAAGTCAAATTCCACCAAGTTTTAAAACTTGTGATCTGTAGAGTGTCCACAAACAAACTGTGGACGGACGTCTTGACAGGGGTGACAGCATAATATATCTATATGAAAATGTTGGTGCATAAAAACAATTCAAGACCTCTGATCTGTTTTCAAGAATATAGGTGATGACAATGAATATGTCCACAATATAGGTGAACGTATAAAAACAGTTGTGAGCAGCGGTGGCTCATTGATTGTGGTGTAGGCTTGCTAGCCTGGAGGTCCTGTGTTCGACCCCCTTGTTGACCCAAATAGTTGATTGGGAGTTTTAGGCACGGTTCCCCCTTGTCAGTGGTACAGGACAGGACGTATAGTTGTTTGGATGAGACAAAACAAATCAGTTCTTGTGTAAATATATTGACGTGCGTGTTAAAGAACCCTGGACAGTGACACTGTATAGTGTCTGTCCATCTTTAATGGCCCAGTCAATGCAGAACAATGTGGCTAGGCTAGTTGAAATCTTGTAAAAGTGAGAGAGAGAGAGAGAGAGAGAGAAAGGGGGTTTAATGTCCACTCGACACAAACTAGGTCATTTCGGGACTAACATATGGTTTAATTTTCTTTTAACAATTTGCTTGCACGTAGGGGTCTTTAGCTGAGGGAGGAAACTGGAGGACCCAGAGAAAACCCACGAGATTGGGCAGGCGACCCTACTCCTTGTCACGTACAACCAGGGATTCGAAACCACGCCAGTTGACTCAATGACAGGCCTTATGATACAGTGCGCACATGCTAACCATTCGGCCATCCAACCCCCAGAAATCTTGTGAAACCTAGCGAATGATATATTTAACACACAAACAGAAATATGGTTTTGTGTGCAAATACCAGGTACAAATAATTTTAGATGATGTGGACAATTCATAATTTATAATTCCAAATCTCACTTCTGTGAAAATATGAAAAGAATAGAGCTTTTGTGAAACTCACTTGACATCAATGGTTTGAAGAAATAAACCATGGATCAAATCCCCTTCATCTTGACTTGGTGGGGTTTTTAATAGAGATTTTTTAGCCTCTAACTGACGAGCTAATTTGTTTGCTGAAAATATTCAAGAAATAATGCACAGGTACTCAAATTTATCTAAACAAGAACAAGCTTACTCTGGACCCACAATAGAGCATGAAGTCATCGCGGCCATCTTGGAATTGTGACATCATATCAAATATGGAAGTCTGTCAATCAATGTACAAGGTAAAAGGAACAAGCATGCCAAGCTTCATGTCTATTATGCTTGAACTGATGAGTAGTGCTTGTTACCCAGTTCCTGGTCCAAAAATTAGTAAGATAGGTTGCCAGGCAAAGAAACATACGCCCACAGCAGCTAAATCGTCCGAGCGGTTGACAAGGGTTGTCACATATTTATTCCTTTGTAGGTAATTGGGGGCCTTTACAAGACAGTTCCATACAGATCAGATTCAAAATTTTGCCATTTGGGGGTTTACAAGGTTCTACAAACTGAAACAAGGGTCTCAACTCTGGAAGTAATCTACAGAAATTGTTGAAATTTACTAATTTAAATAATGCATATAAATTTTATACAGATCACATTATCACTTTTGTCATTCAAACGTTCACAAGGTTCACAATCGCCATAACTTTAGAAATTATTGACGGAAATTGCTGAAATTCAACAGGCTTCTTTGTTTCACTAATTTAAATGATGCATATAAATTTCATACAAATCGGATGATAACTGTTGTCATTAGAGCGTTTGCAAGATACAACAATGTGAAACAACGGACATAACTCTAGATGTAATTAATGGAAATTGCTGCAGTTCAATGGGCTTCTTCATTTGACTAATATAAACGATACATATAAATTTCATACAGATCAGATAATAACTTTTGTCATTAGTGCATTCACAAGGTGCAACAAAGTGAAACACGGGCCATAACTCTAGATGTAATTAACGGAAATTGCTGAAATCAACAGGCTTCGTTTTACTAATTTAAATGATGCACATAAATTTCATACAGATCGGCTGATAACTATTGTCGTTAGAGCATTCACAACGTGTAACAAAGTGACACAAGGGCCATAACTCCAGAAGAAATTAACGAAGTTATTGAAATTCAACAGGCATCTTCGTTTCACTAATTTAAAGGAGCTAAATCGCTAACATTTGGGACCTAGAAATTGACACAAGTGGGTCGCAACTCATATAATCCTGTAATATGAATGTATATAAACTGATATACATTCAATGGTTTCCGTTTTTACTCTAATTTCAAATCAGTTATGTTCCGCGAAATAAGCCCGCAGTCTCAATCGAATGCAAATTTCTAGCGCCTGGTTATTCCAGTCTACATACGCCGTTTGGTTTGGTGCAATATGTCTAGCCTCGTACCGCGAGTCTCTTGCTAGAACTGGGGCTGAAACGCATTATGGTACACGATTCGTGTACCAATGGCAAAATGTTTATTTTGTCTTAAATATTGGATATCAGAAGCCCATCTTTTTCCGGTAAGATCACAGCATCAATGTTGATTTAAATTGACAAATAATTTGTGCTTTCAATGTTGAAGATTTTGGATGATATTGAGTTAGAGACTTAGCTACTTTAAATAATGCATAAAATTTCATACAGATCGAATGATAACTGTTGTCATTAGTGCGTTCACAAGATTCAACAAAGTGAAACAAGGGCCATGACTCTAGATGTAATTAACAGAAATTGCTGAAATTCAATAGGATTCTTTATTTCACTAATTTGAATGATGCATTTAAAATTCATACAGATTGAATGATAACTTTTGTCGTTAGAGTGTTCACAAGGTGCAACAAAGTGAGACAAGGGCCATAACTCCAGAAGAAATTATTGAAATTAAATAGGATTCTTCATTACACTAATGCAAATGACATATATCAATTTCAAAACAATTAGATGATAAATGTAGGCTGTAGAGTCTTCACAAGAAATTGTGGACGACGGACGGGGTGACGGCAATATACGACCACATTTCCATGTGGGCGTATAAAAAGGATTTTTTTCTTACATGCTCCTTTTTTCACCAATGCCTCCTCTTCTGGTCCGTCTGCTTTTAAAGGATTGACAGCTGCTGACCTACAGTAAAAATCATTTTAAGCAGATATGATGATAACTTTGTCGTTAACGAGTGTCCATAAGACTTTAAAAGGTGAACAAGGGTCATCTCTAACACAAATTGTTTAAATCTAATAGTGCTCTTTGTATCATTAGTTTGAACCAAATGATAAGTTTCACAAATAAGTAATGGAAATTCAGTAATCAATTTCAAACAGATGAAATGATAACTGTTTTACGTTAAGAGTGTTCACAAGATGCTACAAAGTATTCAAGGGCAATAACTACGGAAGTTATTAAATTCAACAGGCTTCTTTAATAATGGATCAATTTTGATGAACTTTTTTAAGTCTGATCAGGAGTCAGACTTGTAATGCAATACTTTATTACAGATACAATATGAGTAATGGTGCCTTAATTATAAGACATATATTTATATAAATTACCCTCCAGTAACAGGATTTCTAGCCACCATTAAAAATGTGGCTTTCATTACTTTCTGCAACTCATCTTGAATCACCTATAAAACAAGTAAAATATCATTTAACAGGACCATGGTTTTTGTCCCATCTGATTGACTAGATCCTTTTCTTTACCAGGCCCTCTGTTCTGCTCCAACGACAAGCGATAACCACGCTGGAAAATCCTGGGGATCTTTATAGGACAAAGCTGGATTCGAACACCAGATTTTGTTAGTGAGCAAGTGCCTTACTCACTGAGCCACTGCAACTGTCTCCACTGAATAAGAGCCTGTTATGAGTATCTTGTAGAACTGTAACCATTCTTAAAACCCCATTTAGTCATCACTTAATAGATAGGTTCATATATACCTGATGTACATCCATTGTAACTTCCATAGATGATGTACCAACCCAAGTTACATTACCAGTTAGTTTGATGTCTGTAAATGCTGATACTGTGAAGTTACCCAGCTCTAGAAATAAAAAGTTTAAAATACTTTTTCATTAAAGTGTTGAATAGACTGATCAATATATGTTGCATTACTCTGACTAGTGATGGAGAAAGCTCTGTATGATCAGATTTTCCATTCAGCAAAATCAGCAATTCTAACCAACATAAAGCCTATTCTTGACTTAACCAATGGATTCTTAAATAAACTATAATATATACTTATGGAAAATAGCTTCTAATTAATACATTTAGACAACGTTATAAAGATGAGAGTATACAATTAGTTGCTGTTTTCCATAAGTATGTGTTATAGTTTATTACTCTATCCAGTTAATAAATGCCACTAAAAGATTACATTTGATGAACTGTCTCGGCCAATGCAGGAATGGAAAACACGACCTCCAGTTTAGATACTGGGGCTCCCGCTATGAGGGAAATTTAGCCTGGACCTTAAGTGTCTCTGCTTACTTGTCATCGAATTCCATCTGTCAAGGGTTCTGTTATGTGCATGCCAACATGCATACATGACCTCCACCTTGCAACACTAACAAGGGGAAATTAGGTTGAAAAATCCTGAGGAACATTTTCAGCCAACAGTCCAATACTGTCATTGAAACTGGGACCTCTGTGTTAGTGAGCCTGCACCTTACACACTCAGCCATTGTATACAGAATACCAAACTAACCTATTCTATCAACTAATGCTGTCACAGTTGATAATGGAGATCTTTCATTTTTACCTCTTCGATTGTGAGTATAACATATTAAACCTGTGAATGAAAGTATATAGGATTTGACTTTACTGCTGGAACCATCTATGTTTTCAACTGGCAAGTCTTTTTTAAATTTTGGGAATATTCTAATGTGAAATCAACTTTTAGCAACCAGAGATGATAAAAGCCAAGTTTAGTGGTAAGGGTTTTAGAATTCTTTATTGCTCAAGTTAGGAGTGAATTGAAATCTCTGATGTATGAAGTAAATGGCTCAGGCAGTAAAATTTAATTAAATAGAACTAAATAACACAGCAGTTTAACATTTCATTGAGTATTTACCTAGGTCATTTCATTTGTGACAAAAACATGATTATATAGGTAGGGAAGAAAATTTTGCATGTCTACTCTTCCTTGAAATTTACATTCTTCTTCTATTAGCCTTAACGTCTGCTTCCACCCAGGGTGATATCGCATATTATGCTTAGCACATGCGTAGATTTCCTGTGGGAAGTGGTGTTGCTTCGTTCCCACACTTGTACATGTCAAGGAATAGGGAGGCCTGCCTAACCTCATGAGTTTTCTCTGGGTCCTCTGGTTTCATCCCTCTGCTAAATGACTCATGTGAAAGCAAATTATTGAAATAAAAGTGTACCATATATTAGTCCCGAAATGACCTAGTTTGTGTTGAATGTATGTTAAACCTCATAGATGTTTCTCAAATATCACCCCACCCTTAATTAAATAGACATATTAATAAGATATATCTACCATGGATTTATCAACATACCGGTATAGGAATTTCAGAATTAAAATGTGAATTGTGGAAATTGTTTTGGATTATAGAAACGATACTCGATTATATAGGAAACATGTTTATTAAAGGCTGTTGCCTTTCTATACTCAGTACTCACATCTTGACTATACAAGATTTTACAAAGAAAAACACATGGTTTCAAAATATGGCTGCCAACTCAACTTCTTACAACATTTTTTAACTCCAAAAAAAGAGAGTCAAAAGAAAACAAGAGTTGTCTCCCTTCAATCATTAATCATTTCAGAACACACTCCCCCCTTATTGACGCGAGGTCAATAAAATACACTAAAATTTAACATAATTCTTGAGATTTGAACTCTTAATAACAAAACTCTATATCTTGGATACTATTCTTTAAGATGCATTACTCTATAAGATTCTATACTCAAATTATTAAGATTCTATACTCAAAATATTAAGATTCTAAACTCGTTACATGTACTAAGATTCTAAACTCGTAAATACATATATAACACTGATTTCTAACTGTGTACTCCAATACTTATCAATAATAAGATACATTCTCTACTAATCTCTAACCAACTCTATTGGATACAATTTCTGTATAGGTCGATTCATAAATATTATTTTGCCCTGTTTGTTCTGAACTCTTACAACAGCGGATCGCACGTTATTATCACGACCTGGTAAAATTCTATCAACTCTACCCATTTCCCAATTTAAGCGCGATACTTTATCATCAAATACTAGCACAATATCACCCTCACGTATGATAGGACCTGTTTTAACTCTGGAACGATGATGCTCGCGTAATTGAGTAACATAGTCATTCCGCCATCTTGACCAATAATGATTTATAACAGTCTGCAAGTATTTCTTGCGCTTGCAGAATTCTGAAGAGGTATTACCAACTACTTTAGGATTTGGAGTAAACAGCGGTTCAGACAATATCCTTCTCCCCAATACTAAATGCGAAGGGGTTAGGGGTTCTATACAATCATCGCTAAGATATGTAAGAGGACGCGAGTTTAAAACGCCTTCAATGTCCACTAATAAAGTCAGTAGCTCCTCATACGACAAATGAGCATTACCTAAAGCTTTTTTCAGGCATCGTTTAGTTGAACGCACCATACGCTCAAAAAATCCGCCCCACCATGGGGATCGTTCAATATTATAACACCATTTAATGTTCCTACTATTTGTAAAGGCTCGAAGTTCAGCACTCTTGAAAACCAATCCATTGTCTGAATTCACTAAAGTTGGTACTCCACGCCTTCCAATAAAACGTCGAAAACTCCTAATAAAAGAGGAAGAACTAGCGTCCGTTGCTAAATCTAAATGAACCGCGCGACTACTCGCACAAGTATACAACACTATGAACACCTTGTTCATCTCTCCACTCTTAGAATAAATGTCTTTAACGTATAATGGTCCAGCATAGTCCACTCCAATATTTGTAAAAGCGAAATCGTCAGAAAGTCGAAATTCTGGTAAAGGAGGCGCTAACGGAACTCCATAAGATTTACCTTCCATTTTACGACAAGGAATACATTTAGTAATCACAGCTTTAACAACTTGTCGTCCGCGACAAACCCAAAACTTTTGGCGCAACTGAACTAAAGTCTCTGCTGTCCCATTATGATGCACATCTCGGTGACACTTTTCAATAATCAAACTCGTAAAACGATGAGAATCTGGTAGGAAAATAGGAAATTTGGCATCAAACGGCAAATTAGAATTATCTATACGACCATAACATCTCAAAATACCATTGTCATCAGGTTTTAAATTAAGCGATAGCCTCTGTTGCTCAAATTTACGGCCACTCAAACTATGTTGAATATCTCTGCACCAGATATTTTCGGCACAATTAATTTCTTCCTTGGACAATTGATCTGTTTGGACTTGTACATTGTCTCTTTTATTCTTCACGAAACGCAAAACATAAGCAGTCACTCTTAGTAGGCTATTAAAGTTGCTATAGCGGGAAACGTCTAGTATATTTTCGATATTGTGATTAGTTTCGACATTTGCGACACAAACAGTTGCTTTCTTAACTTCAGAATAAAATGGTTCACTCAAAGTTTCTTCAACAAAATCATTATAACCTGTATCGTCTTCGATTACATCAGTCTCCATTTTCTTAACATCAAATTCTACTTCAGGAAAATCACTGGACTCATGCAGCATAGACATTAACACTTGCGAATTACTACACCATTTTCTCATATTGAATCCACCCTGATTTAAACATAATTTAACTAATTTACATAAATCATAAGCAGAGTTTACATTATCTGCCCCAGAAGCAAAATCATCAACATACAATGACTTAAGAATATTATTCAAAATTTCAAAGTTATCATCCATAGAATTACTTAAGTGATAACGAAGGGTTGCATTTAAAATGAACGGACTTGAAGTCACTCCAAAGACCACTCTATTAAATCTAAACACTTTAATTTTAGGTGACTCGCTAAATGGATCATCAACCCATAAGAATCTAAGAAAGTCTCGATGCTCTTTATAAATGGCAATGTTCAAAAATGCCTTCTGTATGTCAGCAGTCAGAGCGATGGAATTCATTCTAAAACGAAGGAGAATATCGAAAATAAGCGGATTTAAAGAAGGGCCCGAGTATAAACACTCATTAAGACTAGGTCCACTTGTTTTACACGAGGCATCATACACAACTCTTAACTTAGTTGTGTCCTTATCTAAGCGTAAAACTTCTCTGTGCGGAATATAATGTATTGATCCAGAATTAATTATTACATCATCATCATTTACAATATCAATAATACCTTCAGATAATTGTTCATTAATTATTCTATCATATTCTTTAAGAACATCCGGCTTACTATTAAGTCGATACAAAAGAGATGATAAGCGTTTAACACACGTAGAATAATTATCAGATATTTTAAGATGATTTTCTTTAAATGGTAACTTCACTTCATACCTTTTACCCTCAAATGTGATATTATCATTAAAATCTGACAAAACACTAGATTCGTCATTACGAATACCCAAAGATTCAAGCTCCCAAAACTTATTCAACTCAGACTTAATTGAAGATACATCACAATTGTCATCAGATACAGAACTAACGTGCAATACATGCGTATGACTTAAATTAATAGTACATTGGTCACTACTCGAATTATTAATTACAGGGCCAGACAGCACCCACCCAAGTTTCGTCAACATTGCAACCGGGCCAGGGAACTCCCCCCGTCTCGTTTCGCCACAAAAGAAATTCCAATAGAAATCTGCCCCGATTAATATATCTACTGCAAAATCAGAAGGCCCAGATGGATTAGCTAATTTCAAACCCCGTAGATGAGGGTACTTTACTAAAGCATTACATGTTAATTGGTCGCTTATGGCATTGCATATAGAAGGTACACAATGCGCTGTAACATACAAATGTAAACCATCATCACCTGCAACAGTAAATTGAACAATATCACATAATCGTAACTTAGGAGTTTCCTCCCCAAAAGTTTTAATAAGTAAATTTTCACGCCCCACAGTTCTTAAATTTAACAATCTACGTGTTTCATCAGTAACATAGGTTCTTTGACTACACAAATCAAATACAATGTTCTTATACAATCCCCTAGAATTATCATTATGATTAGCACATACAAAACCTACAGCAGTTTGTAACAAAATAGAATTTTGATCATCTGTACACGTCATGTTAGATGTCACAGTTTGACTCGGTTGTCCGGTTTCAGTTTTATTAACATAACTAGGCCGCCTTAAATTTTGTTCAGGCCTATAAGTACAAATGGCTTTATTGTGTCTTTCTCCGCAGTTAAAGCATTTATAGTCACGATTAGGACAATTTCGTAACACATGTCCAGAGCGCAAACACAAAAAACACTTTGCTTTATGACGTAAAATAGATTTGCGAGCTGAAATGTCAGTAACAGAAGTGCAATTCACAGATGGGTGTTGCTGAGTACAAAACACACAGTACGGAACAGGTCTTTGATCTTTACTCGAAAATAAAGTTGAAGCTGTTGAGGGATTAACCCGGTTCGATCTGGATTGAGGACTGTATACGTTGTTCAAAGAATACCCGGATTTCTTGGTAGAATTACTATGCATTAAATCGACTCGCTCTCTAGCTTCAAGTTCAGTTTTTAAAATATCTAAGACCTCGTCCACACTCCAATCTTTAACTCCACGGCTAATAAATAAACGTAACTCTTCAGGAAGTTTATTCATGATAATAGGAATAAGAATATTACCATACGATTCAGACTGTACACCCATAGATTTTAGACTTCGTATCTGGACCTCAATGGTGTCGTATAATCTGCGAATATGTTTAACTTCACAACCACTCGTAACAGATTGTAAATTTAGTAAAACGTCCATATGCCCAGAAATAATAACTTGCTTATTTGCAAACCTATCTTTTAAAAGCTGAATTGCTGCATCATAGTTTTCGCCTATCAAGGACAAACCTGCTACACAAGAAGATGCCGGTCCGTCCAACAGACTCTTTAAATAATTAAATTTCTCAACATTTGAAATGGCACTGTTATTATCTACTGCAGCCTGGAAGCTATCCCAAAAAGGCTGCCACAACTTTGAATCACCAGAAAATCTAGGCAAACACAATTTTGGCAATTTAGTCTTACAGACAAAAGTTTCTTTCAATGAATTACTAGGGCTACTCAAATCAGAATTATCAGCTATACTGGTACTCAATTTTTCACTGGCCTTCTCATTCTTATGTAAACAAAATTTGATTTTATATAAAGTTCTATTAATAGTGTCCGCAAATTCACTTGATTCAAAAATATCATTACCCACTTCATCTTCGTCTTCAATATCTTCCAATACTTTTTCATCGTAAGATGCTAAAACAACTTTCTTTTCCGTTAAAGAAATTCTGTATCCTTCTTAACTTTCAACTGAAGAAGGAGATCCATCAAATTCGGCTAATAATTCTTGAACACTTTGAATAATTCGGGTAACAAAGGCCCTATGTCCCCCTCTGATGCGTTTGTTTTTCTTGGCCACATCACTACGCCTGTCTGCGTCGTTACTGGTCGTAGACATGATAATAAATGTCAATACTTTATAGGATTAAGATAATAAGGTCGACTGGCACATGAACTTAACTCAAGAGATTGACTGACATAACTGTATCCGTCTCGTCGGACCATGTTTTGGATTATAGAAACGATACTCGATTATATAGGAAACATGTTTATTAAAGGCTGTTGCCTTTCTATACTCAGTACTCACATCTTGACTATACAAGATTTTACAAAGAAAAACACATGGTTTCAAAATATGGCTGCCAACTCAACTTCTTACAACATTTTTTAACTCCAAAAAAAGAGAGTCAAAAGAAAACAAGAGTTGTCTCCCTTCAATCATTAATCATTTCAGAACAGAAATAAATTACCAGCAAATGTATCCAGATCTTCCATAATTCTTCCAAATCTGATTCCTTTATAGAAATTTGTGTATTTAGATTGTAAAGCAGGATCGGAACCAAGTGGTATTACAACTTCTCTATAACTATCTTTTATACTACGCACAGGTAGGCCATCTTGTTTTTTTGGAATATCTTGAAACATGGAATCCATATAAGCTTGATCGCTCTCTCTGAAAAACAGAAATTAATAGTATAATGAATACAAGTGGCAGTTGGTAATAAAATACAAAAGGTGCCTAATAATTGTTTAAAACATGGCAGAAAGGAGAATGAACATACATTCAGATGAAGAATTTAGGTGTTATTGGGGTGAATTCAAAAATCTTGATAAAGCTTTCACACTATTTAATGTACATGTACGCCTATTAAAAAAAGCTAACTAATTTCACTCTGAAAGTGTTATTAGTAAAACTAATATTCACAAACATAGATTGCCATGCACCGAACCATATGGCCTCCAACAGTTTCCAAATAATCAGACCATAGTTAAAGCCTGGAAGTTATTACCGAAAATGTTTGAACATCCATTGCCTTCTTTTCAATAGGACAGATAGACAACCATTATCCACAAGTCAATAGTGGACCTTATGTCCTCCATCTCAATCCAAAAATAAATCAATAGTGAGCCTTATGTGCCCCTCCCACCTCAATCCCAAAATAAAGCAATGGTCAGTCTTATGTGACCAATCTCAATCCCAAAATAGATCAATAGTGAGCCTTATGTTCCCCCCCCCCCCCCCACCTCAATTCCAAAATAAAAGGTTATGGCTATATGTTTACATCTTACATATAAAAATTTAAAAGTTCAAACATACTTTATTTTTACTTTAATAAAGAGCAAAATACATTTATTTTACTACGTCTTACGTTAATTCTGGTTTCAAACCAACCATTTCCATGAGAGATGCTCTTGCTGCAATGAAGGATGATAGAAGAAAGGATAGAAGCATGAATACCTTGTGAAACATAAATGTTTAATTATTGTTGTTTTATTCATGTTATTCTAGAGGTTTATTTATCATCTCTTTGCAGACAATATAATCATTAATGATAATACTAGTAATTATAATAGCATCAAACAAGAATTAGATGAATTACTGAATTGTTGAACTTTATTAACTTCTGTTATCATTTATGACTAGCTGTGACTAAAAAAATTCTTTATAATTATAGACGTATTTCATACATGTACATGTAAAGGACGCCATCCATATGTCTTATTTAGCCAGAGCTGGTCACATTTAACAAATTCATTGATTTATTTATATGATTTATATATTAGTATTGCCATACAGTTCTATACTGCAGAGTGTTAATCATTAGTTATCATTAACAATGAATAAACAAAAATATAGAAAACGGTTTACCTTCCATTATTGTCATTACTGAAGCATTGTTAATAGTTGTTGATATTTTTCTGACTGGTGTTTGTATTACACCACGGTTTAAGAACATATAGATCGGTCTGAAAAATAAGTAAAACAAGTGATTGCCATGCAAGAAACGCCCACATTTTGCAAAAGATTGACAGAGAACAAGCTAAAAAAAGCTTGTACAATCTGGGGCCGACCATAATCCAGGATGTTTGGGGCCAACATGCGTCAACATCTAAGGAACCAAGATTTTTGGGATATAAACATATATTGTAATTACATCAAAACTAGATAAAAATTTTGACCTCTCGAGGTTCCACAACCTAGGTAATAAGTCTGTAACACTATTTGGGAACAGGGGAACAGCCATTTTGTCAGGAAGTTTAAGTCCAATTTTTAAAATTAGATAAAAATTGTGATCTCTCGTGGGTCCACAAGGTTAAAATCAGGGGCCATAATTCAGGAAGTTACCGTCAGATAAGCCACAATATTGAAGGGAACCGAGATCTTAATTGGGTTATAATAATCATACATTTTAAGTTTCATCAAAATCTGATAAAACTTGTGACCTCTAGAGTGCCCAAAAGCTAAAAACATAAGCCATGAAGTTAGGGTTCGATACATAATATTATCAATGATGTATAGTAGAGGACAAGTCACGCCCCCTGGAAATCCATTCTCACATTCCGACTATATACTCTGCTGACCAAATTATTTGATTTTGTCAAATTTTCAAGTAAATTATACATATATATACTTTATTTTTGGATAAGGTTTTGAATTATCTAAATGAGCCACAATATGTACAAGTAGAATTGGTTCACCTAATAAATATGACTTATGTACCTATCTTATTTATTTTTAGATAATTAAGTGTAGATATAATACTTCATAATGCTATAAACTTGTGTCAAACAAATGAAAATATGCGTATGAGAAATATGTTGTTATAAAATTGGCTTTGAATTGACTTATAAATTATTGAGTAAATGTAGGCTACTACTACGACGTAGTTAATTCTTATATCACAATTATGTGAAGTGATATTTGATTATTGTGGTCTTTAGTCAGTTTCTAAACATTAAATCAAATTTAGTCTACATGTACCTGTTGCATGTGACATGTAGTTTTACTTTAAATGGAAAGAGGCTCAAGAACATAAATTATTTATAACAGAGAATCTTACCACGAGATTCAACTTTCATTTGAGGGGTTCACAGACTTTTTCAATACAATTGTAATTCAACCGACAGTGTCCAGTTGTTCAGTTGGGACGAAAGATCGAAGTCCCGTGCACATAAATTAACCACTGACAGTATGGCGTTAAACTCCATTTCATTTGTAATTCAACCATTCACAAGCTTTGCAATGGGTCGAGTTAGAAATTCAAATACAATAACTACAAGACTTGGATATAACACTTTATAAATAATGGACATATTATTACTAATATTATTAATGAAAAGGTGCCAGTACACTGTTACTTTAAGTACAATTTATAGGCCAGTAGCTGTCATTGAATATCTTACCACCATGGCTCCATCAAAAAGCAATTTAACATTTTTGTGAAAGAATGTGTTAATTACAGCATTCTCATTCCAAAAAAAAAAGTTCTTGGAGAAATACCCTAGTTTTGATCAAATCGGCTTTTAAATTTCGCGCTCCTTATGTCTGTCCAATCAAACATGGAGTGTTTTGAGAGGTTCCTTGTTGATTAAAATGGTCATGTTAAAATTTGAGTAAATTGCATGGACATAACCCCGGCATAGAAGGTGTGATGAGCATCATAATCAAACTCATCCAAGATTTTTTGATCCTTGGAAGTTTAATCTAAATCAGACAAACATTGTGGCCTCTTGTGCCAAGTTGTGGTTCACAAACTTGATATTAAATGCTTTTACACTATTTGTGTAAAGGGAAGCATCCATTTTGACAGGAAGTTTCGATTCTGATTTTTTAAGTAGATCGAGGCATTTGTCATCTAAGCTTCAACTACAAGGATACTTGCGAACTAAACTTATTAAAACCTTTAAAAAGTTTTATGGGCGTCATATTGACTTGATTGGTAAATATAACATGTCTCTCTCGGCTATTATTCTAGATATATTTAATTGACGCGTATACAATCTCCCTGATAATGTCTGTCGACTACAACTTTAACACTGTTCATCACGTGCATTTTGCATACCGATAGTCCATTGGCTAATCACGCTATTTTACTGAGATTTCGCCTAATAGTTTGGATGCAGCTATGGCGGGTGTGACGCCTGGTAGGGTAAGCTTACTCTTCCAGACACCTGTTACCACTGTTTGTCGTGTATTTTGTACATGGTGAACAGTCCATATGCTGATTACACTATTTTGCCTTTTATTTTGCCTATACCGTTTTTTTTAGGACTTTGAATTTTGTCTTATGGTTTGGATTGTTCGTACTTGGTTTTATTTTATTTCACAGAATTCAAACTCACGATTTTTAAAATCAAGTAAAAATTGTGACCTCTAGAGGATCCACAAGCAAAAAACATGATTTTTCTTAAAATCAGCTGCCATAATCCAGGAAGTTACTGTCCGATACACGCCAACATCGAAAGGAATAAAACTGGTTAAATGTGTGAAAAACTCTTAAGGCTCATTAATCTACATGTAGTACAGCTGCTATGAACCTCTGTTGTGGTCATATATGTGTTTATACATAAGTTTGGTTGTCCCTATAGGTGGGAGACAAGCTCTTAAACTGGCACATGCTCAGTTTTAAAAATAGTATCCTTAGTTATTGGTCAAGGATATTGCATAATTTAAGGGAACTAGCCCAAATTGAAGACAATATGAACAGTGATCAATCAAATACATTGTTTAATGTTGATTATAACTTCCAATATTTTCCAGTCTACTGTGTATCAACAAAATAACTCACAGTGAATGTACATGATTTAAATTTCATATTGTAAGATACAGTATTTCACTAGTGTTCATTATGAACACAAATATAAATCTGTTTGTTGTGTAATACAGGTGTATTTCCTAAATAATTCAATGTAAATTAACAATTGCTAAAACACGGAATTAAACGGAATGCCAACAGAAATATTGAGAACAAGCTTTTATACATTGTTTCTATAATTCGTCCTCATCAACAAATAATATTGTGAACATGTTTCACAGATCATAGAACTGCACTAGAAAGGAAGTCTGACTGGTCGTTTATGTTAAACATCGCATGTGCGAAATAGATGTATGAGTTCAGTGAGCTTCGGAATAAAATAAGAACAAAACGTGGCCTGCACAACTACCAAGATATATCCGAAATGAATGTTTAAACATGTGTAAGTTATTTTGTATCGATACGATTAGTTAAATGTTCGTTCGTATTAAAAGGATATTATCCGCACACTTTACCGTACAGGCCTAGTAACAACAGTAGACAGTAACATAAATTATAACAATAATCATTTTCAGTGAGAATGCGTCCAGGAACACGTATAATAAAACCTAATTTGATTTTATTTGATATAATATTTCGTCGAACCTAATAAAAACTATGCAGTTAGTCTCGAATCTACATTTTTTCAATTTTCTAATTAAACAGGCCTATATACAGTTCCTCCCAAATTTTTTGGACCGAAATCGCCGCGACGCGGTGAAAATAAACTCTCAGAATTCTCTTAGATTTCACGGTGAAATTTCGCTTGATTCCGCGGCGATTTTTCTCTAAGATTCGCTAGGAATTCACCGTGTTTCTCTAGGAATTCGCCGTGTTTCGATAAGAATACATCGTGTTTTGCCGTGATTCCCGCAAGGAATTCGCGAGCCTACCTTAAGCTAGGGTCGAACTAATATTGTCTATAATAAATTAAAGGAGTTGTAATATAGTAATGCTCCCGGGAAACGTGTACATGTATAATGTACAGGCAGGTTTGAATAACAAATGAGTAAGGTAATCTCGGGAAGACATTTACCGGAATTCTGTATCGGTTAGGATTTTTTCTCCAACGCACTTTATACATACATAACGCCCGCCAAAATGTATGCAAACTATGAACAACTTACAATTTTTTAAACATATCAATTCATCTTCGTTTATAACTTAGATGTAATCCGTCAATTTGGGGCTGCTATCAAATCCAAACTTTAAATTATATACGATGAGCTTTTACACATTACTTGATTACTCGCAGCTTCGGTTAATCTAAATCAATCATCCATACAGCACGTACAGTAAATCACTCCGCGGGTCGCTTAACGGTATGTTACGTGGTCAGAAACGCGCCAAAAGATTGGGACTACATGTATATTCTTACGCTGTTTTACTCGGCGAATAATATCCGCTGTGACAATATACATCTACTTTATGTCACCCAATTCATTTCGGTGGGAGCAGATATTGAATAAAGCCATTTCACACACACATACGTGTACATTACATGCGCCTCATATATATACAAAAAATGTAGGCCTAACATCGTCATGTTTTATCTTAGGCCTAAAAACACAACACAGTTTATATGGAAATACAATCACTGGTTTATAAGTATAGCACGACGTTTCGACAAGTATTCTCTTATCGTTATCAAGCACTTGTCGAAACGTCGTGCTATACTTATAAACCAGTGATTGTATTTCCATATAAACTGTGTTGTGTTTTTAATGTGTTCAATCGCTAAATGCCACTCAAGGATTATCTTAGGCCTACTTTTTTGGTGTATCATATTTATTACTTCAAGATTTCTTCATAGCCCCCCCCCCTCAAAGTATGTTTGTCGCTAAAATTTCTTTTTTAGATTGTAAGAAAACTGTTTGCTTCTAACATTATTAGATATACCGTATAATAATAAATAAAAAATTACATAACTTCATTAAATATGTCTGAAAATTTAGTTAAGATTCTATGGAAATTCTCTATAAAAATTCAGACCTTCATAAAAGGTCTCAGCCAATTTCAAATAAATGTGTTAACAGTATTTTAAAAAAATATGTGTGCACACTGAAAATTTAAGGTAAACATTTTTTAAAAAATCATTTGAATGGGTGACACTGTCAGTTTCTAAGCCCTGATTTAATATTGAAAACATTATCGTATTCATTCAAATCCAGTTGTATTGGTGTATTGTCAAAAGGTGTAGCACATATTTGAAAGTAGGTTCAATAGGTAAAATGTGTATAATGTTTTGTTATATTTTCAATTCAGATATATAGTGTGTTTAGACTTTTTATGTAAGTTAAATATTGGTTGTATTGACATTATAAAATCTGCATGAATGTAAGTCTAAATATCGGATAGCGATGCTGGTTTCTTTTTTTTTTCTTCTAACAATATTTATTTAATCAGTATTACATAATCTAAAGATACATAATTATTGGATCTGAAAACAAGCCAGAGCTTTTATATAAGCTCATCTCCTGCTGTCTGTTAGGAATATGTTAATACGAATATAAACTCCTCAGTTTTCTTTATGAATATGTTAATACCCCTTTAAACTCTGTACTTTCTTTCTTTTGTAGGCCTCTGAATATTAGATGAGCTCTAACCTGCTGCAACCCTCCATGAATAACAGTGTAAAAAAAGACATTATTGCAGGTCGAAAGACGGACGGAGGGCCTGGCAAGGGCATTATCTATTTGATTCGTTGGTGTGCATGTAGAAGAATCCTTGACATAAATCTGTTAATAATACATTATGGGAGATTAGATAAAGAGCTGACAGTTCTCACTATATTAGTTACAAACTAGATAATGTAAAGGCAATTTGCTGAAAATTTGAGTCAAATTGATCCACTATGAACCAAGATTTTAGCGATTGAATTTTTGGCCTAGCCTCGATCATCATTACTTAAGTCTGTACGATAAAAAACATAGTCTCGATTATCCATTTCATGATTAAATTATGAATGGAAGTTGAACAGGAAATCAGAACCTAATCCAATAAACATCGCAGGCTAGAGATGCCATCAAGAGTTGATTATGGTCTGGATAAGTTAATTAATGTCTAATTTAATTAGATAACATTTCAGGCTTAAAGTAAGACCTGCAATAGGCAGATTTAGCTCCTGCATAATGTATGTTTAAAAACTGTAGCTTATATTGCTTTCAGGAATTTTTCAGCAAAGGGGGTATCTCCGGAACAGACTTTTGTGGAGCACTGATTATCGATGGAGTTGGTCCTCTCATGAACGAACAATCAGGGGTAATAATCCAGGAATTTAAGGTTTGATGTGTGTCCGAGTTATTTGGGAAATGAACATATTGTATTTGTAAGCTTCATCTAAGTTTGATAACAATTGTGACCTGTAGAGTGTCCACAAACATGTGTGAACAGACATCCGGATGAACAATGGTAACAGCATAATACGTGACAATACTTCCACATTAAAATGTGAGCGAATAAAAGGTGTATGAATAAAAAAGTTGATTTTATGTATTGGATCATTTTTTGTTAATATCTGTAATTGTTACAAATGAATAAAGGAGTTCTTTTTTTATGTACTGGTATCTTATTGTTGTCTACATATTTGTTAGTAATATTCTTCAAAAGAGAGAGAGAGAGAGAGATGGGGTTTAACTTCCACTCGACACAAACTAGGTCATCTCGGGACTAACACATGGTTCAATTTTATTTCAATAATTCGCTTGCGCGTAGGGGTCTGTAGCAGTGGGAGGAAACTGGAGGAACCGGAGAAAACCCATGAGGTAGGACAGGCGACCCTACTCCTTGTCACGTACAACCGGAGAATCGAAACCCCGCCAGCTGACTCAATGACAGACCGTATGATACAGCGTGCACGTGCTAACCATTCGGCCATCCACCCACCCACCCACCCCCCAACACGAAAAGAATCCTGTACGTATGTACTTAAAAGAACCTTGCCACTTGCCAGTTCAAAATCAAAGAAACATGGACAAATAGACGCTGTCCGGGCAAAATTCTCCTTCCTTGCATTTTAGAAACAGTCATAGAATAAAGATTACCATGTTACACTAACGAAATACTGAAGTATTGCACGTGTTGACTAGATGTGTTAAACCCCATTCCATATATGTTCATGTTTTGCGATTATATACAATTTAATAGGCCTATAATAGCATTATTCATTTTAAATTATGTTGTCATGGTAACTTTTTCTCTATTTTTTAAAAAATATGTCATATCAAATTTTCTACCAATTGAGTCAATGAAATGGGGTTAAACGTCCTACTTTTCTGCACCAATCGGGCTAGTGAAAATGGGCATACGCTATGCAATGTGCTATGGGGGAAATTTTCCATGGGCATTTCTTCATCGAATCCCACATGTGAATGGTTCTTTGATGTGCATGTCAATGTGTACGTGTTTTTTGTCCCATCTACACAACTAGACACTGTTCTTTGCCAGACCATCTGTCCTACACTACCGACAGGGAGAAACCACGCTGCAAAATCCCGGGGAACTTTCTTGACTAACACCAGCGTACATAATCATTATATTAAGATTTTTATTTTTTTGCTACAAAAATATTTTGAATGCATTTTTTTTTTCTTTGAAAATAGTTTTGAAGAATCAGTTTGGTGACAGAAATACACATAATATTTACATCCTCAAATACATGTATAATACTGATAATGGACCCAAAACTAAAAGTAGTTTTGTTTTTCAAGAAAATCTATATTTCAGTTAAACATGCATTATGCAAGAGCAAAATCTGCTTATTACAAGTCTTTCTTTAGGCCTGAAATGTTATCTAAATTATCAATTAGAGATTAATTAACTTATCCCGACCATAATAAACTCTCGATGTCAAGGCTAGCCTTCGATGTAGGCTGGATTAGATTCCTATATGCCGCTAACGGCCAAAGATAATTAAATCAGAAGAAGTGGATAATCAAGACTATGCTTTTTATATTAATGATTTTAGTAATGATAACCGAGACTATGCAAAAAATTCACCGGCTTCTTTCCCGGCTCATAGTGGATCAATTTGACTGAAATTTTCAGCAAATTACCTTTACACTATCTAGTTTTTAACTATTATAGCGAGAACTGCCATCTCTTTATCTTATCTCCCATAATGTATCTTTAAGTACTTTTTTGAAAATATAAATAATGAAGGAAAAAATACGGTCTTCATGTTATCATTAACTTCATAAAATAGGAAAGTTGTCTCAAAATTTCCAGTTGCTATCTCAATTACAATTATTACAAAATAATAACATCAAATATCAGTTCATACGACTCTGCTTCATAAATATTAGCCATGCATTTTACCGGAAGTCACTTGCGGTACATCTACTTTGTGCATGCGATGTACAACATAATTCATCATCCGTAGCTACTGCAGGGTCAGTTATCCATATTATATATACGATCTATGCAGAGACCCCAATGTCATTCCGGATGTATACATTATACAGCATGACAAGGTTATTTAGTCTGTCAGTCACACAGTACATAGTTTTATTACTGTAAACTTTTTATTTTAAACTAACGTTACAAGGTTATTTGAGAAATTTTAAAGGTACAGGCCTATGGTAAACAGTTAAAATTTCTTGTTTGATCTTTTGATGTTCATTGGGTTTAAGTTTTAAGGAAATAAGAAATGGGTTCAGGAAGATCGCTATTGATAATTGATATTCCGAATCATTCGATTGCAAATCGTCTAGTATGAACTACGGCTTACTTTATGAACTCTTGCAAAGTTTTCCGGGACAAATGAAACATACCCGAATGTAGTCCATGAAAGTTGTTGATTACGGTACATAATAATATACTTTCTTTATTCACCTATTGAGTCCAGAGAAAGGAGTGTGGGTAACATCCAATCGACACAAACGAGGCCGTTTCCTAACTAACCCATGTTCCATTTCATTTCAAGGGTAAATTCTTTGACGTGAATGCCAATATGTACACATATATAAATCGGTTTTTCACCGATCCGAACGACTAGACACTGTTTTAATTCTTCCTGTGACTTCTGTCACTTCTGTGCTGCACGGCACAACCGGCATAGTGACAAGGAAAACCCAAATATTGCGGTTCAACGCGCCTATGCTTTGACGCAGCTATATACACAGAACCAATGACTAATTTGGAAAGCATATTAAAACATTTTCAGGCCAAGCCGAGACTGAGGAAACACAAACATAAAAACAAAATGTAAGGTTACCTGAAGGCCGCCATCTTCGATATAGTGCACGGACTGACTACTTGACTACAAAACGGTTCTTTGGCAATCCGCTTTTGTGATGGTTGATCTGAAGCTATATCTATCTCATCCTGTAAAACGTCTGAATAAAAACCTTTTTATTATAGCCTTCGGCTTAAATATGTAAATATTGAACCAGGAAGACATTGCACTAGGGGCGGATACAAAGAGGGTGGTGCAAAGGAGATTGTTGCCGAGCGAAGAGAGTGAAACAATATTAACGGCAAGTGAACCAAACAGTGCAATTTGTTATAGGCTATGTGACATTCAAACAATCTACGCCATTCTTATTTCCGACAAAGAATAAGAAAAGAAAGAACCCCGCCCGGACCCAGCCAAATAGTTTTATTTTGGCTGTTTGAAGCATGATATATATATACAATACTTTATACGTTTTTATGATAATTGAGCCTCTTCAGATTTTGTAACATTTTAGGTAATATATTGACCTGTCAAGCAAAGTTAGAATAAAAAGAACCTCAATGTATGGTTAATGTATATAAACAACCCATTAAGCCGGACATGCTAATCAATTTTCTTGAAACAGTAGTTAAATTTTAATTTTCCATATGATCAGCCCACAACCCGAACCATTTTTAAACCGTAATTAAATCCCCGCCCTCCCCCTCCCCAAGCCCCCCTCCCCCACAATAAAAAAAAGGAAACAAAATACAAAAAAAGACTGTCCCGGCCACCTATATACGAATACCCAAAATAAGGATAATAAATCCCCACACCCCCTCCCTTCTGTATCCGCCCCTAAATTATGTCACGCTGTTTATTCCTAGACACCCAACCCTTTTACTACATGACAGTACTGTACTGTATATTAATTGTAGATATTACAATTATTATTTAAATTTAGTAACGTCCGAGTTGATACAGACAGGGCCGTAACTAGCTAAGAGCAACGAGAGGGGGGGGGGTGCGGGAAGTGTTCTCAGGGGGGCTGTAAAATAGACGGACAATGTATATCTATTGTTTTTATGGTCGACAATTTTTTCACAGGGGAGGGGGGGCAAACTTTTTGCAGTGGGGCTGCCCCCCCCCTCTTAGTTACGGGCCTGGGGCCTGTTTCATGAAATTTTAACCAAGATAAAATCCAAATTTTAGTAATTTGATTGGATAATATTAGATTGATTTTAGTGCTTAGTATCTACTAAAATTTGGATTTTATCTTTAGTTAAGAATTCGAGAAACAGGGCCCAGATTTGATATCTCATTACGTTTTCGAGTAGTCTGTTGGTGTTACGGTTTAACGTCCGCTTCCACCGAGGCTGATATCGCAGACCAGAACGAGTGTTATTTTATTATATTCAGCGCATGTGTAGGGGTCTTTCTTGCGGTAGGAAACCGGAGTACCCGGAGTAAACCCACGAGGTTGAGAAAGCGCCCAGTTTTGGATATCTCGGTTATAAAAAGGACAATTATAATATTTATCCAGTATTATTATATATAGTTATTTTAATATCAAGCCTGTATATTTTGATTTTCTAAATTTCTTTGTCAGTGATGCAGGACGAAGGGCGTGACAAGGACAGCTGTCTAGTCGTTCCGATGGGACGAAAAACCAAGATCCCGTGCACACATTGGCGTGCACGTAAAAAAAAACCTTGACAGTTGGAATTCGATGTAAGAGTAGGCCGTAGTGCCGCTGTCATTAGCCCAGTTCGGAGCAGAACAGTGGGACGTTAAACCCCATTTCATTTCATTTCATCTTAATTTTCTACATTATTGTACTTGTACCGGCTCGTCAGGCAGGAATTTGTCCACAAGCCCTACTCATCTTGTTAAATTGTTTAAGCGGTATTTAGTAACTGAATGAGAATAACACATCATACAATTATAAGGAATACAAGTTTATTTCTGGTGACCTTTCGACCAGGGCTCTCTCGTCTTTGCAGTGATACCTATATCGTTATTATATGACCGTATAGATAAATTATTAGTATACCGTTAATAACAAATTCGGGTCAGTGTCCAAAAAATATCCACAAGGTTGCGCAATTGCTTGCGTAATAATTCGTAGAAACCGTAGAGTACAAACTCTCCCTGTTCTTGCATTGAATATCTTAATAAACGCATCTCTTATCAGTTTTTGGATAATAATCTTAAAATATTGTAGGAGAAAACAAGCACGCGCGAATGATAAATTTTGGATATAATGAAGACAAGCAAAGAATGGGCAACATTGCCAAAGGACATACATTAAAGGTAAGTCACATCCAAAAGTTTACGTTACAGATCTTGAGAACACAAAGTATCGAATTCAATTTAATGACTTAATAAATTCGAGTCGGGTTTAAAACACTTTGAAAGCTTTTGGTAATGACAGAACTGTTTTGTTTTTTTGTAAATCAGAAAAATGTTATTTTACAATAATCAAATGTATTTTCTTTTTAAAAGCAAAAGCTAAACCCACGTTTCATGATCACTTCTATGTTTTTGTTTTTTTTTAACTATTAAAGATTCGCGGCAAGAATCCAAAATGACGTATGCTATTCGTGGATTTCACTATGCCGATTACATTGTGTTTGTTACTACGATAGTGATATCCATAGGAATAGGCATTTATTATGCCTTTGCTGGGAGCAAAAAGGGAACCACCTCAGAATATTTGGTTGGAAGCCGTTCGATGAAGATTATTCCAGTTACCCTGTCTTTAATGGTTTCGTTCGAATCCTCTATTATGATGTTGGGATTCCCGGCGGAAGTTTATACACATGGAATGATGTTTTGGTTGGCTTGTTTTGGTTTTGGGTTTACAATGCTCATAGGATCACGTCTAATTGTTCCTCTGATTCATCCATTAAAAATCACCAGCGTTTATGAGGTGAAGCATTTTATATAATTTACTTTCATTCCATTGTTATAAAAACTATATTTACTCATCATGTAAAATGTTCAGATGTCGGATTATCCCGTGTCTTCTATCCTTAATACATGCACGAGCTAATAATGTATTCATGGTTCCCACTGAATGAGATCAGAATTCAGCAAGGTTATCTGATTGGACTCTATTTATACTTATTTGAGAAAGTTATAATACCGAAATATAAAATGTATTGGTTGTATTTTAGATATATGAATATGATAAATTGTAAAATGACGTGTTTGAATTACTATTATATATTAACTTATCGTTACAGTATTTAGAGCTAAGGTTCAAATCAAGGGCAGTGCGTACAATAGGATCATCACTGGCCTTATTAAACACGGTAAGTAATACGCGAATAAACAGTTTAAATACTTTATTCCTGGCACGTTTCGTAGCAGCGGGAGTGCATACATTATACTAACTTGAACGTTATATGTAAATGTATACAGTCATGTAATTGTTTCATTCTTACACTATAAAAATAAATGAATGAAATGGGGTTTAACGTCCTACTTTTCTGATTCAAACGGGATAATGAAGACGGTTAAACAATAAGATATTTTTAATCATAATTATTAGTCGATTATGTACTGAATTATATTGGTTTTTGTAGGTAATATATATGGGAATTGTTCTATTTGGTCCCGCCATAGCCCTGCAAGCAGGTACAGTTAATTTCGATTCGTGTCTTATCATTTATGATTTTTGTGAGAAAGAAGCCAAACCAAAGTGACGTATGTAAGATTTTCGAATGGAAGACGAGTGCACACATTGGTTGATTAAAGTCACTTATCTGGCAAAGTGGTCAAAGCTAATATTTGACGGATAAATGGTGGCAGCGGGGACGAGAGCATGGTTTTAGGTCGATGGCCCATAGGCTATACCCCCTAAATATACCACAAAGAAGACCATCGGGTCCGAAATGAAAAAAAGGCGATACACAAATATTTTTTTCATGCTTTACTAACTTTAAATACTACACTTCCGCCCACTGAACGAACATCTTTTTTAAATGGAAAAAAAGGCGATATTTGAAAACATTAAAATGTATTTTCAGTTATGGGGTTTCCTCTCGTTGTATCTATGAGTGTTGTTGCATGTGCGTCTGTTTTATATACCTCAATCGTAAGTTATTTTCTTTTTCTTCTACTACTATTTCTAAATCTGCTTCCACCATTGGATTGCAGTTAAGGTTTAAAAGCTTCCCTTGCATGTACTTATCCCGTAACCCCATTCTTAACTGAGACCCCCACTAATAATTTTATCACCAGGGCCAACAACCACGGATATAAAAATAATTATGATGTTCAAATGAATTATGGAAACGTAAGTTGCATTTTTATATAGAGATATATAACTTGGTAAGAACTATTAGTGTTTTATTTACACGATATTTAATAGTGATAATCGATCAATTTCTTGATATTTTTATTAATAATGTTTCTCAGAAACCTATAGTTGCAATATAGATAAAATTGATATTGTCCACATATAAATGTTGTTGTTGTTATTGCTATTGATATGTGACACTATAATAAAATAAATTTCAGGGGCGGATCCAGGACTTTTTGCAGGAGGGGGTTTGCCAGGTTCCTGAGACAATGTATCCCCCCCCCCCTTCCCACATGGTCTCTATCGTCATTTTGGCGTATATACATACACATTGAGTTTTTTAAACAGAGAAATTCAACACCTCGTTTGACGTTAATTTTTATTATGAATTAATACACTGACATTGTGATTCAATTTCATGGATGCAAAGCATTAATTGTGATATCACATAATGTCTATATCATTATCTCGTGCTTTGAGTGCCCATCCTCTCCCACATCTGACGATAAAGCACACGGCCGAGAAACTTTTCTGTTGATTTACAAAAAAAATTATGTAGCTGGATCCACCCCTGATTTTTTTCTTCTTCTTACTATGGGTTTAAAGCTGCTAGTCTAAGCTGTTTCTGCACCGACCAGGCTCCTACAGACGAACATATTCAATGCAGTGTACAGTGAGGGAAAATTTTGCCTGGAAGCACCGCTTCTGCCTACTTTTCATAGAATTCCAACTGTCGAGGTCTCTTTTATACCAAAGACATTCGTTCCGCACCACCCTTAAGATAACATTACACTGGAAAATCTCGAGGAACTTTCTTGATATCGGGATCGAACCCGTGACGTTCTGGTTAGTGAGCCAGATTCTTATCCACTAAGCCATCGTGGGCCCCATCTTGTTTCGAAGGCATTGAGTAATTGAACTTGACACAATTCTGTTTCGGCCAGGTTTAAGTAACAAAAAACATAGCAAAAAAACTTGCAATGTTACTGACAAAAATTCACAAGGTGCTTTGCGGTCTTTTCGAGTCCTAGTTTTGACTGACCACTTCCCTTTCTGTAGAAAACTGTAGAATGTCAATTACTCAAACATGACGATACACCAGGAATCAAAACTATCTATTTCAGGGTGGATTTAAAGCTGTAGTTTGGACTGACGTTTTCCAAACGTTTATTATGCTGCTTGGAATATTTTCTGTCCTGATAAAAGTAAGGCATCCGAAGTTTTACATAACAGATAACACAGTGCTGCCTTGCACTTTGGTGCTCTACACCGAGCGGAAAATCTAGAGGATATCACAGTTACTTGTGAAACAATTTTTTAAAATCTGATTAAATCACAGATCCTATTTTTTTTTTTTTATATAGGCTAAAAGATCTGTATTTTAATCAGATTGCAGTATTTTATTATATAAAAACAATATGTGAGAGAAAATATATGACTTGCGAGAGAATAAACTTTTAAAAGTTTAGGCTACACGAGTGTCAGTCTTCTATTTTGTATATCAAAATGAAGATTGTAAAGAGAAATAGCAATATTTTACTTGAGTTTTTGTCGACTTTTATGGGAAGCACAACTGGTCATAATTCTAAATGCTCACTGATCACTGATGAGTTCTAAGACTTCCGATTAATAGTCCATCATACCAGAAAATTAAATATTTGACTCCATTCATATGTTTGAATTATGTCGTATAATTTATCTAGGGAACAATAGACATCGGTGGGCCATCAGAAGTGTTTAGAATGGGTAAAGAAGGAGGGAGATTGGAGATTTGGAAGTAAGACATTTTGACAATTTGGATAACTTGAATTTTTATTTCAACTGGCCGTTTTAATGTCCAGTTCAAAGTAAAGGCAAACTATGTTCTAGTGGAGATCTAATTTATTACACGAATTCTCTAATGAATATGGTTGAACATCCTACTTTTGAGCACCACCAGACCCTGTAGTGTGCTGTGAGAGAAAGCGGTTCTTTAACGTGACCTTTCCGCCCTCCTTCCTGCACTACAGTACTGACAGGGCGAAACAAACCGGAGAATTGCGAGATACCAAGAGTTTAGTAAGACAGCGGCTTGCTCATTAAGCCACCGCGACCACAAATTCTCGGTTATATAGCGTCTAGATACAACAAAAAGTTAATAAAACCTAAATGTTAATTGTGCAAATTTTTCTACTCCACGTGATAGTACTTCGGTATCCATTGGTATTAAAGATAGCGTCGACATTATCATAATTTTTGTTTCATACAGTTTCGATCCAGATCCAACAGTACGACATACATTCTGGATTCTAACCATTGGTATGACGTTACGGTCATTTGGATTGGCTGTTGGTCAAGCTTCTGTTCAGAGAATATCCTCAACACCTACTCAAAAGAAAGCAGCACTGTAATGTTTAATTTCTCCATCGTACAAATTTATTAATATTAAAAAAAGTTTCATGTTATATTTAACAAAATAATTACATACACAAATTTAAATTTGGTCTCTGTCACTTTTACGCACACAATCAAAAGTATGTTATATGACTATAAAAACAACCCACAAAGAACCTTAAGATATCGCACAGGAAGAAACAATCTGGTAGATCCACATTCTTTAGATGAACTATATATGTTCAAATATGATTGTAGGGTAATGGGAGTAGCTGGACCACTTTTCTTCTTCACGATGAGTTTAGCAACGCTTGAAGGTTTGATAGCCTATGCTTATTACAGAAAAAAGGGATGTGATCCAATGGCGTCTGGTCAAATTACCAATCCAAATCAGGCAAGTTTTCATTAAAAAGTGTAGTTATTTTATGATATTGTTAACTTAACCAAGATGACCAACATTGAAAGAAAAGGAACTTGTTTTGTGTCTTTCATCATTGTTCTAAAGTCATGTAAATGCATATCAAAGAATAGCCAAACCCAACACGATTTGATGTTTTCTTAAATAAGACAACAGTTAATGCCATAAACGACAGAATCTTCATTAAATCCCAAATTCCATCGAGCCAAACATATTTGGGAATATGATATTATTAAAAGTTTCATTTTAATGTAATCGTCAGATATTTAACATAATAATACGTTTTAATATGTTTAGGTTATGCCTCTACTGGTGATGGATCTATTCGAGTCCCTTCCAGGAATGCCAGGTCTTTTTATGGCGTCATTATTTAGCGCATCATTGAGGTATTATAAAGTTTCACCGCTATAAATTGCATACATATAAATTTATAGACATTCAGAGTCCCCACCAAGTGTCCTGTAGTACAACTTAATTAAATCATGGCAGCCTATAGTCTCGGACACAGTTGTATTTGGACATGTAGTCTTTGTGGTGGAGTGGGGGTGGGGGGATTGTCTGTGGTCTAATGTTTCACCCGAGCACCAGTGAAAGCAGTACTCAACATAATGACTTCTGTGCTATCAGGAGGTTTTTATACTCTTCCGAAGATTCTTTAAGTTATTAAGCACCTGTTTTATGGAATAATCTACCATTTAGTTTATGATGTTGTACATCTCTATATTCTTTTAAAAAACAACTTAACGCACATTCATTTAACAAGGCTTTTAACTGACTCTGTATACAATCGTTAACATGTCCATAATCGTGTTGTTTATTTATGATTATATTGTCACTTTGTAAAGTGCCTCTGAACATGTTATATGAAAGGGCGCACTATAAATATGTTGTAACAATATTAATAGTAATAATAATAAACGAATGATATATCCTCTCCTAGCATGGAACATTTCCATGACTGCCATCCCATTAGGTCACCCCAGAATCGTCAGCATAGTTTCGTATTTATTTTTTTGATTTTTTACTCTTTAGTATTCCAACACCCCTGCTTGTTGCTTAGGTGTACTATAACGTCTATTCTTTTGATGTTTCAGTACATTATCATCTGGACTAAGTGCTTGTTCAGCACAAACAGTAGAAGATTATATTTTACCATATATGAAAACAAAATCAGAAAGAACAAAAACAATACTGGCTAAATTATCGGGTAGGTCTATTATAATTGGTGCCAATTTAAAAGATATATTTCTTTGTTGACAATAGAGATTGGATTCAGATATACATGTATATACAAAATAATGTCAACTACGAGTGACACAAATCCAACTATTGTAAGACCATTACTGTGTACTAAATTATTGCATCAGTGGAAGCAAATACAGTTAGCTAAGTGAGGTCCTGAAATGAGACCCGGTAAAGGTGTTTTACAAATATAAATATATCATGCCTGGCAGAGCTGGGCCTTCAGAAGCCAAAAGCTATTTTTTACATGACAACCTCGTGGACTAAATCACTAACTCTGTGATTAAACCACAGCACAATGTGTTCGTTGTTTGGACTCGTATCGATGTAGGCTCACGAAGACTATCACATTGTGATTCTATTTTCAGTTGTAGGTTTTGGTATTATATCAGTAGGTGTATCTATTCTTATTTCAACTATTGGTGGATCACTTTCCCAGGTAATCCCATTACACTTATGATTGGATATGTGGAGTGGGTGGTCTTAGGTGAAGATGTCGCGGTATATTCTGAATAATTTGGATGCAGATCAACCAGCTTTCACAACTGCTTTAAATTTGCCTATTGTATCTGGCAGGTAATATAAGCTACTAGATTTACTGAAATATCTACGGATGCACCAGACTGTAATAGTTCATCTAGTCATAAACACACGCACAAAATTAATGTTCAACTGATGTGTTCGTATTTTCTTTTTGAAAAATTCTGTGATTGGTCAGCCATAAGGATGAAAACGTTCATTGAATTTTACTCCAAACTTTATGGCACGGTCCATGCTACCCATCCCCCGTTTCTCAACAGATTTTAATAGATATAAATTTATTTCCTTTTTAGATTGCATTTAGTTTAATGGCATCGTTTGTAGGTCCTGTAACTGGTCTAATCTTATTCGCTATTTTATTTCCTTATGCGAACCATAAGGTAAGTTTTTAAAGATACATTCCCGGGTTCAAACTGGGTGATTTGATGATATACATGTATTTGGACTAAAAACATATTCAAACTAATTAATTTATCATAATCTTGCTTCAAATCCTTCTCAAAACATTGCAATTGTCTGAGAATACCTTGGCTATAAAAAATCGACCAAAAGAGGTCACGTTTGTGTCACGTGACTTACCTCTCTCGGTATCTAGCAACGCAAGCGAAGTCGGAGGAGAATTTATTGCGTACACAAGACGATGTTGTCTTTAATCGCTTACTATTTATTACCAATATCGAAGCCTAATTAAATTTTAGGATTATCCACTGCCCGCGTCTTTTTCCGTAATTTTTATCTCAGAAAGTGTTGTACGTCTAATTCTTCATAAAGTTTATCAAAATGTACACCAAGCGCTCAATCTCCGCGTGCAACCTTCGACGTCACGCGTGCAGACACTCCTAATCTTCGGGCTGTCGATTAGGAAAACACTTACATTTTTGTCCTGTATGAGCTCCATGAGTGTTTTTCAGGGAATCTAGTATTTTTCTAGTAAGATTGGATATTTCTACTTTCCATATAGACCAAAATTGCCATACTTTTATTGGAAATAACCACCCGATAAATACTTTTCTGGGAACGTAGCTTTAAATATAAAAAGTATTCTAGAAGATACTGGGGCCGCGGTAGCTCAGTGCGTAAGGCACTTGTTGACTATCCGTGAGGTCCGGACGTCCGGGGTCTGTTCCCAGTGTTGGTCGAGAAAGTTCTCTGGAATTTCCGATATGGGTTCCCCTTTTTAATGATACAGCACGAAGCACCTGACAAGTACAGTATCTAGTCGTTCGGGTGGGACGAACAACCGAGGTCCCGTGTACACATTGGAACCCTTGGCGGTTGGAATTCAAAATAAGAGTAAACCGTAGCGCCGCTGTCCGTGTAAATTTTCCTAATAGGATATATTTTATGGCGTTTGTCCGTCTTCATCAGCCCAGTTGAAATTATAGACAAACTGAACGGCATCAAATAAATGATTTTATTTATACCCTCTTGTTCAGATTAGAAACTGGCTCTTTTATTTGTGTTTTAATTGAGATTCTTTAAATGTATCGCTTGAGTAAATTTGGGCGCATTTATTATTAAACATTTGGGGTTGAATACCTGAAAAGTTATAATTTAGATTCGAAAATATATAGGCCATTCTCTGGCCCATCATTTCGGTAGGGCACATTTCACACAAAAAAACCCACCCCCAAAAAAATCCGTTGGTGATGTAATTGGATGGAACTCCGCTGGTAGACGTTTTTATGTTTATAGTTCCACCAGATTTTTGACCCGGACCCCCACAGGGTTTTTTCGACTCTGTTTTACGCACAATGAAAGCAAACAGACCGGGTCCAATCTTCTTGTATAGTCAACAGGTCGGCCTATTGTCACCAAAACTTTGCTGTTGATATTTTGTATAGCATTGCTGTTGATCGAATTAATTGTAATCAGTTGTAATTTAATGTCATCTGTCAAGAGTGTATTTCTTTTAATTCCAGGGTGCCGTTGTCGGTGTAATTGTCAGTGTTTGTTTTACCTTTTGGATAGCTGTTGGGTCGTATATGAGTCCCACTTTAATGAAAACTCCTCGTTTGCCGCCTGCTCCTATAGACAATTGTCCAGTGGCTAATTTCACCATTAATCCTTATAATTATACTAATATTGCTTTACAGAAAATAGAAGATTTTAAACATTATGAACCGTGAGTACTTATATGAACTGACGCCACATTGATATCTAAAAGAAAAGGGCCGTCTAACTACAGTTAGGTTTGCGACGAATATAGGAAGAGTATTAGTTGTATACCGCCTGGATCACACCACTGAATCTCATCAAACCAAGTTGAAATTCGATTAATGGATACCCTATATACACATTTTTATACATTGGTTACGTGCATTCACCTGGTTGTGATCTCCTACTCCAACGCCTTACTTGGTCCAAGAATACTCAGGCTTTGTCTTCAAGTTATATTTCTATGGGAATTCCCCAGTTGCTAATACAGGAATATCTGTCGCTGGTCAAAACATTTGAGCTTGTGGTTGGAATATGTTGAGTAACCTGATTTTGTGAGATCTTATTGACTGTCCTGATTTTGTGGAATCTTATTGATTGTCCTGGCTTTGCGAGGTCTTATTGATTCAAAAGGTCACAAACAATAAACCTATTTTTTGAAAGTTGGATCTGTACAAATATATCTGATATTCCTATTTGAATCCTCATGAGCATTTTCTAAACATTGCAGAAATTATACATAAATTTGCAATACTATACTTTTTTAATGTTTGCGCGTGTGTCTGTGTGGGAGGGGGGGGGGGCACACCCGATGCGTAGGGTACATGAATATCATAATGATTGCGCAATTCTATATGTTTGCAATCGGACTGACATTTTTGTGTATAATAGTAGATATTAGTACTTCTTAATTATGAGAATATTTTTTTTCAGACAAGGTTTAGACAAATTGTACAGTGTATCGTATTTATGGTTAGGTGGTATTGCTATTATTACTGTATTTGGTATTGGTAGTATCATATCGTGGTGTACAGGTAAAACTTACAATATTAAATTTGTTATTACTCCTTTGATCCATTTTAAGAATTTACCCATATTATTTTATATTTCATAAAAAAAAAATCACAATTTGATGAGTAATGCCACATAGCATAATATAAAACCACTTTAACATTTTCCTTCACAGGAAAATATGTATTGATATGAACATTGTTTATCATTATCTTCTTTGATAATTTTGATTTTTGACTATAATAACCAATTTTGCATGAGTCACTTTTTAAGATTTTCTAATCTTGACCAACGGTTTTTTTTTGTTTCAACGGATTTGTAAAAATTATGTTCTGCTAGTTCGCAAACAGTAAGCATTTGCGTTTTATGAAGAGATAATCCGCAATAAATATATAAATAATTTTTTTCCAGGTTGTATAAAACCAAAAGATGCAGGTGCTAAATACACGGTACCGATCTTTGATAGATTCTTTTGTTGTCTGCCGGAGTGTATTCTGAAGCCACTACGATGTGGTATAGATTATTCCAAGAAGGTAAATAGGAATTGTCTTGTTTTAGTTTTTGCCTAATGATCTGTCCGATCTTTCGTTAACCGGTTGCAAAGATTGTGTAGGTCAGTCTAGTAAGTGGTTTGGGAGATGCGAGGACAGGTTGTCTTGTTTCTTTCGTCTCAAAATTCTTTCGTCGTTTATGCAGATAGAAAATATAAACATGCAAATTGGGCTTCGTCTATGGAAAGACCAGTTCCGATATAGTAAAGTTCACTTAATACAATCATGAATAGCTTCATTAATATATTTCCTTTTCAGGTGTCTAGTAAATTAAGAGATAATTATGATGTAATTATAAAACTAGACACGAATGAAGCACAGAAGACACGATCGACAGACAAAATTAACCAAAACGAAACAGGAGTGTTGCTTGAACAAACTAATGGTCATGGTCATTCCAACATTGAACATGTTTAGCATTGTGTTTAATAAATAAACCTGATAACCATTTGTGAAATAAACAAAGATTCGAGTGGTTTAGATTTATTTCTTTAAAGCATAATTAATATTTATTACCTACGCATCCCAACTGTCAGTTACCAGGTTTCGGTGTGTGGCGCGGTTCTCCTGCACTTACTATTCCTCATAGGCGACATTTTTCGGGCATCGATTATTATTTGTGAATGCAGCTGCAACAGTCTGATTGGATGGTTGGGATTCAGAGTGGGATTTTGGAGTTTACACAGGCTAGAATAGCAGTAAACGCATTTGCGGTGGTTAAATTTTCTAAATTTTCTCCAGAAGGGTTAACTCCGAACCCAGCGACGATTGATTGGTTGTTTGGAATTCCGGTCAGCCAGGTAGACTATATTGGACCAAATTGAAGTTGCTGTATTCACAGGCTGGAATAGCAGGAAAACGCGTTTGCGGCAGTTAAAATTTCGTGGACTGTAAACGATTGATTGGAATTCGAGTCGGCCACCTTAATAAAGCTATATTAGACCACTTTGAAGTTACTTTGTTCACGGGCTGAAATAGCAGGAAAACGTGTTTGCAGCCGTCAAATATTCCAAAATTTTTTGGGGAGGGCGGTGTGGGGGGTGAGTGTGGGGGGGCAAGGTAAGCCCCCCCCCGCCCCCCAAAAAAACAACCCAAAAGAAAACAAAAGAAAAACACTGAAACACAACCGAAAACAATGCACAACAATAAAATCGTGGCAAAAGTGAAATACCATAAAAGTTAAAATAACAAGCGTTTGCCATGCAAGATACGCCCGCATTTTGTAAGAAATGGTCAGGGAGCACGCTAAATAAGCAATTTTTCGTATACTCAGGGGGTCACAATCCAGGATGATACGGTCCGACATGCGACAATATCAAAAGGATATAAACATATATTTTAAGCTTCATCAAGAAGGGATCCACAAGCTAAAAACGCGATTTTTCGTACAATCAGGGGCCATAATCCATGAAGGAACCGAGATCATTGGGATATAAACAAAAATTTCAAGTTTCATCAAAATCCGATAAAAATTGTGGTATAAGTAGCAACGAAACCTAATAGGCATATCATTTAATATCGTTGTAAGAAGTTGAATGGTTCTAATCGATAAATTAGGCTATTTAAAAATATCATACCGTCACAATATCAAAAGCGAAATTCAAGACTAGATTTCTGGTCAGCCCAATTAAAATTAAATTCTACTTCTTAAATACCACTTAACGGATTTCAACGAAAATTTTTTACAAGTATATTTTATGTTTTGAGTGGAAGGCGCTTAGTCCGTGCGTTTAAGTGAAGTTGTTCGACTCTGTAGGCATTGGATGGACAAGGGAGAATTAGATGCTCTGGAAGCGCTTAAAAAATGTTAGCCAAATTTCGTAGGTTTATGTGTGGTACTATGGTCTATGCGACCATTATATATCATATCTTTAACTAATTATTGGATTCACATACATGAATTGCAGAGAAGTCATATCTCGCGCACCCAAATGAATAAATGATGGGTTATAAATTCATATAATACTTGTATTCTTCTTTAAACATATCAAAGTACAAACATCTTATAGTTGAGAATCCGATAATTAGCTTGTGTTGAGGGAGCCATGGTCCTAGCTTGGCTTGACACCCTTGGGTGCCAACTCCCAAGTAACTTACATGGCCGCTGTCCGGTCCCAAGATAACTTCTAGACGCCATCGGCTAGTCTCTTCTGCTGATCTCGTTTCCATTCTGGGTTTATAAACTCGTCTAGACAAAGGATCTCATTACACATCTGGCTACTGCATCATACCAGATTTAACATTCAGTACAGTTTGCTTATAAGAGAAAGGACATTATATAAAACAGGTCATCCATAAGTTTATATTTTGATAATGATTAATGAATACCACCACCACCACCATCGCCGACATAAGAATATCATAATCTATTCTGCTTCCATGTGTCAAGATGGCACGAAGCGTACCTATAACATCTGTCATTATGTAACATATGGGATTTATTACATGTTTAATTAAAACGCGACCAAACAAAAGTATATGGAGTTGAAAAGTCAATATCATAATTATCAAAAACCAGCTGGGGTCAATAAGTTCTGAGCACCTGAGGATCGTTCAATTTGCTGAAAGTTATAGAGGACTTTGTCACATCTGATCCAGACTGTCAAATGGTTGATTGATGCGCGGAGGCTTTGCATTTTGTGTAGTATTTCCGTGGCTGATTACCTGCGTCCGAGAGAAGGCTTTTTTGTATAGTTTCTGATCCGTCATCACATGTAGTTTGCACTACTGATTTAATCGGGTAACACGTCGAAACTCTATTCCAGTGGACAACTAAAGCTTTCATGTTACACGGAGGAACACATATAATTTGGATTTATTAAGTTGTCAAAACAAACCTGAATGTTTCTTATATGGGGATGTATTAAGTTCCGATGCCATGAAGCCTTTGAATCTACAAAGACACCTTGAGACGAAAAGCGTCCGGTCAATGGTTCAAGATATCGAGTATTGCAAAGTAATCTAACCCACTCTAATATACAATTTATTTAAAAACTAACATTTAAATATTTACGGCATTAAGCGAAATATCTAGCTTGACGTCCATCTTAATACAAATTTTAAGGATATCTCCATCGTGGCGTGACAAATGCACAGAGACATCTTTTGTCTCTAGTCTTGTGATAGTATTGGAGCGGAATCAATTGATATCGTATCGCTTCTATGTGGGGGTAATGGTGCAGCCAAGGTAAAGACTGTACATCTGTCAGATAAATGTATCAAACGGAACATGCACCGGACAATTATTGGTAGGCCTGATGAATCCAAGCCGGGGCTTTTTCTAGAGTTATATGTTAAATAATCAATCTGAGTACATATTAGCAGGGTTTAAGACGTGCGAAATTGAATATTTTAGCGAAAAATGCAAATTAAGCATGTTATGTTTAGTGTTCTGTATATGAGATCTTATGTTTTTTGTGTGTAGCATTTAGAGCACAACGGTGGATAACGCGTCATATAGGTGGTGGTTGATGATGGTGGTGATAATGATGATAATAGGATAATCTCGTTTTGTGTTCGACCCCACTTTCGACACAGTAAGCTAACATTTATTTTAGGGGCATTTCCTCATATATAATTTGGATATAATTAATTTCTCGGGACTTTAAAATACACTAGACATGCCAGTTCATGTTTTCGTCGTGAAAATATGTTATCTGCTTGGTGGTTATCAACAACATGCCGATCTGTAGTTATCCTATCATTTTTATTTGGGGACGACTATAACGCAAATATTGAGAAATGAGGTTTAACTCAACTTGACAAAAACTAACACATTGTTCAAGTTTATTTCAACAATTCGCCTCCGAGTAGGATTCTTTAGCAGTGCAGGGAGGAAATTATAGGACCCAGAGAAAACGCACGAACGACCCTATTCCTTTTCACGTACAAGCTTTGGGATCGACACCACGCCACTTAAATCAATGACAAACCTTATGATGTAAAGAGCACCCGTTCACCCACTATATAAAGAGGTTATCAGTTTACACGGGGCTACCACCTTGGATTAAAAAAGGGTGGTTTCTGGCAGCATTTTGTAAAACAATTTACAATTCTTTTTATACTTGACATGAGAGTTAACACGATTACAACAAAGATCAATAGATGAGGGGGCATCGACAATGCTATGAATGGTGTAAAATGCACTACAATCCCGAAACACAATCTAACTTCTTGTCGTTCAGAATGGACGAAATTTTGAGGTCCCGTGACATGCACGGATAAGAACCCTTGACAGTTGGAATTCTAAATAAAAGTAGGACATTAAACTCCATTTCATTACATTTCATGGGCAGAGTGGCAGAACTTCCCTTTTCCACTCCGCCATGAAGAGATTTGAATAATTTGCAGTTCCGGGAGACTAGAGGTATACCTGGTCGTTGAAAGCGAAGTCATTCCTCCTCAGACAAATGTCATGTGAGGATTTCTTCGTCCGGCCTGGATGCTTGAGGGTTCCTAAGAAATGCTTTCCCAACTGCTTCAATACTCGTGTTATTGTCGATGTTCGTGTACATGCTCTGTACGTCGATGTATATTTGAATGGTGTGCTCAGGGACTCTTAACTGTTTGATTTTGTGAATAAATTCGTTGGTGTCTTTAAGGTAGGATGGGTATTGACATGTGAAGGTAATAAGAAGTGGTCTATATATTGTGATACGTTGTATGATTCGCTGCCAAAGTCTGATATTATTGGACGTCCTTTGAGATTATTTATTAGGTATAAACCATTCCGTTTCTGGATGTTATGTATTTTTGGTAGTGTATAGATGTCGTTGTCGGCAGTCAGATTTGGCTGATACATAATCATATTGTTTTGCTGTTATGTATTCCGTGTCTTGCAATTCATGTAAGTAAGATGTTGTTTATTAAGGTTGCGGTGTCCTTAAAGATGGGTTGGTCTAATTTAGAGTAATGTTTATGATTATTTAATTGTTTTTCTGCCTCAGAGATGAGATATAGTCTGTGCGATTCATTATGACACAACGCGAGTCCTTGTCGCTTTTCTTAATTATCATGTTTTGTCTTTTTTTAAGGGTGTTTAATACTGTTTTTGTTACTCGGATGAGATTTGGTTTTTGTGATTCTGGTTGAAGGGATGATATTTCTGTGTTCATTTCGTCGAAAGGTTTTAGGATGGCTGGTGATAATCACTTTTTAGGTGGTTTTCATGTGGATTTTCCTGTGAATATTTTTTTTACCTCTGCCGGGTTTGTTCCTAAAAAAAACAAAAACGGAAGTGTTCTTTGGAAGCGATCGGTTGCCTGGGTGATGGGGTCTATGGATGCTATTGTGGGGGTTAGGATGAATTTAAGGCCTTTGTCAAGAATGTTCATTTGTAGGGCGCCGAGAAGACTGTCGCCCAAATTCACAACAGCTTCTCATTCCTTTTCCCTAATCCTAGTTTAAATTCCTCATCCAGCAGTTGATGATCTCTCTTTGCCCTTGAAGTTTGGTAGTGTGGTGGCGTATGGTGAAGGTGCAGTGGAGATCAATTGGTTGTAGCTGGTGATGTTTTGGTAGGCGATCGGATTTTTCTTGTCGGATCTATGCGAAGAGCTTGATTATTCGGAAAGCTGCTCTGTCATCTTGACTAGATCTAGCATCTGCTCGTGTATCCTTGGTCCACTTTCCTCCCTGCTGTTGAGCAAGACATTTATCACTAATTCCTCTGGTGCAGATCCCATGTAGTTCTGAGTATGTTTGGACTGGATCTAATTCTTAAGGCTAACTCAAGATTTCGTCAAGGTCGCTGAAATGTAACTAAGGTTAGGGCACGTGATTGTGGGAGAGATTGTAGGCTAGGGTTTGGGCAAGCGTTAGGGCTAGACCCAGGGTTAGGGTTAGGGTTGGGATTAGTGCTATCCCTGTTTACATCTTGTGACCTTTGACCAAACTTGAAGTTGGCCTTATGAAATGAAATGGGGTTTAACGTCCTACTGTTCAGCTCCGAAATGAGTTAATGAAGACGGGCATACGCCATACAGTGTGCTATGAGGGACTTTTTTCCGGCCTACTTTTAAATCGAATTCCAACTGTCAGGGGATCTTTTACGTGCACACCAATGTGTACACGGGATCTCGGGTTTTTGTCCCATCTGAACGACTAGACAGCTGTCCTTGTCAGGCCCTCTGTCCTCGGCCTTATGAAATAGACTTAACCACAAGCGTGTTTAGACAACCTATACAGTATGATGATCGAGAAACAAACGGTGTGTTATTTTTACATTAATTTATCAATATTTCATAACGAATAGTTACATTATGTACATATAAGGGAATTTCTAACAAATCGTGTGGTTTTCTGCTTCAAGAGAGATGACAAACATCCTTACGTTAATTGTGCAACATAAATAGATAATTCAATGGCAGAATGGGCAGTGTTGCGTTAAAAGGGGGTCCCTTTAATATAAATATTATTATATAAATGCTTCGTGGTGCACTGAATAGTGACAATCCTATAAAGAAAGGTATTACTATTTACTTACGGAAAAGAATATAAATAATATTACAACCCACGGAAAAATATTCTCTTTGATACATGATGACTTTATCACAAGTCTGTATACTGCTTTCTTAAAATTTGAAAATTAACCTGATGATGTCAGTATACATGTAAATAAGGTAATGAGTTTACTATTTATTGTTGAATATCATTTTACAACAGACCTTACAGAATTTAAGATGAACATAATACAGTTTGGGAATAAACATATCGTAATTTGCAGTCTTCAAATTCTAACGGGAACAGCTGTAATATTACATTGGTCATTGAAAAAATTGCGAAAGATTGCAGCTTGTTAAGTAGGCATGATTATTTCCTCACACATGAAAACGAGACACCAAATTGACAAATATTGCTATATAATAAAACACCCTTTCTGAAATTAATTTAGTTATAAAACCAATGTTTGAACCCCTTTTCTGGCTAAAATAATCGCTATGTATTTTAGACCGGAAAAAGGGCAAATTTATTAATGAAGGCGTGGTAAATGATAGGTGAAATATAGTTAAAACGATTGGCCATTTTAATGTTTTTAATCTATGGATTTTGAATCAGTAACTGGTCCCCAAGAACTACCCATCTTGTTGTTGTTGTGCGACCGACATGAAATTTGGCATGATTGGATAATTGCACAATTTCAAGATGGTGGCGATGGCGTCATATACGATTCCCTGTCCATTGTATGCTCGTACTTGTTAATTTTGAATAGACTGCACCAGATAGTTGAGGTTAATTGAATAACTATATATAATATATTGCATATTTTTGATACGAAATGTTATTTAGTTAAGCTTTCTGACTAAAGTGAAATATTGTTGAGTTTTAGAAATATGTCAAGATCTTTTCCAACCCCACCCATTATTCTAATTGCATGTAAATAAAAATATTTATAGTTAAAAATGTTCCGTCTTGTCAACAAAGATTCTCGGTCCTATATTCACAGAAATTGTTATTACCTTAAGATCTAACATTTCTATATTGTTCAATTATTATACTTATCACAGTTTAAGGATACTTCAGGTTTGCCAAGGTGCCTATAGAATGCAAATAATTATATCCGTTATGAATGCAAGCGAACTATTCAAGAATACATAGCACGGAATAATTTGAATAATTTTGTTTAATAGACGCGTTGCATGTCTTGTTAGGTACATAATAATATGCATCAACTATTCACGCTCACAGTACATTGTTCGACTTTTCAATGGAAAGACGCTCAATAACATAAATTATTTATAACAGGGAATCTCACCACGAGATACAACTTTCATTTGGGTGGTTCACATACTATTGTAATTCAACCGACAGTGTTCAGTTGTTCGGTTGGGACGAAAGACCCAAGTCCCGTGCACATAAAATAACCAGTTGGAATTCGATTTAAGAGTAGGCTGTTGCGCACTGTATATGTTCACACATTATTTCCAACAAAGAGATGTGAGAAATGAAAAGTAGCCACGTTCAAAGTTGAGCGAACTCAATAATTGTATTTTAGGTCTTTGAATATTATTAATTACAAATATGCTGTTCCTGTTTCTATATAATAAACGACGGTTTTAAGATCAAAGCGTATCACGTATATTGAGTTGGTTGCTGGGCCCAAATGTCGAAGATTCTAAGGGCTTTTACACAAAATTAAGCAGTTTTATTCTCCAAAATATAGTCCAGATCGACCCTTTAAATAAGAATGCAGACGTAGGCCGGTCACCCGAATGATGGAAATGTAATTAGCATTCTTAATAAAGTTGTTCACTTTGCATGTCATTATATAAACCTAAATTGTGTCTATTTCATGTTTCGATGGAATTTAATTGGCCGTTTAGATACTGCTTTTGCAATTTTTATACATACAACTGAGTGTCAATTACATAAAATTTCATGAAATATATTAAATATAATATCGTTTAATATATAAAAACAGGAACAGCATATTTGTAATTAATAATTTTCAAAGACCTTAAATACAATTATTGATTTCGCTCCGCTTTGAACTTGGCTGTTTTTCATTTCTCACATCTCTTTGTTGGAAAAATTGTGTGAACATATGAAACTGCAACAAAGAATGTAACAAACTCTTTTTATGCAACGAATGTCATTTCTAGTCAAGACTTTGCCTTGTGGTTTTTTTCTCTACACAATCGCTTGAAAGTGTCACCAAATAATATTATGCTGTCCTCGATACGCTCGACGAGACTTTGGTTTGGCTGAACCCCACCCCAAACCCTTTTAAAAAATCATGTATCCATCCTTGTGAACAGCCTCGTTCTGGACAAAATACCGCGTTCCAAAAACATGGCAATTTAAAAAAGAAAAAACGTTTTGGAACTCCAGACAAACGTGGCATTTTGTTTTTACCACGTTACAACGTGGAAAAAATGTTAACACATTTTTGCCGCGCTTGGACAAAAATGCCGAACGAGGCATTCTGGGGTTTATAGTGATAGTTATTTCAGTTTAACAATCACTTGAATATCATAATATCAACCAAACACAAATTGCAATTTCCTGTTATATTTATTTAGACGTTTCCAAAAAAACCGAGCTTGGGGTGGAAACCAATAATTATACTTGACTTAATGTTGATAATACTTTCATATCTGCATTTGATTTCTATAGGAAGAGATGACTTCAGAATTCCACTATGCTGACTACATTGTATTTTCCATTACGATAGTTATTTCTTTAAGTATTGGAATTTACTATGCCTGCTCTGGAAACAAGCAGAGAACAAACGCAGAATACTTTGTGGGGAATCGATCTATGAAGATTCTACCTGTTTTGGTATCTGTTTTGGTTTCTGCAGAATCTTCTGTTATGATGCTTGGTATGGCTGCTGAAATATATATTCACGGTTGTATGTTTTATATTTCTATCATCGCTTATATGTTTGGAATAATCTTTGCCGCATACTTTATAGTTCCTATAGTACATCCTCTCAATCTTACCAGCATATATGAGGTAATATTTCATTTATATATTTTAATTCTTTGATTTGTCATAATATTTATCTATATGCTCATTAAAGTGGGCAACAAGTTCGGGTTCACATACAGCTTAAAAATATAGATATGTTGTATCTAACCGTAACGATGTTCTTCTAATCTAACGAGGTACTCGTCCATCGTAGAGCAATGTTTTTTTTATAAACAGCACCCCGCATTGTACTAATTACTGAATATGGCGGTCATTCAGGGTAGAGATTTATTCTCAAAGTAGATAGCGTTCTGTGTGACGAATAACGTAAAACAGACAATTTTCATCTTGAAATCTGCTAGTCCTGATTGGAAGAAAATCGGACGCGCTGTTCGTGGACATAATGGATTAGGGTATGCATACACCAATACCATCCATATATATGTTTCAATAATATTCTTTTAAATCATTATCTTAAGTATTTAGAATTGAGGTTCAAATCAAGAGCAGTTCGAATATTAGCTTCCACTCTGGCAAAGATGATTACGGTAAGATACATTTGGTGAAGTGCTTTAATCATACCTGTGGTTACTTATTGAATTTAATACCATACAGTATGTAAAGATGTTGTATTTTTTACCTTAATTTTGTACCGTTTATTTATTAGTTATCTATTTCTATGATAAAGAGTAAAAAGAATTAAACATGCATTATGCAAGAGCTAAATCTGATTATTGCAAGTCTTAATTTAGGCTTCAGATGTTATAGAAATTATAAATTAGATCTTTATTTATACAACAAGACCAAAATCAACTCTGTAGACCCACGGATGGCTCGGCTATAGCTCGGATTTAAATAGGATTTCACTAATTGATTAAATCAGATAAGGGGTAACCTGATAAAAATACGTCAGTTAGATCGAGGCTAAATGATAGCGTGTAGTTAGCGAGGCCGCTGTAAAGCGTTTCCATATGCCATTGAAAACTTTACTTGATAATCGAGATATGTAGGTGGAGTTAACGCCTGTCAATCAAACGTTCAGCGAAGGTGAAGACACATTTCGCTACCATTTCTAGGCAAATATTACAACGATGATAACTATGTTCAGACTACAGTAATTTGACTGAATTTTTCAATATATTCTTCTTTCATCATCTACTTTTGAACTGTTATAGCAAGAATGGCCAACTCTCTATAAATATCTCCCATAATGTATCTTTAACTATATATGCAGTACGAAGAATAATTAATCTTTTACAATTCTTTCAGCTTTTTTATATGGGAATTGTTTTACTTGGCCCGGCCTTAGCAATCAAAGCAGGTATGATTTGTTGTTATAATGAACCGTATTGAAATTTCAGTATGAATCATATTTATGCTTTAAAGATTTTTTTTTGATGCGGTGTGTTTGTGTCATTCTAATATGCATGTAATATATCCCTCTTCTGTCCGTCCTGCAACGACTAACCCCACCCTAAAGGCCTTTAATTATTTCATTTAAACAAAAAATATACATTCGTTTAAACAATATAATTAATCCGTATTAATGAATGAAATATTATTTCGTTTTAATCATAGAAATAGATGCTGTATATATTTCTATGTTTTAATAAAAAAAATTTTAGTTGCAATGCAACATTTTTTCGTTTTACGAATTATTTGTTTAACGAATTAATTCTTGGTTTTTATAAAATTAATTATTTCGTTTTAAGGAATTAATTATTTCGTTTTAAGGAATTAATTATTTCGTTTTAAGAAATTAATTATTTCGTTTTAAGGAATTAATTATTTTCGATCTAGCGAATTAATCATTAATTTTTCGTTTTAACAAATTCATTATCTCGTTTTAACGAATTTATTATTTCCTTAAAACGACTCCATTTCCCGGATTAATTTTTGGCGTTTACCAGGTTTTCGGAATGGGGGTTGGAGAGCGGAAAGAATAAATCCGGAACAGAAGGTTGCGGAACATCGAAAATCGACATGGTTCACACTCTTATGAAACCAGTGCTTCACATTTAATTTGAGAAAAAAATGTATAACACTTTAACGGGAAGTCTTCGTCCGCTCGTGATAGACGACCTTTAGACCAAATTTTATAAAATTGTGTTTAAAAATGTAGCCGTAAGACTTCGGACTAGGAAAATTGCAAATCAATGCATTAACGTATGTACATATTACTTATTTTGTTTAAAATCCAGGGACAATAACCCAGGAAGTTAAAATTATATGCATACCCAAATCGGAAAGAAATATTGTGTCCCCTAGAGGGACCACAACTTTGCCGATGTTACAATTTAATTGGACTCATTCAATGCCAAAGTGAGAGCTTTGTGTCATAACCATTATATATTTTAAGTTTGATTCAAATCTAATTACCATCGGTTGCCAGGAAAACTACGCTTACATTTGCAAGAGATGAATAGAGACTAAGCTACCCCTCCACCGCCCCAAAAACGCGATTTTTCGTACAATCAGGGGCCATAATCCAAAAAGTTATGGTCTGAAATGCGCGACAATTGGCAGGGACTGAGGTCTTTGGGATATAAATGAAATGAAATGAAATGGAGTTTAACGTCCTACTTTTCTGCTCCTAACCTGGGCTAATGAAGACGGGCATACGCCATACAGTGTGCTATGAGGGAAATTTTGCCCGGACAGCGGCACTACGGCCTACTCTTATATCGAATTCCAACTGCCAAGGGATCTTTTACGTACACGCCAATGTGTACACGGGACCTCGGTTTTTCGTCCCATCCGAACGACTAGACAGCTTTCCTTGTCAGCCCCTCCGTCCTGCATCACTGACAAGGGAGAACCACGCCGGAAAATCTGTATGAACTTTCTCGGCCAATGCAGGGATCGAACACCCGACCTCCAGGCTAGCGAGCTAGCGTCTTACCCACTTAGCCACGTGATCCTCCTTTGGGATATAAAGATATATTTTAAGTTTCATTAAAATCGGACAAACATTGTGACTTCTAGAGGGTCCACAACCTTGGTATAACATATACTTGTACACAATTTGCGTACACGGAGCGGTCATTTTGACGGGCAGTTTCGGTCCGATTTTCACGAAATTCGAACTCGAACTTCATTAGGATGTAACAGTGATACATTTAAACGTTTTTTTTTTAAAAAAAAACCGGACAAATATTGTGACCTCTAGAGGGTCCCCAAGCTAAAAACGTGATTTTTCGTACAATCAGGGGCCATACTCTAGGAAGTTACGGTCCGATATGCGCAAATATCGAAAGGAACCAAGATCCTTGTATTATAAACATACATTCTAACTTTCATCAAAATCCACAACCTTGGTATTACATACTTTTACACTATTTGCGTACAAGGAGCGGCCATTTTGTCCTACAGTTTCGGTCAGATTTTTACGAAATTCGAACTTCACCTTCATTGATGTGTAACGGTGATATATTGGAACGTTTGCATTCTTTTGTACAATCAGGGGCCATAATTCAGGAAATTACGATCCGATATGCGCGAATACCTAAAGGAACAAAGATCTTTGGGTTATTAACATGCATTTCAAGTTTCATCAAAATCAGAGTATCCACAAGCTAAAAATGCGATATTTCGAATAATCAGGGGCCATAATCCAGGCAGTTACGTTCGGATATGCGCGATTATCAAAATGAACCAAGATCTTTGTGATATGAACATAAATTTAAAGTTTCATCAAAATCAGATAAAAATTGTTGCCTCTAGAGGGCCCACAACCTTTATATACCATATTTTTACACTATTTGCATACCAGGGGCGGCCACTTTGTCCGGTAGTTAGTCCGATTTTTACGACATTCGAACTCAACTATCATGAGTGTTTAACGATGATATATTCACACGTTTTTTTTTTTTAAATCGGATAAAAATTGTGACCTCTACAGCGAACACAAGCTAATAAAGCGATTTTTCATACAATCAGCGGCCATAATTCAGAAGATAGGTTGCCAGGCAACGAAACATACGCCCACAGCAGCTATATCGTCCGGGCAGTCAACAAGAGTTGTCGCATATTTTTACTTTTTTCGGTAATGAAACATTTATAATACATTAAAATCTGATTAAGATTAACAACTCATTAAGTAATTATCAGAAAACCATTAGAATTTGTTTGGTTTTTATATAGTTCTGCCCCATGCTAACGTTTAGTATACGAAACTTTTAACATCATGGATTTAGCTGTTCAAGCCATAAAGATTCATTGAAAATCAATATACTTGATACTCTACGTATCAATCTGAAGTCAATCGGATGATAACTTTAGCCTCTAGAGCGTCCACAAGATTTTTCAAAGTGAACAAGGGCCTAACTCTGGCAGTAATTATAGGAAATCGCTGAAAATCAATAGGCTTCTTCGTCTCATGACCTTTAACACCGTGTATAAATTTAAAGTCAATCGGATATTAACTTTGACCTCTAGAGCGTCCACAAGATTTTTTGTAGTGATCAAAGGCCATAACTCTGGCAGAAATTATCGGAAATCGCTGAAAATCAATAGGATTCTTCGTCTCATAACCGTAAACACTGTATAAATTTAAAGTCAATCGGATATTAACTTTAGCCTCTAGGGCGTCCACAAGCAATTGTGGACGCCGGACCGACGGACGGACCGACGGACGGGGGCGACAACAATATACGACCACATTTCAATGTGGGCGTATAAAAATTACAATCCGATATGCGCGAATACCGAAAGGAACCAAGATCCCTAGGTTATAAACATGCATTTCAAGTTTCATCAAAATCGAATCAAAATTGTGACCACTAAGAGGGCCCACAACGTTGATATACCATAATTCAGGAAGTTAAATCCGATATGCGTGAATATCGAAAGGCACCAAGATCTTTGTGTTATAAACATGCATTTCTAGTTTCATCGAAATCAAATGAAAATTGCGCCCTCAAGAGTGTCCACAAGCTACAATCAGGGGTAATCCACGAAGTGGTGGTCCGATACATGCCAATATCGAAAGGGGCCGAGATCTTTGGGAGACAGACCTATATTTCAAGTTTCGTTAAAATAGGATAACAATTGTGACCTGTAGAGTGTCAAAAAACATATTGTGGACGGATGGGCGGACAGGGGCGACGGCATAATACGTCCACATATATATATATATATATATATATATAGGTTCAAGAGTTTTATTGAGAATCGTTCGTTCGTTTCCGGAATTTTACGTCCACGTGATATCGCAGACAAGTTATTGTGAATGGTGTGGTGCTTTAACGTCTGCTTCTACAGAAGTGATGTCGCAATTATTGTGAATCAAATTGTCAAGTATAAGTTCAATAATAATAAACATAACAGAGAACGAAACATTTCAGACAAAGAACGAATAGAAATAATAATAAGAAAAGTCAAACATATAGATGTTATTAGATATTTGAAATCAGCGCAACATACTACAGATTCTGATAATAAAATTAAATATAAATGAATTAGAAATATATACATTATTTACATAAATCATTCAGTAAATGGACATGAATATGGTTATCTACTCTTATAAGACGAAGGCGAAACACTGACTGGCTTGTAAACTGTTTTTGACTGGTTCGTAGACTTTAGCTACAATCAAGGCAAGGGCAGATAATTTGAAATCGTGGAAACCGTACAGATTAACCCAGGGTATAGTGGAGTAGAACGGAATGAGACCACTGGGGATACAGAGGATGACAAACAAGGGAAATAATCCTAAAACTTTCTACCCGATTTGTGCAAAACGAATTAATATATATTTTTTTTAAATTAAGTGTTTAGGGTGGTTGGTGGAAGTATTTCTTTTTTTGGTGGGTAGGGTAGATGAGGCTAAAGCTTTTAGATGCCCATCTCATGAAAAGTGGATACATTACATTTACGTGATTATTTTACAGTGTTGGGATTTCCCGTAATATGGTCTATCCTTATTGTCTGTGGAGTTTCTGTGATATACACGACCATAGTAAGTGGTGTTTATCTTTAACATAAGTATTGCAACGAATCATTTCTAATATATTTATACTTACGACTTTTAACAAAGGCAATATAATAGAAATTTCAAAACAATGTTGCACTCAACTAAGACCACAATAGACAAGTAATATTACATGTATCAAACTAGAATATTATGTCTAAAAACAATTATATTATGATCCACTCTACTTGGGCTTGTCAAACGTTTAAATCATATTATGAAATTGAAAGTTTCTTGCATCTGTAGGAACTGCAATATAAAAGATGAATAATCTGCTAACAGTCATCATTCCGTACACGAATAGTATTGCAATTTGTTCGACGAAGTGGTTCCATGGCAAAATTTTATATTACATTATTTCAGGGTGGCTTTAAAGCTGTGATATGGGCCGATGTATTTCAAGGTGTTGTTATGTTAATTGGACTTTTAGCAGTTCTCATAAAGGTGATGTGAAAATTCCTAAAATACCAATCGATCAGATAATTACTATTGATTACCTAACACTATAAACCTCCGAATGCCCCGTTCGGCATTTTTGTCCAAACGTGGCAAAAACGTGCTAATAAAATTTTTGCCACAATCTGGAGTTTTAAAACGTATTTTTTTTTTTAAATTGCCATGTTTTTGGAACGAGGTATTTTGACCAGAACGAGGCTGTTCACAAGGTTGGATACATGATTTTTCAAAAGGGTTGGGGTGGAGTTCAGCCAAACCAAAGTTTCGTCGAGCGTATCGAGGACAGCATAACATTTTTGGTGACACTTTCAAGCGATTATGTAAAGAAAAAAACACAAGGCAAAGTCGACTAGAAATGACATTCGTTGCATAAAAGAGTCTGTTACATTCTTTGTTGCAGTTTCATATGTTCACACATTATTTCCATCAAAGAGATGTGAGAAATGAAAAATAGCCAAGTTCTTTGTTGCAGTTTCATATGTTCACACAATATTTCCAACAAAGAGATGTGAGAAATGAAAAACAGCCAAGTTCAAAGCGGAGCGAACTCAATAATTGTTTTTTAGGCCTTTGAATATTATTAATTACAAATATGCTATTCCTTTTTTTACATAATAAACGATATTATATTTAATATATCTCATGAAATTTTATGTAATTGACACTCAGTTGTATGTATAAAAATTGCAAAAGCAATTAAATTAAAATCAATTGAAAAATGAAATAAACACAATTTATGTTTATATAATGACATGCAAAGCGGGGCGATGCGAACAACTATATTAGAAATGATAATTACGTTTACATCCTTCAGGTGACCGGCCTACGTCTGGATTCTTATATAAAGGGTCGATCTGGACTATATTTTGGAGAATAAAACTACTTAATTTCGTGTTAAAAGCCATTAAAATCTTCTACCTTTGGACCGAGCAACTAACTCAATAGACATGATACGTTTTCATCTTAAACCCGTCGTTTATTATATAAAAACAGGAACAGCAGATTTGGTTTGGCTGAACCCCACCCCCAACCCTTTTGAAAAATCGTGTATCCAATCTTGTGATCAGCCTCGTTCTGGACAAAATACCTCGTTCCAAAAACATGGCAATTTTTTTTATAAAAAAACACGTTTTGGAACTCCAGAAAAACGTGGCATTTTGTTTTTACCACGTTACAACTTGGCAAAATTATGGCAAAAATTTTAATACGTTTTTGCCGAACGAGGCATTCTGAGGTTTATAGTGTAACTTTACAATTCCGAGATATATAAAATACTGCTGGAATCTCGGTCGTGATCGGGAAACTATATACGATTTACAAGGTACATCTGGTACAGTACACATTATCAATTAAATGAATTTTCAGGGTACTATTGAAAGTGGAGGACCATCAGAAGTTTTTAGATTAGGTGAAGAAGGTCGTAGATTAGACATGTGGAAGTAAGTTTTCTGGTCAATATTTCTAATACACAACATATTGTTACGACTTTGTTAATGGATTCTTTGTCACGTTTATGAGACTGATCGGGCCTTCAGAAACATCTTGATGGGTAAAATGATTTTCGTCCAACTATGGAGACCCAAAAAGGAATTTAACTGTATTGATGATTTGATGATATTGGAGATAGCCCACCTTATTCTATATTCTAACAAAACAAATAGGGTCTACTTTTAAAACATTCTCGGTATCCACATTTAAGCACCACGTCATTCATCCTACCAGATTTGTTTAACATGGCGACATGTGGGTCGAATTTGCTTGGACATGTTTTACCCTTTCTAATGGATAGTTGCTAATCTGGTATTGAAGTTGTGGCATGGGCGCAATCTTTAATTTAGTATGCGTTTAAAAGAAGGCTTCAATCGTTAGAACCCAGAAATGGGTGGCCCATGTGGTAAGATTTGCTCTTTAAATTAATAAGAAAGAGAGAAATGGGGTTTAACGTCCACTCGACACAAACTAGGTCATTTCGGGACTAACATATGGTTCAATTTTATTTCCATAATTTGCTTGCGCGTAGGGGTGTTTAGCAGTGGGAGGAAACCGGAGGACCCGGTGAAAACACACGAGGTTGGACAGGCGACCCTACTCCTTGTCACGTTTAAATTAATAACAACATTATATTAATATTACCTCCTTGCCTGGTTATTGATCCCATATTCATAGACAAGGCATATACATCTCACGCACTCAAATGAATTAGTGATGGGTTGGCACATAAAATAAAATTATAATTTGGTAAACATATAGCTGCTTCTGTGTGAAAACAAAATATCACCTGATAGGAAATTCTTACTGTCCTTTTAAGGATAGTACTCACGTCATTAAGTATGAGAGACAATCATTATAATTAATTATTTGACCAATTCCAATTAGAAAACATCAGAGCTTCCGGCGATCGGTAGACACTCATTGAGAGAGAGACAGCATGTAGATTCGTTGGGAGATACCGTCGAGGTTGAGAGAGTAGAGAATGACTTTTATTGTAATCTATGTCTGTAACCTATATATTCAGTGCTTGATATAAAATGTTAAAACGAACTGTTGCATTGATGTTCCTGGTAGATAAACGTCTTAACTACTGAGATGTAAGCTGTAAATTCACAACGTAAAAGAAGTCCTAAGAGAGAATCGAAAATATGACCTGAGACAAATCTAGACGATTATCAATGCTAAAAAAAATCCGTGACACGTCGGCTGTGGAGGAGAGTTTTCCACATCTAACGCATATTGCTACATTTTTGATTTGGTTGCCGTACGCCAGGATCGACCTTCAAGGGAATCTGGAAGATTAGTAAACCCGTAGGAACTAATAACCAAAAGAAATCCGGTGGGATTCCAAGCCGATTTACAACCATGTTCATTCTTGAGGCTTTGGACCTAGTGATTAAGAACAACATCTTCTACTTTGATGGAAAATATTACAGTCCAGGCAATGGAGTTGCCATGGGTGGGAAACAAAGTAGCACCAACCTATGCAACACTGTCCCTTGGCTATTTAGAAGAGCTGTTGTATAACGCTGTAGAGATAAGACTCGGACTTGGTCAACGACAACATTTAGAAGAATTTTGAAAACGATTGCAAGACGACTGCTTCAATATCCAGTCAGATGAAAAAGAATTAGAAATAACCCATGACATATTAAACTCATTGGATCCATCACTTAAATTCACAAAAGAGAAAGCAAATCTAAATTGAGTTTCATAGATATTGAAGTCCATTTATTGGATATTGGTGGAATAGAAACGGACTTGTTTAATAAGAAAACGGATAGGCATCTATACCTAAACTTCAGATCAAATCATCCGGCACACGAAACGTAACATCCCGTACAAATTAGCGAGGAGGGTATGTACAATTGTATCGAATAAAGCGTGGAAACATCAAAGACTTGGCAATTTGAAGCAATTTCTTATACAACAAGACTATCCCGTAAAGCTACAATGCGATAGCATTAAAAATAGACCAGGAATGTTACGAGTTCCAGAGCCGAAGGAGAAAAATGAAAACATGGTGACATTAGTTACTACGTTCAATCCACACAACAGACCAATGAACATCCTCGATGTGAACAAGCCCATGTGGGATAAGTGCCCGAAAATGAAAAAGACTGTTTCAAAATTACGGAAAGTTCACCCGTATCAAAATGTGGTGATAAACAGTGTGGATTGTGTAAAGACATCATGGAAGGTTCAACATTCTTCATGTCAAATAACCGAGCATTTAGTTGTTTATTTGTTACTTTGCTCGGGATGTGGGGAATACTATATAGGCAAAAGCGACCCACAACTAAACCTTTGAATGAATCTACACAGGTCCCAAATACTCCACCCAAAAAACAGAACAATACCACTAAGTAGCTATCTGGACATCTGTGGTAAAGGAAAGTTCAAAGTCGTGCCAATATATAAGTTGAATTTTATATATGAACAAATATTGGAAGCCAAAGAGAACAGGTTTATAGAGTTATTTTTTCCTAAACTGAACCGGCGATTGAAATGAACATTATTTTGATTATAAAACTACTCCTTTGATTGGGTCGTACTGGAGTTATGTCCCCATATTGACTTTGCGCTATTATGTAACTAAGCAACGTTATTGTTTTTTGTACATAGTCCTGCAGACGCCGTAAGGCCGACAGTTCTTGGTAAATATGTAAATGTAATTAAAATATAGATATTTTCATCCAAATCTTAGTATTGTTTGGTCTATTATCCTGAGTGAGAGTTGAATTTAGAAATGTATATATGGTGTAATTTTGGATAAGAACATGAATGCTCACATCTCCTCAATCTGTAAAGTTTCTAACTTTACAAATTTGGGCGGATCCGCAATTTCTTCGACATTGACTGTACAAAGCTGTTAATTAATTCTTTGGTGACCTAACGTCTCGACTACTGGCCACAGCATATCAAATTAATATTCTACAGATTCAAAACAAAGCTGCAAGAATTGTTACAAGAACTAAATTATACACCAATATTACTCCGGCTTTGAAAGACTCCAATGGCTAGCGATTAACACCGGAATCGATTTTAAAATTCTCATGCTGACTTTCTGTGCTTTATCATCTGACGACTCTCCTCTATACATTAAAGAATTAATTCAAACCTACCACCCTACCAGAAATCTTCGTTCCGAAACAAAGTACCTTATTAAATCAGTAATTGCAAACTCTTCTTTCGGTAGACGCTCCTTTGCTTTTGCGGCAGTAGGACTGTTGTGGAATTCTAATGATTTTCCTGTAGAACTCAAGCACTGTGCATCATCAATTGACAGTTTTAAAAGGCATCTTAAAACCCATCTTTTTAGAAACGTTTTCTTTTAACTGTTGATCGCGTACTTCTTTTCTAGTGTTTTTCTTTTAACTGACCATAATGTTACCAAAGAGCAACTTCGGTTGGATTTTAGGACATTATTATAAAAAAATACTCCGATTTGGATGTAAAAATGTAATTAAAATATAGATTTTTGGTTAATTACATTTACATATTTGCCAAGATTTTCGGCCTAATGGCGTCTTTAGACTGAAAGATCTTGCTGAAGACGGCGTAAGGCCGAAAGATCTTGGCAATTATGTAAGTGTAATTAAAATTATAGATTTTTCCATGCAAATCTTTGTATTGTTTGGTATATAATCCTGAGTGTTGAATTTAGAAACTTTTAATATAATGTTGAATTATAGAAACTAAAACCTTTAAATTAATTGTTTCAGTTTTGACCCAGACCCTAGAGTGAGACATACATTTTTTACCTTGATCTTTGGAGGTTTTACCACTATGATTGGAAGAGCTCTAGAGCAAGCCTCGATGCAGAGAGTGTTTTCAGTACCTAAAATGCGGGATGCACAGAAGTTAGTTACTTTCAGTTAAAATAATTAAATATTTTAGTTGCAGTACAAAGTACATGCAGTTATGTGTCAAAGATATGTAACAACATTTATACATAAATTACACCAAGTTCCCAATCGAAATTTACTCAATTATATGTGAAAATATTTTAGCCGGGGATATCTTTTTGGAGGACTTATAATTATTTTACTTTTTATGGGGGGGGGGGGGGGCTACGTCCATGGACATAAGCGCGCCTTCTTTGTTTATCGTATTACTAGCAACATACAACAATAATTTCCGATTGCTATTGTTAAAATATCGCAGATATTACCTTGTTTACATTCTCACAAGTCTGCCATTTATTTATTTTTAGATTACTGTACATTGCTGGGCCCATGGTTACCATCACTATGGGCATAGCATGTTTTCAAGGTCTTGTTGCTTATGCTTACTACAGCAAATTGGCTTGTGATCCGCTGGCAGCACGTCGGATCACTAATCCAAACCAGGTAATAACTGAAATAATTTTTTTACACATAAAACTAGGCAAGATACGTTGAATAAGTTGAAGACTTAAGCATTTGTATATCTATGGTCTTCAGTAGTTAATTTCTTTGACAATGTTTTTAAAAATATTCAGCTATAATAATTCTTTACTCTCGATTCAGATCATACCACTCTTAGTCATAGATATGTTCTCGTCGTACCCAGGAATGTCCGGTCTATATATGGCATCGTTATGTAGCGCTTCTTTCAGGTAGGTATTAATGAGGCATTATGTAAGATTTAAATTAAAAAACAAACGATGGCCATTCTTGCTATTATAGTTCCACAATATTATCGTTTAATGTACAAATGCCGGGAATTATTGCGATTTCCAAAATTTATTTCTGTTCACTTCCTGATCCTTCCGTTTCATAATCACCAATATTCTCTGGAACCTGGCAGAAAATATAAATTGAAACACTCTTCTTCGATTCTAGGCAAAAATTGCCATGAAAAAGATAGACAATACATTCGACAATTGCTCAACACCGTCCAAAAAAGACAACAATATAGACCGGCCAATTTATGATTTTACCAATAAAAAAATAACAAGAAAACGTTTTTATGCATTTTTACGTTTATGTAGGTGTACTTAACAACATCCCAAAAGTTTAACAAATTTTGGGCACCGGAAAGAGGTAAAATCCAATATGGCCGACATTCGCCCAGTCCTATATGTGTTATGAACATATGAATATGATATCAAAATGTCAAATAAGCCCATTAAAACTAGTATGACGTCATATAGCCCTATAGTGACATACTATGACGACCGGCACATCTACGTACTAAAACATTCAACCGTTTGCTTTATTCCCTATAAATCTATTTAAATTATTGGAACATGACACTGTGTCTTTAAAACATAAAAATTACACCTGGCATTACAATAACGCAATATGGATAGTTTATGTACTATTATGTCATGTCTTTCAGTGGTGGTCATCTTATAGCTATTGTAAACTGCACCGGAAATATTATCACGATAGTTCATGAACAGAGTTTCTTTGGGGACGAGACCTGGAAACATTCTCTAGATAACAGAAGTTTCTTGAGACAAACTATTCCACCTGCGGTATCAGATGATACGTATCCTCCCCTGTCAATGCCATGGAATGCAAATCTACCGCTTCAGTAGCTACCTTTACAATGTCGACATAAGCATCGGTAGATGCTTTTACAACATGTCAACCCCCTTCTTAACCCCAATCATCATACAAAGCAGCAGTCATATTTACTGAACTTTGGGCTTTTCTACAGTTTCTACGGATGTATAACAGTACATCTGATACAAACTATAACGTTGTATGGCCAAGAAAACGGATATTGACGCGTATTTTAGCAAAAGCTGCTCATTTAACGAAAAGCAACCCCATGTGTCATTAAGATGACAGCACCCTTCATTCTATGTAGATCAAATTAGTAAACGATTCCTTACACGTCTATTTGCTTGTCTTTATGCTTTATCCATTTTCCACGACAGCAGGTTACATATCACCCTCGGTACACCCAGTGGTCCAATCCCGTTCTACCCCACTATACCTTGGTGGATAGAACTCCTTGTTAAACACGTTTCAAATATAATTTTAACACAGTGTAGATGTGTAATGAAGGTTTCAACAAACGGAGGTGGCAAAAGGAAAACACGAGTTATCCTTCTATATAACTGACTGAAGTGAAGAGTGAAAACAGATACAAGGGCGAATTTCTGCTCACTCATAATTCCTTCGAAGACCAAAAGAGACTGTGAGAGCACTGAGAGCATATCTGACAATTCAAAAAAGTAATTGAATGTCACTAGATAAGTGAACACGAGAAAAATAGAGAGAGTCCGTACATCTCCCCTTTTCATCAATTGACTGATGTATTAAAAGACCTGATAATTAATATCAAAGTTCGGGACTTTCCGGTACTCGTATTTTCGTAAACTTTTCGGGTTTCATTCAGGACATCCAAAACTACCAGAAACCATTCATAAATCTTGTCTTGCTATAATTTAGGGGGTTTACATCCTTTTTTCATAAGAGAGAGAGAAATGGAGTTTAACGTCCACTCGACACAAACCAGGTCATGTCGTGACTAAGATGGTTAAATTATACTTCAATAATTCGCTTGCGCGCAGGGGTCTTTAGCAGTGGGAGGAAACCGGAGGGCCTGGACAAAACCCACGAGGTTGCACAGGCGACCCTATTCCTTGTCACGTACAACCGGGGAATCAAAACCACGCCAGTTGACTCAGTGACAGACCTAATGATACAATGCGCACGTGCTAAACATTCGACCATCCACCCCGCCCCCTTTTTACTCATAAAATGACTGGTCATAGTGATAACAAACATTTCATCCCCAAGCAAAAACTCAAGATCTTAATAAAAATCATAAGACCTTAATATAAAGTGAAACACAAGGACCAATTGTTTGATCCTTATCCCATATGAGAACTTAGGTCTAGACAAACCATGACGTTTTCATTTATTCCAGTGCGGCTGGTTTGAAAAGTTGCAGAAATGGATTTTAAACTATTTAGTTTTATCTTGGCAAGAATTCGTAATTTCCTGCAATGGGACTTTCGTGGTTGTGGGGATTGAAATGAAATGGGGTTTAACGTCCTGTTTTCTACTAATGGTTGTAGGACAACCCATCACCTTGTTTTAGCGCCATACATAAATTATATTTCAGTACTTTATCATCTGGTTATGGGTCTCTCTCTGCACAAACAGTGAAGGATTTTATTGAACCACTGACGAATATACAATCAGAGAAAGCTAAACTATTTATAGCAAAGCTATCGGGTAATGTATAATTAGATAAATAAAATTATGTAATCGTTTGAGAATGGGGACAGTAATTTCGCTACTATCTCTTGGGTAACTAAACCACTAATACAAGTGTTGTCATCCATGTCTGTTCGTCTGTCAACAATTGGCTCATTAAGGCCATGGTGGCTACAGATGTCCACAGATTTTTTAAAGTCTGGGTTGAAGCATTATAGCTATCAGATGGTGAACCTTACCGATATCCTTCTCTCCGCGATCTGTCGTTCCCGAGACACCCTCTTCTCAACGAACTTTTTGTTATGGCGATCAATGCTACAGTTTTCAAAAAATGGTTTGAGTTCGGGTAAAGTACGAAGTTTCATCACTTTTCATAAGTTAAATCAAAGTTATCTTTTCCCAAAGCATCGACCAATGAAATTGCTTAGCTCTTCTTAACTTTAGCGGACATGTTAATCAGTCAAGACATTCACCTATTGAACATCTACACCACGTTTTATCATTCTAACTCAATTAGAAGGGGAGTTATTGAGGTTCGAAGTCCCGACCAATCAAATTGCTTATCACTCTCTTTACCTTTCAAGCAGACAATATTCATTATCGACCTTAGTCAAGGTATTGATGCAAAGAAACCATACACAAGTTTCATCACTCTCATTTAATTAGAATCAAAGTTATCGTGTCCCAAAGCATCAACCAATCAACTTTCTTATTTTCATGTGGACGTATATTCTCGCTACCCCTGTCCGTCCGGCCGCTCGTTATCGAATCTCCCATAATGTATCATTAACAGAAACCGCCCGATAATCTATAAATAATGAATAGTTTTTGTGTTAATAGGGGACAGTTAGTGAGTGATATTAACGATCACTCATACATGCTACCATATAATGAATTAACGACACAAAGGATGACTTCATAGCAAGACTTTAGGGTTTTACACTTCTTTTTAATTCGAAATATCAATTTCAGATTTTTCAAATATAAACCCCACCGCGAATTAATTATAAAACAACCATTTTGTTACAGTTGTGCTGTATGGTTCTATCTCTGTGGGAATTTCTATTCTCTTGTCTTCATTGAGTGGATCTTTCATATCGGTAAGTATATTTTGTATTTTAGATAAAATGCTTGTAAAATATCATGTGCAACAACAAAACTGCACAACGTAGCGAGTAATATTCCGCGTCTACTGTACAGCAAATGTGCGCTAGATGTTTAATTATCAGCTCAAATACAGAAATTAAAATTCTTTGACTTGCATGAAGGGGGTTCCATTTATTCAACAAAATGACTGTTTAAATCTAAATCAAAAATAATTCAAGGCGTTCGCGATATTGATTTTTCAAAATACGGCAATACGTTGAATAAAATGATCTGTGAAAATCACCCTGACTGGCAATAGAATTCAAAATTTTAACCAGTAGGATGATTTTTTTTTTCAGATAGTTATTGGTCTCCTTGGATCTATTTCGGGGCCAGTTACTGGAATGATTTTATTGGCTGCTCTGGTACCATTTGCTAACAGCAAGGTTATACACATTTATTCTATAATGTTTGCTCAAATGTTGGTCATTACATTCGGAAAAATCCCGTATTATTATTTATTTATAATGATTTCCATACGCCCAGATACCCCCCCCCCCACCGCGAATTGGAATAATTGTTGTTGACATATTTATGTTTTTCAAAATAAATAAAAGTTACCTTCGAATCCATTACAATATATATGGCCTAAATTCAAGGAGAATAAAGACCTCTATGAATTGGTGCGGAAAAGGTGGAACAAGCTAGTTCCGTTTTCCCATTCTACTCAAATGGAAAAACAATCTACTACGGCTTGACTGGCGGGCTGGTGATAGGCTGATCACACATCCCTTCATCTTCAGGAGGCTGTGCTGTGAGCCAATGGATACTGGCTAGAATATTAGACCCTTGGCTAAGCGCTCGCGGCTGCTCCCATACAATGTAAACGCTAAACTAATAATCCCGTCTTGACCGATCAAGTTCCATTGGGATTTCCAGCGTGGTTCCCCCTTGTCAGTGGTGTAGGACGGGAGATCGGGCAAAGAACAGCCAGTCGTTCAGGTGGTACGAAAAATCGAGGTCTCGTGTACACATTGGCGTGAAGGTAAACAAACTCTCGGCAGTTGGAATTCCGTTAATATGCGGGAAATGAAATGGGGTTTAACTTCCTACTGTTCTGCTCCGAACTGGGTTAATGAACACGGGCATACGCCATACATTGTGCTATGCGAGAAATTTTCCTCGGTAGCGGCACTACGGCCTACATCTTTTACGTGCACGCCAATGTGTACACGGTAGCCCGGTTTTTCGTCCTATTCGAACGACTAGAAAGCTGTCCTGCATCACTGACAAGGGGGAACACCCGACCTCCAGGCTAGCGAGCCAGAGTCTTACCCAACGTGACGCCTAATATGCGGGAAAACCTCCCCTCATAGCCCATTGCATGGCCTACTTATCGGGTCGGTGCTGTCCGTAAAATGGTGCGTGAACACATTTCAACCATTTAGCACATACTAAACACTTTTGTTACTGGTTTCAGGGAGCCTTGATTGGAACTCTATTCGGTTTATCCTTAACATCATGGATAACAGCTGGTCGCATACTTAGTCCAACTTTAATGAACACCCCTACATTACCACCAGCTCCAAGTGACAATTGTCCCATTACCAATTCAACTATGACACCATTTAACTATACCATGGAAGCTTTTATAAAAATAGACTATTATAAACAATATGAGCCGTAAGTATTTCAGCTAATACACTTTTTTTTAACAATGTTCATGGTCAACTATCTATTCTACTTAAACAAAATATTAGTTGGATCATGTTAACATGACTTTTTAAATGGGTTTATTAGAATGGAAAATGTGACCTTTGCTGCGTAATTGGCATTACCCATCGGGATAGGTGTATTTAAGAGATGTTTCAGTATAATTTACGTCACCTTCTCAACCCCCAGAACCAGTTTCTCCAACAACAAAACCAGCGGCTGCCAGGCAGGATACGCCCACATTTTCGAGAGATGGATAGAAAACAAGCTAAAACGAAAGTGATTTTTCCTACAATCAAGGGCCATAATTCAGGAAATTACAATTCGATATGCGCAAATATCGAAAGGAACCAAGATCTTTGAGTTATAAACTTAGATTTCAAGTTTCAACAAAATCGGATAAAAATTGTGACCTCTATAGGGTCCACAACCTTGATATACCATATTTTTACGCCATTTTGTCTGTCAGTTTTGGGCCGATTTTCACGAATTGCGAACTCAGTTGTCCTTAAGGTGTAACGGTGATATAATAATACGTTTTTTTAAATCGGATAAAAAGTATGACCTCTATAGGGTCCACAAGCTAAAAACGCGATTTTTCGTACAATCAGGGGCCATAATTCAGTAAGTTACGGTCCAATATGCGCGAATATCGCAAGGAACCAAGATCTTTGGGTTATAAACTTACATTTCATGTTTCAACAAAATCGGATAAAAATTGTAACCTCTATAGGGTCCACAACCTTGATATACCATATTTTTACGCTATTTGAGAACGAAGGGCGGCCATTTTGTCTGTCAGTTTTTGGCTGATTTTCACGACATTCGAACTCAGTCGTCCTTAGGGTGTAACGGTGATATAATAATATGATTTTTTTTAAATCGGATAAAAATTATGACCTCTATAGGGTCCACAAGCTAAAAACGTGATTTTTCGTACAATCAGGGGCCATAATTCAGGAAGTTAAGGTCCGATATGCGCGAATATTGAAAGGAACCGAGATCTTTGAGTTATAAACTTACATTTCAAGTTTCAACAAAATCGGATAAAAATTGTGACCTCTATAGAGTCCACAACCTTGATATACCATATTTTTACGCTATTTGAGAAAGAACGGCGGCCATTTTGTCTGTCAGTCTTGGGCCGATTTTCACGAAATTCGAACTCAACCGTCCTTAGGGTTTAACGGTGATATAAAAAAAAGGATTTTTAAATCGGATAAAAATTATGACCTCTATAGGGTTCACAAGCTAAAAACGCGATTTGCCATACAATAAGGGGCCATAATTCATGAAGTTACGGTCCGATATGCGCGAATGTAAACAGGAACCAAGATCTTTGTGTTATAAACTTACATTTCAAGTTTCAACAAAATCGGATAAAAATTGTGACCTCTGTAGGGTCCACAACCTTGATATACCATATTTTTACGCTATTTGAGGAAGAACGGCGGCCATTTTGTCTGTCAGTTTTAGGCCGATTTTCACGAAATTCAAACTCAGCCGTCCTTAGGGTGTAACGGCTATATATTAACACGTTTGTTTAAATCGGATAAAAATTATGACCTCTATAGGGTCCTCAAGCCAAAAAATGCGTTTTTGCGTACAATCAGGGGCCATAATTCATGAAATTACGGTCTAATACGCGCGAATATCAAAAGGAACCGAGATCTTTGTGTTATAAACTTATATTTCAAGTTTCAACAAAATCGGATAAAAATTGTGACCTCTACAGGGTCCACAACCTTGACATACCATATTTTTACGCTATTTTAGAACGAACGGCGGCCATTTTGTCTGTCAGTTTTGGGCCGATTTTCACGAAATTCGAACTCAACCGTCCTTAGGGTTTAACGGTGATATAATAATACGGTTTTTTAAATCGGATAAAAATTATGACCTCTATAGGGTCCACAAGCCAAAAAACGCGTTTTTGCGTACAATCAGGGGCCATAATGCAGGAAGTTACGGTCCGATATGCGCGAATATCGAAAGGAACCGAGATCTTTGGGTTATAAACTTACATTTCAAGTTTCAACAAAACCGGATAAAAATTGTGACCTCTATAGGGTCCACAACCTTGATATACCATATTTTTACGCTATTTGAGAACCAACGGCGGCCATTTTGTCTGTCAGTTTTGGGCCGATTTTCACGAAATTCGAACTCAACCGTCCTTAAGGTTTAACGGTGCTATAATAATAAGGTTTTTTAAATCGGATAAAAATTATGACCTCTATAGGGTCCACAAGCCAAAAAACGCGTTTTTGCGTACAATCAGGGGCCATAATTCAGGAAGTTACGGTCCGATATCGAAAGGAACCGAGATTTTCGGGTTATAAAGTTTCAACAAAATCGGATAAAAATTGTTACCTCTACAGTGTTCACAAGCCAAAAACGTGATTTTTCGTACAATCAGGGGCCATAAACCATTAAGTTATGGTCCGATAGATGTCAGTATCGAAAGGAACCGAGAGCTTAGGGTGATAAACCTATATTCCAAGTTTCATTGAAATCGGATAAAAATTGTGACCTGTAGACTGTTCACAAACAATTGTGGACGGACGGACAGGGGCGACGACAATAATAATATTTAATAATATTTATTGATTAAAGCGATCTACACTTCGTCTCAGAGCGCTGTACAAATATAAATAAGACAGTTTACACATTTAAAACCAAATTAAAACAAACGACTGACTAGGCTATAAATTGAATTGTTTTTTAAAATAAAATGTTTTTAGTCCGGATTTAAAAGTCAATAGATTTGGTGATTGGCGCACACTGCGTGGAAGCTCGTTCCACAAGAACGGGGCAACCACAGAGAAAGCCCTCCAGCCGTATCTCTTGATGGTAGTTCGTGGATTTTCCTTCGTCTTCTTGTGTTTATCCGTTCTAACAAGTGTTACATTGTTCGAGTCAGCAGATCGCAAACTGCGATTTCTTGGAACATAGCGCTCAATCATTGAACTGAGATAATGCGGAGCATGACCACTTAGAATTTTAAAAACGAATAACATAATTTTGAAATTGATACGGAATTCAACTTTTAACCAATGTAAATCGTACAGAATTGGTGAAACTTCATCGTACTTTCGTGATCTAGAGATCAACTTCGCTGCAGCGTTCTGGACAGACTGTAATTTAGACAACTGATTCTCAGGAAGACCAACAAGCAAACTATTACAGTAGTCTAATTTCGATGAAACAAAAGCGTGAATTAGTTTTTCAGTCGTAGCACGGTCGAGAAGATTCCTAATCTTACTGATTCGAAATAAAGCAAAGTAAGCAGACTTGGAAATTGCATTCACTTGCGACGTCATTAGACCGTCATCGTCAAACATGACACCCAAATTTCTAACAGACTGTGAAGGAGTGATATCACAACTGCCGACTCCGAGGCTGTCCAATTTCACTGCATCTGGTTCCAGGACTGAGGTAAAATGAACCAGCTCGGTCTTGTCCTCGTTCAGGATCAGCAGATGCGACTTCATCCAGTCGCGAACCTCATCAGTACAAGCTTCGAGAGAACCAATATCATCTTGTAATTTCTCCGACACAATATAGAGCTGTGAATCGTCAGCGTAGAGCATAGCATTTACACCATGTTTACTGAAAATGTCTTCAAGTGGACTAGTATATAAAGTAAACAGGATCGGTCCCAATACTGATCCTTGCGGAACATCAAATTCAAGGTCGAACTCGCGGGAAGCTGGCAAGGAATCAATGGAAACTCGAAAATGACGATTTGATAAATACGAATGGAACCAATTCAGCACAGTACCAGTAAATCCAAAACGTTCTTGAAGAATATGCAGTAAAACCGTATGATCAAGCGTATCAAACGCAGCTGACAAATCAAGCATCACAAGAACTACATCCTTCCGATCGTTCAATGCACAAAGTACATCATTCTGCACCCGCAGAAGTGAGGTCTCGGTACTGTGGTAAGCTCTGTATGCTGACTGATACTTCATGTACAAATCGTTTTCACTTAGGTACTTGGTAATTTGAGTCACAACGATTTTTTCCAGATATTTCGTCAAAACAGAAAGGTTAGAAAGAGGACGGAAATTTTTCAGAATGTTCACATCTAAACCTGCCTTTTTCAATAAAGGTCTAACAACCGCTTCCTTGAAACTATCAGGGAAAATTCCTGAAGACAGTGATGCATTGAAGAGTTCAGTGAGAAACTCAGCCAACACAGGGAGCATGTCCTTCACGAGATTTGTTGGAAGAACGTCCAGTGAACAAGACTTACTGTTGCCTTCTTGAATGATTTTAGTGACTTCCGGTACAGTAACTTCCTGAAACTTGTCCATGATAGATCTGGGCTTGTCAAAGTGATCCAGTTCTGGGACTAGTCCTTCACTTAACTTCACCACTTTTTCCAGGAAAAATTGGCCGAAAGCATCGCAGAGTTCTGATTCAGGAATGGTGTTTGGTCGAGAGGATGACAACATATTCTTAGTGCCAGTCAGTTCGTCAACGATTCTAAAACATTGTTTAGAATCGGCTTGTTGAATTCGGTCACAATGATAGTCCTGTTTGAGCTCATCACAACGTCTGTTATACTCGAGACGTTTGGCTTTGTAGATATCGTGATCCACGGTGAGCCTGGATGAAATCCACTTCCGTTCACTTTGGCGAACAGCAGCTCTAAGTTCGGTCAGCTCGTCGGTATACCAAGGCGCGCGAGGTTTTTCTATCACCGTACTCACTTGTTCAGGAGCAAGATCATTCAAAACACCCAGAATCTTCTCGGAATAGAAGGAACACATAACATTCGGGTCTTCTCTCGGGTATTCCTCAAACGCAGTAGAAATTTCAGACTGTAGTTCGTCAGGGTTTACTTGCCTCATCTTCCTGTACTTCCGTTCTACTCGACGGTTAGGTGGTCGCTGAACATTCACACCGAAGCGCACTAGTCCATGGTCCGAAGGAAGATCATTAGACACACTGACGTCATAATACAATATACGTCCACATGAAAATGTGGGCGTATAAAAATATGAAATTGAGGGAGAGAAACGGTGAGTAATAGAGTAATATTTGGTATGGTTTCTGTTTGATTTCTTAGAGCTTTTATTATTACTGAAAACATCACATTTGGGCAAGGTTTCCTTTAATAGCTTTCGAAACTATGTAACGCAAGGGATGAGTTTAATGCGCAAATATGGATTTTAACAGCATTGCAATTTGTACAGTTGGAAGGACGCAGAGCGAAATATGATTTTTGTTTATGTTTGTCCCAACCGATATCGTAAAATGAATGTCATCTAGATTCCATAGGTGTTTTCGTCAAGCATTATTTTACAAATACATGTATATGGAAATATACATTGTTTATGCCGTTCCCATATTGGGACATTCCTTGTCTATTCGATCAATCAAGTAATTCGTACCTATAACGTATTTACGAAGTCATGACGGCTGGGGCAATACCTATATCAATTTCCAAAGGATTGCTGTTTAGAGCATGGGAATATTTGAAGGCGGCGAAATAACAATACTCGGCCCTTCATATCACTCTTCTATTTAGGAAGTATTTACATACACACACACACATAATGGTTAAACTGATATGCTTGGCCATTTTCTAAACCCCATTCCACAAAAAGATTCGAAAGTGGGGAAGTATTTCGTTAGTTATTTGTCTTATTATGGTGTTGACTGCTGTTTTTGTCCCCCGCCTTTCGAAAAAAGCAGGGGACTATTAAAATGGGTCTGTCCATGTTCAAACTTGGCGTAGGTGTTTATTATTACCTTGATGGAGTTCGAAGATGAGCATTTTCTGCTTAGGGTAAGCAGAGATAAGCAATTTGATTGGTTGGTGATTTGGAACACGATAACGTTAGTTCCAGAAGTGAGAGTGATGAAACTTGGTGTTTAGTTTCAATAGTGTAATAGTTACCAAAACCAGTCGACCAACGTGTGTAGATATGAGCGTTGAATGTAATTATAGACCTTCATTTAATTGGCCAACCTATGTGAACCGTGTGTAGACTTGATCGGTGGATGTTATTATAACTGGCTTCTTTCCAGGGTCTTTGTTAAAGGACATTATTGGTGTCAGTCATTATCACATATGCGATAGAACTAATTAAACACGTTCCAAATATAATTTAAACGCAGAGATCATTGCTACGATAGCTGAGTAATACAGGTTTCCTGAATTGGAAGTGACGAACGCCAAAGGAAAACACGAGTCATCCCTCTATATAACTGACTGAAGTGACGAGTGATAACAGATACATGGGCGAATTTCTGCTCACTAATAATTCCTTCCAAGACCAACAAAAGTTGTTGTGTGAGACTGTGAGAGGATATCTGACAATTCATAGAAAGAATTGACTGCCACTAGATAAGAGACACGAAAGAAAAACAGAAAAAGTCCGTGCATTACCATGTTTTTATAAGGTATAGAATGAATATAAACAAGGGAATGTACGGACTATTTCTATTTTTCTCGTGTTTTCTTACCTAATGACATTTCGAATGATAAAAACTTTGAAAAAGATAAATGTGCAATTAATCAATATGTGTCATCTATTTATTTGTTAAAGGAAAGGCGCAGATAATATCTACAGTTTGTCTTATATTATAATTGGTGGTATTGGTATGTTAACAGCTCTTGTAGTTGGTATTATAGTCAGCTGGATTACGGGTAAGGCGTTTTGCTCCACTCTTACAAATTTGACAGTTAATATCACTTGATGAATCCCAATTAGTCTAGTCACAATACTGAAAGACCAACCACTAATTCCTTTAGAGGTTTGTTTTAGCAACATCTTGTATAGGGCCTTCACGTGTACGTCCTACTGAAAATCAACCTAGGCGTTTAAGAGTTATCGGGGTGCCAGTTTACCATTCGAAATGCAATGAATTCCCTTCGAAAACGTTTTGCTGGAAGCAAATATCAATTAAGACCATGGGCTTAGGACGTTCAAATATGAACGTTCGATTCCAACGGGTGTCCTGGGCTCATTTATCCATCAAACCAACAAGCAGGTAAATGAAGTTTTACAATCTTAGCGTGCAAAACCGGCCGCCATTTCTTTCCGATTTGTTATTTTTCTCAATATTTGTGCATGTAAGCCAACCTAAAAATGAAATCGATGAAAGTAAGTCACGTTTCAGTCAAGAGTCTTTATTTCATATTACCTTCAGTGTCGAATATAATTCACAACATGATAATTATGTAGGAATACTTGTTCGCCCGCAGTGACAACACCATCTCTAGTGTAATTTCCACTGATGAACAAAACACTGCTCTGAAGTATGGTCGCCTGTCCAACCTCGTGGGTTTTCTCCGGGTCCACCAGTTTCCTCCCACTACTAAAGACCTCTACGAGCAAGCGAATTATTGAAATAAAATTAAACCATATGTTAGTCCCGATATGACCTAGTTTGTGTCGAGTGGACGTTAAACCCCATTTCTCTCTCTCTTTCTCTGAAGGTCAGATGGGGAAGTATTACGGTGTTGATACCAGCGGACTGGAGTTTGCTAGATATTAAGTGGATGATATCTTGCTTGTTCTTTTCATTGCTCATGAAGTTGGTCTTCTTCAGGTCCAGACTACTGTTGCAAGACACCACCACTTCAGTAGAGGCATACGTTCTATTGAGGAGGCCATTCGTGAAGTGTGACCGATAACCATCAAAACAAACCGTAACTGATGACGTTTGCCTTGAGATATCTGACATACCCCAGATCTCGCCAAAGGTCAGTCCTTTGATGTGTCCGGTAACATCGACTATAAGGCGTCGGCGAGAGCTTTTCTGGTTCGAGCATTTTTTTGTCGCTGACTGTGGACCCGGGATAACTACACATTTCGTATTTCACGAGTGAACTTTCTTCTATGTCTCACCCAAGTACTACTGCACTGAACAACATTGCTGTCCATATTCCTCACAACTCCCGACGTCTTGCCCACGATACCCTCACCAACATGAATCGTATCGAAGCAATTGGCATATTCTCGAGCGACATCGACAATGTTGCGCAAATTGTGCCGTGTCTCTGGAATGGATTCCGGCGTTCCAGAAAAACCTTGATGACATTAGCGTCGCGTTGTTGCCTGGTTGTAGTGGACTCTTTCTGCTGCCATCTCGTCGAGAATGCCGTTTCAGCCAATCTCTGTATTACATCATTGATTTCAATAAGTATCGATCTGGATAGAAGCGATGTACTTCGCAGTTCCACGGAATCACCGGCAATGTCTTGTGAACATGTAATGCATTCACCCATTATAAAAAATTTCGATGAAATTATTAGAATACCTGCAAGAATCCGAAGTGAAGATAGCAAAATGTGACGTCATAAGCCAGCCATGGATATTTGCTCCCAAGCAATGGTAAACTGTCACGTCGATAACTCTCAAACCCCTAAGTGAATTTTCAGTACGGTATTTGTGGAATTTGTGGCGGGTTGACCCCCATTTGCGTATTTTGACCAGAATAAATAGCAATGTGGAGATTTGGGCAGGATAAAGGTGCTCTTTCTAGGGCGACTGGAAAAAAAGGTCATTTATGGATAGCCCACGTTTTATTCCTTGGTATAGTTCCAATTCGTCCAAGAAATTTACTTTCGTCTGATTGTTCAATTTTGTAATCCGGCGTCTCAACGCACCACGCACGAAGTTGACCAATATCATGGGTTCGGAATTTATTCTAAAAGGCACACGACTTGGGCTGAGTAAAATTAAAGTTAAGGAACCTTACGGGACCTAGATATTTATCTCCCCATCATGATTACATTGTTTAGGTTGTAACCCAGCAGAAGAGGGTGATGAGATATACTATATAAATGTTGGTGCTATATCTGAAAAGGATTGTAGAAAATGTTGTCGAAGAAGCCGCAAAATGGTATGTTAATTGCTTCCAGTTTTGTTCATAGAATTCGTCAGTATCAACAAAGATAACAGATCTTGGATACATGGCAATTTATTAATTAACCAGCGGTCCGACATTCTGGGTTTAGTATTGACTAGAAATGATGTAGGGTATTGAACCTCAACATTTATTTTGCATCTATTGTAAGTACACTTACCTGAGTAATAATATATGCAATTCACACTAAACATATTTTAATCTCCGTAACATTTGATTAGTAATTCTTTTCATTGCCATTTTTCATCGAGAAATGTTCGATTCTGCATATATTTTTAAATAATGATCGGAATTAAACCATTTGTGGACAGATATTATTGTTAGTGATTAAATTTTCACAATATTGTGGTTTGGAAGGGATTAACAATTTTTAACAATCCCTTATTTGAAATGCATTTCAGAGTACTATCTGATTTTCTTTTCTATAGGGGAAGTTCAAAATAACCTCAAATCCAGAAAAGGTGCCTGTTGATGACACGGATAAAGAGAATCCTAGACTAGCAGTCATATCAAAATAAAAAAAATTAAATCGGCTCTATTGAATCAATTACAGTATTTTTATTGGAGCTACGTTTCTGCAAAGATTATTTTGTCGTTTTAAACACAAAATAGATACAGTTAGAAAATAGTATATATATACTGATGTAGAATCATCCATCAGTGAAACCACTTCATTAATGATAATTATATTTAGAATTAGTGTAAGCATTATGTATGCCCGTGTTCCCCTTACTAGACAGTATGTATTAGGAATCTAGAAAATTTACACACCGACCGCTCCTGGTATAGCCTACAGTACAGTGTTTCTTTTTGCCGTAGTATGTTTACTACAAATATTACATAATTGAACAAAAAAATATAGCTTATACTTTGATTGAGCATTTAAAATGATTTGTTTTTTCATGTAACTTATGTAGTTAAGCTCGATCCCAGAGATAACTTTACCCTTCGTTTAACCTTCTGGTAAAACTTGCCAGCCATTAAACATGTATTATGCAAGAGGTAAATCTGCCCTTTGCAGGCCTTTCTTTAGGCCTGGAATGTTAAATAAAGTTTTAATTAAACATTTATTAACACGAAAAGACTATAATTAACTTTCGATGCCATCTTATATGTCCAAGTTCATTGGATTTGAATCCGATCTGCTTTTCAACGCCTGTTGATGATTAAACGCAAAAATGGATAAACCGAGACTTTGTTAGTTATTGTGACAGTTGCTACAAAGACAATCATCCTCAGGAACATGTAGGCGTATCAAAATCCTCACAATCCGTTACGTGGGTAATTTGCTGTGAAAGAAAGCCGAAACATGGCAGCCATTCAGGAAAATGACGGCGATTTTGAAAATGGACGTGGCTAACCCGAAATGGACACTTGTGCAAATTTTAGTACTAGTATCTAGATTTGAATGATTTCTACACATAGCTATCCCATAATAACACCATAGTCTTCAACGTTCGGAAGTTCTGCATAATCAACCGCATAAATAGCCAAACTTCCAGTCACGCATGAGTAATTGAATTTAGCCCACGTTAAGAAAGAGTCGAGTTGTTTTTGATGTGGGTTGTATTTCTCCAGTTATTGTGTAGCAGTTGGTTTTGGTGTGATCCCACCATCAACGCAACTAGACAGCCGATCACTGGCAACCCCACCTCTGGCGACAATCTCGGCTCCCAGAGAGAAGTTTACCGTTCATTTCATTAATCAGCCTGAATTAGGTCCCTCCCCCCCCCCCCCAGTGACTCCTGATTATCTGGATTTGTGTAAATTAAATGCCGCGATTTCACGACAACTAAGCATCGATTCGTCGCATGAGTTACATATTAATGATCCTTGAAACATCAAACATTCTTTCGAAAACCCGTCTTCATTAGCCCAGTCGGAGCAGAACAGTAGGACGTTATACCCCATTTCATTTAATTTCTTTCAAAAACAGCCGATTTTATGATTTACCGGGAATTATTTTTAGCGCGCAATGTGAGTGATTCGGTCATATGAGCGTAAAATACGCCAAATGTATGAGGAAATGCGGAAGGATACATCATAACATTCAAAATGGCCGGCGCGATTCCCCAGAGAGAAAAACGAACGATAATCTTCTCTTCAGGAGCCGAGATTGCTCTGGTGGCCCCCCAGTCATTCACCCCGTCTTCCTTAGACCAGAAAGGATCATCACAGGCAGCGGTGTACATGTCAATGCCATTTTACTTGTCGGCTGTGACAGTGGAGAAGGCCGCCCAGGAACGATCATAATTCTCTTGTTGATGGCATACCACTTCGAGTTCCCTTACGATGTAAATTCCGAATGAATTTTTTTTGACATTCTCTGGTCTACGATAGACCTGACAACGAGAAAGCTTTTCATTGGCTGAAATTGTTGTAGCAATACGAGCCAGCCATATTGATTCAGCTACTGAATTTTTGTAATGATGAATTTATCAACAAATTCAAGTCGCATGGTCGACAAAAGTAATATTGAAATCGAAAACCCCCTGCCAAGTATAAGTCACAAGTATGGGAGTTGTTTGGATTTCCCGTTAAGTATGACAACAATGGAATTTTTCAGTTGACCGAGAAAACACCATATATGTGCAAACCAGGTCATCAAAAATCAAATATAGTGGCAACACTAGGAACATGAAAACACATGTAAGCCGACACCAACAAAACAAAAACCTGTCAATATGACTTGAGTCTTTTCTACAATTTCCATTAGCCCCTTATAGTGGTCATGCACTAGCAATTACACACAGCATTGCACTTTTCATTGCTTTAGATCTGAGACCACTATGTGTTCATCCTCAGTATCACCAATGGTCTCATTCCGTTCTACTCCACTATACCCCTGGGTTAATTCATGGGGTTTCCACGATTTCAAATTATCTGCCCTGGCCTTGATTGTAGCTTGAGTCTAATGGAGGGCTTATGTCGACCTTGCAACTGAAAGCAACTGGCGTTTCGGCAACTGGGAGCAACTGAAAAAAGTCGACCTGAGCGCATCTTACAACTCAAAGCAACTAGTTGCAGTCAGTTGCACATGTTCAACTTGCGGCAACTAGTTGCCGTCGACATGAGCGTTCTTGCAACTGGAGTCAACTCGTTTCCATGGAAATAACATCACGTGATAAGAGACATGTGTCATGTGACTTTATAAATAAACAAATGGAAGCGAACGAAGAAACCCACTTTTCAAGTTTTGATGATGTCGACAATAATATACTATTACAATTGTAGCAAGACCAACCATTTTGTTGATCACGTGATGAATAAATTAACAGTCACGTGTTACTGTGATCGCTATCAGTTCCGAGTCGACATAAGCGCTCCGAATTCAGTTGCTCCCAGCTGTCCTCAGTTGCTGATATAATCGACATAAGCACTCTTGCAACTGACTGCAACTAGTTGCTTTGGGTTGCAAAGTCGATATAAGCCCCGCTTTAAAACCAATAAAAAAAACAGTTTACAAACCAGGGCCTTGTTTCTCGAAATCTTGATTAAAGATAACATCCAAATTTTAGTAGGTACTTCAATTTTGATTAGCTAAGCACTAAAATCAATATTGTCCAATCAAATTTCGCGAAACATGCCCCAGTCTTACTAATAATGAAACGGCCTTCGTTTCGCGTTCATTTTTATAAAGGTAGATAACCCTATTCATATCCATTTACTGAATGATTTATGTAAATAATGTATATATTTTTAATTCATTTATATTTTATAAGATTATCAAAATATGTAGTATGTTTCACTTTTGTTATAATTAGTATTATCCTTTTTTGTCCGTCTGAAATATTTCATAAACCATGACGATTCTATTATGCATATTATTATTGAACTTATACTTGATAGAGTGTGATTCCGCTTTGCCTACGTAAGTAGTTCGGTTTAATCGCCGAAGGTACTCTTACTGGGTCTTGCCTCTTGAAGGGGAGCCTTTGTGTTTTGCTTGCTTTACCCGATGAGAGTCACTTGCCCTCGCCAACTTCCTTTGCAGTTTATGGGATTGCTCGATATAACAATAGCACAAGCAGGGGCAAATAACTTGAATACGCGCCCCCCCCCCCACATGAATTAACCCAGGGGTAAGTGGAGTGGAACGGATTGGGACCACTGATTATCAACTATACACTAAGTTCACCACTCTCTATCAGATAGAATCAAAGTTATCTTGTCCTAAAGCATTGACCAATGAAATTGCTTAGCTCTGCTTAGCTTTAACTCGAAATGTTAATCATTGAACTCAGTCAAGACATTCACCTAATGAACATCTACATACAACTTAGTCAAGGTAATGATATAATGAATCACTCGGAGTTTCATCACTCTCACTTAATTAAAACCAAAGTTATCGTGCCCAAAGCATCAACCAATCAGATTGTTTATCTCTGCTTACCGCAAGTAGACAATGTTTATCATTGAACTAGATCAAGGCATTCACCTAATGAACGCCTACACCATGTTTGAACATTTTACCTCCATTAGGAGAGTTACTGTGTTCAAAAGTCGCGGCCAATCAAATTGCTTATTGCTCCGTTTACCCTGAGCAGAAACTGCACATTATCGAACTTAGTCAAGGTATTAATGTGATAAAACTTTACACCAAGTGTCCTCACTCTCACTAAATTAGAACTAAAGTTATTGTGTCAGAAAGCATCAACCAGTCAACATGCTTATCTCTGCTTACACGAAGCGGAAAATTCTCATCTTCGAGCTCCATCAAGGCATTCACCTAATAAACGCCTACGCCAAGTTTGAACATTCTAGCTCAATTAGAAGGAGGGTTTTTGTGTTCTAAAGTCTCGGCTAATCAAATTACTTATCGCCCTGCTTACCCTGAGCAGAAAATGCTCATTATCGAACTTAGTCAATATTGGTGTAATAAAACTATACACCAAATTCACCATTCTCACTTAAACATGCATTACTTAAGAGCTAAATCTGCCTATTGCAGGTCTTTCTGTAGGTCTGAAATGTTATCTAAACTATTAATTAGACATATATTTATTAACATGAAAAGACCTTAATCAACTCTCGATGGCATCTTATGTGTCGGATTTTCATTGGATTTAAATCCATTCTGCTGCTTAGCACTCATGATTAAATCAAAAAATGGATAACCGAGACTATGTTTTTTTTATTGTACCGACTTTAGTAAAGATGATCGAGCCTAGGCCTAAATTTCAATCGCTTTTAATTTGGTTCAGAGCAATTTGACTGAAATTTTCAGCATATTGCCTTTATATTATCTAGTTTTTAACTATTTTAGTTAGAACTGGCATCTCCGAATCTTCCATAATGTATCTTTAATTAGAACTAAACTTATATTTTGGAGAATACATCTGCTTAAATGTATGTCAAAAGCCCATAAAATCCTCTTCCTTAGGGGCGAGCAACTAACTCAATATACGTGATACGTTTTCAAACAACTTAAACCCGCCAGTATGCATCTGGAAATAGAGCTGTATTATACGATGTCTGAATAAAACTAACAAAGGGAAGTAACGCTCTTAGTGTTGCCACAGCTCCCTAATGATCTC